ACCCTAACCCTAACCCTAACCCTAACCCTAACCCTAACCCTAACCCTAACCCTAACCCTAACCCTAACCCTAACCCTAACCCTAACCCTAACCCTATTTCTCCCCCCCCCCCTTTTATCTTTTCTTATCCTTCTCTTCTTATATATCCTTACCATATCATATGATATCTAAGACCCTTGCTCCTATATCACATGATGCCCTTCAGAGTATGAACCATTTTCCCCAGTACAGTAATGGGTGGGTTTAGGCGGTCCGACCGCCTATGGGTTTGGGTAGACCCCCTAAACCCACCCATATCCAACCCATGGGCATCACTGCTCCAACCCTCAGAATTTGCCAAAAAATTTCCATAAGACCTTGATCCACATATAGATTTGCTGGATCATTATTCTTCTTATTAAAACTCGATAATTCTATTTTCATTGGCTTTTTGACAGAGAAAATGAAGTGAAAGCCTACTAACAACGCTCAAAGAGAAACATTCAGGTGGTGATTCTGCTGAGCCGGAGAGGATCATGGAGCCCTTAGGCCACTGTACCCCGCACGATAGTGGCTTAAGAGATCCCTAGAATACTTCAACCGCTGGGCAACATTAAGGACTTCGTTTTCCGAATAAACACACCCCTCATCCTGGAAAACAATTGCCTCTAATGTCTTTAAATGGATCTCCTTATTTCACAAGATAAACGTCAAGTTTTACAGAATACACATGTTTTGATCTTTTCCACCAGCTAACACAAATCACTATCGCACGCATAGATGGCATCCTCCAATCAAGTTCAAGTAGCTAAAAGATGCTCTTACAATCACGGAATTGACTTGGGAAACATCATAACAACACTGGAGAATGGCGTCTTTACAATCGAGATAGGAAGACTGGATGGACCAACTCACGCTGGCTTGGCCAAAGTCTTTCGTATTGCCCACGAATCTCCAGCGGATGTCGTTGTTGTTACTGGGCAGAATCGTTCCTTTCTCAATCCTACAAACTACGATATTGACTTCGTTAAAAGTCAAACAGAATACAACAGATTCCTTCAGATTTTCAAGGAGGGAGAAGAGATTCCGCGCGATATCATAAACTGCGAGAAGCCTACTATTGCAAAGGTCTTTGCACCTGGGGCTCACAGCCTAGGAGCGTCTATCGCACTGGGATGTGACTTTGTTGTTGCTGCTGAAGACGCGTCTTTCAGTGATCCTCACCTATCTGGGTTTGGGGTGCCTCCTGGCGATGGTGGCTCGCTTGTCTGGCCTACTCGCATAGGACTTGGTCGTGCCCGGGAGTTTCTTTTGCTTGATCGCGTTGCCACTGCAAAGGAGGCTCTCGAAATGGGCCTGATCAACAGGTGTGTTCCTGCTGATGAAGTTGACGCTGAGGTTGAGAAAATTGTGAAAAAACTCCAATCATATAATCCCGTAGCCACAAAGTACACTAAACGTTGGCTTAACCAGTATATGCGGCACGCGCAGAACATTGTTGGTATGGGTAGCTTATATGCAGAAGGAATGTTGTTGCAAAGAGCTGAATTCGCCGCAAACGCTGATGGGTACGCTGGCAGGTTAGCAGAAAATAAAGGATTCAAGGAAAATTAATCATGGTGGTACAGTTATGTGAGAAATAAAGAGAGAATGAATGCTTTATGCAATTACTTAAATGATAATCTTCAAGTTAATATTAAATTGTAAAATTAAGTATACTATGCTCCAGTCTACCACTTCTACTGCTAATGAATATAAAAGAGTTTCCACTGTCTATATATAATCATAAGATAAGCAAAGAGATACTTTTTTGTAAGATTTCTCTCCGATAAGAGAAAACTATGATCCCAATAAAAAATATTTCGAAATACAATCGCATTATAAATATTTTATCTTTTACCACAAGAAAACACTCAACTTATCGGTTCTCCCTATGATTTCATTTTCCTAATATCTTCAACTGTTATTATAAAACCTATATATCAGGGGAGCATTCGAAATGTAACAACATTTTTTATAGTAGATGTTCAAGTACGTGTTCCAACTGCCAGCTGCTAACGAATTTTGGAGTGTGTCACCATCAAAACAAAACAAATCTCCATAATATCTCCCGTTCTAGTGAACTGAACGATCGGAAAGACACTAATGACATTATGAATGAGATTCCAAAGAAAGCATAATGTATTCAATATTTTCGATGCTCGAAATGCAGACCCGGAACTGCTAGCTCTGAAATTGGTCAAAAGGTCAATCAAAATTTTGACTCTACGAGCTTAAACCTGACGGCGGACGATAAACTAAGTAAAACATATATTGGCATAACAACAGCAAAAGTCGTTCAAGGGTGTGGGATACTGACCCAATTAATATCCCTCATTAAGATTCAAGGGCATTACTTCGGTATTTTGTGAGGAACGATGAAATCAAGCATGCTATAAGATGGCTGAGAGTGTATTTAGAGAGCAGTACTGATAAAAAATTAGGCTAAGCTAAGAAGTGCATGGAGACGAGTTAGTCGGTCTGGGAGAACCTGAGTCGCATGCCTCCCGCATTTACTGCGTGCGTTTTTGTCCTTACAACTTTGCAATTCCAACTTGAGAATTGAAACATAAATGATCTTGAGTAGTTTTGCTATGATCAATAAATCATGGACTCCTATAGATGTTTTTTTTTTTTTTTTTTTTTTTTTAAACTTGGGCCGTTCAATCGCAGAGAGGAGATGACGATGCCTCTTCTGTAGTCTTCTAGGAACGCTGAGATGTCACGCGGTGTCCTGGGGTTATCCCCAGACTAGACCAGATATTAAGCTAAGCTAAAAATATTGGTACGTCTAAGTGTTGGAGTCAATGACTCTTGGAGCCTGGTGCACCGTCGGATGGTGTATCTTGCTCAAAAGGAGTGTTGGGCTACCTCCTCAAGTAATCCGGGAAGAGGTAAAAGGTAATAGATCGGATGAAAAGGCCGTGTGATAGTAGCAACTGCAAGCTACATGAATAATGCTGCGGCGTTGACAATAAACATGGATGTTGCGACTAAGTTCGCATAGGGTTGCAGCGCGTCAATTAGCCATTAGCCTACCCCTTTCTAGAACTTGGGTTCTTTGCATTTTCCCAATGTAGACGCTTTTTTAAAGTTTTGAGGATAGGGAACTACTTAAGGGGGCGTAAACACTAACCTAAGGCGAAACCCGGGTGCTAAATTAGGGTGTCTTATTTTGGATAAAATTGGATAAATAATCCAATTTTAGGTTAGTTTTTTCGAAGCCAAACTCAGCAATAGTACTCTCTGTATTAACACTATACTCCAAAAAATATGGCGTTCCTACAAGCCAGCAAGGTAGATAAGCTGGATGTTCAATCCTTAACGATTCGATTATCGAAAGAGACAGTGCATTTCACAGATTTATGCCTGGACTACTGGTACCCGCATCACATCAACCAGCACAGTGATCAGTAGCAGAATGAAGATCTTTTGATCTGAATTGATCAGCAAAATGTCCTTACGTTCCTGGTACAGTTATGTAGCACTCGTATCTTGGTTTTGCGCGATTAAGTTGTACGATGTTGGTTTCTTTTGGCGGTAGAAGATTCGTCATGATTTTAGTTTGTCTTGGCATTTGAGGCTCTGCTCTGGGGTATCTCTCGGCGCATGTAGCCAAGACTTGTATCAATTCGCTCGGCGCTCTGAACCGTTGTCTTCACAGGTAACTGTAATTTAAATGGCTAAGATGGCTAGGTGAAATTCTAACGAAATCGTAGGGCGAAGATGATGGACCCTGCGGATAGCGTATGTGAAACAAGCACCGGCTAAAATTTCCCCATGGCGTCTAAGGCGTACGCTAATTACTCGTTTGGTTCCCATTACTCATCCCGATGTGACGTTCGGTGGGGAAACAGAGTTGAAAAAGTCGAACCTGCCCACGCGACAGAGTTTTGGTCGAAGACTGTTGCATTTCTCTCCATCTTGGATCGTTGGATCGAAAGTTACCATTATGTCTGAACGAAGAGGCTCCGTTGGTGCCGCCCGTCATGGCTCCATCGCAGAAGACGCTGCCGCTCTGGAGCAGCTAGGCCACAAGCAAGAGCTCAAGCGAAATTTTTCCATGATTTCTATGCTTGGCCTTGCCTTTGCCATTCTCAATACCTGGACAGCTCTTGCCGCATCCATCTCTCTCGCCCTGCCGTCTGGTGGTCCCAGTGCCGTGATATGGGGTCTCATCGTAAGCGGCATCTGCAACCTATGCCTCGCTGCGTCACTTGCGGAGTTCCTCTCTGCGTACCCAACCGCTGGCGGCCAGTACCACTGGGCTGCGATCATTTCGTGGCCGAAGTGGAGCCGTGGAATCAGTTACGTTACAGGCTGGATCAATGTGTCAGGCTGGGTGGCACTGACCGCAACGGGCGGACTTTTGGGATCTACGTTTGTATTGAATCTGATCAATCTGTTCAATCCAAACTATGAATTCCATGCTTGGCATCAATTCCTTGTCTACCTAGCCTTCAACGCCGCGGCGCTGGTGATCAACGCATTTCTTACTCGGCTGCTTCCATTGGTGACGAAATCGGCGTTCTATTGGTCCGTTGCTGGTTTCATAATCATCAGCATCACGCTCTTTGCATGCGCATCACCCGATTTCCAAAGCGGATCCTTTGTTTACGGAAATTTCATCAATCAGGTTGGGTGGCCCGATGGGCTGGCCTGGCTATTGGGACTCTTGCAAGGGGCGTTTGCACTGACTGGGTTCGATGGAGTGGCTCACATGATCGAAGAGATTCCTAACCCGCACATTCAAGGACCTCGAATCATGCTGTACTGCATTGGAATTGGCATGGTCTCAGGATTCTTCTTCCTCAGCTGCTTGCTGTTTGTGCTCAAGGATGTCAATAATGTCATCGATTCCGCGGCCGGACCGTTGCTACAAATCTTCATGGACGCGACGAACAATCGAGCCGGAAGTACGTGTCTCCTTATGTTCCCACTCGTCTGCATGTTGTTTACCACAACTTCGATCATGGCAACTAGTTCACGCATGAGCTACGCCTTTGCCAGAGACCGTGGACTGCCGTTCAGCAGCGTCTTTGCTCGAGTGCACCCGACGTTGGACGTGCCACTTAATGCCCTCATTTGGACGACCGCATGGGTAGTGATCTTCGGTCTAATCTTCCTCGGCTCCACGAGTACATTTAACGCCATCACAGCAGCCTCTGTTGTTGCCTTGGGCGTGAGTTACGGCATTCCCCCCATGATCAATGTTTTGCGTGGCCGTAAGATGCTTCCAGATGACAGAGCATTCAAACTCCCTAGCGGTCTTGGTTGGACGTTTAACATCGTTGGAATCTTGTGGACAATTTTGACTACTGTGCTCTTTGTATTCCCCCCTGCAACGCCCGTCACTTCGTCGAACATGAATTATGCTATCGCTGCTTTTGGAGTAATCCTGGTGATTTCGGGCGGCACGGTAAGCATTCCTGTATCTTCACTCCACCTTGAAATGCTAATTCTATAATAGTGGATTCTCGATGGTCGCAAGCATTATGTTGGTCCCAAAGTAGACGTTGATGGATTGCTTCAAGGAAAGGTCTCAGGTATGGAAGCGGAAATTCTAGCTGATCCAATGGGGCCCCCACAGGAGAAGGATGAGAAACAAATAGCCGCCCCCTGAATGCGGCGGAAGCAAGGAAGTGACAGCAAATGCTGCGCGTGTTTGAGCACCTCTTTCTTTCCCTTTGTTTCTTGAGTGTGTAAAGTGCTCTCACTTTTCACGTTTCCCTTACGTCGTTGCTTGCCAGACTAGCAAAAGGCAACTTTACAAATTGCTGAGCAGCAATGTCAGCTCAGTAGCGTAGAGATGTACAATCCCCTGTAGCCAATAAATCCATATATATCCATTTCAAAAGTCGGTTCTTCAAATTTCCAAATTTTCATTCACTTTTCCTTCATAAGTTGCACGAATTCCTTGTCTACGTGCTCTTGTTAGTGAGGATGTACGTCAAATAGATTGCGAGTCGTACAGTCGATAACTCCATCACCATCCTTATCGGCTTCTCTAATCATCTCGTCAATCTCATCTTTAGATAGACTTTCGCCAATGCTGATCATCAATTCTTTCAGCTCTTGAGCCGAGATAGTGCCACTGCCGTCCTTATCAAAAACTTTGAATGCCTGGAGCAGCTCGTCGTCCTCGGCACCACCGCTGGTGAGTTTCTGGCCCATCATGCGAATGAACTCGTCAAAGTCGACGGCACCGCTGTTGTCGATGTCCAGCTCCGCGATGATATCCTGCAGCTCAGTCGCGGTAGGGTTCTGGCCTAAAGAGCGCATGATCTCTCCTAGCTCCTCGGCCGTTATCTGGCCATCGCCATTTTTGTCCTTTTCAGATCATCAGCTCATACGGAAAGGTGCTTTGTTGTTTAGTGAAAAGCTAACAAAGATTTTGAATGCCTCGCGATACTCGGCCAGCTGCTCCGGTGTTAGTGATGCAGACTGTATCACAAGGTCAGTTCAAATGTTGGAGATACATGCTGAAGATGGGGAGTCAGTATACCATTATAATTCGACTTGGCGTGCTTCAAATGCAGATGAGGTCGGACGAAGTAGACGGAGTTGTAGGGTTCGATAAGCGAGCGCGGGGCTTTGTCGAATCTTCCTTCGCTAAATGGCCTAGTACACTTGACTAACTTAGTGGCAGGTCTTTGATGGCTGACTAAGCAGCATAAGTCGCGGTGCGAGTTAACGTGAAGTATAAATTTTTCTTGTTGAAGCTCTGGTAGAAGGCTCTACCTCTGTACACCACTCGTCTATATGTAAACAGTACATAGTATGCGCCAGCCGATACAACTAAAGGGCTCGTTCTGGCCTCCGTGCAACAATAGTAAAGTGTGCTTGGAGGATCAGCGCTGCAACTTTCGCGTCGACGTGCCTAATGGTTGGTAACAGCTCAAAGAAGAGTGCGAAGCAGAACCGCTGACGAATGGTTGATAGGAGGGGTTTTCGTTACGACCTTTCCAACAAGATCGCGACGCAGCATTAATGGTGAAAATGTCGTGGCTTTCAATTACCACAGGTTGGCGATAAGAGGCCCTCCATGGCACAAGCTCCTGTGCTTTTTCTACTTGGCATGGCCCTTACTTCGACCACTCGTGATCCAATGTGCCAGCTTGTCATTTATCCGTGTCATAATGCGAGGCTGATGACGAAGGAAGAGCGGAAGGCGAGCCTGTGGGAGTGCCAGCGCCAGTGCTGCTGCAAGGAAAAGACCGGACCGATGTCGGGAAGCCAAGCGGCCGATGCTGTCTCGCTGATCTCAGCCAGGCCGGGATTTTTCAGCGCTTCTGGCTTAGGCCTCAGTCCCAGTCATCTCTAATGTTCAGCAAGTCGTGGTGTTTGTGTCCAAAGTACGGAGTCGTCCACCATCATTCGGGAGTCCGTTTTATCACCACGTCGCTCCCAGCGCCCTTGCCGTTTTCTATATCCTCCACCTCCGCTAGCTTCTCTCTCGTTCTCACTCGCGCCGCCCATCGGGGCGACGTCGAGAGTCGAAAAACCCTCACAACCGCGCTGCTTCCTGCCCGGCCTTGTGTCAACTGCGTGTGCACGTCATGACATCTACCCTGCTCAATGACCCGGAGCAAATCGCGACGCTGCGAAGGCAGCTTTTCAATCTCACCGACGAGATTGTGCTCTCTAAACACGACTGGCAAGCCATGTGGCCCTTCGTCGATAACATGTGGGTCGAGCGCAATGCGTCACGCGCAAAGGACCGACAGCAGTTCAACTGCCGCATATGGCGCAATGATAGCGACAAGAAAGCCGGCTCCGGCCGCCGAAATCGCGTACGTCGTGATGTCGAGCCTTGCGGCATGAAGATGTACGTTATCCGCAAAGATGACAACGTGGTGATTAGTAGATGTCCTGGCAGAACTCATGATGTGAAGGAGCACAACCACGATCTTAGCTACTTGGATAAGGTCAAGACTCCGAGCGCAATCATGAGAATCGCGGCAGACATCATGTCTGCTGGCAAGACCCCAGGCGAAGCTGTCAAGGAAATTAGGAATCTTCCTATCGTACAAGCGCTGGAGAAGGACGGCGGTCTCTACATCGACACCAACCGCGTTCGGAATGCCCACAAAGCAAGCACAAATGCGAACTACGCAGCGATTCAGCGACGAAACTTCTTTGCAGCACCATCAAGCGTTGGCGCTCCCGACACGGCAGTTATGGGTTCAGCCGCTAGCATCGGCCATGACCCGGGCCTCCACGTTTCCTGCCAGTGCGGCGCCGCTCAGTTTGCAACGCCGTTCGCAAAACCTCTTGACCTCTACCTCTGCCACTGTCTGGACTGCCAGAAGCAGTCTGCATCCGCATATGGAACGTCTGCCATATATCCTGCCGACTTTCTCTTCCCTCTGTCCGCCTCCCTTCGGGACCAACTCACTCTTTACCGACGGCCATCCAAGCATGGCGGCACAGTCGAGTGCTACTTTTGTAAAACTTGCGGCTCGCATCTATTTCACCGACGTGTTGAAGCGGACGGGACACCACATACGACGGTCAGCATAAAGGGCGGCGTCATCGAAGGCTTGGATTGGGCAAATCCCACACACATCTGGACGAGCAGGGCAGTCGTGTCCGTGCCGCCTCAGTCGTGGAGAGAAAGTCCGGAGCCTTCCTTGTCACAACCTATGAACCGTGCAAAGGACGCACTTGCTATAGGTAGTGCGCTAATAGGGGAAACACAAGAGCCGGCGAAGATGGACTCTGTTGACGCAGCAATCAACCCTGATCTGCCGACGTTTTCCTTTCCTTCGTAGTATATGAGCGGTGATTTCAGCTCAAAGGCCCTTTCTCTCTCAAAATTCTATGGTTATATCGCAAATATTTTGGCTAGTGTCTTAATCACGGCACGCTCGTGTGGAATTCTCACGACGTAATGAATGCATGACGGGTAACGTAATGCTGGGATGCAATATGCGAACAGAAATCCGAAGATCTAATTGTGACTTCGATAAGATGATCATTTGCTAAATTGTTCCAACCAAATCCTCATGGTCTGTCATCATGTACCACTGAAGCGGATGCTCTCGTGGCTTAACGCTCAGTTAGCAAGTGGGCTGTTACGTTTCTCTGCTTTGTTTTCTAGCTGCTTTGGCCTCGTAGAATCATCCGCGGCACCTCATGCCATCGGAAATTAGGAACTCGTGTAATCGAATGCATCATCATAGCATTTCCCCCCGCCTCATTCAGCACTCTTCTTCGACACATGTTGTCTTTTGCATCTAAAAGAAGAGAGATAATTCAGGTACACCTGTACTCTCGACCTTTTTGGATTCACGTAGCTCCTGCTCTTTGTTTCGAGCTGCTTTACTTCGACCGATACAGACACCGCAAAATCGAGTCACCCAATTTGCACAGCCCACAACTGATCACAACAAACCCTTTAACCTGTGCTCTATGAATCATTGCAGTCGTGGACCGTCCTATAGCTCGAACCTTTTTCTTATTTATTCATAGTCAAATTTCTTTAACGCTGGCCATATTCGATTTTGTTCTTGTCCGCTTCCCTTTGCTGGTTAAACTTTACGCTTTAAATTCCGAAAGAAATACCATGCCCAAACTGATCCAATTAGATGGCACAACCCTTGAGGGTGGCGGACAGTTACTTCGCATTGCTATTGGTCTTTCGGCATTGATACAGCAACCATTGAAAATCTTCGATATCCGTGGTAAACGCAGCGGAGGAGGTGGCTTAAAGTCACAACATTTGACATGTGTTCGGTGGCTGTCAAGAGCATCTGGTGCGCCAACGATTGGAGCGGAAAAGAAATCACGATCATTAGAGTTCTTTGCAAATGACCACGATCAGTCAAGCTTAAAGCTTGTCAATTGCGGCTGGAACAAGATGGATACTGTCATTGAAATTGGCAGTCCAGGAGCTATTGGACTTGTTCTGCAAGCTATCCTACCGTATGTGCTATTTGCAGGCGCACTGCACACCAACGAAGAAATGGTGTATATTTCAATCAAAGGAGGGACAAACGTGAGCAACAGTCCAAGCGTTGACTACATCGAACGAGTAATGTGTCCCATGCTAGAATTGATTGGCCTGCCGAGGATCGAGATTAACTGCAGAGCTCGGGGATGGAGCACAGGAAAACCAGAAATAGGTACAGTTACGTTCGGAATCAAGCCTTTACGTCTGGGGGAGAGCCTGAAAGGGTTTGAAATTGCTAAACGAGGAGAAATCATAAGAATCGAAGCGATTGCACTTGGACCGCGAAGCAGCGAGAAAATATTCCATAAGGTGTTAAAAACTGCTCTTGCAGAGTTTGGACTACAAGATGTACCACTCGACAACATTTTCGAGCTGAGTGGGCATGAGAAGCGCTTGTACATCTTGCTTGTCGTCCACATGTCAACGGGGATCCGCTTTGGAAGGGACAATCTCTATCAGGAACGTGTCTCGACTTTGGAGCGCGCTGTCACAAAAATGGTTTATACAGCCCTGGGTGAACTCAAGACGGAATTGGATCATGACGGATCTGTAGATGAGTTCATGAGAGACCAACTGGTTGTGTATCAAGCACTGGCTCAGGGGAGGAGCAAGATCATTTTTGGTGCGTCGAAACCAAGCTTACACACGCAAACGGCTCAATGGGTTACCAATCAAATCCTCCAAGTCGAGGGTACTGATGATATGAACGGTGTCGGATGGGTTGTGGGCCAAAAATGGACAAAAGAAGGTGTTGACGACCTGTTGGTCAAAATCAAGAGCATAGAGCTTGATAGGTAACATCGTTAAGCTAAGTAAGGCATGTAAATTTTAGAGACGAAGGCATAATCCGAGAGCAATCACTGATGCAACGAAGGAGTGAATCAGATTTTTTTTCGAAAAGCCTCTCAAACTAGTCCCATCGCTTCTGGAAGGCGTGCTCGTGCTTCCGCTTGTTCCGGAAGCCGAAGTGGTAGCACTGTTTGCAGGCCCGAGAATCCCTCCTTGTGCATTTGATGGAGCAGAGCTGTGGCCTGTGTTGGCCGCTGCGAGGCGGTATTGATCCAAGGTTTGTCCGTTCGCTCTGGGATTTCGATCAGTTTGTAAATCAAAGTGGCAAATTCGACACTACTCACGGCGGGTTGATAACGCCGACCATTCCAGCTTGACAATGTCCTACTTGCGGACAGTATAGCCAAATTGGATCCGTACTGTTTACAGTCAATGTGAAAACTTTGGACTATATCGTAAACTATGTCAGTGATAATGATAAGATTTATGACGTCTCTTCTTACTGCAGGCCCCGAGCTCGAATCTATAAATCCACTGAAGATACTAGATGCGTCTTGCGGTACACACGGCGCCTGAAAGCTGCTCTGTGCCACTGCGTGACCTCCAGGATAGAACTCGAACACCACCTTGTTTCCTGGAGATACTACCAATGATTCTGGGCTGAACTTGAGTCCGTTTTGTCCTAATGTCACTGTCTGCACCTCAGCTGCAGCGCTTGAAGTCGCAGAAGCTTGGCTTTTCGCAGTGCTTGTCGAGCTACTGGTGCTGGAGAGTCCACTTGCACCATAGTTGTACTGGGCAAGGGAAGGCGCCAAGAGAAACGACCATAGAGTGACTTGGATCTTCATGTCTTTAAATGAAATGTCGAATTTTTCATAAGATTGCCTTCCCCGTTTATGTCTCTGTGCCGATGTGCATGACTTGGACAGAGTTTATGTACTCTCAACTGACCCATTCTAAACGCCGGTAAATTCCATGCAGTTAGTCTTGATTACGACGACACGTACGCATCAGATGCCCAAATTCTGTTTCACTCTTGATTCTGCCTCTGCAGAGATATGTAGTGATGCTCTGATTTTGATGTGAGCCTTTGCCGATGCACCGTGCATACGAGAATTTCTTAAATCCTATTCGCTGTAAGCAACGGACAAACGTTCGCACAAAATGAATGCAACCACCACATTTGGGTTATTTGGAATAAGAAGGCCCTATATTTAGATTCCTCAGCTAGGCTTGAGAATGGTGTTTGATTCCATACGTAATGGAAACCAAACGCTGTGATGCGAGCTTTCTTTTATTATAATCCGCGACCTCGGCGTTGATTTTGATTAGCTACACTATATTATATCTACGCGCAGAGTATCGGAGTGACTGAGTTAATTTCTCACCAGACGTTCGCCAAGTACCGATTCTGAACTCGTAGAGACAGCTTAGCAAGCCTTCGCCTATGATCTTTTCTGGTTCAGAAGCACGGATTTAACACGACTTAGTAAGAATGCACCGGATATCTATACGTCAATTTGACCCCCTTTCATTTTGTTTTTGTGCGAGAATCCCGTGCCCGAGAAGTAAGAATAACAAATGTATGAAATTTGGTTCCGAAGTTTTTAAGTCCTTCGGGTGAGAGCAGAAGCTTGCCACTTTCTCGGCATGAAGCCGAGAAATGGGCTTATCAGCATCTCCATTCTCCTTCGTAAGATCCCCAATAAGTTGCAAGTGAGGCATCGATACGCACATATTCAAGCGCTGAATTGCAGAGAAGAAAGTGTTCCGGAGAACAACAACGAGGACTTGCAGGCTAAACCGCTAGCAGAGATACTTCGTTAGCTTTGTAACGCTCAACTACAAACTCGTTCAATCCGAAATTATGCCACGCGCCTTTTTCACAACTATCAATTGGCACGGCAAAGACAATCAGTCTCTGTTTACTACCTGTACTTTGAGACTGTGTCCACTCGTCATCTTATGCCTGAACGTTTCGATCTTTGATTAGTGTTGATTATTTCCTCACTCTTGAAGCGAATGTAGAAAGCCATCCACCTATGCAATCATTTGAAAGCTACTTATAGAAAGTAATGTTACAATGAAAATGTGAGAAGCGTGGGCAACGATCGATAATGCCGAACAGAACGTAGGTGAATAACAACAGAAGCACAACGGAACTTCTCATATTTTTGCATGCTCTTTGGATGATAGTGACATATCTCAAGCAGCACCTGCGATGCTCCATGAAATAAAGGACTGAAATAGCAGGTGTGGAAAGGGCGGGGTTGGAGGAGAAGTGGCGGGAGCGATTGGTTAAGCATCATTCGTTGGGGAAAGAGGATACAGACGTCATGGGACATGCGCTTGGGCGGTAAGTTTAGTTACGGTAATGTCCATGGAGCTATGACCAATCCGTCAATTGCAGCCCCAGGTGACAAACATTTGACCGTATCCCAGCTTGCGACACAGAGCTATGGCTCTCATCCTATTAACTATAAACTAGGAATATCCAATCTGTATGGCGTCGACTCCGCTTGCACCGCAATCGCCTTCGTCATCGCAGGGCAGCTTTCACGAGCCCAACCTAGAGCAACTGGTTGAATACCTCCTAGCCTCAAAGCGATCGCTCTCTTCAATAAGCTTAGTATGGCGGGCTAGAGAAATAGTTGAAAGTGGCAGGGCTTCTCTTGTTGAAAATGCGGCGTTGTGTGCAAGAAATGCTTATGTCAGGCGAGTCTTGGAGAGACAAGTTGAATGCCTTGAGGCTATCGGCTACGGCGCCACAGAAATAGACACTGAGGGATTCGAGGCATTCCAGGTACGCTCACCTCCTCGTTGTATCTATTCTGAGTTTATGTGCCATATGTTTGATTCTAGGACAATAAGATGCTGAGACTTCTGGTTTGTGGACAGGCCACCGTGCAATCCTTAGACGCCGCCTCATCCAGGCTTCAGAAAACGCTCGCGTCGTTACGTAGCACACCTGTAGAGGCTGCTCTGCGCCCTGCGGACAACGCGACTAAACACCTATTCGATTTTGTAGATGAAGGTGGCATTCATGACCTAGAGAGATCGATTAAAGCAAGCATTGACCGTTTCGAGGCTGCGCGGTCGACACTCGCCCAGACATGCGAAGCCTTTGAGGAGGAGTTGGAAAGACTGCATGAAATCGTATTAGGTGAGAACAAAGACAATGTGCCGACCGTCGTGGAAAAGATAGATACACCTATACCTGCTCTGTTTCATCAGCTCGAGTCGAGGGCGACAGAGGTTGCCGGCCATTTGGAGAGTTTAACCAGGCATTATGATCTATGTGTCACAGCGCTGAAACATACCGAAGGAGGCGGAGAGGCTATTACACGAAATTCTACCGGCGAAGAGCAGCAAACCTCAGCACTCGTTGGTCTTGGCGTCGACCTGGGCAAGGTTGAAGATGCACCAGCGCAGCCCATAAGTGAAGAAGAGCGTAAAGAGTTGCTAACTGTTCTTTGCAAAGATGCAGATGAAGTTGAGGATGTGGTTGCTGATATTAGGGACATATTAGCTGAGATGGAGGATAACCTGTATCAAATCACGACTTATGTTGAATCTCTTCGCAGCTTATCGTCACGGTTAAGGGATGCAATGGCTTTTCTGAAAGATATCATCGGCAAATTGCCCGTTTATATAAGCGCTTGCGCGGAATTCCAACGCTCTTGGGACGAAGAAAAGGAGTTTCTACACGAAAAGCTTGACGAACTCGAAGGCCTGACGGATTTCTACGATGGTTTTGAGGCAGCATACGACGAACTCTTACTTGAAGTCGAAAGAAGGCGACAGGTCAAGCGAGATATGGAGAAAGTGATTAGAGCGGCAATGGAAGAATTGGAGGCATTATACCAAGGTCTGAACTGAATCTTTTACCGAGGCGGAGAAATGCTAATTTGTGACTGCAGATGATCTTCATCACCGCGATAGCTTCCGAGAGAATCAAGCAGAGTATATACCAAGCGATTTATGGCCTGGCCTTATGAACCCGCCCACTCGTTTCAAGATCCTTCCAGTCGACGATGCGGAGGACGACGTTCCCAACATAAAGAAGTCCATCATTGAACGAGCAATGAAAAGGGTCAAGGAAAGAGCCAAGCCCTTTAAAAGACACGCTTGAATCCACCTCTCCGATTTACGAAACATGTGAAGCATCTTAGAAAATTGCTGAATACAGATAAGAATATGGCTAAGACATTCGAATAAGCTATAACGCGGTATCGTCTCTGATATCTTGATAACTAGTACATGTATCACAATGAAAATGCGGCAGATTCTTTTGTGAGAATTTTCCTGCGCATAATACTTGTGACATTCACCTCATCGTATGTGATCATTTCTCGTGCGCGAAGTTATTTTATCCCGCCAGTCTGAAGATTGCTAGATGTGAATGCCCGAGTTTCACTTGAACGCAGACCTACCGGCCATTTAATTAATTTGAAAAAAAAAATTCCGCGTTCTCTTTGCCGACTTTTATGCAGTTACAAGCTGCTGTGCCAAAAATTCTTGCTAACGTCTGCGATTTAGGCAGTTGTTATTCCAGAAAGACTTTTTTGTAAAGTTACTGTAAACTTTATGACCGACTTTGTCAATCACATAATACAAATATGTTGTTACGGTTCTTCGAGGACATTACTTTGCCAGTAATGCCTTTAGCATTCAATGAATATGTTCGTGATTAAGCCTCCTACGTTCTGTATTTATTGTAAGTCGTCCACAATGTGTGATTGAAGCTTCTTTGTGCTCTTTGACATGAATATTCACAGTGATAATTCCTTTGTCAGTCACAGTCAGTACATTTGGTCGTATTTGTATTTAAAACACAGTCAAACCAGCAGACTCCTGTTCTTACCACAAAATAAGCTACGACAAGTTGACCTATAAAATGGACGGTAGAAGCTGCAATACTTCTGAGACTCAACGATTCATACCGCACCATGATCGAGGCGTCCATTTAACACAAGTCTTCATCATCTCAGTTTCTCTCTTATTTCTTCTTGCCGCAGTAATTGGCATGAACATAAATATACGCAGTACTTCTGGGTTCATGTTTTCAATCCTTTTCTTCTTCCGATATACCAAACTTATCGTCAACACAGTTTCATGGCGACTTGCGAAGCCATATCGAAGTGTGGCTCAGCCAAGTTATCAACCAAGTGACGTTAGCGTTATAATACCAACAGCAAACCCCAACGGCGAGGACTTCAGGGAAACAGTAAGATCAACTTTGATTTCAGGTGCCGCAAAAGTTATCGTAGTTACCTTCGGAGAGGAAAATACGACTGGGGCGTATTGTTCTTGCCTTGGATTAGAATATCTAGAGCGTCTGCAAATCATAGACAACGGCGTTGGAAACAAACGTATGCAGATGTGTCGCGGTATCGATGAGGTTCAAACTGCGATAACTGTCTTTTGTGACGACCATGTCTTTTGGCCCCGAGGGTTCTTGGCTAGCATCTTAGCACCCTTTGAAGACCATCGAATTGGCGGCGTAGGAATGCATAAGCGTGTTCAGAGAGTAAGGCCCAGTTTTTGGAGGCCCAACCTACCAAATTTCTTCGGTTGCATATACTTGGAGCGCCACAACATGGAGATTCTAGCAACAAACCGTATAGATGGAGGCGTCTTTATTCTGTCGAGTCGTACGGCCGCATATAGAACAAATATCCTTAAGGATGCCAACTTCCAGCGCTCCTTTACTAATGAATACATCGAAAGCCCCTTTGGTCGCATTGGTCCATTGAACGCGGATGACGACAACTTCATCATGCGCTGGCTGACAGACTATGACTGGGACATTTGGATTCAGAATGGACCAGAAGCCCTAATGGAAACGACGATTAACAATCCCTGGACCACATTTACCCGGCAGCTCTTGAGGTGGGTCAGAACCACATGGCGCTCTAATCCGCGTTCTCTGCGGCAAAAGAAGATCTATCGCACACAGCCTTGGAGCATGTACGCCACAAATATTTCGTTGTTCATTAATTTCGCTTTGCTCTGGGATCCACTTCTTCTAATCTCTCTACAGAATGCGACCGCCGGTCTTCCCAATCGCAAGTTATTGACGACAGTGATGATTGTCTGGATCCTTAGCTCCAAGGTTGTTAAACTGGTACCGTATCTATTGCGTAACCCTACAGATATTGTACTTCTACCACTCTACTTTGCCTTTGCATATGCTCATTCATTGCTTAAGCTTTATGCACTGGCCACATTTTCTGATATATCGTGGGGTTCTCGCAGCGATGTCGATGAAAATCAGCGAACTCGATAGAATGATTCAACTTTGGGAAAGGGACTCGCACAAAGTCGGTTATATATAGACTTGGCTGAACGTCAAGACGCATGGTCTAATTCCATTCTGCTTGTACTCGGCCTTCGCTGGATCGGCTCATTGAAGCACCAATTCTATCTGTAACAAAATGATGTGGTGCTGTAATTCCGAACACTTTTATTTGCTTTAGCAGAATACCAATTTTCTAAATAAGTATAGAGGTATTTACGCTCTGACCTCGATGAATCCCCCCTGCCGAATCGGTTGGACGGTCTTCTCCCTACAGTATGAAATTTCAATTGATGAGCTAGCATAGTCCGTCAGCGGGATTGTTATCAGCATCAAGAATGAACGTCCAACCGGATACCCTACCAGTTGACGTCGTTGGGTTAGTTACGATGCACGTGATTTGCCCCAGCACGTCATCTGATACCATCGCCCATCGGACTCACGACCTTGCGGCGGTCTTGGGAGCAAAACCGAGTTAGCGATCACGTTGCGTGCTACTTGCCGTTTGTTGTTCGGCCATGCCCAGGATAATCACAGGCATGCGACTGAATTTTCGATATTGAAAATTTTAAATTTATGCCTGCGTAACGCCAGAGTCGGAACTGAGCAAAACTTGGCAGCTTCTTCCTCACGCGAGCACCAGCTCAACAGAGCATCCTTACATCCAATACAACTATATACGATCCACACGTCTACGGCCCACAACCAGTCTAGCACGCCATCTGACGGGAAAGTGTCGACACGCTTCCTCGAGCACGCACGTCTGCGATCATCGGGTCCAATGCGCAATCTATAATAATCTGCCTGGTTAGCCTCAAAGGCACGAGTTCAGTGGGTCGTTTTATTCAGCCCTTAACGCAGAGCAGTCAAATTGACTGTACGAAAGTCAGCGTCATATAGAACTCGGACTGTATCAAGCCAAATCAGATAGACGCAGGAGATTGGGCACCAGTCGGCTCGACCACTGTGCACGACATAATGGCGCCAGATTCGCAACACATCTCCCTTGCTCCCGACAGATCCTCGTTAAATCGAGTCTCATCGAACCAGTCTCCCCCCAACGGTTTAGCCAGCACCTCGCCTCCGACTTCCTCTCGCTACACTTCGATACATGGTCGTCACTGTCACTCGGCTTTTATGCTTCCCAGCCCTACCTCTGAGAATGGAGTGAACGAAGGCGGGAAGAAGTTCCGGGCAAACATCAATAATGACGGCAATGCCCACGACTGTGAACAGCAGGAAGAAATTGCCATTTCGTCAACGGACAAGACAGCTGGCAAGACAATATCTCCCTTCTTGGCGAAACACATACCGAACACATACAATCCCATGAATCATCAGCAAGGACAAGCAATGAACGAACCCGGATCGGCAAGCAATACCAAATACTGCAATCGACACCGGCCAGATAGGAAGTGTCGGAGACAGGCCGATGGCCCATCTATGGAGCAGTTGCAATCGGAATTGAGTTCACTTTCACACTCGGACCGTTCGGCTATATCGCATGTTTGGTCTGTCTTCAGTGCTGCACCTGCTAAGCAGCGAGAGCTTATTCTTCAGGGCATTCTTAGCGTTGCTTGCTTCAATCAGCTGTCTTTCATATCAGCCCAGGTCCGCGATCTGATCAAAATTGACTTCATTTCCATGTTACCGAGCGAGATCTCCTTGCAAATTCTTAGCAAACTCGACACAATTTCACTTTGTAAAAGCGCCCAGGTGAGCAGGAGATGGAGGCAGCTAGCGGACGATGATATGGTCTGGCTCAGGCTATGCGAGCAGCATCTGGGCTCGAGATGCCGAAAATGCGGATGGGGTCTACCAATTTTAGAGAGGAAGCGACTGAGACAGGAAAAAATGCAAATTGAGCTGAGAGCTAAGGGACATGCCGTGGATGAGAATAGGATCCCAGGAGATAACATTGAATCTGGATCGGACCACGCTACTAGCCATAAGAGGCCTCGCGAAGACGATCCTGGAGACGTATTATCCGACTCGAAACGACAATGCTCAGCGGCCAGCGATGGTTGCGAAAACAAGTCTCTCGTCCGACGACCGTGGAAAGACGTATACAAGGACAGATTCAAAGTTGGTAACAATTGGAAACATGGCCGATATACCTTGCGCACAATTAAAGAAGCCCATACAAACGGCATCACTTGCTTAAGCTACGGCCCAAACTGTCTCGGCGAAAATATTATCTGCAGTGGAAGCTACGACGCATCTGTGAGGATGTTTGATGCTGATAGCGGTGAACTCTTGAAGACTTTCCATGGCGCCACTCAAGGCATACGATGCTTGCAGTTCAACAATCGCCAACTCATCACCGGCTCACTCGATGGTAACGTGCGCATCTACGACATCCAGAGTGGGGATCTCAAAAAGGTTCTTACGGGCCCTGCCAAAGGCGTTTTGTCAGTGCACAACGATGGCAATTACCTCGCATGTGGTAGCATGGATAAGAATATATACATCTGGAACGCTGCAACCCGGTTGCAGACCGTAATCCGAGGCCATACAGACTTTGTCAATTCCGTTTGGGTTGATCTCCCGTCACGAACACTTTTTTCTGCATCGGACGACTGCTCCATAGTTCTCTGGGATCTGGACACCAGACGTCCGATTAAGCGCTTTGAGGGTCACGTTGGACCTGTGCAACAAGTTATTCCAATGCCACCGGAGTTTGAGCTTGACGAGTGCGATTTGGCCGATTTGCGACATGAATACGATACTGATACCGATGCGGAACATGAGCAACAGAGACTGACCCCCCCGGTCAGTCTTCTGAACACGCCTATATTCCCAGAAGACAGCAATCGACCTAATCCCACACCGTCGTACATCCTATCCGCAGGCTTAGATGCGACGATCAGACTTTGGCATGTTTCCAGCAGCCGCTGTGTTCGTGTTTTTTTCGGCCACCTTGAAGGAATTTGGTCGCTTGCAGCTGATAACCTCCGCATTGTGAGCACCAGTGAAGACGGAAGCGTGAAAATATGGTGCCCTCAGGACGGCACCTGCGAGAGAACGTACACGGGTCACGCAGGTCCTGTGACCTGCGTCAGTCTGAGCGGAGAGCGCCTGATCACCGGTGGAGAGGTAAATGGTCCCTCTAGATCTTACTTCTTACTGATATGTAATTCTAACACATTGCCAGGATTGCGAAATCAGAATAATGACATTCTCTGACTAGGCCGCTTCTCAGTCACATTTTTGACATGCGGCTGTATAAATTCCAACACAGACCTGGAAGTTTATTTGGTTTGGTTTTGCGATGTAGAGTTTTTGACTTATAACTTCGTATCCTGCTTGAGCGGGGCTGCAGATGCCGAGTATCCGTGCGAAAGGAAATAGTCCCGATCGATTACATGCAACATGATTTTGATGATACCCACACTGGCTGGCGATTTACTGGAAATTTAGTAGACGGTGTGTTTTATGGCGCTCTACATTCGCAGAATAAAATCCAATTGACTTTTCTCTGCTTGTAAATCTAATCAACCTGTGCTTGAACGCGAGTGGTTTGCAATTCTTTGTTCGGACCACGGACGGAAATTTTGTTCAATGTTTTCATCAAGATCAAGATGACTCCAGATCTGCTGGCATGATTCATCGCATCAAGCATGCAGCCACGAGGGAAAAAAAAATTCTCATCTCACTATGACGTGCGCATCTGAGACGCCGTCAGCGTGGGGGCGTGGGTAGGGCGGCCACTTGACAGCTGTTCCTGCATGGCCAGCAAGACATGCAGAGACAAGACAACTCGTTCAAGCGGGTCTTCTCTGTGAGGTATGGTTTTTCGGTAATGTCGCTGTCGTGGCCATTTTTCGGTCAGCCCTGTGGCTGTCGTACGACCGGCATGCGACCTGTATGCTAATTTAGACATTTTGCGCTGGATAGAACAGGATAGAACACAGGTGTTGCACAGCACAGCAATTCCCGTGTGGCCCTACGACGTGGTGATTCACAATCGTCGATACGGCGCATAACTTGATCTCAGATGGCATTATTAAAAGCAGGGCCGCGTGAGGAACGTAAGGACGCGACCGAGTGTCAACGAGAACTGATAAAGCGGCCTTCGGACAACCCTTGCTCTTGACTCTTCTGTCCTTCGGCGAACTCTTCGCATTGCTTCACAGGCGTATGCCAGCAAGAGGAGATCTGGAAATGTACACCACGTCTCATTGTTGCAAATGCTCAGCATGGCATTCCGGCTCCGTTCTTCAAAGGACGCACTGCATCTCGTGCCCCCATGGGTTATGCATAACCTGCAGAGTTCAGATAACTGTTGAAGGTCACAGAATGGAGATGAGCTTTGCGGACTACGTGAGATGGCTTGGGCAGCAGTCCTTGTGATGAAAAAGAGGCGACGGCTCGTCCTCGGGCGCGTGCCATGTGTAGGGCGTGAAGATCGAATGCGTCCGCGTTCTGTGTGGGTTGGGCTGCTTTCCGAATTCGGAAAGTCTTCCTGCTTCCACGGCGGCGGGGCTTGGACGTGCGGGGACGCGAGAAGGAGCGACCACCGCGCTTGCTTGGGCGTGTAAGTGTGCTGACTCACCTTCGCGACTCCGCCCGGCCGCTGCTTCGTCGACCTCGACGAGGACGGTCCGTTTCTGACAGCGCGCACAGCGTCTTCTTCGATCCAAAGACGGACCGCAAACTTTGCCAGCATGGCGGCCTTTCTGACGCCAGAGAACAACTCGACAAAGCCATGCCCGCTGCCTGTTCCGAATTCGAGCAAGTCTTTTTGGCTCTCGGAACCGGACCGTATCCTGATAGGTCACAGGACCACTCCCGATCTGCCCGCAGAGGCTGACGTGGTCGTGGTCGGATGTGGGATCACTGGCGCAAATGCTGCTCGATACCTAACTGAAAGTGACAAGACTCTGCGAGTCGTCGTCGTGGAAGCGCGTGAAGTTTGCTCAGGGGCTACTGGTAGAGTAAGTCCATCTTCGATTTTGTCCTGCGGCGTGAGCAACACCAAGAATGTTCTTTCGAAGCGATTTGACACCCCGGGCCGCATTCAGGTCCGCTGTCCTTCAGCTGCGTGGCACTCAGTATCATTCGCGTGGCTTTTGTAGTATATTGTGCCTCCTTGTGATTTGTTACGTGGACTTTGGCTCACTTCGAGCAGATTTCGGTGGTCTCTTTGTTATACACGGAATCAAGACTTTTCCATGCTAGCTGCGAGTACCTGTCTGACTGTGTCGTTGTAGAATGGAGGGCATTGCCAGCCTTTATTGTTCGACTCACCGCCCGAAGTTGCGCGATTTGAGCTTGCGAACTGTGCTGCAGTGAGATCGTACGTCGAATCGAATCGCGTCGATTGCGAGTATCGCTCCGTCGCTGGCTGTCGGACATTCTGGACAGATATCGAATTCGCCAAGGCTATGGCCGCAGTAGATGATCTGAACCAGAACGACCCAGAAACCGCAAAGCTCGTCCGTGTGATCACAAATCCTAGCCAGCTTGCTAAATGTCGGGTGAGAAACAAGTGTCCAGGCGCAACGTTGACGCAAAATGCGGCCAGCTTGTGGCCGTACAAGTTGGTGTCTCATATCGTGAGAAAGCTGGTAGAATCGAAAGCAATAAACCTGCAAACAAACACACCTGTCGAGTCCATGTCGCAGGCTGGCGACGGAGGCTGGGTTCTCAGCACAGCACGAGGCAGTATCACTACCAAAAACGTTATTCTTGCCACCAACGGATATACCTCGCATCTTCTACCAGAGTTCACATCGTTGATTGTGCCCTGCAGAGGAACTATGACTGCTTTGCTGCCTCCACCCCAAGAGCCTGGAAAGGAAGAGGTCTTGCCCAACAGCTATGGGATGAAGTGCTACTCGCCAGATGCCACCTCGGGTAGCGATGATTACCTTGTACAGAGACCCTTCCACGGTATTCCGAATCCCCGTGGTCATTTAATGTTTGGCGGAGGGAAGAATGCAGGAAAGCTGCCAGTATTTGGCGCTGAAGCTGCTGACGATTCGATCGTTGATCCTGACACGGTCGCGTACCTGAGACAAAGTCTACTGGGGATGTTGAACCTACCTGGGAAGACAGATGGTTTGTCGGAGCTCAAGGCAGACTACGCATGGTCGGGAATCATGGGCTTCTCCAGAGATGCGTTGCCATGGGTTGGTCAGATTCCTGGTCAAAGAGGCTTGTGGATCTGCGCTGGTTACACAGGTCATGGCATGCCAAATGCTATGCTTTGTGCGAAAGCCGTTGTTGATATGCTTTTAGAATCGGAGCATGGTGGCAATCTGTCTGAGCTGCAGAAAGCAATGGTAGACGATGGCAGACTTCCTCAGAGCTACATCGTCACTGCACAACGACTGCAGGATGCTCAACGACTGCCTACGGTACAGTTTCAAGAAGCAACAGATTGCATGGAGTTTATTAATGGAAAGTGGTCTGTAATGACTCATGCTCAGGCTCATTTCTGAACGTTAACTTAAGGTTTATATATCCTCATAGCTAAGTCTTAAAAATGTACCAAGTCCCATGAAGACTGTCACCAATACTTCTTCATTGCCCTTTTCCTGGGCCCCCACCAAAAAAAAAAATAACCATGGAGCACATGATTGAGCGACGAAACTGTTCTTCATTCACAAATGCTTTGTTTCGCGCTTCAGATCATCCCCTCCAAAAATGTGTAGGATTTCGTCATCTCCTTCTGGGTTAACTCTAGTCACAAACTCTTGGCAACTTAGTGACTTTTTCTTTTTTGCTAAATTTCCTCATAAGCTGGTCCCCGATTGTTCTTCTTGCGGAGAATGTTAATTTTCCTCCGAGTCTCTTCATCTGCAGCTAGCCATTCTTCGTGGGTAGCCGACATTTTTAGCGCTGGTGGTGAATCGGTCGTGATCTTTCGAATGCCGGACGCTGAAGCCTGTGTTGGATTTGCAGAGTTCATGGGCATGCTTGAAAGATGAGGACCGGCCAGCAGTGAACGTGGAGTTGTATGAGACGCTGAAGGAGTACTTCCCTTCTGTTCAGAAGTGGAGGGCACGGCTTGGGACAAATGTGAAGTCATATTTGTACTTGTGCCGAGCTCTGAATAGCTCGGCAGGAGCATCAATGGAGCTCTTGGAGGCGGCTTATATGGCGAGCTTTCGGGCACTTGCGTAGGCCTATTTGTGCTTGTGCTGAGTTGTGAATAGCTGGGCAGGAGCATCAGTGGAGCTCTTGGAGGCTGCTTATACGATGGATTTGGTTCCATCTTGTTTTGATCGAAATCCTGTGGCAAAGGTGCGAAGCCCTTCCTTTGAATCATCTGCTTGTGAGCCTCGTAATCTTCCTGTAGTGATTTTAACCCCATGGAAGCCCTCTTTTCGTTTGCGCGCCTCTCTTCCTCAGCTTCTACATCGGCACGAATTTCCGACTCAGCCATCCATCGAGAGAAGCTAAAACCTGTAGAGGCCTTGGTGATAGTTCTAGAAGCCTGGTCGTATGCCGAACTAGTCGATGGAGCTGGAGGAGCGGATATAGCTGGAGGAGCGGATATAGCTGGAGAAGCGGATATAGCTAGAGGAGCTGAAATAGATGGAGGAGCCGAGATAGTCAGAGGAGCGGAAATAGATGGAGGAGCCGAGATAGTTAGAGGAGCCAAGATAGCTGGGGCTGCTGAAATAGATGGGGGAGCCGAGATAGCCAACGGAGCTAAAATAGCTGGAATGGTCGCGTTTTGCGGGTTTTGGTTGAGCGAAGAATTGATAGCAGGAGCTATCGTTGGTCCAACATAATTTTCGACATCCATCGCATCCCCATCACGAGGATCTGTTATTTCTGGTTTATCTGACATGATGAGATCATCATCAGACGCGTGGATGCCACTTGGGCATTCATCAACCTCCATGCTATCACCAGAGGCAACATTAGCAGCTGTAGGCTGATTAGCACTAGAGCTGGTAGCTTTTGCATCTGTTTTGTTCTCGAACACGAGGTCAGTCATTTCGTCCGAATACTCTTTTGGCTGTTGGGATTGAGACTTGGAAGCCTCAATACCATCCGCACTTTTGTTAAGCTGAGGGACACTAAGGCTGCTCGTACAAGGTCCCGTGGTTGCTGGAGGAAGTGAATTCTCTATTTGGCCAGAACTGTCGCGTCGTGATGCCTCAGAACGTACGGACTGTGAGAACGAGCAGCCGCGTGCCTCTAGCTCCTTGCCCACTAGTTCTTTTCTAAAGCGAACCTTTCTCAGTCTCCGTGGCATGGCGATCTTTCTTCGAGCCAGAACCCCTGGTGAAGCCCTGACAGGTGCGTTTGCTTTGGTAGCATCTTCAACGGGCCATGATGTTTCTGTCTGGAGCTGGTTCGTTTGTGAGGGACATAGTGGATTAGAGCTTTCAACTCCTACACTGACATTAAAGTCTTCATTCAAGATGGCTTCCATTTCCGGCGTCAACGCAAAAGGGTCACCTTTGGAATCGTCGAGATCAAGAGAAAACAGTTCAGTCAGCTGTTTGTCGAGCTCAGCATCGACACCCGAACTTGTGGAGTCGAGACCCTCGTATAAGGAGGGCGCAGAGTGCCCATTTCCCTCATACGTCTTCTGCACCTCGTTTATAGACAATGGATCGAGTAGCTCGTTGCCTGCATTCTCAAGCTCTTGCATTCTGAGTTTTTGCTCCTTTGCGGACTGTGTAATCCAATTCTTGCTCTCGAAATCAACATCATGAATATCGTCGAGATTAAGGTCAAAGGCGGGAATATCGGATTGTTCAATATCACCCACAGCAGCGGAGGGAAGAGTGCTGTCCCATGTATCCTGGCGAACTTCTGCGAAGTTGGCAATGACCGTTTCTCCTTTTAAATTTTCGTTTTGTTCAACATGGTCCGAAATGGGATCCGTCTTGTTTTCCGGCTCGCTCAAGGTGATTTTAGCGCAAGAAGCTCCTTGGCTGGTGTTGGTACACGGAGAGTTCTGTCTCTTGGAAGTCTTCAGATCCACTTCTGGCCAGATTTGTTCTTCTGTTGACTCATCAGAAGCATGGGTATCCTCACTAGAGATGATGGGGGTACTTTCGTCCTCCACTACTGTTGCATGATGTAGTGGTTTTTGCTCCTCGTTGCGTTGTGACATGGACATTCCATCTGTAGACTCCTTGTGCGCCGCAACGGCTTCCTTGAACTCAATTTTGGCCATGACCGTAGTTTTGGCATTTGAACGAACCTTCCCGCTCGCCAATTTTTTTCTGAAGGCATCCTGCTTGAGAACGACCTTTTTCACACCGAGTTCCCGCTCCAATTCGACAGCCTGCTTTTCTGTCTTCGCGTCCTTTTCTTTTAACTCCACAAGACGATTTAGCCGAGCTGGCTTCTTGGCCTTGGACTTCTCCTCGTGCTTTCTCATCAGCGCCTCCGTTTCTAGGCGTGCTCTGACCAGTGCTGCTTCCTCGGCCTCCCTTCTAGCTTTTGCCAGTGCTTCTTGTTCGCGAGCCTTTGTTTCCTCTGCTAGCTTGAGCCTCTCGGCCTTCTTTCGCTCCCGTGACTCCTGAAGGCGTTTGATCGTCTCCTCGAATCGAAGCTCCTTTTCAGCTCGGGCAGCTTGTCGAGCTTTGGCCATGAGTTTGTCTTGCCTCATGTTTTCACGCTCAATGTGGAGATCTTCTCTGAGGCCACTGCATTCTGCAACAAGCTCCTTAGCCTTTTTCATAACTTCTTGGGCTTCCTGCAGCGCCGCTATGGCCTGCGTCCTTGCCGCTTCTCCAGCTGCTTTCTGCTTCTCGACATGCAGAGCCAGCTGTCGGAGAGCTTCCAGATGCTCCTTCATCTTCTTTGGTCCTAAAGTCTCAAGGGAGATCCAAGATTGCTCACATGAGACTTTCTGGAGATTAAAATCCGCCACCGAAGTCACAGAGCGAACATCACGAGACTTCGATGAAGGCGTCATCTTGCGGAGATAGTATGAGGGAAAGTTCCATCTGCGAAGCAGTAGAACTGCCCAAAAGAGGCATGGCAGGACGACATACAGTATTGTCCAGGCAATATTGGCAAGCTCAAGGGCTAGAGTAGCCCAGCGCGCAAACGTCTCACCTCCCTTTGCCGCCAACACAAAGGTGTTTGGCGGGAAGTTTGCCAGGAAGGCAGACGTTGTCTCGTGAACAGCAGGCTCCAAAGTGCTTGGAAGCTGAGTTTCACGCACTTCGTGAACAACAATTTGGTTGACCGTCGGGGTTACGAACATCGACTGGCGCCCCGACCGAATGTTGTTCTCCACGAAGGAGGTGGCCGCTGGGATGCCTCTGTAAATAGGCCCTGAGCCATGGGCCTGGTGCATGGCAGTGCTGCTGACTGACACCTGTGTTGGCGGTGTCACCAATTGGCTTTTGAGATACGTGCTGACGAGACAGCACGCGGTGATGATGCCCACAATGCCTTTCAAGGCAGCGGGGAAACGGTTAGCAGGCATCTTGTTCTTTGATTTGTTCGACTTGGTGACAATCAAGTCAAAATTTGGACGTATACGCGCTCGTACAAATCCAAGGATATGAAGGGAAGAAAGAAGATAATCGGAGCAGAAAAGTGAGATGTGTCAGAAAAGGCTTAATATAGACGAATGCACAAACTTCCGCACGAAACCGCGCATTGGAGACTTACCGTCATAAGCCGAGAATACGCCAGTGAATAGAAAGTAATGAGCCAGTAGCAGTGACAGTGAAATGTCGTAACTTGTCCGGGTAGACCAGCTGGATTCCGACACCACGATCTTTTAACCGCCATCTTGATTGTTCTGGAAGTAACTCTTACTTTGAGCTCACAGTCACTTTGATCGACTTCTGCGACTTGACCCTGTGAATGATTTTGTGTTTTACAGTGACTGGCACTTGAATGACTGCACCGTTTGACCGTGGTTTGGCAAGAATCTAAGCTGTCGCGGCTACATAGCCATGATGCAGTACGAAAAACTGTAGCTCATAGAGGGGTCTGATCCAGGATATAAAGATTTCGATCCGTATTGATTAAGCGAGGCTCTGTGTCGCTGGTTATGCTAGGACAAAGAATGATGCACGACAACGTCAAGAAGCCCAAGAGGGAACATGGCAAAGCACCGGAAAGTTGCTGTGTCGCTGCGCTGAGCATGCAAAGAATAAACACAACACGCAGTCTCTGCTCTCCAATCATGGAGGCTTTGGACATACGGTCGATTAGAAGCTTCAGGTATGGATCGCATAAGCGAGAACGAGAAAGCAGCAAACCACTCTCAAGGTTCACGAGCTGATTGGCCACGAACGCCCATTTTCCAGGCTCTTAGACACAACAAGAAGTCTCGAGAGGGGCTTCTTGCTCTACGGCTTGGTTTGTTCCCGACAGATCGTCTCTACATGCTTGAGTGTATTTTCGTAGTAATGCAACGTTCTAAATCCTGTGATTGACGTTGTCGACATGATGGCGGAAATGGACAAGCGCAGCCAGTCAGGTCTTGCCTATTCAGCCACGTCCCAGCTGGTCAGCGCTTCACACAAGCAATGAACAACAGCAGCTGGCCCGATTAGTTCTACGACAGAGAATCAGAACGGTTCTTCTACATCTACACACCTCGACGAATATCCTTCCACATGGAGGGAAATCGCCGTGGTTGCCTCTGTCGTGCGAGAGACTCCGCACTTGGATGGACTTTCATCTACCGTCCACTGTCCGTTTCCTCGCAACGTGCTCGCTACTCAACGCTCGTCGCTGCATATCTCTTGTGCCTGCATCAATTGCTACAAATGAATTAATAGAGCCTAAATTCAATGTTATCCGCCGACCTTCTTTTTTTGCAGATTTGTTTCCCAGTGACAGCGTTTACCGTCAATCATACCTGCGGCTCTGACGGCGTCTACAACAGAGACCTTTCCCGCAAAATAGGCATAGTATTCGATGATACGTTTTCAAGGTGGAATGATGTATCAAACGCGATGGCTGGCTAGGAAAACACGATTTGCTTTGACACAGACCTCCCCTTCTGCAAGCGCCATTGCCGAGCATTTCTTAATCAACAGTGCTGGCCCGGGTACCAGCAGTCCAGAACACTGCTTACCCAACCATGCTCTAAGGAGATCAACCGGTACTCGGACTTCTGCAGGAGCGCCCTCGAGTATAGCACCAATGCAAATCTGTGCGTCTTATGCTTAATTCAGGTTTGGAGAGAGACAGAACAATCTCAACATGAGTATGGGCCGTATGCACAAGATTCTCATCTTCCCGAAAATATTGCAGAGCTAAGGCATGGGTAATGTGAGGGGAGAAACAGAGGAGGGTAAAACCTCGAAAGAGAGCAAAGGACAGATGAAGGGTGATGGAGTTTCGTTTTCCATCCTTATTTGCCATCAAAGCGCTTATGACCTGCGCAAAGAAGATCGCCGACTAGCTGCTTTCGCAACGTATTACTGCAACATGACAGCAAAAGTAGATGATATTTTTCTTTTCAAAGCACAGTTTGCCACGTTTCCAATATCATTGAGCGTTCAAAGCCATGCGCAAGTCTCGCCACGTTACGATCATGTGACTAGGTTCTGTAAGTTATTCATGAGAGAAGAGCAAGATCTGTTTTTTTAAAACATGAACAAAGCGGTGATGGATATCGCAAGAGACTAGACTCCCAGAAATCTAAGCTGGGATTCGACGATTGTTCAAAGGCCAGTTCAACGCGGGACGTCACATAGTTTTAAGCAGCGCTTCTAAAATCTCGCGTCCGTAGTTGGTTGGAAGGCTGATGTGTGTCTCATCCTCGAGTCTTAGCGTTGCTCTACTTCCTAGCCGTTTCGCCATCTCCACGCCGTGGATGGGCGGAACAAAAACATCCTGCCTGCCATACCACAGATGTATGGGCAGGTCGTCTCCGAAATCCTCAAGCCTGAAACCGAAGGGTCGGCAGCACAGCTTTGCGTCCGTTAAGACGCCGTCGTACCCCTGCGCGAATGCCTCCCTCGTGGACCTCAAGTACGTGCGATGAAAGTTGACGTCGCTCGTGACTGCAACGTCTTTAGCGGGCATGGTGCCCTTTGCCTTCTCGGTCGCGTCCAACACCATATGGAGCCGCTCCTCGTCGGTCAGATCTACACGGCCGATGGCGTCGCGTCTCCAGAACCACCGATTCAGGAACGAAGGGCAGTAGCGGAAGCCGTACGGGAAACCGATGCGGTTGATGATCCGGGCTCCGCTCATGCCGATGTCCGGTGGGCCAAGGCCGACGACGACGGCGACGGCTTTGAGTTGTGTAGCAGGCAGGGCTTTGGCACATGCCAGCGTCGATGGGCCGCCGCCTGATATCCCCTATCGACTGTCCGTGAGCACAGGACAGGAGCAAAGAAAAAAAAAACAAAAGAAAAAATACCTACCATGACGGCGTACTTGTCCAGTTTTAGATAGTTTGTAAGATGCTCTACGTCCTTTGCGAATCCAAGGAGCGTCCGGTTTGGTTGCGCAGTGCTCAACCCCATTCCGGGCCTGTCGATGCCAATGATGCGGGCGTTCAGTTCTTTTCCAAGGCCATGGAACGCTGCGCCATCAAGACGCGATCCGGCTAGTCCATGGTGAAGTAATATTGGCTTGCCTTCTGGCGAACCATACACTGCATAGCCCAGCTTTCGACCGTCCGGTAGGGTAATCGTATATGAAAGATCTCCATCTTGATCCGAAGCCGCTGGTTTAGTAACTGCACCTTCAGCCATGGGGAACGCAGTAAGTGAAGAACGTGAACGACAAAGGCTTATACCAAAAAAAAAAAAAATTAATCAAAGAAAAATATCAAATACGGCTTGGTATGTAGACATGATGGGGCAAATATATGCAGATACTTTGTTTTTGCGAGGACGCGTATCTCCTACCAATACGAGGTTCTCGTTTATGCGTTCCGTACATCCCAGTGCAAAAACGCTTGTGACTCAGCCAACGTGCATGGATGAGATTTGACACCTTGTTCAACAGCTTCTATTTTGACTTTAATATCTAATTTAATTACGAGACGATGTGATTCGACTGCACTCGCTTGTATGTATGAGTCTTCATGGGAGCCGGACCAACCAAGAAAGCATTCTTTTCCTGGGCAACGACGCAAGTTGAGCCCACTTCAATAAAATAAACTGAACGCTTTCTCCCTTTTCCTTGCATGTATGCCAAAGGCACATGTGTTGTCGCATGCTCCCCAGCGATCTACCAAAGCTCCGGTGCGCTTAGAAGCAGAAAACCTGATCCTCGAGCTTGCTTACAGGCTTGGCCTTCTCGTAGCCCAGGCTCTCCGTTGCCTTCTTCATTGCGCTGACCATAGGCGGAGGGCCGCAGATGAGGATCTTGATGTCGCTCGCAGGTGGAGGCAGATGCTCCTTGATCATCTCTGCAGTTACAAAGCCTACGCCGCCATTCCAGTTCTCTGGAGGGTTGTTAAGAACGTAGTACACCCTGATGCCCTTGTCCTTCTTTGCGAGCTCATCTAGGTCCTCCCGTAGTAAAATGTCTTCAACGTTCACGTTAGCGAAGATCAGGTCGACCTCAGTGGTGTCTCCCGAAGCTCTCCCTCGCTGAATGGCGCGGATGATCTGCAGCATAGGCGTGATGCCAGTTCCGCCAGCAATCATGCCAAATCGTCTCACGAGCCCAGGCCTATAAACCATGGCGCCTTTGGGACCTCTTGTCTTTATCTTTTGGCCGATTTGCATGCTTGCAACATGCTTGGAAATGTTGCCAGTGGGATATGCTTTGATGAGAAGGTCAAAGTATCCCTTGTCGTTGTCCGAAGAAACCGGCGTGTAGGAACGAACGATCTCCTTAGGCTTGCCATCAACCGTCAGTGTGGCTGCAAGAGAGATGTGCTGACCTATGGGCAGGCCCAAGATGTCGGTTGGCCTCGGCAGAGCGAATCGGTATCTAAATTCTGCTTAGCACTTTTGAATTGCATGGTCTGAAAGGACGGAATATACATCGCGGTATTGTGCGATAAAACTGTCTTCTCCTTGAGCTCAAATTCCTGAAATTTGACCGGGTCAAGGACTTTGCGCGAGCCTGTCACCATAAATATAAGCTTCTCTTCCCTACCCGTCTTGGAGCATTGGGAAAATGCCACGATAGAAACTCACCTGAGCCGAGAACTTTGTATGCACCGAGAAGAGCTGCTAAAGCTACAGCAAACGGTAACCACTCTAGTTTGATAATTGCCGTACCTATGATAAGCAAGCCTGCGGGTATGTAGACGCCGTTGACGAGCTCAGATGAAAATGCGCCCGCCATTTTTTGTGGTGTGATAGGGAGGTAGCAGATGCGGGAGCGAACGACGATGTTGCGTTGCGGGCAGGACGTCCAGCAGGGAATCGGGCTAAATAAGAAGACTCCAACACCTCCGGGGCCAAACCAACAGTAAGGAAGCTGCAGAAATCCAATTGGCGATGTCGTGGTGGTTAGGACATGTTCTGCTGGCTCAGGCGAGGAAAAGCAATGCCTTTTCGGCAAGTCAACCCTTGCCCGAGATCGGTCCAAGTCGGAAATTCAACCGCTGTACGGCGCCCGTGATAGCGATTGGGTCAGGCCCGAGTTCCCCAGCGCGCAATTTGCATCTTTCTCCAAGCCGTAAGGTAAACCCATAAGTCAAGCAAGTACCACAGTACGTTCCTGTGCGCTCACGTGCATCACAGGTGGAGCAAGCAGTACTCCAATCCGATATGGCCGTCGATGGGAAGACAGAAGTCACCGCTCCCGTCTTCCACCTCACGGATCGAGATAAAGACATCCTGGCTATGAGCGATGAAGACTACCATCTGCAAACTTGGAACGACCTGAAATATATCATATGTGCGAGAACACATTTTGGAATCGGGTGGAATGAAGCATAGCTGACGGCGAATCGTCAGCACGACAGGCGCTCGAGCGGCTCACCCGTCGGCCATCTCAGCTTCGTGCCTACCTAGCCTGGAGCGCCGAAACAAAACGTAGATATGGAACGATAACAAATTTCATACTTCAAGAGCGGGTGTGCTGGTCCGACTATGACCCCGCGTCGCTTAACAGCGGTGAGCCGAAGTTTGCGTGCAAAAGTACCATACCATTCCAGGTCAAGGATGATTATAGAATACTGATAAACGACTGGCCCTACGGACTCGAGCCGGGCATAGTACATATCTGTGTGTGGTCAAAAGTTCGCCTTCCCGTTGATGACGTGAACGGAGATTTGACTTCCGCTGGGAGGAAGATGGTGGAGGAATTCGTTGACCGAACCTTCGTAGACGGCCTTGGCGTCCAAGGAGAAGACAAGGTCTTGTGGTTCAAGAACTGGACTGGTTTACAGAGCGTGCGTGGATTGGAGCATATTCACGTCCTGGTCAGAGACGTGGACGAGAACAAGTTGTCACGGATCTGCGAGCGACCTTGGGAGCAGTCTGGCTCGTCTTAGACAATTAGATCACACGTCAATTTTGTAGTATGGACAAGGGAGCACATAATTCCTCACTTTCGCATTGGTATCTCATTCTTCATGAAACGTAGTACAGCCACGAGCCAAGTGCAGCAGCAATAGGCCCAAACATCATGTGACCCCAGGCCTTGCCTTCGGACTCTTCCAAACTTTTCACGCCATCGTCATCATCATGAGTCTTTCCGCCCAACTCCTTTCTTGTGGCTTCAATCTCTGCTTTCAGGCTCAACCCGTCCATGATGCCCACGATAGCACCTGCGCACAAGCCCAGCGCTGCACCTTTGTCTTGACCCAGCAGGACACACGCCAGAGTGCCAAGTCCCCCGGCCAGTCTGCTGGCGCCAGCAGCTTTGATGAAGGGGTTGCGTGATGCAGTTGCCATCGTTGATGATAGCGCTGGAACTCCAAAGATTGCCGCGTAGCCCGCTGGGTCTACGAGGGCCCGCAAACCCATACTTGTGCTGAGGATGCCGAAGAAAACCGTCACACCGCGGGCGACGGCATGTTGTGAAACAGGAAGGCCCAGAAAGGAAGTAGACATGAAAGACTGGTGATGATTTGGAAGTTTATACGAAAGGCGAAGAGTCAGCGTGACGAAACTGAGGTGTACGGAAAACTGTTACGAGGAAGAGCCTTAAAGAGCAGACCCTGACTGGCGCTTCAGATTCGAACCCGTTTTGACGTCATAACTTTAACAATTTTAACTGAATACCTAGCATTCAATGTAGCATTCGTATTTAGTGTCAGGCACAAGTAGTTGTGAAGAGCTTGATCAATGGGCTTAAATGGGCATCTGCGTCGTATAAAGATTGATATTTCATTGACGCGCTCCAAAAAAGGCGGTATACAGATCGACGAGTAGAGTGATAAAGACGCGCGCTAGCGTCCCACATTTATGCCGAAAACCTGCTGTCAACTGACACGCCTGGGACTACTTAGACTACTTAGAAGCTTTAGACTCCTACTATATAGCAGCATGTGGACCGCAGTAAGAGACTTCAGCGGCATTCACGATTGAGAAGTACGAGTGCGATTGCGCCGTGTCTTCTTATCTTGAGCTTCAAACCGTCCAATTAAGCACGCTGTTTCTCAAACTTTTCTTTTCATACGACGATCGGAGCATCTGACAACACAATTAAGTCGGAATTAACAGGCTCGTGGTTATAGTACTTGGCATTCCAAATTGTACAGAAAATCAGCAGTTGTAAACAGGTGCTCCATCCAGGGAAGCCCTTTCTGTCCATGCTCTGCTGAAATAAAGGCTAATAGAGTGCGATAGTAGTACACAGTCTTGACTTCTTCGTCCAACCTCATGGATACACCTCCTTGCCTGCTCCGAGATGTCACGGTTCCGCGATCGTCTTATCTTCTGGAGTCCAGTCGGCCAGAAACATCTGATGGGTCCAGTACAAATCTGCTTCATAGTGCTTTGATTCTCGAAGCTTCCAAAGGGCCGTCTTTTGTGAATGCAGTGATTCTGCTAGTCTCCGCAAGAAAGCCTCCTGGCCGGTGCTGATGCCAACGCTAGTCGCTTTTAACTGGAGGATCTGGGCAATCCCATTGCCACCGTGCAGGAAATGAGCAAGCAGGATGTTCGATCCGTGAAAGTACTCCTCGGCAAGGGCTAGTGAGTTGTATCGATGGCTCGCACCGCATTGGATAGCGTTCTTCCGCGAATGCTTGAGGAGTAATGCAACGTTGATCTGGAGGATGAAGGTTACGAGAAATATCTCAAACCAGTCTTGCCGCTTTCCATACTTCATCTTAACGTAAAGGTCGTTTAATAGTCCTGCGCGTAAAGGAGCGAGGAAATTTTGGATAATGATCTGGTCCAATTGGGTGTCAATTACTGGCGTGATCGGTCGCTTCGCGAACCAGGGGCTGTGGGGGTCAGCCACAACGTCGACTCCCGGAATGTTGGAACATGTGAACACCCAGTCGAGTTCGATCATGCGGCCCAGCGCTAAAAGCTTAAGTGCGCGATACACGATGGATGCGTGTTGTTGTTGGAAGCTTGTTGTATATCGGATAGCCTCATGCAGGACAGATTGAGTAATGCTATCCACATTTAGCATGATAGATTGCAGATATAGATACCAAGATTTTTCAATGTACTCTTGCAGTACCGCCCTTGTGGCTGCAATGCTTGCGAGGCAGAGACGGGGCATCTCCAAAACATGCATACGCGATAATGCCTTGTATGAACGTGCAGTCTTCAATTGAGGATGTGGTTGAAACTCAGTTATCTCAATATGCAACGGAAGGACATAAATGCCTTGAGATATGCTGCTCGAGAATGTGATGGGCGACCTAGACAGGTCCTCCAGCCTGTACAAGTCCGGCAGCTCTGAGAAGAGTGGATGTCCGACGGCGGGTCCTGAGCGGAAGAGCCGAATGTTCGTGGGCCTGTCCAGAAAAACGAGTGGCTTTGTGTTTATACACTCTATGTATGGAAAACAGCGTCGGCCGCATTTCCTTCGCCCTTTTTTGCATGTTTCGCATGCTCTGTACTTGCGATTGACCCGATACGAGGCCAGACTATCTCCTTCCATCTTGCTACGACCCTGTGGCAGCTTGCCCCATTCGACTAGAATCCCCGCGTCCCTTCCAGGCGCGTCGCCGTAACGTCTGATGCGCACAGGGTCATTTATACTGACACTAGCCTTGCGCTTTTGCGATATGCCAACAGGTTTAGTTTTGTGGCTCTGTGGTACCAAGCGACTTGCCTCTTGAGGTGATTGGTTTATGGAAGGTTGCACTGTCTGATGCTGAAAGTTTTCCACAACAGCTTGTGTATGCGCCTCTGGTTCGCGGCAAGATTCTGGAAGATCCTGTGTATCATTCAAGCTATTGCACCCATCGTTCTGCAAAATAATGCTTGATTGATGCCTCTGGCTAAAGTAGCACTCCTGCTGTTCAGTCTCTGATGGGCCGTTTGCTAGCGGCGTTCCGTAAGGCCTGAACGAACCCGGTGATTGTACGTCGGTGAGAAACAGCTGTGGCGAGAATGATGGAATAGCCCATTGCTGGATGTCAAGCCATAAGCTCGACTCGTTATCGACTCCTTTCTGAGAGGAAGATGGGTTATATGAAGCTTGCGGCGTTGAGGGTTGGCTTGATTCAAATTGAAGCCAGTCCTTACATAGCTCCTCGAATGTTTTCTCGCTCCACTGAGATGTGCCTATTACAGGTTGAGCACTCTTCGAGCCAGCGAGTGAGAAAAATATAGCTTACATTCCAAGGGCAATTCTGTCGCTGCGGACATGTCAATCATTGTCGACAACGGGGCAGTATGCTAAAAAATTTAATATGCGATTCTGAATTCGAAGGTGGAGTGTGCAACCACACAGTACTATGCCGGGTGGTCAGCCATTTATTATTTTTTTTTCTCTCCAAAGCTGTTATATACTATTGTACGATTATGAAGTGCGAGTATTCAGCAACCCCAGCTCCTCCGTACACAATGACGCCACTGACGCAGGGATCGAACTGGACCCTGAGGCGCTGCCGGCCTCACACAACGCTATACCATTTCCGGTCGCGGTGTATCCCTGAACCGTGCAGTGACGTCACTCCTCAACCCTGTTTTCTATCCAACACCACCGCCTTAGCTATCACCGGCTCCCTTACTAGGAAGCAGATCAGCTCGTTCTTCATGTTCTAGGCACTGTAAACTGGGCTACCAGCTCTGTCATCATGCTGGCTCCACATCCCTTCAATATCATGCCATCCGAAACGGCCTCTGTTACCCCAGACTTTTCAATCCGGAGAGCAACGATTCACGATCTAGATGATATTGTGGATATTGCCCTGGCAGCTATGCCACTAGATCCGCAGTGGAACTGGCGTTTTCCTCACCGGGACAAATTTCCGGAGGATGAACGGCATTTCACGCTACTGAAGTTCAAAGAGTTCATCACTAGCCGAGATCGTTGGCTTGTCATGGTAGCTGAGACTGATATCAACTACGTACGAATTCCTATAGCATTTGCTGTATGGGATCTGGAAAATATATACGCTTCGATCCGGACACCGGTCATTGCGCAGGACTCGGTTTCTAAAGAGTCCAGCCGGGGTAGGTCCATCATCTTGGCAAGTTTGGCTGCTGTCCTAATGATACTAATTGTAACTGCAGAACGACGTGATGCGGACCGGAGAAGAATGCAAGTCTGGACGAAGACAACATCTTTAGCAAAAAAAAGATTGTTCGACCGGCGTTACGGGCTTCGCTACATCCAACTGCAGGTTCTCGCGACAGCGCCACAATGGCATCGCAAAGGCGCCGCCACAGCGCTTTGTACGCGAGGATTACAGCTTGCCAAAATGCTACACTCATCAGTGGTAGTTTTTGCCAGTCCAATGGGCAAGCACGTATACTCGAGCCTTGGCTTTCGCCAGCTAGCGATCGTCAACGTTCGTGCGGATAGCGACGATGACGGCGTCGATTTAGTTGCCATGTCGTTTAGTCAATTTCCTTAGCAGCAAAGCTACGCACTGGGAAATCTTGAACCTTTCTTGATGGAATCAAGAAAACCGCTGCTAGAATCCCGTGACACCAGTGTCCTCACCGCAGTTATGGCTCTTCGCGTACACAGATAATGACATCATGTACACAGGCGAAAACAAGCTACACGGTCTTGGAGCCACGAGCTCGCATCGAGGATATGCGGAACGAGGGCAAATTGCTTGCCATCATCGCGTGAGAAGCCATTGCTAGGCTTTCGATGATTCCCGCTATGGTTGAACACAAGCGTAGGAATAATACGTACAGAGTCTGATACATCACACAGAGTTCTTTGATCAATACAGAGAGCCAAAGAGGGCTCAGCACCTATTGAACCCTGTCTTAATATACACAATATCATCGATAGGTCGGAAATTATGTGTTTGCGTCTGTTTTGACGGTTGGCAATGGGAATGAAGATCTTATCAACCTCGCACATACCTCTTCATTTACTGTGCTACTAATTGCAGAAGATAAATGAATGATGCTTCGGGCACAAGTTATACTACACGTTAAACTTTTGCAACATTTGGGCTGTCCAAGAATTAGTCAGTTGTGGATGTCGTCAAACGATATATGCAATCCCATGAGGATCAAATGCCAGAATCAGAAACTTCGCAAAATAGAAATCCGTTCGTATAAGCAATCAAACAGTCATCATGCAACAGCACTAGCTAGCGCTGCCCCATGTTATAGGTTCGAACTCATCTGTTTATCAGAGAAGGCGCCCAGCGATCTCTTTAACACATCTGTCCACGCATACTACTAAAGTTACTGAGAAATATTGGTCTATTCAAGAGTTTTGTCAAGCCAAGTTCAGGAATGTGTTTCACGCTAAGCAACGCAGAATGAATGTAAAATTGTTTTTGGGTTCTAATTTGCAAATGTAACTTGTGCACATTAAAATTTTCTGAACAATTCAACTAGTTCAACTGATTGACTAACATCAACTGACATTTACGCCTGAAAAAGTCAAGTGCATGTGTTGTTCACCGATTAAGAATTTCCCTATGAGCATATCATACGCAGAAAAGTCCACGGAGTGAAGCAGTCAACGGTGCTCTTTGCTGCAGGTCGCAATTTCCACTAGTCGCGCGGAAGCGCTGTAGGGGGTTAATTTTCTAGGGCGAAAATAAGGTTTATTGATTCAGAGGCCCATATCGCAGTTTAGCCGGTGCCAAAGACACAGTCTGCTTTAAGTGCAGCTATCGCTGCGAAACAGCACGCGTTCTCTGGACGCTCCTGGGAAAATGTTCCAGCGTGCAACTTTTCGCCTTTCCGAGTCTCCGTACTTTTCGAACCACGTTTGCTTGAGGCCTTCGGGCGTTTTCCATGCTAGTTCCTCGTTCCTCAACCACAGCCTGATGATATGCCGCCGCTGGTCGTGGCCGTCTCTGAAGGCGCTTCTTGCATGCTGGATTGCAAGATTGTTGATGAGCTGGATATCTCCCCGCTCTAATCGCATGGTGAGCTTGTGCTTCATTGCGGTGAAATGCACCATATCAATCGCTTCGGCTTGCACTTCAGTCATCGGTGGAACGTCCGGACTTCTAGGTGAAGTCGGCGAACCAGTGATAGGACGTCGAGAGAAACAAAAGCCGGGTCCGTTTCCTTCAAAATTGAACAAAAGTGCTCGGGTGTTCCAGAAAGCCGGAGTGCGATGTCTCGAGATGAATTAGTACTCGAATGCAAGGTTTGAGCGTTTTTCTTTTTCAACTTACTTGTCGAAAATCCAATTGGGTTCCGCAAGAGTATGAATCACATCTGGCCGCGACGCTGCGATCTCGTTGTAGACCTTTGCGCAAGACGCGATATGACTCTCACCACCATCGATAGCTTGGTTTTGAACGTACATAGCTAGGATATCACATACGTCATTGTGAAATGGCTAGCATTGTTAGTCGGATTGATACGGCAGAGCTCTGTTCATCCAGGCCTACTTGTGCATTATGCGCGTAAGGCGACTGCCTCAATTCCGAGTCAGGTATGCTGTCACCAAGATCCTTGACATGTATGAGCATGTTACCACTAGAGTCTTGACAGCCTCGACGCTCGGCGATATAACTGGTTACCCCGAGGTATATGATCACATTGTCCGAAGCCGAATATTTTTGAGGGTCTAGTCCACGAAGTACGGCAAAGCCAATGCCCGAATGCAGAGTATGGGCGATCGCTCTCAATCGTCTTTCAAGACGAGGCAATGGGAATGTCAGTGGGGTGACCTCGTCGAGCTCAAGGTAGCCCTCATATTTCTCTGCTTAATTAGCAAGCCGAAAGGAAATCAGGATATCCCGTTCACAATACTTTTAAAATTCGCCAGAGATTGCTCTATCTCTAGAATTTCGTCGCAGGAGAGTCGCACAATGTAATTGTCGTCTGCAATGTCGGACCCTGACCAAACCCAAGGAGCTTTCACTTCGCTAGGAAACCCAGCGGGAACACTGGTGGGTCTCGTGCTTCTGAACTTTGAGAGGCGATCGACACGATCCAAGTACGTTTGGTAGCAGGGATTCCACTCGATATCAGGTCCGCTGTTTGCTCTACACACTCTGGCGTCCAAAGAGAAGGGCACAACTGTGTTGATGCGCCGAGAACGGCGCAGGTTCTCATCCTGAAGATAGCGTCTTCGCAATCCGCATGCCTGCGGAGCTGCTTGCACTCGACCGCTTGACGGTTCAGCTGGCAGTGCCATCTTACGTCAAGAGCGTCGAGAGGCGCAGAATGTTTCGTCCAGAGAGAAGCGGAGGGCGTGGTTCAATTCATATCTGATTTCGCGTCAGTCTAGACCCCAGTAGGCCTGTTAGCTGAAGACGCACATCAGTATACGAGCGCCAATGAGATACTTCCTCATCCCTACAGAAGAGCTTTACCCTTGCATTGACCGGTCTGTAGCTTTGCTTGTCGCACTTGCAGGCCGTGAGTGGTATCGATTGCTCGGGAGCTCCTCGTGAGAGTTGCATGATGCGGGGACCAAACCCACAGCTTTAAGCCAAGAATAGCGCATGTGCCTGATGATTTAGCGATTCGATTTCAGATGATGGAAACCACTGCTGCGGAGACGGAAGATGCCAAAACGTGATGATGGTGTGACGGGATTTGCAGTAAACGTTGAGAGCGGATTCCTGATTTTATCGACGGGTCCAATTTCAACTCCGGTGAGAAAAGATTCCACAAACTTTTCTTGTCTCCTACTTTATGAGCTTTAAGCATGTTCAATGAAATCCAAGCGATACACGAGGGCCATGCTGGCCGCTACATGTGAGCGGCGTATTCTCGCATGAAGCTGTGCATTGTTCCAGCTCACTTGAATCGACGAGCCCGCTCCTACCATGTGAAGTCTGAATGTAGTCCAAGGTCGCCGAATTTGGGGAGATTTCGAGGAGTTCTTATATTTTGCGTTAGGGTTGTTTTCCTTTGTTTCTAAGAGAGGAAAATGTGGAATCATGCATGGTCAGCAAAAGCTCACTCTTGACTTGGCACATTTAAACGGCCCTACGTGGATTGATATCGACTCTACCAACGCCTGGACTTAATTGAAGCTACAGGCTTGCACGTTATGTTGCGCCTCTGTGTACTAGGTCCAGGTTCCGATTTGGAAAATGCATTTCGCAAGACTTTTCACTCTTTCATTATCTTGCACATCACTTTCCCAGCCACCATGCGTGCTTCTATATTCCCGCACGCTTTGACATCGACGCGGACTTTTCCATGTCCTCTAAGATGCACTGCATCGACAGAAGGTACATTAGAGATACTGCGGCTCTCAAATCCCCAGGTCATTAGATCTTTTGCTTATACATTCGATTGAACGCTCTTCCAATGACCATCCTCCTGATCTCGCTCGTGCCCGCGCCGATCTCGTACAACTTGGCATCCCGTAGCAGTCGTCCCGCGGAAACCTCGTTGACATAGCCGGTGCCGCCCAAGCACTGAATCGCATCAAGCGCGCATTCTGTCGCGCGTTCTGCCGCATACAGGATCGCCCCAGCGCAGTCCTGAGTTTTTACAATTGGATCTCTATCAAGCGAATCAGTCCCGAGATCCGCATCTTCAAACAAGCTTGGGGCTGATGCGAAGTGCGAGGGCACGCCATTATCGACCGCGGCTGCAATTGAATACGTCATGGCAGCGCTCGAGAGATATTTTGTGTACATGTCTGCCAGTTTCCCTTGCAGCAGCTGATTATGTGCAATTGGCTCTCCGAACTGCTTCCTCGTATGTGTGTATGGTAGCGCCAGATCCAAGGCTGCCCTCATTAATCCCAATGGCCCCGCACTCAACACCAGTCTCTCGAGATCGAGTCCTTCCATTAGCACCTTGACGCCCTTGCCTACCTTTCCAAGAACGTTCTCCTTCGGCACGAATACATCCTCAAAAATGAGTTCACCGGTATTGCTGCCTCGCATACCGAGCTTGTCGAGCTTTCGCGCCACGCTGAAGCCTTTTGCCTCGGTTGTGTCAACAATGAATGCCGTGATTCCCTTTGAGCCAGCATTCACGTCTGTCTTTGCGTAGACAACGATGGTGTGCGCGTCTGGCCCGTTCGTAATCCACATTTTGGTTCCATTGAGGAGATAACCACCGTCCACTTCCTTCGCGGTCATTTTCATGCTCACAACGTCGCTCCCGGCAGAGTGCTCGCTCATAGCCAGCGCGCCTACGTGTTCACCTGTAGTCAACTTTCTCAGATATTTATCTTTCTGCTCAGGCGTGGCGTTGAGCTGCAGTTGGTTGACGCAAAGTTGAGAGTGGGCTGCATACGAGAGTGCAATGGATCCAGACGCCCGTGACATTTCCTCCATGATCACGCAGTGGGCTTGGTATCCCATGCCAAGTCCTCCATACTCCTCATCGGCAGTCGGACCCAAGAAGCCTGCTTCCCCGAGTTTCTGCCACATTTCTGGAGGAAACTCATTTGTATGATCGACCTTTTGCGCAAACTCCTCCGGGATTTCGCGCTCTGTGAAGGATGATTAGTCGAATGATTTGAGGGATATCCAAAGCATACTAACATACTTGTGAATAGTCTGACACGCTCTCGAAGCTCTAATAGATCTTCTTGCGTCGGAGGGACGAAACCTTTCGGATGTTTTGAAGATGCGTTTCTCCGCCCATGGCTATGAACAGCCATGAATGGGATACCATGAGAAATTCTTGGTCGTTTGGACTGCCTTATGCATCGAGCGAAAGCTCGTGACACGGCCGGTCTCGACATAATGAAGCGTCAATTGATTGACCTAAAGTTACGCGGGGAGAATGGCAGACAACAGAGTCAAGAAGCAGTCTTGAACACACAGCACACTGGCACAGCTTGCGTTAAAAAAATGCAGACAGGTAGAAAAATTTCAGTCCACAGGGGCGCAAGTCGCTGTGAAAGGGAGAAAGTGTGGAGTGTGGAGTACAGGCGGAGATGGTCACGTAACATCCGCGTCGATGCGCGAGAACAGCCGCCGGCCAGACGCGGCTTCCGTCGGCTCAGCTGAACTTCACCACAAGGGCTACCACACTGCTCAAAACACCATCTCATCTTGTGTCCTTGGGAACACACAATCCTGACACCATGGCTTCTTCAGTTCCTAGACATACAATGCTTCGATCCGCGGGTGCAGCACTGAAGCGAAAGCGCACACAGCCTCCGCACTGCAGACGCGCAATTGCTACACACACGCATTCGCACCATGCAGGTCAGATTTCGGTGCTACGCTCATCGGTGGATACGTCAAGTGCAGATTTCAAGGAGAATGCGGCAGCGATGGCGGAGGTTGTCGCGAAGATGAAGGAGCTGCGAGAACGCCTCTCTCAGGGCGGTCCGCAGAAAGCGCGAGAAAAGCATGTGCAGCGAGGAAAGATGCTGCCCCGGGAGTAAGTCAATACCATCTGTTTGGCTGATACCATGTTTTATGTTCGTTCATTGGTGATTAATCTTCTCGTTCGTGACACAGTCGCATCACCGCTCTCATCGACCCGGGAACGTCTTTTCTCGAATTATCTCCCTTCGCCGGCCATAATCTCTACCAGGGCGAGGACGTACCCAGCGGTGGTATCCTCACTGGCATCGGTACAGTGAGCGGCGTAACATGCATGATAATTGCGAACGACTCTACCGTCAAAGGTGGTACTTACTATCCCATAACCGTGAAGAAGCACCTGCGTGCCCAGGAGATCGCACACCAGAATAGACTCCCGTGCATATACCTTGTCGACAGCGGAGGAGCCAATTTACCCCATCAAGCTGATGTATTCCCTGATCGCGATCATTTTGGTCGCATATTCTTCAATCAGGCTCGTATGAGCGGCGAGGGCATCCCCCAGCTCAGTGTAGTTATGGGCCCTTGCACTGCAGGCGGAGCCTACGTCCCTAGCATGAGTGACGAAAGTATCATTGTGGACAAGCAGGGTCACATCTTTCTGGCCGGCCCACCTTTGGTCAAGGCTGCCACTGGCGAGGAAATATCGGCGGAAGAGCTTGGCGGGGGTAGGCTGCATTCTGAAATATCTGGTGTGACGGACTACCTCGCCGTTGACGATGCGCACGCCCTTGTCCTTGCCCGTCGATGCGTTTTGAACTACAACTGGCCAAAAGGCAAAGCTGTTTCCGTCGGGTCCCTCGACACAGAGGGTAAGGTGTACACAAAACCCTGGAAAGAGCCGCTGTACGATCCCCAAGAACTAGGCGGTATAGTAGGAACCAACTTGCGTCGTCAGATTCCTGCGCACGAAGTCATTGCGCGCATAGTCGATGGCTCAGAGTTTTCTGAATTTAAGAAGGATTATGGTCCAACACTAGTCACAGGGTTTGCACATATTCAAGGCCAACAAGTCGGAATTCTTGCCAACAACGGAATCCTCTTTTCACCTTCATCACTGAAAGGTGCACACTTCATACAGCTCTGCGCTGCGCGCAACATTCCGCTACTGTTCCTACAAAATATCTCTGGTTTTATGGTTGGCCGCGACAGTGAGGCTGGTGGTATAGCCAAGAATGGCGCAAAACTCGTGACAGCCGTTGCTTGCGCTAATGTTCCCAAGTTTACCGTAGTTTTCGGCTCTTCTGCCGGAGCGGGAAATTATGGAATGTGTGGTCGGGCATACAGTCCCCGCATGCTGTGGACTTGGCCCAATGCCAAGACGAGTGTGATGGGTCCGGAGCAGCTCAGCGCTGTGATGGAAGCCGTCGGACGTAAAGACGAAGGACTTAGGGAAAGGATAGAAAAGGAGAGTGAGGCCCTGTTTGGCTCAGCAAGGTTATGGGATGATGGTATCATCGAACCAGCACTAACGAGGGACTACGTGGGCATGGGCCTGAGAACAGTGAATGGAGGAAGTGTGGAGGAAAGAGAGACCAAATTTGGAGTCTTCAGGATGTAATCGCACTATGGAGCATGTTTTGCCTTTCCGAAAACTGCGGATTCCCCATCAATTGCTCAATTATCCAATCCCAGCCTTCATGAATTCGCAGCATGTCTTAGGTTCTAGATTAAAGAGCTTCCATTAATTGCAGCAGCATGAGAGCTCATTGGCTCCGGCAATGCGCTTATTCTATAAATCGACAAACAGTTGAAAGAGGAATGTACAAGAACACTTTTTTGTTTTGACCGATTTCTGTTACACGCTGAGCAATCTTACACCCAATATGGCCGTATGGCTCAAGCCTATCAATACATTAAGTACTAAGTTCTAGTGTACTTTCAACTCGATTTTGTTTCGGCGCTCAGCTATTACCGGTGCACTTCTAAACCTTCAGTGGTTATGCTGTTTAGTGACTGCAGTTTACATATATTCAGCAGATTACCAAATTTTGTATGCCCACTAAAAAGGGCACTACGTTCAAGTATAGTTCTTTAATTTCACATGTTTTTTACTACTTAGACATGGAAATCGATTGGGATCCTAAGCCTTCGAGCATTCTACTGGCATTTTTGCACCGTCATCTGTGAATATGTTTAGATAACCAACTCGAAATTCCAGGTATCAATTGCTATTCGGCCGTCTGAATGCCGAATTTTTGGCCTGGGTATGGAAGTTGAGTGTATTGTGGCCAACTGGCTGAGCAACCACGTGGACGTCACTTCAGTTGTCAAACGCGAGTTATGACAGAACGGAACTAGCAAAGACCTTCTTACAAGTCTTCAGTTTAAATCTGTTGAACATAGCAGTTTTCATCCGGCACGACATTAAGGACAAGAGCAGTCATAAAGTACAGAGAATTTTTCCCCTCACAGAATCAAGGTTGATGAAAAAAAGATATGTAATACTCGACTGCACTGTACGATCGAGATTAATTCATCAATAAATTAGGATGCATATCTACTCTAGATACTCTAAATTCTTTCATCCGCCAGCGACTACATTGAGATCTAGTTTCTCAAAGGGTAGTAATACACCGGCAACCAAGACTATTGCAGACGCTGAGATTACCATGCCAAACAGTTTCTGAATCGTACCAGCAACGCTTTGAACAGCAATACGGATGACATCCTCATTTGCAGATTCGAAAACGGGGGAAATACGCCCAGCGAGTGCAGACCTGACATAATCATCGGGATATCCAAAACTTGCAAATTCCTTCTTTAGAGATTTGAAGCCGAGATTTTGGAACAAACATCCGGCAATGGAAAGACCAAATGCCATGGTACCGATCTGCGCGACGTTTATAAAGCCCAATGCGTTGGACTCATCCTTCTTGGATACCTTGGCTGTTGCAACGGCGTAACCGTTTTGGAAGATGAGACCACACCCAGCCGCAATAAGCACCTCATAACCGTATACTTTGGATGGACTAGTATAGGCATCAACAGTAAACATCAATGAGCCCCCGATTAAGGCGAATGATCCAGCAATGATGTAGTACAGGTTGTACCGTCCAACCATAGGTAAAGATGCGCCCGCTATCATTATGAAAAGGATGAAAACGCAGATCATTGGGAGCAAACGTAGAGCTGCCTTCATCGCGGAATCTCCTCGAGTAAATTGGAAGTAAAGCGGAATATAATATAAAGTAATTTCATAAGCTGCCGCAATGGCAGCGGTGGCGATGTAGAGGAGAACTAACGTCCTGGACCTGAGAAAATGAATTGGAAAAATACGGTTCTCCTTTGTGGTAAGAATTGCAAAATATTGCTGTACGACGTATGCAACAAGACACACCGCAAACACAACCCAAAGGGCGATGGCGGAGGCTGAATCCCAAGCATAGACTGAACCGCTGAAACTGACGACGATCATAAAGATAACGAGGACCGCCCCGTTTAGGATACCACCAACCCAGTCGAACGTAGCGAGCTTCTCTGAGAAAGTCAAGTCGGGTCGAGGGTCGCGCCGCGGAAAAACAAGGAGGTATAGGGGGGAGAGTACTCCAGCAAGTGGGAGGTTGATATAAAAGGCCTGTATCAATTTGAATCAGTTCAGGACGATCGATCTAACTGTTGAATTAACTTACCCATCGCCATGTGGCAGAACTGTCTGAAAAAGCACCACCAATGACCGGTCCAACAATAGTGCCGATCCCCCAGAACAAGCCTGCCAAGGCATTGTAAATCACAGCTTCTTCATGTGACGAATAGATTGAAACATAAGTTAGTGCGCCCATATACATGCCGGCACCGCCTGCTCCGGCAATGACACGTCCCACTATCAAGGCCGCCGAACTTGGTGCTGATCCGCACACGGCACTTCCTACTTCAAACACAAACAAGCTGGAAAGCAATAGCACCTTCACATCGAACATGGTATAGCCCTTTCCTATTAATTGTACTTAGCACAGCCCTTAATTGGTTTTATGACTAGCCTTACCGAAGAGCAGAATAACAGCTACTGAAGCCATTGGAAATCCAAGTCCAAACCAGGGAAGGTCTTCAATCCTCTTGAATGTCTCATAAACAGGACCTTGGACATCAGCGGAGATCGTGGTGTCAAGTCCGTAAAGGAAAGCGCCGGTATATAGGCCAAGGAGGATCGAAAACCATTTCCATGATGGCCATCCTTCTCGTGGGTGAGGAGCATTGTTTTCGACTCCATCGCCCGGGGAAACTTCACCAAGTCGTAGAGTAGGATCTTTCTCAACTACTGCTTCAACATCACTTTGAGAAGGCGTTGGAGTCATCTCGACCTGGGCGTTAGTCAAATAAGGGTCCGAACATGAGAACGACGACGGTGGGGACAAAAGAATCATAGACTTCAGTCCTTACAAATATATAAAAGCTGGATTTCTTAGACTGATCGTCTCTTGCGCTTTACGAGCGAACCAATCATCTAGCATCTCTAGGTTGAGTTCCACAAGGCGGCTGATTTTGCTAGAGACTTGTCCATAAGCGATAGGGCATAAGTTGGTCGATGCTGCAGCCTTTCTCAGCCGCAGCATGTGTATGCACATCAAAACTCTTTGAAAGCGGTTCCTCAAAGCTAAGCATACCAAACTACGAGTTTCGGATCAACCATTGCGTAACGTCCCGCTCAAACATTGTAGTCCAGTGGCTCTGCCCTTCCACGAACACCGGAACAGGCGCCGTAATTTTCAGCGGATTCCATCTCTTAACGCTCTTCTCCAGACACACAAGATGTAGAAAGATTTCTCATCGTGCGGTTGCAGGGTAGTCTTTTCCGGGCGGATGTTTCTTCTCGGCGCCGTGAAAGGCACTCTCGTCCAATTACGATGTCATCAGCCGCAGCTGAGGATCACAACTCGCTTAAGAAAAAGCCGCATCCTAGCTGTTGCACACGCTTGAGGCTTAATAGTGAAAAATTAACGCTAATATTGCATATTTTCAACGGACAGTATTCCGGAACGGTATAGCCGTTTGGGAATGAAGACCAACCACACAAGGCTTTGTGCATGGACATGTTTGCACTGCCTAGAAACGGAGCAGCCGCATCAAACAGATAGCAGTGTATACGAGCTTATTCATCTGCGAATTCGATAACGAAAAAGAAGCACTGAATGTCGGACGCTCCGTTCTGAAGAAATCCGTTCTACAATACTCAAGGTGCGTCTCTCATTTCGTTTTCTGCTCTCCCGTGCCAAAAGGAGAAGAAACCAACGGACCCTGCCTCTGTTGTGAGATGCAGCGAAGATCGTCAGTGACAGTCTCTTTGAATTGCAAGACATTTTGTCAGCGTCTCGACAGACAATAACGTGATAAAGTGTGAAGAAGGTGAAAGAACAGGTTAAGCATGTCAACCAGTTAATTCGTTATCACACTACTGCTATTGAAAGAAATGACGATTCACACTGATTGCTCTCTGCGAACCTTCATGGAGACTCCAATGCATGGCAACCATCTCTGCCACAATCACCTGTCTCAGCTGTTATCCTACAAAAACGCGGGGCTAAAGTCGTCCAATTCCACAGCGTTCGTACAACTTCCTTCTCCCGGACTCGCAACTTTCAAATCTTCTCTAAACTTTCGCGCATTCAAAAATTGTTCGGCAAGGCGTTGCCCGCTTGTAGGCGTGGTAGTTTGGACTCTCTTAGGTGTTCTTGGTATAGCATTCTCTTTCAACGGTAACCCTGCTCCCGAGCTCACAGCTGATTTTTGTATGTATGGCGCAGTTGGTGTCACACAGCTGCGGTATGGACCTCGAATAATGCTCGCCAAAGTAGGATCTGTCTCTAGACTAGGCACGGAAATATGCTTTGTGCGGTCTATAGCGTCATCCCCGCCCACCATTCCACTCAAAGCCGATGTTGGTCGTTGAGGTGTGCTGCGCAACGCGCAAGTGAAGTGAGCAGAACCGAGAATAGCAGGCATGGAGACTTGCAACTCGTCAGATTTGCTTCTCGCGAAATTTTCCAGACTTGACTGGCTACGATCCCATATAGCTGTAGAAGTCCATCGTTCAAGAACCGGCCTTTGACTGGATATTTTCAATGAATATAATGGTGCTGGGCTTGGGTTGTTATTACTGTCTCTTCTCGCAGAACGAGGCCGCATCTTTTGAGCTGATTTAAGATGGCTGTCTTTACTATGCAAGCTCTGCGCTGGAGTAGACGAGCGAACAGAAGTTCTTGACTGCGGTCTTGAGTTGATAAGAAACGGAAATCGATCATTCATGAGGCTCGACGGCCGACTAGCAACGCTTTCTCTCTCATCAACATAGAGTCTGCTTGATGGTCTCTCTTCTGTGCCGAGAAGATATGGCAGTTTTCGAGCTTTAAAGCTGCTTTTTGAAAGGTCCGAGTGATTGTCCGAGCCTTCAATATTGTCTTCTTTCATACTTTTACTGGTTGAGAAAATTTTTTCGGCTTGACATTGAGTAAGTGTAGCAGTGTCAAGACCGCTGTAGTCTGAAGCATTGTGAACTTGGTTCAGGGCTGGGCTGTTGTTCTGTGACGATACGATGCCTTGCTGCGTGGCAATGTTTTTGCCGGCATTTGCAGTGCATCTACCATGATTTCCTTCTTCTGCTTTTTCTTTTTCATCATCATCGCCTGTTTCATGACCAATTTGAGCAAGTTCCTTTCGATGGCCACTTTGTGAGTTGGGCATGACAAGCTCCATACTCAACTGCAGATCCTTAGGGGGTGGTGATTCAAGATCTTGGACTTCCGAGTGCAGCCAATTTCTCCACTCTCTGCTAGTTTCACGTGTCTGATTGTTTCGTGGCCTTTGTTTAGAACCTACATTGTATTTTGCAACCTGTTGACTAGCAAGAATGACTGCTGTCCCAGAATCTGGATTGGGAGGGGCGGTGGACATGGCCGAGAGCTCATGGATGTTACAAAAGCTTCGATCATTGTCGTCTTCGGAGTAGACACTTGGAGATATCAGACCAGTAGCCCGGTCTGGTTGAATATCATGATACTCAAATGACGCATTGTCATCACATGATTGTTGAACGTTATCATTCCCATAGCATTGTAACAAATTCTGTCGCGAACACCGTTTTGGAGAAGGATCTTTCGGTGACCGGGGAAAGAACAAGGAGCAACTTCCATCAAGTGGCTCATGCCAACGCTGCTCTGATCGCCTGACTCTATGCGCGATTTGTTCAGCTGTTGGTGGAGGTGCTGCAATTGACAATGCTGGAGCTTCATTCGGAGAATTGCGATCACGCAAAACCGAAGAATCTGAACGATCTGATCCACTGAAGTCTGATCTCGACGAAATAGCGAATGCATCTTCTGTTGCGTAATTTGTTGAGTCCGCGCCATTGATGTGAGGTGCCACAGCTTGGATGTTTGGTTTAGTTACCACATTGGCCCGTCTAAGCTGGGAAGGCAAACGGTCCAGATCAACGCCGGGAGACAATTTCAGAGAAGCACAAGACTTCGTTCTTCTGCTTTCCCGATTGTCACACCCTTCAAATTTGAGCTCTATATTCTCCAAGGCAGGCGTATCAACCTTGTCAGGGCTTTCAATAAGACGCATCGAACCAAAAGTCGAGTGTGTGGTGCCTTCGCCCAACAAGTCTGCCCAGTCGCGCGATTCTTCCATGATGGCATCAAGGTGCCCGCTATCACCTGCTTCAAAAATGCTACCAGCAATTGTTGAATCCGCCCAGCTTGTCACTCTTGACTTCGTACCAATGCTTACTACGCTTTGAGAAAAGCTAGAGCCGCGATTTCTTTCAAGCAGTGGCTCCGTAAGAGGTGTCGAAACAGCTTCTGAATCACTATTTTTCGGATTTAAATTGCCCCTATTTTCTGGGAACTGCTCACTAATCGCGAGGCCAGTTTTAAAATAAGCACGGCTGGCGTTCACCTGTTGCATAGGTAGTGAGCGCTGTGGACACGACGCACGTCTTAAGACTGAACGAATCTTTGCTGCTATAGCACCCATCATAGCAACTTCACTGACAGTTCGCTTGTTCTGGAAGCGTGATTTTGCTGCGCCAGGCGTTTCTGCAGAGTTCGCGAAGCTTGGATGACTGTGCTCTATCTTCGGAGATGAAACTCTTGCCGAGTTCGAGACTGTGACTGTTGATTTCCGCTTCTTGAATGGCATGAAAATCATGGAAGCACGACGCCTAACACCATAAGAACGATCTTTTCCCAGTGAAAAAATTGCCGGTGGTAATGTGAGTTCTGAAACATTTTCGAGTTCAGCAGCAGCTGGAGGGACCGGCTCACTCTCTACATCGGCTGATATTTCAAAGTCCTTTTCAGAGTGTTTAACAAAGGCATCTTCTAAAGTTTGTGTTTTCGATGAAGCTTCTGTTGTCGGAGCAAAAGGAAGGCTGTCGATGGCATGTTCGGGACAACATGACGAGGATGAGCACATGGAACGAGCTATCCTCACTTTGTGGACGCTGATGGAAGAACGATGGTTCTTGAATTGTGAATCCTCGCGATCCTTCTGATCAAGTCGCATGGGAGTCGAGATTGATCGTGAGGTGAGGCTGAGGGTAGATTTCGTTGAGCTCAACGTGCCGCGCCTCGACCTTGGGTGATGATTCGTGGGATCCTCATTGTCCGAAATCCTCTTGCTCTGACATCGCCTGGGCTTTTTGAGCTCATGGAAGTGGAAGTGACTGCCTTCTCCTTCAAATCCGCCAGCTCGATTGCTTCTTCGCCGCCGGGGCTGAGCTGATACTTGCTCGGCTTGGGAGGAATGCTTATTTCTGCAACACGCTCTCTCATACGCAACAGCAGCTGCCAGCAAAGCATGTTTCCTTTCTGGATCCGGGTCTCTTTGGTCGAGGAGTGACGGAAGGCGACGCACTGACACCGAGTTGGCTGACCTAGCCCGTCGGAGGTTGGCTGTTGAATTTTGGATATTGGAGATAGAATAGGAATTCATATCCGAAATGTCTATGAAACGGATGAGATCTCCAAGAGTCCAAACTCGAGTTGTCTTTGGGGGTCAAAGTCTATAACAGGAGGAATATCCATGAAATTCATGATCCAGTTTTATTTGGGTCTGTATCCTAGCCAACCAGCTCAAGTGCAGTACAGACCAGCACAGGATCGGCAGCAGCGAAGGAAATGTTATGAGATTGTGGAAGGACACACATGCGATGCCTCTGCCACTTCTCTCGCGACTGACAATGAATAAACGCCAATCTTCAGCATCAGCTAGCAGAAGCGTGCTGCAGAAGGCCAGATGTTCTTATGCGTTCAATCTTGGTGCCTTGAAACGCAGTCGTGATCCAAGGAGACAACGACTTTGTTCACCTTTGGCTAGATGCTGTCATTCGGCTTCTTCAGTTTTCATTGTCATGTAGATTGCCAAATTTTGGAATGCCTCTGCGAAATTGTCATAAGGTGGAAAGGCAGTGGTGTTGAACTTCTCGACCATTTCTTGACACACATCAATGGCCAGATCCACGTCTTTCCGGGTACAATCTCTCCCGTATATATTAATAACAGCTCTTTCGCTTGCCATCTCCAGCCTTCGCAACTCAAGGTTCTCCCGTACGGATTTCAAGTCCTGACATACAATTACTTTTGGTCTCTCTGTGTTTCGAGAAAGGTAGTCAAGGGTTAACACAGGCCAAGGTAGATAAGGTGCGAAAAAAAAGCAATCCTTTGGAGTGAATTGATTGTGCAGTGCCTTTGCAGCAGTAGCAACCCCAAAATGTTCTAGTACAGCTTTGTCCGTGCTTGTAAAGGATGGGTCGACTGCCAGGATCCTCACATCGTTGTCGACACCAGTGGTGAAGAGATGTTTGAGAAGCCAGAGGAAGACGGTGAACTGTGTCATTGAGCGTCTGGTGGCCATTGTGGGCTCTGGACCAAGACTCCCAAGGCCAAGGCAGAGCGCAGTCTCCATGCTTCCCGGCTGAGAAGACGCCACAACTGTATCCAATGCCGCCGCGCATGATGAATCTTCGAATTTTGAGAGATTCCTCTCTATTTCTTCAGTAATACGCGAAACATCTGCCGCTAACGCTGGCAGGTCTGGTCCTGATGCCTCATGACTTGATGGAGTCTTGTCTTTTCTAGGGCGCCCACCCTTTGAGCGGGTCACGAACGACCAACCATCCGAAAGCTCGATATTGCCGAGCTTGTTTGGCTTGCGCATTTGTACGTCTCTGTAGCAAGCGGTCCTGCTTTAATTCAGGTTAATTGCAATTGTCAGCCAAAACGTAGACTTCAGGCTGTTGGTGCCTTAGAAATATTGGCCTCAGCGCCTTGTCTTCGTGTTCACTATGTTCAGTTACTCGTCGAAGACCGCGCCATAAACATTTGGCTGCGCGCTTTTCGTCAATGACTAAGAAAATATGCGTTTCATTGCACCTCCAATCTTGCGGTAGCACTCTGTAGAAGACAAGAATATGCCGCGAGTCATCAAACGTACGCCCGAATGGCTCGTCGAGCCTTCGCCGGGCCATCATCTTTTCAGTTTTCAAGGCTCCAAGCTGCACGGTCACGGCAGCCGCGCCACCGACACATCTCCTACGGGCTCGTTAAGAACGATTGCCAAGGGAAGAGGATCCGAAATATTCGTTGCTTCGGGAAATGAGCTGCGATGGGCAGATCTCGGGGCGTTAAAGCAGGATTTCCAGGAGGTTGAGGCAATGAGGAATAGAGCTTCACAAACAGCAGGCCATAAAGCAGGGGATGCGGAGTCTGGCTATCGGGTGCGTACCGTATATATAAGGACACGACGAGTGCTTTGATTGTTCGAAGAGAATTTGGAACTAATAAAGACACTGCAGACGCTTAAGGTTCCCGGCTCTGGAACCATCACGCAGCTAGTCGTTTCGCCTGAAAGGGAGTTTCTTGCCATCGTTCGCTCCCACCAGATTTATGTTGCTATCCTTCCTGATCTTCGTCATCTGCGCGAGACAGATGTTGGCACGTACAAGCTGAAGTGCTTCCATCTCGGACCCACAATTCACTGCGTCGAAGAGGCAGCCGTCGTGTCTGTGTTGTGGCATCCACTTGGCGAGTATGGCCGTTGTCTTGTGACGGTCACGTCAGACTCCGTGGTCCGCTTATGGGAGATCAGTAAAGACGATCGCTCGACCTTCGAACAACCCTCCACCGCTATCGATCTCAAAAAATTAGCAAACGCAGTGTCTGCAGATCAAGACTTTAGTGCCTCTAAATTTGGGTCCGCAAAAGGGTTCACTCCAGACTCTGCAGAACTAGAGCCTGCAGCCGTATGTTTTGGCGGCAGAGGTTTTGAAGGTGAGAACCCGTGGCACTCAATGACACTGTGGCTGGCGACGAAAGGTGGTGATATATACACGTTATGCCCCTTGCTTCCGAAGCGGTTCGAGACTGCAGCAGACTTTATCGAATCGTTGTCTGTCCTTGTTGCTGCGAAACAACTGGAAGCCCAAGAGGATAAGACGAAATTGTTAACCTCAGATGCTCAGGCCGAGTTTCTGGCGAGTCTGCAAGAGCAGGAGCCTATGCTTGCGCAAGGAGCCTCGGAGTTCGAGACACGATACATATACTGTAAACCACATCGCCCAGGACCGGCACCGAAGCTGCAGGGACCATTTGAGATCGATCCGGAGTTAGAGGAAGATTCGGAATTCGTTGATATCTACGTGACACCCTTTGAGACACCACAAGAGCAGGCATTCGATGAAGACCAAGAACTCCCAGGCTCATCGTCACTGGTCTGTGTTTTGACCAGTCTCAACCAGGTCCTCACAATGGTTGATTTCGATGGTATTGATGGGCAGTGGGTGCCCTCTCGTGGAACGCCATTTTCCACGCCAAAAAATCGTGGTGTAATTGTCCCTGAGGATTACCACACCTTGAATCTTTTCGAAATAATTCACTTAAACTCCCAAAACGATAATATTTCGATGAATTTCTCAACTATTACCCCGGATATTGTCTCCCCCCACGCCTTTTTTGTAACCGGCAGCACAGGCGTACATTATATCTCCGCTGCTCGCTGGACCCGAAACATACTGAACGAGCTCGCAGAAAAAGACGATGTCAACAATACCAGCAGCATCAGACTGGACACGCTCCTTGAGAGTGCTCAATCTCTAGTCGAGCATCTCATTGTCTTTCCTAGGCTTGCTAGCAGCTCCAGTTCACCCCCACCAGTCGCATGCCTTGTATTTGCAGACAGCCACATTTCTCGTTCCGGACTTGGGTATTTCATCTTAACCACTCGTGCGAATGAGCCTTGGGCTGCGCAGCTGGATATATCAGACTCCGATCTGTCCACCTTAGCCGACGCTGAAATTTCGTTTGACGATCTCGATTCGATTGAGACGTACTCTCTTGAACCTTACCAGCGCAAGCTCATCCTTGCCGAACCTCGAGACGTCTATCGTCCTGATCCAGCATTTGAGAGACCCTCGGTGCTGCCAACGTTTATTCGGGAACAGTCGTCTGACCGGAAAACAGCTGTACTGTTGATGGAAGACGTGGACCTTGAGAGTATGCCGCTACTTGAAATAATGATAGCAACTCACCATCGCATTCAAGGAGAATTTGAGGGCCTAAATAAGGCCGCAAACGGCCTCTTTACACAGACCAAGCGCTTGCGTGATAGTCTACTGGAGCAGATCAGAAGGGTACGAGAATTGAAGGAGATCGTGGAGCGGGTCACAGGCGACGACGACGAGAATGGTGGAAGTGAAGACTGTGGTCTTCAAAGTGAGGTCGTGAAGTTGAATTTGCGCGTCACGGAGGCAAGGGAGAGGCAAAAGAATCTTGCGGAACGGGTCGACCGTCTCAAGAACAGTCTCTCTCGCATATCCACAAAACAACTCAGCGACAAAGAGAAGGCCTTCAAAAAGGAGCTGGAGGACTTTGACTGCAAATTGAACAGCGGGGAGTATAGCCCCAGAGGAGGTGTGAAATCTTCCGCGCTCATGGACCGGATCATGGAGGTCACAACTTTGAGCGCATCGCTGACAAAACAAGCGAAAGAGAGTCTTGAGGAAGGCGAAGGCCAGAATAAGCGAGTTGGAAGCAAGGGTAACGTGTCTAGTGGATTTAGAAAGGCGAAGATTCAAGGAGTCATGGAGCTTTTGGAGAGGGAGCAGATAGCGGTTGACCGCGCTGCCGAGAAGTTGGAAAGACTCAAAGTTTGAAGTCATTCCCATCTTTGCAGCAGTCTAGATATCAGGCTCTTCACGATAGTATAATAAACGGGGAAAGAAAGACGTTTCCTTTGAAGATGGACACACTTTCTCTAGATTGAATAGACGTTAGCATTGCGTATTTCCTCCCTCCCCCAAAATGCATGCAAGTTTGTCGTTCATGTTCAAACGAGAGCTGACGTGACATTGGTTGAGATAAACCTTTCGAGACAAAGCCCCCACAATGTAGTTCCAAAAGTATAAACAAGAATCGAAGGACTCTGATAGAATGCCTCTCTAGCACAGAAGAGATCGATTGAACACACAAATGTCTACGCCTGAAGCCTTCGCCGCGCTCCATATGTACATGCGGCGCAAAGAAATAATTCACAGAGAAGAAGCAGGTGTGAGAACCCGGAGGGTGAGAGGAGTCTGGCTGTGCAGCGACAGGATTTCCCCGTTTGAGATCGACGTTTTCAGTACTTGGTGTGTCCGACCTCGTGGATAGCGGCCTCAACATCCTTTGCGTTGCGGCCCGCAGGACCGGAGATGGAGCCAATGCGGCTGTCGGGATCGGCGGTGGTACCCTCGATGCCGACATGGCTGTCTCGGTACGCATCCAGCTCCTTGCCCTTGTAGATGTTCCTGCGTAGTATGTTAGCCACCTTGTCGAGTAAGGCGGGTTGTCATGGGAAGACTGACAGATAGATTGGGAAAGCCCACGCAATTACGAAGAATGAGAGAGGCACCACCATGGCGATGCGCGTGCCGGTCTTGTCGGCGACGTTTCCAAGAACTGGAGACAGGATATGTCAGCTCGTGTTTCTCATGATTTTTGTCGAATCTCTGGCTCAAACTTACTTGCAGGAACGACGGCGCCGCCGCAGACGGAAGAAACCAGGAAGGAGGCGCCGCGCTTCGTATGTCGGCCCAAGCCACGAAGAGACAGCGTGAAAATGGTGGGGAAGATGCAAGACTCGAAGAAGAGCACGATCATGAGCATCGCAATACCGCCCCAGTTGGCAGATGTGGCACCCCCGGTGTTGGTTCCGATAGCAGCGGCGATGAAGACCATGATCAAGGTCTGGTAGGCAAGCAGGATATAGCGCGGCTTAGTGACGTACATCAAGGCTGCAGCGGAGAATCTGCCAATGGCAAAGAGTGCTTGGGCGATGGCATAGAAGTTCGCACCCTTGTGTTGGGCCTCAATGGTGCTGAGGTCCGGACGGGCCTGTTCGAAATAGTTGATGAAATAGCTGGCAATAGCAACCTGGGCGCCAACGTAGGAGAACTGGGCGGCTACGCCGAAGAAGAGAGTGTACTGCTTGCGGAGGGGCTTGTCTTCGTAGCCAGTGGCCGCTGTGGTCATCTCTGCCTGATCGGCCATATCTGCGTCGGTGATTTCTGGAAGTGGAGCACTGCAAGGAATCAGCCATGGTTTACGATCGCACGGGTACACTCCACTTACAAGTAAAAGACAACGGCCAGGAGTGCGACGAAGCAAGCGATGCCGAGGTACACATACTGGACGGCAGAGAGAGACTTTCCATCCGTGCCAACATTCTGGTTTTGAAGTCAGACGCGTCAATCTTTCCGTTCCTAAACTTCTCTTACCTTGAAAATAACGTACGAGGCAAGCACTGGAGCAACAACAGAGCCGACAGCTTGGAAGGACTGGGAAAGTTCAAGACGGAACTCTGACCATCTTGGTGGACCGCACACAGCAATGTACGGGTTGGCAGACGTTTCGAGCGTGGACAAGCCGGAGCCTACGATGAACATGGAACCGCAGAAACCTGGGAAGGATCGCTTCACTGCGGATGGCCAAAACATGAGCGCACCCACGCAGTAGATGAGCAAGCCGAGGATGAAGGTGTAGCGGTATCCAAATCTGCGGACGAACCATCCAGAATACGTCAAAGGACCAAGGAAGTAAGCGCCGAAATAGCTGGCTTGGAGACCTGACGACTGTCCCTTGGTGATATCGAGTGCAACCTGGAAGCGAGAGTTGAGGACGTCGAGAAGACCGTAGGCGAAGCCCCACAAGAAGAACAAGATGGTGACCAGGGTGACGGGGATGATGGACTGACGAGTGGTGATCTGTGAAGCACCAGTGATCGTCTTGTCAGCGACGCTCTTTCGCTTGCGAGACACGGAGAGTGCCTCGACGGCGGATGGACGACGCTCTTGCTGCTTGTGGATCTCATCAATAGAGGGCTCTTGAGAACCGTTCAGGCCAAAGAAACTGATACCCATGATGGCAAATGAAGGGCGAAATGATTCGGGATGTTGTTCAAGCAACAAAAAGACTGATGAATAGTGCAAACCAAATCCAATTGGTTGATGAGAGGAAAGTGCTCTCGAAGATTGGGGTATCAAGCAAAATGGCAGAAGATGGTCGGGGGGGGCGAATATGAAAGACCGACTAAAGAGCCTCGTGATGAACGATCGCTCTTGAGACTGCTGATGAGGATCGTCCAACAGGTGGACTGTTCAGGACATTATATAGACCCATTTCTCTGAGAAGTGGAGCAGTCCTTCGTGATACTGGATGTCATGACCATCTGCCCTCCAAGACTTTGGGATAGTCTGGAGCGAGTCTGGAGCATGGCCATGTCACCAAGGGTATGACGAGGCGTCTCCTAATACCGTTAGGATATGCAATGCGTCTGGAGCTCGGATCTTCCCAGCCGCAGTTGACTCCGGCAGCGGCACCAATTACTAGACCGGATCTCGAGCAAGCTTTGCCCTTGGCGCAGCTATGTTGTGCTTTCAACGCAGATTTGCTCGTCTCGGGCCGATGGCTGCTACTCGACGGTCGCCAGCCGATAATCTTGCATCTTTCTAGAAGCGCCGCCGCTAGAACCAGGCCGACCTGTCGCGCGGGTGCAGTTCTCATCTCATCCTGCGCACCAGGAGCGCAGGGTGGTGATTGCCACCTTGTACAGCGAAATTCAGATTCCCATGTAGTGCTCTGATGCTGATTCTTTCTGAGGCCAAATGGGCGAGTGACCTTCAGAGAAGGACCTCCACCTCCGGGACCCTTCGAAAGAAGCCTGTTTATTGGGCAATGTTCTCTCGAGTGGGGCGCAAGTTGTCAGGCATTGCTTGAGCGTGAGCCCAACTCTCTCGCCATGAGCCCCAACGATGGTTGCCAACGTCCAGCTTTCATCCAGTGGAGTTCCTGACAATGTGCCAATAACGCACAGCAAGCACGGACAATGTGTAGGCGTTGGGGCAACCTTCTAGTGGCTTTCTAGACTTTTGAGCTCGCGTGCGGCGGGCGACAACTCTTCAACTCGAGGCTTCTGAGCGATTTTTCTCTGGCCAGTCAGACGCCGAGGATGAGATTTATGCAAGCTCAACATAATGCAGCCAAGAGTTATGCAAGCGATGGTGAGGTGAGGATTGTGTGAACCGTCCACAACTGCCGGGGAAGACACCGGGGTAGAAGATGCGGAGGGCGAGCAAGCAGCGTGGGGAGAGCAAAGACATGATTGGATGCTTGTCGGTCCAGCGGACCACTAGCGTCGTCCTGGGTGAGGAGGATTGCGTGACGTCCAGAGGCGACGATGAGAGACTTGCCTCCTCCGGCTAAGCGGCCTACTTCGGAGCATCACATGTGTGGAGAGATACCACCAAGCCCATGCAAAGAAGCCTTCTAGCGCGCCTCGTCGAAGCTTACCTTGACGAAAGCATTCCCTGGCAGGTTCCGAGATGGGCGAGAAAAGCCAAATAAACCCCATACGGCGACCCACCAAAGGACCGATTGCGACAGCTCGGAGCAGGGTTGGTACGCGGCTAAGAGCTTCAGGAGGCTGAAAAGGTTGCATTAGCGACGGCGTCAATGTGCACACGGCGTAGCGGCCAAGCCTGGGATGAACGAATGAGTGCTGTCTCTTGTACGCGTTGAGTGGGGGTTTGTGGAGCAAAGGATTGCTGGTTCAACAGCGTCATCAAGAAACATCACGCCTCGAAGTCCGGATCTGCACAATCAGTCACACGGCGGGTCAGTCAACAGTCAAACCACCTGCCTCTTAGGTGTATAGTCCTGGCCTGATATGGGTTTGGCCGCATGCCTTGCAACATTGTATCCAAAGTTTAAGGTTTGGCTGGATACCAGAAACTCCCTCGTTCGTCTCGATTGGCCAATTCTCATTATTCCGGACAATGTTCGAGCTGTGTGCTCGACACGACGTCAGCCAGAACTTGGGCTGCATGGGCCCTCGATGGCATCGTCCATAGTTTTTTTTTTCAGGACTGGTGGCTTTCTCGAGTCTGTGCCGTTTGAGCAGACGAAGATGGCGTTTCCTCAAATGTAACTCATAAAAGCAGGCAGAGAGGACGTAACATGAATACGTGATGAGGTCGGGCAGGTGTGTAAAGTGTCTAATCAAATTTGACTATCAGCGCCGTGATGATATGGGAAAAGCGAAGGACAGCCCAGAACCAAGTGACGCCCCCCATGTCTTCCGTTCTCTATGAGCGATTGAAGCCTTGTAACAGATACCCAGGTCTAAATGCAAAAGTAAAGTAAAGAAAAGAAAAGAAAGAATTTGTGTCATAGGCGCTTCTCGCTCTTAATTGTCATCACAAGCCTCGCAATCATATTCGTCGTTCATCGTCCATCATCCACCGACCATTCGATACCCCAACCTTTCATCCGATACCCAATCTATCATTCCAGCCGTCAACCTATGCTTTAAGCGATCCAGGAATCAAAAAGAACGCCGTCTCGATGTCGATAGCTCCCCCCTCCGTCTCTTCTGCACACCGTTTTCGCACAGCAGCAGACGCTAGTCAACGACTAAGAGCCTCTCTTTTACGAACAATTTATGCAGTGTCGGTGGCCGCAGACGCAGATGTCACCGATAAACACGTCCTCATCACATTGGCAGCACTTCCATATGGGCTGATGCCGGCGTGCGAAATGAACTCCACCGCGGAAGAGGTTGTCGAAAGAGCTTTCGCTCGGCACGCCTTCGTTGTCGACCTTGCTAATAGCCATGATCTTTCGGGATGACACTGCGATCTGTGCTTGAGGACCTTGACTGGCCGGATGATATGAAGATATTGCTGCGAAGGAAGAGAATCCGATGGTGTGCTCGTTGCTCGGTGCTGCTGATGCGAACACTGCTCGACTTCGACCATGCTCTTATACGGGTGTTCTCTGCACAAAAGTCTTCTTCATGTCGAATCGCGGCTTTCGCACGTCGACTCTGCCACCCACAGGCGACGCCCCGCCCTTCCGTGACAGTCGGCCATTTTGCGAATTTGGGCGGTGAGAGAGCTAAGCTGTGCAAAGTTTGAATGCCAGCAGGGCGAAGAGGACAAAGATTCAACAGACGCCCTTAAAAGCCTTCAGTCCGCCGGCGTGGCCCGAGGTGAAAAAATAGCGAAGTAGCTGCTTCCGCTGGACGTATCAGTCAAAGAGAGCGATAGTGAAATGGTGGCGGAGCAAGAATGCGGGACGGCACAACCACTCAGGTGTCGCTACCGCGTGCTTCGATTCGTGGCGTGTATGGATGAAGTAATTCGGTACGGTGAGAGACATTTCGCGGGTGGTTTGCGAGCCAGCAGACGTTCAACATACCACGCCAGAGATTTGGTTTGACATTTGGGCGACAAGGCAGCAGCTTCTTCGCAAGGCGGTGCTCCAATTGTTCCCATAGTCGTGAGCGCGCTGGGCTCACTCCAAGCTTGCAAGCAGTCCGCGGCTCACTCAGACGACGACAGAAGCGCGCGCAAGAGGTTGGCAATGTTCTGGCGCTCGAGTCGTGTACACCGAGCAGAACAAGCGGAGAGCATACCTGTGGGCGCGAACAAGGAAAAAGCAACTTCACCACGCAGGTTTCCGTCCATCCAGTGGACAGCGAAAGAAGGCAAAAGGCTGCGCAGCGCATCATTCGCTTGAACGAAACGAAGCGTCATTCGAGGGCCGATCAAGGAGTGCTCTCCGTAACGCTGCAGACCGTAAGCAAGGCACAGAACGGACACATGCGCTCATCAAACCTCCACCCGACGCCAGTCGTCCCGCCAGCAACGGCTCCGATGGCACAAGAGCATAGCCCTGAATTGTTCTTCACCGTCTGGCCTCTGGATGCAGCTTCGACGCTTCATAGACTCTAAGACGGCGATCGCAACGACGGGCGAGTGGCGGCGAGCTGCCAGCGATGCTCGTGTCAGGAGCAGACAAGGCGAACGACTTCTCGTCGCCGTTGCCCCGAAGAGAACCCGTTCAGTTGATCTGGTGGGTTCTATTGCTCTGTGGCGGAGCAGATCTGCAGAACCACTTTTGTTGGTTGCTCAGTTCGCCCTCCCCGCAAGGCCTTGCCTCGTGCAACGACGTTCGTCTCTGAAGCGCTCCAGCTCCGGCTCGCCCAAGAGCAGCCTCCGCTCCCGCGAGCAATGGGACGCCAGTAGTTCTATGCTCCGTACAGCCCCAGAGGCGGCCGAGGAAGCCCTGTCGCGTCCGGAGGAATCCGGCCCACGACTGGTTCGCGCAAAGGCGTGAGAGGCGCAAACAACGGGCTTGACGTTGAAGCGTGGTTCTGCTCTCGCGCTGCCGCTTCTTTCTTCTCACCGTCCGCGGGCAGCTCCAGACGTCCCGAGTACGGAGGTGAAAGCGCCACACTTTGGCTGGGCGGATGTGAACAACAAGGCAACGAAGGACAAAAGGCAATCGCTTAGAATACCAGGATGGGCACGGATAAGCGCATGCACAGCCCTTCCCACTGCCAACAGCTCGCAACTACGTCTACTGGTCGTCGTCGTGCCAGATGTTTGAATGAATACGTCGAGAGAGGGAAGCCAAGCACCAAGTGCTTATGGACAACACACAGCCTCGCGAGTCAAGAGCGTCATCGGAGAGAAGGACAAGAGTCGTGAACATCATCTGCGCCCTAATTCAGATTCAAGGCCCTCTTGGCTCCCACTACGAAATAGTACAATGTGCTCCGCGCTGTATCCCATCATCGAGCCTGCATTCCATTGCGCCCGTGCCGTAGATCATCAACAAACCCGCGTCCGTGTCGACGCCCCAAAGCCCGACTGGATCAGACCGTGAGGTCGGCGCAGTCGACTGCTCGATCGGAAGAACGCGGCAAACATGCTCACCGTCCGCTGATCGCGCCCTCGACGAAGGCCATCGCATCCTCATTGCTAACCACGTCGATGCTGCTCGTCTTGTTCGTGTATGTGACGCCATAGCACTTTTCAGCCACCTGCACCATCTCCGGTCTAAACGTCGTACAAATAAACTGCGCTGCGCCTTCCTGGGCGTCGCCTTCACCATGGCCGCCCTCGCCCACCGATAGCTCGCGGATCATCTGCGCAACGGCGGTCCGATACTGTGCGTCCAGATTCGCGTCGATCTCGTCGAAGAGGTAGAACGGCGCAGGGTCGCAGCGTTGGATGGCAAACACCAGCGCAAGGGCACACAGACCTAGAGAATGCCATGTCAATTCATCACGTTCTTGCCAGCGCGTCACTTTCTAGCATCACTCACTCTTCTGTCCACCAGAAAGTTGCTGTATCTTCTGCTGGTCGTCATGTTTGGAATTGAAGCTCACACTGATCCCCACTCCGACGTAGTTCTCCACCGTCTTGCTGAGGTCTTCCTCTTCGCTGTCGTCAGGATCACGCAGCTGACGGTCAGTCTTGCGCTGGATGACCAGGCGTCCCTTGCCCGCTGGCACGAGCCTCTCGAATACCGTTGCGAACTCCTTGCTGACTTGTCTGAACGTCCGCTCGATCGCCTCGTCTTTCTTCATGTCCAGATGGTCGATGAGCTTCTGTATTGATTCATGACTCGCGTCCAGGTCCTTGCGTCGTTCTTTGAGCCCCTCCCTCTGGCGCGTGAAGTTCGTGTACTGCTCAAATGCCTTCTTGTTGACGTGTGCAAACTTCTTGAGCTCCTCGCGCACCTTGGGTAGTCGCTTCGCAATCTTTTCGGTGTCGAAGCGCTTGTAGCGGTCGAATGCGTCGTCAGGTAAAACCCCAAGGTCACGGATGCGCTTATTGACCTCCTGCAGCTGCCGTGTCAACGATCCCTTCTTGTTCATGTTCTTGGTAAGCTCGGCCTGCCGCTGCTCGATGGCTTTGGCCAGCTGCTTCTGCTGATTTTCCAACTCCGCCTTACGCTTTTCATACTGCTGCAACTGGGCGTCGAATTTTTCAATACTTGCATCAGCTTCCGCGATCTGCTTCTCGATGTTCTCAACAGACTTTACGATCCGTTTGAGCTCACGTTGTTGCTCTTTAAGGAAGGCGTCCGAGGCGCCGCTCACACCCATAACACCGCTTGTGTCGAAAGCTTGAGCGTTCAACTCATCCAGCCTGGGTCGCAAGTTCTCTCTCAGTTCCGACTCGAGGCTCAGCTTGCGTGTCTCCGTTTCCGAACGCTTGGTGCTGAGGATTGTAAGCTCCCTTCGTAGAGCTTGAATCGTGGTCGCCAGGTTCTGCAGCTCTTGCTCCTCAGCGGGTGACAGAGCTTTTTGAAACGGCGATTGTAATTCAGTCTCATAAGCCTTTTGATCTTCGCTAGCCTTGCGCTCTTCAGCTTCGAGACTCTCGCGTTGCTGCTGAAGCCTCTCCAAAGTATCACGCTCGCGCTGCAGCTCGTTGATTTTGCTACGGAGCTCCTGTCTCATGGGGTCATAGCCATCATCAGCGAGTTTCATACGGTTTTCAATCTTGCGTCTTTCACTGTCCACCTTAGTAATCCGTTGGTTCATGATCTCGAGATTCTTTTCGATCTCCCTGTTTCTTGCTTCATAAGACCGCACGGCCTCTCGGGCCCTGGCTTCCTCTGACGCAGCCTCGATGCGCGAGCTTCGAATGTCGTAGAAACCACCCGTCAGAGCACCCTTCTTGTCAGCACGGTCGCCGTCTGGGGTTATTGCGCTCAGGGAGTGGCTTCGGGCATATTGAGATGCAATCTGAAGGGTCGGACAGATTATGGTCTTGCCAAAGACGTGCTGCATAGCCGGCTCAAAGCGCGGATCGAAGTTCAGCTTAGACACCATATGGATTGCATCGGCGGAATTTGGAATGTTGACCTGTGGTGCCTGCAATCTGTTGAGCGGCATGCAAGTGACACGTCCACGCTTTTCCTTGAGCAGTCTCTGAATGACCCTCGAAGCAGTCTCCTCATTGTCCACAACATAATGGAACAAGCTCTGGCCAGCGGTTACTTCGACTGCTGTTCTAAACCTGTCGCTGACTTCGAACAGCTCCCCGAGTGTGCCATACAAGCCTTCCATGCCCTCTTCATCTCGCAGATAGCGAAGATACTTGATCGCATCCCACGTGTTCCGGTCCGTCATCTTCATGAGTTTGAATTCGGCGTTGCTGAGATTTTGACGTGCCGTTTCAAGCTGCTTCCTCACCTTATCCTGTTCGCGGAAGAGCTCTCTGCGCTCATCCTGCAGCTTCTGCAGTTCTTCCTTTGCCTGATTCAGCTCTGTCGACATGGACTCCATGTCGCTGCCACGATTACTCAAGCGGTTTTGCAGTTCTTCGATCTCGGCTTCCAGCCTAGCAATGTTCTTTTGAGTGTTGGCAATATCCTCCGCAATTTGCATTGCAATTGCCTTTCGCTTCGCAAAGTTGAGCGTGATCTCTTCGATTTGAGCTTGCAAAAAGCGGTCGCGATCTTGCTTGCTCTTGAAAACCTGCGAACGGTTCTGCTTTGCACGTAGTCTGTCATATCCAGCCTGAGCGGACTCCAACTGCGCCAAAACTTCCTTCTCCTGCGCCAACTGTTTGTTGTACGTCGGGAGTAGTTCGTTCAGCTCTTGTTGCTTCGACTTGATATCCTGCTGAACGCTCTTTAACTGACTTTCATACTGTGCCTTCGCTCGCTGTGCTGAAGCTTGGCCCTGAACAAGGTTACGGACTTCGAGCTCTACTCTAGCCTTCTCGCGAACTTTGTCCTTTCGCTCGTCATCCAACTGCCGCCGCTCAGACAGCAAAATGTCCCGGTCCTGGAGAAGCTGTTTAATGCTATCATCGAGCTTATCGATTTCCGCCTGTCTCTCTATGAAAGTCTCGCGATCCTCGTCAGTGCTTTCGACGCCCGTCGTCCGCCTAGCCTCAATCTGTTCGAGCTTGTGCGTAATCGTCTGTTTCTCCCGTTCGAACAAAGTGAATTCCAGGCATCTGACCTCTTTCGAAAGTTCTTGGTACTTAAGCAGCTCAGCTTTTTCTTCCTCAAGTTGCGCGAGGCGCTCGTTGATGTAGCCCAACAGATCGTCGATACGCTTCCGCTTGTGGTCAGTGTCCTCCATGATCTTAAGCGATTCCGCTCTACGTCCCTCATAAACTTTGGTCCCGGCAACGTCTTTCAGCAGATTCAATCGTTCGCCGTCCTTCATGTTGGTGAGGGCCGTAACGCGACCCTGTGGGACGATGTAGTAAGGATTTGATCGCGAGAATCCAGCCGACTCCAGCAGGTTCACTACGTCGGTTCGTGACGCGCTCTTTCGGTCAATAGAATACTCGTCCTTCTTCATGCCAATCGTCCGTCGCAAGATAAGCTCAGGCTTGCCCGTAGGGAATCGATCGTCGCTGTTGTCGAATATAACCTCCACGTACGCCGTCACGACGGCAGAGCCCGAACCCTCGTGAAGCAATGCACTTCGATCCTGTTGCGATATCGTGCCCCAGTTCTCGTCGCCAAGGACGAATCGCACGGCGGCGAAGAAGTTGCTCTTCCCCGAGCCATTGCGCCCGACAATAACGTTGTTGCGAGGCGAGAATGGCTCGATACTTGTCTGGTCCTTGTAGGACTTAAACCCTTGAATGATAATCTGCTTGATATACATCGCGGGCTCATATGCGCATCGTGTTGGACTTGAACAAAGGAAAAGTGGGGTGTTGTATCGCGTTGCGCTTCACAGCGACGCGAGTGGACGCGAATGGCGAGATGCGGTTGGTGCCTTATTCTCGGCCACTCTCGTCAGGCACAAAGGCTACCATCTTACGATCCCTTAGCCACATCTTCTCATTCCCCGTTTTATTTGCGACGTTGACATCGAATGTTCCTGTCATAATTGACTGGAAATCAGAATTGACCTCTCGCAGTGGCTCCTCACATTGCCGTCAGTATCTTTTTCTTCCTATTCTCTGTCTGATGAATGTTGAGTTGCCACAGGCCACTGCATTGTGAATTGATGCCTGTGAGACAATCGCATACCAAGTCTCGTCTAGGATGCAAACAATGTAAAGCCAGGCACGTGCGATGTGACCAAAACTCTCCAAAATGTGGCCTCTGCAAACGAAGAGGTGTAGAATGCAGCTTGTCTGCTTCATATGCGGCAGACAAGCAAGGCCTCTTGCAACCCAGAATAGATACTCCTCGACGCGAGACGCCGTCGACTGAGGGGACTGCGTCTTCACAGATCGGTACCCCAACGCCTCCGAAACCAGAACTGGTCTGGACTAGGCTCGATATTGGTCAATGTGACGATAGTCTCCCCTGGGATCAAGATGAATCTCTTCCTCTGAAAGAGCTTGAGCTTCTTCATCATTTTACGACGGTCACAGCATTCACTCTGGGCAAGGAGAAAACCTTACATGAGTCGTGGCAAACCGCCGTGCCCCAGCTAGGCTTGAAATACTCCTACCTCATGTATGGGATTTTTGCGGTTTCTGCGCTGCACATGTACACAACGAGTAAGGGAATCCAATCAGCTAGAGAGTATCACGACTTGGCCCTGCACTACTATGACCTAGCCAGCTCTCGATTTAGAAATACCCTTCAGGTTCTCTCTGGTCGTATCAGCTTCACTCAGTTCGCAACATCCAGTTTGCTGTGCCTTTTCATTCTAGCATCGCGAATGCACATCCCCTCCGCCAACGGGTCAAGGTGCCTCGACGACTTATCAACTCTGCACAACCTGGTAAAAGGCGTGACGGTCATTGCCACGGACTGCGATGCCCTCACAGAAAGTCGCGACACTAGGCATCCGTTGCTTAACCCTGAGCCATGGGACGACGTCATCCTCGCACCCAACATCGAAGCCGCGCTTCATAGAATGACCGTCTACGCGGAGTCACTGAGCAATAACGGTCCTCGTAGGGAAGCCTATCACAAAGCCATCAACGCCCTTAGGGAGACATTCAAAGCCGTTGTTGCAAACCCAGGACGCACCACGCTACCGTTCTTCTGGTTCATGCGCATACAACGTGACTTTGTCGATCTCGTCGAGAAGCGAGATCCAGTCGCGTTGGTTATTGTAGCGTGGCATGCAAGGTTGCTGGAGAGGTACAGCGAGGAATGGTGGTTGGGTGGCCGTGGAGAGGCGGTTTTGAACGAGATCATGGGACTATTGGGAGAAGACTGCACCCAAATTCAAGTTTGGCCGAGAGAGGCGTTGGTGCTGTAACCTGGAGCGGAGTTCTAAGCAAGGACAATAACCACACACTGCCGATTGCTTTCGGGAAAGCTGTCTCGTGTAGGGCCTCCAGGCATCCATGGGGCAGCGTGAAGTAAGAGATATATTGAATTTGGAACCCGTCGTAACGTTTCCTTCCTGCATGCGAGCGTCGCTAGTTTCCTTAATATCCGTTCGCTTTAAGTTGTATCGCTGAGGTCGTAGAAGGACCTACTTGCGTATTTAGACGTCTCCAATTGGCCACCGCCACGACCCATCAGCCTTGAAAGCTACTTGCAGTTCCGATAGTTCAATACACGCACTGTTGTCTGGGATGGCAGCTTGCTTCACTCCTTTTTATTTTTAAACAGATCTTACATGTCTGCATGCTTATAAACAGGCGGCCGGACGCGTCGCCATAGCTCTCAAAGCAAATGAACGCCTCCTACTGTCGCTACCGAAAGCCATATTCGAAAAGCACGGCTCTCAAAAAAATACAGGTCCGGAACAGAAACAAGTTTGCGGCGGCTTGAGGTCAGTCCGGGCTTTCACTCAACTCCTTTTACTGCAAGATACGGACGGCTCTGGGTCGCTGTTCTGGGAGGCACAAAGAGTCTACCACACGGAAGTCGCGTTGAGCAGCTTTTACTCCGTTACAGCGACGCAATCCGTCTAAGTGCTCCAAGCCCATACCAGCAAGAAGCATCCTCACGACCCTTTGCTCACCACCCCCCCGACTCGGGGCCAGGTACCTGACGAGCCAGCCCGTCACGATCAAGCTAAGGCTCAAGTCAACCATGGGAAACAGCCAAAGCGTCGTCATTCTCTACGTGGTGATCGGTGCAGGCTGCCTCGTGCTGTGTTGAGCGGGTGTGGCGTACACGTTGCGTGTGCACGTACCGGACGTCTCGATGTCTCAGGAGCAGAGAGTGCACATGCGACAAGTCAGGGAGCGGAACCTGCGGATGCTCGAGTCGATGCTTCATCCTTCGCGAGCAGAAAGAGGAAGGAGTGCGTGGAGGGATTCCTGGACGTGATCACGGCCGTGACATTCTGGTGCTAAGGGCTGCTCGTCACGGGTACGGGGTAGGAGGAGCAAGAGTTGGCATTTGCTCGACCGCAATTCACTTGGGATGCCAAAGAAAAAAAAATAAAAAATGGAAAGAAACGAAGGAAAAATCAAGGAAATCAAGGATGGAACTTCGAGGAACAACCGTGGCATGCATACGGGGCGATGAAAGTAAGAGATGGCACACGCTTTGTACTTTGCTCTGTATTCTGAATCAGCGTATAGAACGTGTAGAGCTTACCAAAATGATTCATCTCATGAGTTCTGGAGACCGGATCAGCCAACGCAACCGTCAATGGCCTCCGTGCCTGGCTCTTAAAGCAGTCTCTCTCTCCCCCTCTCTTATTCTCTTTTCGCACCAGTCGTCTTCTATTTTACGCAGAGAGGGAAAAAGAGGGTTAGAACAAAGAGAGCGCCGCCGAAAGCCAGATTCAAGCTCCTCTGCTCTCACGCGGTTTCGGGACTGGCGGCACCATTTTGATCTTCTCAAACTCTCTGAAGACATCGAAGATGCTGTCACTCGAATTCACGTGCCCATGCCACCCCATTGACCGCGCCTTGTCCGAGCTGCGAATGGTCTCAGTCAGCACCGGGCTGAACATGCCTCACACAAGTTCTCTCTCTTATGTGTGCGAGAGAGAGAGAGAGAGAGAGAGAGAGGCACATACCTGAAATAGATGCTCTGGCTCCAGCTGAGCGCCGCGTCGGTGAAGGAGAAGACGCGCTCGATGTCTCTGAACTCCTTGTCCAGCAGGTCGTGCTTCTCGGCGAGTTCTTTCCACGCCTTCTGCACGTCCTCGCGCGACGCCCACTCGACGAGCGTGAACTTGTAGCGGATTTTGTTGTTCGTACCGAAGCTGGGCAACGCGTCAGCACGTCGGGCAAAAAAAAAAATTCTTTTTGGAGAAAAAAAAAATAAAACAAAATAAATTGCAAACGGTCCAGCATGGGGACGTGGTGACTTGCCCTCTCGGCGGAACCTCGTACTTGGCCGGCAATTCCTTGTACTGCCCGCCCTCGTCCGGCGTCGTGTACTCGAGATCGTACAGCTTGGCCAGCTTGGGCCAAAACTTTCCCCACGTGAAGGCGCTGTCGTCAAAGGTGTTGAACTTTTGGTTCGCGGCCGCTTCCGTCAGCACGGCCCACTCCTCCATGTACGCGTTCATCATCGAGCTGCTCTGCACCTGCGGCGACTCCCAGCTCCGCATGTCCCCTGGGTACTCCAGCTTCTGGCCCAGGTGCTTGGTGACGGCCGCGTAGACGGCGAGAGGAAAGCACACGTTCATGGCCGCGTCAGGCACGGCGCCGAGAATGAAGGACGGCATGCAGACGTTCCAGCCGATGCCGTGCTTCCGACAGTAGCTCCACAGGAAGTCTTCCTGCGGGTAGTAGAAGTTGGGCTCGAGGTCGACCCGCTTGTCGGACTCCTCTTGCGGCATCGCAGCCGTGCCGAGGTGCAGGCCGTAGTTCTTTGCACCCGTTTGCAGCATGATGCGCTTCGGCTTGATGCCAGCCATCGGCAGGGCCTCGAGGAAATTCGCAAGCAGCGTCGTGTTGACGGTGCACATCTCCTCGGCGTTGCTCCACAGCGTCGCGCCGGGCTTCGGGGCCACTTGGATGTAACTGTAAAAGAAGACGTAGTCGGCCGTCACCCCTTTCTCCTTCAAGACCTTGGCAATCTCCTCCGGCTTCTCCAGAAAGTCGAGAGGGATGTGCTCCGCATTGGCCGGAAGCGCATCGGCAATCGCAGGCGGCCTTCGCGACAGACAATAGATCTTGGACCAGCGCTCGGGAGCCTGACCCAACACCTTGACCATGTAGTGGCCGGAGATTCCATTGGCGCCGGTCACGACTGCGGTGAGACCTTTGACGCTGGGATCGAAGACAGGCAGGCCGTGATAGATGCCCACATCGCGGACCTGGTAAATCTTCTCTGCTACTGCTGCTGCCGCTGTCGATGCCATTTAGCAAAACTCTTTTACGGTGTGGGTGCTCACAAATGCTGGGGAAGTTTACCGAAAAGACGACGGAAAGGAGGAGAATCGAAGGGTTTCATACGCGACCCCTCACGCGTCTTGACCTCATCAACTAAGCTCCGTCCTTCATCGGCGTGGAGTTTCTCGGTCGGTGGAGGGGTTGTCGGCTTGAGGGAAGGCCTTACCCGGAATTGGACTATCCGAAAGCGGCGGAGACATGACATGACCTTCGATGTCCCTTCGTCTCGGACAATTTCTTGCTGCGCACAACTAGATGAGAGCGCAAACTTAGGCCCGGTGCGGCCGGCTACAAGTCGACACGAGTGAGATGGTATTTCAGAAGGACGGCATCGTTATGCTAGGTAATTCACGTTGTTTAGTCGCAGGCTTGCTATACATAAATTTCTGTCTTCCAAAGAGACCGAATTGTATTTACAATAAAAGAAGCGCCTATGCTAGGCAAGGGCCGACTGGTTTGCAATGGTTCCTGCTTGTGTTTGGCTGCTGCCAGCCGGTGCACGAGGCCGAAGAGACTTGCTGTGAAATTTAGAAAGAGCAGGCCATGGCCATGCTGAACTCGAAAAAAATAAAAGACACCTGGAAGAGCTCTGCGCGTCCTACCATTTACGTGACAGTATAGCCACCGTCGACACGCAAGTCTGCGCCAGTCACGTAACTGCTCGCGTCGCTAGCGAGGAACGTGACGGCGCCCATCAAGTCCTCGGGGACACCCATCTTACCGACGGGAATCAGGCTGGTCCACTGCTTGGCGAGCGAAGGGTTGTCGTCAAGAATCTTTCGCGTGCTGCGCATGGTTGTTAGCTCGCCTTCCTCAGTGGAACAGGAGTCCGCGCGGAACGAATGGACTTACAGGGCCGTCAGCATGTAACCAGGGGAGATGTTGTTCACGCGAATGCCCGCGCCTGCCCACTCCACAGCCAAGGAGGCGGCGAGATGTCTCACGGCCGCCTTCGCGGCATTGTAGGGAGCCTGTGGCTGCGGAACGTTGACGATGGCTCCGGACATGCTGCCGATGAAGACCATGCTGCCTGGGGCCTTGCGTTCCATCAGATGCTTGGCCACGCCGGTGGCGAACAGGTATGTGCCGTCTACGTTGACGCCCCACAGCTTCTGCATGCGATCGTATGGGTAGTTGATAGCGTCGTAGTTCTCCGTGAAGCCAGCAGACGTCACAAGCGTGTCGATTTTGCCATGCGCCTCAAGCACGGACTTGATGCAGTCCGAGACGCTGGTCGGTGACGATACGTCGCAATAGTGCGCAGTGATTTTCGGAATGCTAAAGAGGAAAGGCACGTCAGTCGATGTCCGTCGCTCTAAGCAAAGAACGATGGCACGGCCGGGCCGCGGCTGAGCACGTACTGGGTCGAGTAGTCCGCTTCCTTCCGCAGCGTGGCCGTCATCTCTTCGGCGCTCCGTTGACCCTCCTCCTCTGCAGGAGACGTTAGCGACGCCCACCAAACGACTTCAACGAAACATGGACGGAGCAAAAGTAGCAAAGAGCGGAAGGAGACGTACTGTTCAAATCGACCAGGGCGACGTCCGCGCCGCTTTCAGCCAACGCCTGCGCCATCACCAAGCCCAGCCCCCGGGCTCCGCCAGTGACAACGGCCGTCTTGCCCTCCATTGAAAAGCTCGCCAGCGTCCTCTTGAAATGCGGGCCCCCACGACCCACAATGGGTCTGGCTCGAGGCAGATCCGCCTCGTCGGGGTACTCGACTGTGATGCTCTCGTCCGTACGGGCATACTGGCCCTCATGCTCGCCAAAGGCACCGGGCTGGCCTACGGTGGTGGCATGGTAGATTTCATCGTCCGGCATGGGTGGTTTCTGCGGTTTCCCGTCGTCGTCCTTTTGCAGACGCGCGGCGGAGCTCAACGCGGCTCTGAACTGGACCTGCGACCGACGGGCGGCGGCAGCAGAGCGCGACGCCGTCCGCAGAAGCAACTGGGGACGCAGCATCGTTGCAAGAATCAATTGGTTATTTTTTTTTTTTTTTCCTATTGCGTGGGCAGTTCGCGGCACGAACGGGTGGGGAGAGCGAACAGACCCGGCGTTGTGTTTGGAGCGAGCAATGTTCACGGCGAGATTGCAATGACGAACGAAGGCCAGGACACGAGGGAAACTGTTTCAAGGGAAGAGGAGAGAGTTTGATGGAGACCACAGTCTGTGCAAGATTTGCAAGCTGCCTGGAGGACGAGGAACGGTGAACATCACGCCTCAACAAAGTCACGCCTGACGTCAAAATATGTGGGGAGCTGGTACGGGTGTTAATTTTTTTTTGTTTGGTGCTAAGCTCAGTTCTGCTACGACTTGCTTGGTGCTGGTGCTGCTACTACTGGTGCTGCACCACGCGGTGCTACTTCTACGACTTCTCAGCTTCCGCCTACCCCGCTACGCTCAGCGGCTTCTCAGGCGAGAACCCCCCCGGTGTAGGTGGGGGGGCAAGGAACGTGGGCGCGGGCGTGGGCGTGCATGTGCTGGTGGACACTGGCGGGGGCTCTGATTGGGCGGGCGCGGGAGCTCCAGGGCCATTTGGCGAGTGGAAAAGAGGGGCCCTCAGCACGCTAGGGGGGTCGGGGGGTGGAGCGGGGGGAAGATTAGGGGGGGGGGGCGGCCCAATTTTGGAAGCGCCACCGTCGGTCATCGTGACGAGGCTCCAGCTTCTCTCGTCCGTGAAACGCGTGGCCGAACAAACTCCAAGAAGCGCAGGCCGGAAAAGGCGACAGGCAAACGCAGCATCCCGTTGCTGAATCCGGCAGCAGTCCGGCAGCTCAGCACCACGGTGGAACGAAGACACGCAAGCGCAGCTCAGCTCGCATCTCAGGACGTGCAGAGCTGCCATGCAGTGCAGAGCTGGGCGGAACACCCCAGTGGCAGATCGCCTCGCGACGAAGCCCAGGGCGCAGAGGCGGCAGGCGCGTGTGGGTCCCATCGTGAGAAAAAAGCCACCACGGCTGCTGGGCAAGCTTGTGCGCGGGCTCGACGACCGCGACACAGTGCGTCTCAACACCAAACTCTGATCCCATCGTGACCCTTCTCTTTCCGCTCCCGTCCCTGCATGCTGCCGAGCAAAGGCTGAACAAAATTAACCCCCCCCAACTCCCGGGCCCCTCCTGCTCGTGCAATGCCTACACCGCTGGAAATTTACCTCGTAACCTTTAACTGCGCGCGCTCATTCATCGATCCCGCCCTCCTGGGCCCCAGCCTTTTTCAAGCATGGCCGAGAGACAGGGCCTCGCTGCCTGACGTCGTCGCCTTCTCGCTGCAGGAGGTCGCCCCCATCGCCTACTCTTTCTTGGGCCCGGGCTGGATAGACGCCTACCTCCGCAGGATCGAAGAAAGCGTGGCCGTTGCGAGCAGCAGCAAGGGCGTCGCGTACGCCAAGGTCGCAGTGCACAATGTCGGCATGACGGCGGCCATGGTCTTCGTCAAGAGCGAACTGAGCAGCACAGTGACCTCCGTTGAGACCGCGGGCGTGGGAGTGGGCTGGCTCGCGATGGGCAACAAAGGCGGCGTTGGCATCCGTCTGACCGTCGGCGGCGCTGAGCTCACCTTCGTCGCCATGCATCTGGCACCCATGGAAGGCATGGTGCTGCGCAGAAACCAGGACTGGCAGGACATATGCCGAGGCCTTGTCTTCGACGGCGACGCGAAGGCCGCCAGCAGAGGCACCGAGCGGGAACCGCTGCTGCTGGCCGGCGCAGGACGTCCGGCGTCCGGCCTGTACAAGCCAAAGAACCACATCTTCCTCTTCGGCGACCTGAACTATCGCACCTCACATCTGTCGCCCGCGCCCCTGGCCTACAAGACGTTCCCGCAGCCTGCGTCGCCGTCGGACTCGCCCAGCGACCGCGTACCTCTGCCCGACCTGCTGGCACGCGACCAGCTGACGCAGGAACGGCTCGAGGGCCGGGTCTTGCACGGCTTCTCGGAAGCGCCCATCACCTTCCCACCGACGTACAAGTACTCGCACGTCCGATCGAGTCAGCCAGGCCCACAGGCTGCAAAGGCGGGGAGCCCGGCTGCCGAAGGGGACAGCGACGCCGCCACCGCCGCCGCCGTCGTGCAGGAGCCCTCGACATGGACCTGGGCCAGGCATCGGTGGCCCTCGTGGTGCGACCGCATTCTCTTCTACCCTCCCGTCGGCATCACGCCTGGAATGTACACGGCGCTGCCGCTGCTCCCGTCCAGCGACCATAGGCCCGTGGCGCTGCACGTCACCCTCGATCCCAAGACACAGGAAGAGGTCGTGCCGAACGACCTGCGCATCACGCCGCCGTTCGAGCTGGACCAGCAGTGGAGAGCAAGAAGGGCAGCGGCAAGGAGGTACGAACTGGCCGTCGGAGTGGCCAGTTGGATCGCCCTGACCGGCGAGGGCAATATGACGGTCGCCTGCCTGCTGGGCGGCGCGCTGTCGCTGTATTTTCTCTTACGATTGTATGGCCAGGGCACGTAGAAAACATAGTACACAGCTTAGATGATACACATCACGTAGAGACGTCGCACCGTGACCGAGCCTTGATTCGAGTCACGCAATCAATCCAATACTGCTGTCCTCTGTACATCCCGGTCCACTGCATCGTCCAGAGATGGTGACTGCACTGCGGTAGCACGCCCCAAGCGGACACCAAGGCGATTGTCTGCGTGACCTAACGTCGGACCACGATCGAAGTCAAGGTCAGGCGTCTTTGCGGAGGCGTTCGGCGTACATATGCGCTCCGATGGCAGAGCACAGTCGATCTGTGCAACGCCGTGTCCCGCCGCTCACGTTGCCAACACAGCGCACAACCCGCCGCCTGAAAGGTCCCGGCGCGGGCACGAGGCGGGCAAAAGAGCACAATGACGTGCGCCGCCGACGACAAGGGCTCCGGCAATGGGCAGGCACGCGATTCGAGAGGGTTGAACATGACCTTCAGCCAAATTTGCGCTACCGATCATGAGGCGCGATCATCTAGCCGCTGCGGCCTCTGCTCGCCAATGTCCAACTCGGCTGCCTGCGCCCACAGTCGAGACAAAGAGTTTGGATGCTTCGGGGTGACGAGTCGCCGTAGGACCGCTTTGGCCAAGCGCGTCACCAGACCCGCTCTGATTGGCTCGCTTCGCAAGCGTGAGCTGGGGCTGTGCTCACAACATGCTCCTTCAGCCACACGTGCCGCTAGGCACCAGGAAATGCACATCGTCACGTACTATACACGGGATACACCTCCCATTTTACCTTCTCTACCTTGATATCAATGTCTCTTGCATCCGTTGCGTAGCTTTTTTCATCCATTGCGCGATTTTCTTTTCCCTCGCATCCAGCGTGCGCGACAATGGAATCGTACGGTCACGGCCACCTGCCGAGGGGCCGAGGGCGATATGCCCCCAGACATTACTCCGATTCGAAAGCAGCACGACTGACTGACTTTTCAAACGTGCCGGAGCGAGAGGCCGATCCGGAACTGGTCGCCCTTCACTCCGAGTTCAAGATCCAGCGGGAGCGGCTCGCTGCGTGGGGACGCGAATGGGGCGACGATCGTGTAGCGACCGGCGAGGCCGAGCTCGACGACACTTTCGAGCGAGCGGAGCTCAAGGACGCCGTCCAGGACGTGTTGGAGAACGTCAAGAATGTGCTCGACGAGAGCGAGCGAATAAGTCACGGGACGCCGCTCACGCCGAAGGGCGGCGAGAAGAAAGGTCCGTTCTGGGGTCTTGGCCTGAGCGATCAGAAGTGGACGCATGCGGATCGCTCGAGATACGAGCAGCTCGCCGACGAGTTGAAGACGTCGATTGACCTCCTGTACGACATCAGCAAGACCCGGCGGGAGATCAAGGAGAACAGCTACCCCGGCTTCGCTGGCAAAAGCAAGTCAGACAGCAGCCTGCCCCCTCCCGTGAGCAAGGGATTCTTTTCGACAAGCTCGTACAGCACGAGCGAGGAGACTCTGGTGAACACGACAAGATCGTCGACGCAGCGGACGGCGGCGAGTCTCGAACTGCCCTCGCGACTGGATCCTTCCGTGCTGGACATTCCCGCCGAGGAGCCGCCGCCGTACGACAGCGCCGGAGCAACTCCAATCACCAGGATGATCGGCCACTACAGATTGCCAGCGCCTCCAAGCCAGCTCGCCGGCGACGAGCCTGCCAGCGTGCTGATTCCCGTTCTGATCGAGTACGCGCCTTTCGATGCCAGCTACAGGACAACGGGAGTTCCCGTCCCAACAAACAGACTGGACACCCTCATGAGCTTCTATGCCCGCTGCGGGTCGATGCCGGACTATTCACAGTTTGCGACGCTGTCGTGTTTGGGCTACTTTGAAGACCCAAAGCAAGCACGCTTTGGCCTTGTCTACGAGCTGCCAAAGAAAGCGCTCGACCTTGAAAAGCTGAATGGGGCCACCATCGATTCACGGCCGGTCAGCCTGCACAAGGTGCTTCAACAAGCTTCGAAATCATTAAATACCAACAGACAGCTGCCTCCAGGCCCGCCGCTGGAAGATCGGTTTCGCCTCGCCTTCAACCTCATGCAAGCGTTCGCAAAGCTGCACATGGAGGAGAAGATTCTGCACAAGGACGTCAACAGCAGCAACATCATCTTCTTCCTCAAGCCCACGTCTCCAGACTCCAAGGGCCACGAGTATGATCTCCGGTCGCCGTATGTGTCGTCCTTCGATCTGTTCTCGGAGTTCAGCATTGAAGAGCCGCCAACCGCACCTGGTCGCAACCTGTACCGGCACCCACACGATCCCAAAATTTTCAACCAGAAGTGCGAATTCTGCGACAAGCTGACGTGCACGTGCGCCAGATACAGGTTCGACATCTACGGTCTCGGCCTTGTGCTTCTAGAGATCGGCCTTTGGGGCCCACTCTCGGATATCTTCAAGCAGAAGTACAGCCTGGACGACTTTCGAAAGCGCCTTGAGACCATCTGGGTGCGCAAGCTCGCCAGCAGATGTGGAAGCATCTATCAGTCTGTTGTGAAAGAATGCTTGCAGCAAGCGTCGCAAAATGTGTCCGACGAGCAGATGCGCGCAAACTACACCAGATGGCTCAAGAAGCTTCGGCGCTGCTGCCTGCTTGACGAGGATGAAGAGGTCACTTCGGCGTTGACACCTACGCGGGTTTCCAGCATTTCCGGTGCGCCGCAGAGCGTCTCTCCGGAAAGTACCATCGTTGCCTCCGAGGCCTCCAACAACCCGTTCTTGAACCTGCGCGCTGCGCCAACGACTTCGTTCTTCAGCAACCCATTCGCACGCTTCACCTCCAAGAAGACACCACTGCCGTTCTCCATCAAGGAAGAGTACGACAGCAACCCTTTCAACAAGACTGACGACCTATCTACCACGGTATCGCGCGAATTCGACAGCACCCAATTTGGCAGCGAGCTCGAACTCACATCTACCACCTCCACTACCGCGCGTTACTCGGCCGCCGCAAAGACTATCCAAAAGGCGTGGCGGTCGCACCGTACGAGAAGAGCTTTCCAAGACTACAAGAAGAAGATAGTCATTATCCAGAAAGCGTGGAGAAGGCGACAATCACTTCGCAACAGCTTGTCGCAAGCGACACAAAGGTCTGACAACGATGAGATCCGCATAGAGAGCGAGCTCGTCGCCGACTACACTCATTTCGAGATCAAGCATCACGAACCGACACCGAAACCCAAGCTGCGCTTGCACAACGTCAAACTTACGACGGAAGCACTAGACTATTGGCACGACGTCATGCTACCAAAGCTTGAGCGCATCTGTGAGAGGTGCCTGCGTGACTCTCCAGAAACCGTGTCCATCGATCTGGTCGGCGTTGGCGAGACGGCTCTCAGCGCCAAGCCCACCATCTTCATCACCTGCAGCAGCACGAGCCGTGTCCGGTGTGCAATCAACCGCAAGTTCCATTACGACCATAATCAGTTTGACCTTCGGGTAAGACGAGGCCGAGTGCGGCGAAGCAAAGTTAGCCAGCCCAAGAAACGGGCGCCACCACATCGAAGCATGATGAACAGTAACTATCCACCCTCAGACAACAAGCCGCTCAACCCTTTTCATCAGGAGAGACCTTTGTGTGGGGCGTCCATTGGCGCGTATGTTGGCAACAAGCACTTGCCACCCGTCAGTTACGGGGGTGTTGTTCGTGTTGACGGTGAGCCCTATGGAATGACTGTCCATCATCTCCTGGACTCCCCTAGCGACGAAGACGACAGCGAGTTCGACGAGCAGGAAGCCTACAGCAGCGCGGAGCGATCGAGCGCTCGTCGCTCGGACGGTTACGACGCCCTGTTGGCCGGCATGGCAGGCCACCCCACCCTTCAATCAGTGCCAACGGACTCCATGTTTCCTCTCGAGATCTCGGATGACGACGAGCCTCTGTCATCAGAAGACGAGGCAGATCAGGCACCCGAACTTTCGGACGAGGAGTACTTCTCGTCCGACTTTGAGTCGGAGCCAGAGTCGATCGAAACAGAGGAAATTCGACACACCATGGGTGACCTGACTGGCGTGCACCCTGGTCAAGGTACAGACATTCTCGTCACGCAGCCTGCCCTCGACGACGTCGACGATGACTTTTTCCCCAACGAGGAGGACAGAGACGACGACCATCTTGACAGCCACAAGCTTGGGTTTGTACATGCGTCATCTGGAATCAGACGTTGGAATCGAAAAGGGAGTGATGGACGCAGCATTGTGCACGAGATCGATTGGGCGCTGCTCAAGCTTGACGAAGCACGGCTGCAACCGTACAACCTGGTCCAGGGGGGGCGAAGGCATTTGCGCAACCCTCGACAGCATGACCTCCGCTCAACGCAGTTGCTTGCAAAACTCATAGAGCCCGTGTGCCGCGGTCCTTGCTTTAGCCAAAGCGACGACGAATTTCCAGTCAAAGTCGCGGGCACAGAAGAACTCGGGAACTTGCGCGTGCATTGCTTCGGGCGCACAAGCGGCCTGCAAGGAGGCGTTATTGGTCCAGCGATGAGCTCGGTGCGCATCTATCGGCGCAGAAGCTTCAGCAGGAGCTGGCACGTCATTGGCAACTTCGGCGTCGGTGGCGACAGTGGTGCATGGGTCATCGACAACGATCAAGGGCGCGTGTGCGGACACGTTCTTGCATGGTGTGAACGGAACGCCATCGCCTACATCTGTCCGATGGAAGTCATCCTCGAAGACATAAAGCGCACCCTTGGAGCGAAAAGGATATGCCTTCCCGGTGGCGAGGACGAGGTTGAGGAGAGCACGCGTAACAGACCACGAGGCGCGTCGAGAAGTCAGGCGGCGGTCGAAGATCGAAGAGCGCAGAATGTGGAACTTCCTGACATCGCACGTCTCGACTTTGGAGACCGCCAACGCCTAGGACTAGGGGGAGCAACGGCAGAGGACATTATGAGGCGCAGCGCCGCGAGTGCGGCGTTAAAAGGCTTGACGAGCGAGAGCAGGATCAACGGTGCGAGCAAAGGGCCGAGAATGGAATATCACGGGGTTATGAGTGTCAGCTAGTCGAATAGATATCCCACCCGAAACCAGAATTGACTGTTTTTTTTTCTTCTGTCACATTTGTGGAGTTTGTGAACAAACCTCCATTGCCTCTACGTTCATGCCAAAGGCCAGACTCTAGCTCTATATTGCCTCAAGAGAAACCGACAACTATCCGGTCATCTTCGACGATTTGTATTATCCTCCTTGTCGGAATTAGGCCGAGAAGAGGCTCAGAGCACCGCAGTCATCTAAGGTGCTCTTCACGCGCACGGCATAAAGTTGAGCGTTAAGGTTGACCGAAATCGGAAAACACTTGACGGCTCGAATCATGCTCGCCTCGTCGCCATTCGGATCCTAAGACCAGCTTGTTCCACCCTTCACCTTTCCGGCGGGACAGAGCACGCAAGCGCACAAGTCAGGCAAAAGATGAATCTGGGCCAGTGCCCTTTGCAGGAGCAGATGGTCCATCTGAAGAAGATCCTGTCCGCGAACCCGACACTCATGGTGGTGCTCAGCCGTGCAGCGACCCTCAAGCTGCCAAACTGGTATCTCGCCGGCGGCGCCCTGTCCCAGACGATCTGGAACCACATGTCGTCGCTTCCGCCGGAGACGGGCATCCGCGACTACGACCTGGTGTACCACGACGGCACGGACCTGTCGTACGAGGCCGAGGACGCGGTCATCCAGGCGGGCAAGGAGCTGTTCGCCGACGTGCCCGTCGAGGTGGAGATACGCAACCAGGCGCGCGTGCACCTGTGGTACGCGCGCAAGCACGGGCTGCCGTGTCCCGCCCACGACAGCGTCGAGGCCGGCATCGACACCTGGATCTCGACCAGCGCCATGCTCGGCGTCAGGCTGGACGACGGCACGGGAGAGTGGATCGTGTACGCGCCGCGCGGCCTGTCGGACTTCTTCAACATGGTCGTGAGGCCCAACGCGGCCATTGGAACGAAGGAGGCGTACGACAAGAAGGCGGAGCGGTGGAAGGCCATCTGGACGTCGCTGACGGTCGAGCCGTGGCCGTCCTAACGCGGGCTCGGGTGCTTGGGCGAAAAGGGGGCGTTTTCACGGCGCGAGCGCGCGATGGTACGAGGTTGTCGTTCATGAAGGACCGCCGAGGAATGAAAGACGATCGTGCAAGCTCTCCCTTCCTCTCTGCGCCTCTCTCTCTCTCTCTCTCTCTCTCTCTCTCTCTCTCTCTCTCTCTCTCTCTCTCCTCGTCCTTCGTGCCTCGAAGAGCGGAAAAGAACGACGCTCGATCTTTAATCGAAGGCCAGGGCAAGGACCTCAGAAGAAGGAGAGCACGCCCTGCTACTCTCGCGGTAGAAACCTCTCCCCAGCAGCATGGAATATCAATCGATACACAATGCTTCTTTTGAATGTACGAACTTTTTTTACACAGGTCGCACGATGAGACACCGCACCATAACTGGTGACGATACCGATCTAATCGTGCATGCTGCGGAGCACGCATTTTACTCTAATTCCTTTGCAGTTAACGTTGACTTGACGTGACCGTAATGATGTGGATGATCACGTGTTTATCGTGCCAAGTTTGGTCTGTGCGGAGACATTTCACAGCTTTCAGCTTTTTTCCTCGTCGGCGTAGGGGGAAGAAAGCTCATCACGCCAATTCCATCGACATCATTGCGCCTTCGGCGTCCACTTCCTTTTTGTGTCCTTTGGTCTCGCTCGTATCTTCCTGGCGCCGGTCGTCATCCCGGTGCTTGTGACACAGCATGTCTCGACGTCAATTGTTGCAGTCTGCGTCCTCGATTGGTTCGTCCATTCTGGCTTCATCACAGTCATGTCGGCGCTCGACGTGCATCTTTCAGCAGATACGTGGCATAAAGTACGAGTCTTTTGAAGAGAGGAGACAGGCGGCCAAGGAATGGGCCGCTACCGAAGGTAGACGCTACATGCGGCCGCGCAGAGGACAGACAAACTATCTATCCTTTCGGAGAGGCGAGGAAGATGACGTTTCACCCTCCGCTGGTGAACAAAGTGGCGACGGTTTTGGGCAAGAGGCGGAAGCTTCGGACCCGTGGGAAGACGCTGCCGCTGTTGAGAAGCTTAAGCAGGAGCACGACCTGTCCGACGAAGCGATCCAGGCCTACCGGCAGAAGCACGAAGGTCTGACGCCTAGCATTCTGGCTGAGTCATTGGCCGATGGGCTCAGCGACGTGGAGATATCAGAGGCAATATCGAGACATGCCGCTGCCCGATTCGACGCGGACGAAGCGTCAAGGGTCGAAGCTGGCCGCCTGCTGGCCAAAAATCAAACTGCCAATGCGAAGCCGGAAAGACGGCCGAACCTGAGGCCATTCCCCAACAACACGGCCTTCATGAGCCAGCCGGTCCTCAGCGAGGAACTGCGCGAGATGATCTATCTGAAGGTCGTCCGGGACCAGATGACCGTGCGAACGGTCAGCACCCTGTTCGGCGTCAGCATGGAGCGTGTCGGTGCTGTGGTGCGGATGAAGCAGATGGAGCGCGATTGGGTGAAGAAGGTGAGTCTATTTTACATCTTGCTACATTTTCCAATTAAAAAAAATACTGCGTTCTATGATGATCCCAATTCAAAAAAATTCGATTAGTCTTTAAGACACCAACATGGTTACAAACATGCTTTGCGAGCCTCTCTGATCGGCCATCATCCTCTTCTGCTCTTATCAAACAGTCATACGAGTCGTCACTGACTTGAACCATCTAGGGCAAACCTCTCGCCGTTCCCTACTCTCGCGCAGTCCTCGACATGCTCCCCCAAACTCCCTTTATTGACCCAACGGATCCCAAGAATATATCTCCTTCTACCGGCAAACCGCGCCCACAGCCACCCCATGAGCCTCTCAACGAGATTCCTGTCCACCCTGCAACGACACACCAGACCTTCGTCTCCGTGCCTGAGTCGCGTACATTCACCCGTGAAGACGCAGCCAAGGCGTTCCACCCAAATCTCAAGAGTCCCGATGAGCGTATTCCGCACCCCGAGCTCCTTGCCATTGAGAAGTTCAGGCTACACGGAGCCAAGAACAGCGAACTGCAAGCTTTCACGCGGGACATCATCGAAAAGGAAAAGCAAGAACTTGCAGCCAGAGCCCGGCGTGAGGCTGCGAAGGAGAAGGCCACTACCAAAGTTTATGAGGGAAGGCGGTGGCAATTCAAGATCCAGGACATTAGTGTAGAAGATGCTGGGCGTGATGGCAGGGATCCAAGGGGAGTCGGATGGAGATACGGGGTGCCGCATGACGATCGGAAGAGAGGCACGGTTAAGATTCCTACAAGCGTGTCATGAGAGTAACGTCATACCGTTTTTCTGTATGCATCAAAGCTGGGTTGCGTCGGCAAAGTGTCCGGCGTCTGTACAATGTATGTATCTATACCTGTCCGCTTTGTGCCTGTGACATGGGCTCTGTACTATATCTCATATCGCGAGTTGCATCCATCTAGTGCTGGCCCATCTGTCTGGGCTGTTTTTCCCACGGTCCTTTTTTTCCTTTTTTAACGTGGCGCATGTGGTCAATGTAGAAGGAGCACGAACTGTTGCAAGCAGGGCTTTGAGAACGTCTCAGGCCATAGCTCTACGTCTCAACAAACTTGGTATTTGTCTCATCACGTCCGACGTCTTCGTTCGGAATGTCGCATTGCATGACGGTCACGCTGCAGCCTTTCGATCACTGCCGGACGCAGGGCGGACGGGGACGATCAAGATGGGGCGCTGCACGTCAGATTGTGCCGCGCATTCTTTTAAAAACGCTTGATTGTCTGGATCTACCGAGCGCCATGCACACAGGAGTCCAATCCGGGGAATTAGGTGGGAACTGACGTGGGACAAAAGTCCGCTCCCACGAAGAAGACTCTCTCTCTCTCTGCCTGTCTCTCGCGTGCAGAGCAAACCAAGTCCTGCGTCTAGGTCGCGTCCGTACCTACCAGAACTCGCGCCGACAGGCAAACACGTCGGAAACGTTGATCGGTTCAAGATTACGACGCTGCTCGTGTGAGGTCGGCGAAGAGGATAACAAGTGGCGTCGTCGTCGTCGTCGTCGTCGGGATCAGGCTTTGTTCCCTCCTTTTTTTTTCTGAGCATACGGTCGATAACGTCGCCACAAAACCTCCCGACGCGTTGATTTTCTTTTTCAGACATTTTCAAGGGCGGCATGTTGATTCAGAGGCCAAGCTTCATCTTCACCATACGTTAGAAAGTATCAGCGATCCGAAGATCGAAAAAGGCCGGTTTTGATCATGCGAATCAGACGGCGCTGGTAGTCGAGTGAGCGGCAGAACAGAAGCAGAGAAAAGTTGTAAACCAATACGGTCTTCTACATAAAAATGAGGATTTATTGTTTTTTTTTTCTCCCTTTCATATTTTTTCTAAGACGCCGAACAGACGTATGCCACGTTTATAATCTGCTGGTCGCCGGCTCCGCCGCCTTCAGGGCTTCTATTTTGGCAAGCGCGGCTTCAAGTCCTCGTTTCGTGTTCTCGAAATACAGGTGCGAGAAGTCGGAGCTTGCTTGGCCGCTTATAGTTCGTGCCTGGATTCCATGGCTGATGGTGGCACCCTGTGTAGAGGAAGATGTTTGGTCAGCTTTGGCTTCTTCGTCTGTCAAGACCAACGCGGGCGCGGTAACTCACTCTCATCAGGTGGAAGACTTTGGCGACCTCCCACTTGTCCTTCCGCGGGTCCCAGCCCGTGATCTTGGTGTATCGGTCCAGTAGCTCCTTTTCGGTCGGGAAGCCAGACTCCTCTAGGTTCTCGTCGTCGTAGGCAACGCCGCCTTGGTCGTCCCTTGGCCCGCCAGACTTGCCGATTCCACTTGCGCGGTTCCAGTACGGGCCGACGACGTAGACGGCATCCATCAGTGGGTGGCCGATGGTACTCAGCTCCCAGTCGAGTATTGCGATGACGCGGGGCTCCGTGGGGTGCAGGATTACGTTATCGAACTTGTAGTCACCGTGGACGATGGACGCCCGCTCACCCGGCAGGTTCTGGCGGATGAAGTCGACGACCTCGTCGAATCGCGGATGCGCACGGCCGAGCTCCTTGCCAGTCTTGATGTCCTTGACCTTGGCCTGCTGCGCCTCGATCCGTGAAAAAGTATTGCAGTGGCGTAAGTAGAAGCCCGTCTTCTTGCCGAAGCCTTGGAGGCCAATGCTGTCAGGATCGATGCTGTGGAGCCAGGCCAGGGTTTCCACCAGCGAGATCCAAGCGGCCCGTCTTTGCTCCTTGGGTAACGTCTTCAGGTCTGGATCCGTGATGATGCGGCCTTTGACGAATTCCATGACCTGGTCCGCGTCAGCCACGTGCTTGGTTTTGAAAAGACACGACACAGTGTAGACTCGAGTTGACTCACGTAGAACGCGGTGCCGATGATGCTCGGATCCATACACAAGCAGTATACTTTGGGCACCGGGAATCCGTTTACGGTCCCGAGCGCTTTGAGAACTCTGTATTCCCGGTCGACCTGATGCGCGACGGGAGAGATGATCGTTCCCGATGGCTTCTTACGCAGAATGTACCTCACGCCCGCAGCGTCGTCGACAAAGTACGTCGGGTTACTCTGCCCATAGCCGATCTTGGTCGAGAGGACGGGCAATTTGATGCTCGGTATTTGCGTGACGAGATACTGGCCGAGCGCCTTGTCGTCCAGGTCATGGCGGCTCTTCTGCTGAGTCGACATCGTGAAGAAGTGTTATTGCATTCGGTGAGACGTGTTCGACGCAGTGGAAAAAACCCATTCTCTCCCTCGTTTTGCATGGATGCAATTTATTCGAGTACGTCGGTTCGAGCTTTGCCGCCCTGGTAAATCATATCGCCGAGGATCTCCAAGGGAGCGGGGAACAAAGCTGGGAACTTCTCGGGTTTGCGATCCCATCATCCGTCCGCCGGCCATGCTTCGCTCGGTCAACCTATCGAAACCACCAGCTGAAGTAAACTGAAAGGCGCTGAACATGGGACCAATTGTACGAGGGACTGAAGAACGAGCTCGTGCCCGCACGTCATGTCTCAATTCTTACCGCTTCTGAAACTAGTCGTTGTACACTGACGCCAAAAAAGGAGCACCTGCCATAAAGTTGGCTCTGAGCTTTTCAGCGACGGTTTAGAACTAGACTGGAGTCTGATTTTTGTCTTTCTTTGCCGCTTGCTTTGTCGTACTAATTCAAGCTCTCGGCTCGAACAGAACTTTGCCCACCTCAGTTGCGATCTTCCAGACAGAGTCTTTGAGGACGAGTTCAGGCCCCCCCAAATATCTACAGGAGATACTCCGGGGTCGAGTTAGACGCATTGGCTTTGTACATAAGCAGTTTCGATCTTTCGAATCACCCTTCGACTTTTCTTACTGGGTCAAAATAGGGGTTATCAATTTTGAGCAGGATACGTGATCTGAAGCCGCTTTTTTGATCTGAAATCACGATTCTATACATTCCAGTATTCCGATGTGATCATTCGTTAGAGAAAAGGCCCCATGAGCTTGAAATCTCGGCCAGCATTACTCTTCATCCGTTCCTCCGTGGGTCTTGACAACACGAGAATCATCGATCATGCTCCCGAAGATTGTTACTAAATGAAAATAATGCATACACTTGGGCTGTGAATCTACCTTAGTGTGAGCCGATGCATTTCTTCCCTTTCTATATGGATCCCATTGACCAATTATGTGTGTGCGAGAGAGTATTTTGCAGCTGGAAATTACGCGTTCTGGCTGTAGAACTCGCCTCGATTCGGCTCCTCTATGAAGCTCACCAAGAAAATAAACGTGCGCTAGAGGAATAATGCGACGGACAGTCTGCCACTTTGTGAGCTGGCCCGTCTCGCGTGACGAAGACAATATATACCTGTACCCATCATGTCCTTTGTATCTACCGCGAACTAGCCGAGCGGTGCTTTGCGAGACTTGATCGAAGGGAGATGAGTAGCAGTATGATCATAACTGCCGCAAGGGAAACACCTCTTGTCCACCTCTTCGTGGTCGCAGGCATTGAACAGCTTTTTTTCTTCCCATCCAAGTCATCTCCTACGTCGTCGTAATCATCCGTATCATAAATGTAGTCTCCACCAACCACAGATTCTTCGTCGTCCAGACTCAGACGTTGATAGCTCACTATTCTATCAGTTGGTGCATGCATCGGGGCAGGGAACGCCGCTCAGCGGATGCTCGAATTGTGGATGAAAGCTTCGGAGGAGAGTGGAAAAGGCAGAGTCGTTTGAACAAGCGACGGCAGTAAGAGAGCACTGGTTTTCTAGATATATTTAAGCCTGCCCTATTCAGATTGCGCAGAGAACGAGGGCTCGTGGCTTGTAATCTTCCCGGCGAATGCACACACAAAAACTATACCAGATGCAAGATCGTCGTCCAGGAATGTCGAGGCGGATGTTAGGGCATCGGGTATTTATTACTCGCCACAACAAGGCGTCACCGACAAACCCTATCTATCGTGACACTTTTCCGTCCACTTGATGTCGTCGAACTTTGACGGACGGAACAGGTTATATACGTGAGATGTAGATGGATGGAAGATCCCCCCATGGCTGTTGGAACAACCAACCTTTATCAAGTCACGTCGTGATTTTGCATAATTGAATAGCTGAAGTCGTTAGGTGGGTGGTACCCAGTCATTCTTCGCAGAATTGCATCTGTAAAGCAGACGGTTCTTCATATTTAAGACAGGAAAGCAAGTTAAGAACAAGTTTCCAGAATCATGCTTATTAATGTCTTAACTTGGGAGTGAGCTTGTACTCATGGACATATAAGCAATATGTATCAGTATCAACAGAATTACACGTTGAAGTGTCGTCTGCGCGGTGTACAGGAATGAAGACGCCCGTTCTAAATAATTTCTTGGCAGGGAGAATAGAATTTGCGAGTCATCTTGTTATTCATTCTGAACGCGTTCACCTTCAGTCCTTTAACATCTTCAAGGACGTGCTGCGGCGGACCTACGGTCGAGAAGGCAATCTGGGCAGGCGTTCTGCAAAGAAGGACACAGATACGTCTTATGAAGTATACACAAAGTCGTGTCGCCAGTCCGATGGGACGCACCAATACCCATGAATTGTTAAGAGAGTGCAAAATGAGTAAAAGTATTATGCATCGGTCGTGAAAACGTGCCTCAAGTGAAACTTGATGATGATGACTTAATCGAGGCTGGCTTTGAAGCAGACAGCTCCATATAGATGAAGAACGGTGCGTGTGGGGACAAGGTTCGGCTCTGGACGTCCAGCCAACGACCAAGGCGAACGAGCTGGTGAATCTCCGAAACGGCAGGTCACAAGAAGTTTACTTCCCAAGGAAGGAGACTCGGCCATTTGAAAAGTTCATCTATTTCTCGACGACTAGTCCGCAGAATTCACAGGCGCCCTCGCCCTCCACTTCTGAATTCTCTCATCACGGCCCTCTCGTACATCTCGTAAAGCTCGAAGCTTCTCTTATCCCCGCTGGGTAGCAGCTGGCTGAAGTATGCACCGCAAATTCCATCGCCACGGTTGACAAACCACATGAGGTTCGGGAGTCCGCCCCACTGCATGGTCCCTGCCGCCCTGCCGGTGGATGGGACCTTTTCCACGTTGATAATGCCGCCGAGCCCATAATCGAGGTCCGTTCCGATCGGCACGTTGCCTGCGAGGCCAAAGGCTTCCGGCGACGCGTGAATCTGCATCAAGCCCTTCTTGGCCGCTGGCGAAAGGTTGGGGCTGAACATTAGCTCTCGGGTCTCCTCCTTCAGGATGGGGCATTTTTCCGCGCACAGCGCCGAGAGGAATTTGATGTAGTCGTTCGCAGTGCTGAAGCATCCGCCACCTCCACCCTCGCGGACACCCATGTACGCCTTAAGCGGATTCTCCACGCCACGAGACAGTTTTCCGTTGTCATCCCGCACTGCCATGGCTGCCAATCGTGGAAGAAGCTCCGGATACCTCTCTGGATAGAAGGTCGTGGAGCTCATCCCCAGAGGGTCCCAGATGTTCTTGCGCATGTACTCTTCCAGGCTCAAGCCAGTCGCGCGGGAGACCATCACTCCGGCCCAGTCAATACCTGTGCTGTAGGCCCATCCCTCGCCTGGCTCGAAAAGTAAAGGGGCTTGATACGCCTCCGCGGGGTCAGTCGACTTGGTTAGTCGATAGTTCTCTTTGCTCTGCTTTAGGAACCAGCGACGCCAAATGAACATCTTTGGGTGCGTGAACTCGTAGCTCAGCCCACTGCTATGGGTCAGCATCTGGCGAAGGGTGATCTTTTTGGTGGCTGGCTTTAACGTTGGGCCCTTCTTCTCGTCAATCTTGAGAAGAATCTGTGGGCTCTTGAGCTCAGGGAGAAGGCGTTCCACTGGTTCGTCGAGGGTGAACAGGCCGCGTTCCACGCACTGCAGTGCGGCAACGGAAGCCATTACTTTGGTACAGGAGGCGATCCAACAAAGAGTGTCAGGGCCAAACTCCACAGACTTGGAAAGAGCATCTGCACTACCTGCGCTCGTCGCAACGGCGTCGAAATGGTTCGACAAAGTTGTAGTTCCTGCCGCAAATCTGTGCAGTACATGTCCTGCGACAGTCAAGGTCAACAAGGTAGTTCAAGGAAAGGTGACGAGGATATGCTTGAGCGCTGACCATTGCTGTCGGCCGTTATGACCACGGCGCATGCTACGTTCTCTGCATTGTTGCCAGAGCACGCTCTTGCAAGCAACTGTTCATACTCTGCAACGGATCCCATGGTGGCCTGAGTGTTGATTCGATTTCTCAGCATACGTTGCTTCACCCACATTAGCCGTGGCTCATCCGACTGGTTAAAATAAGAAGAACTAATTGACAGAGTAGGGCTCAAAAATTGCAGGCGGTTCACCAGGTCTCAAAATCACACATGCAACGCTAGATTGAAAGAAAGTTTTGAAGGATGACGTGCTCGAAGGAATTAGCACCAGTCTTACATGTTCTTAGATCATCTCCGCTTATCGCATGGCTGCAGGAATGAATGACGTGCGGAGTGCAGATGCGGAGACTATATTTTGGGGTTGCACGAGTATAGTCGTGCTGGAGCAAGAGACGTGCAGCGTGGACATGAGCCTCGGTTGACTCTCCAAACGAGGTCTCCACATGTCACATGATATTCAGCCTTGCAAGCTTCCATTGGACGATCCGACAAGATGACTTTGCAGCAGCATTCTTGGTGGAAGAATCAGCCCGGACACTAGCCGCCATTGGAGTCGAGAAGACTCTTCGCCATCCGCAGGAGAACGTCTGAAATAGGTTGGGGCTAGCGAGCCGTACCAGGCAGGCAATGGAAGAACAGGCTCGTCTCGCTCGACCCAAGTCGGAGATGGCAAGGTTCAAGAAGTGCTTCCGTAGTTGATGGAATTATTCAATCGGCCTCGCTCCGCGATTCTGCTCTTCCAACACCCCTCTCTATGCCTCTCATGCGCTCTTCCCAATCTGCCCAGCATCGCCCCAAACCCAAGATTTGAACCTCGTACCAGCGTGCGACGAGTAGTGCGCTGCGGATCCTCAGCTCGGCAATATCTCTCGCTTGCTGATCCTGCACGGCCATTATACCTGCGAAACGTGGTGCCTGGGAAACGAGTTGTGTGAAAGACTCCGTGGGAGGGAGCGGTATGTCTTGCAGCGAGCGGAGCTGGCTTGCCGTCGCTAGATAGCTAGGGGCTTCCGAAAGGACGAGAGAGAGCTTTTGTTCTTCGTCTGGCCCGTCGCCGCCAGCCTCGTCCTCCGAATCCGCGGGTTGGAACAACTCCGGTTGCTGCGATTCTGCTCACTGTTTTAGCAAGAGCCGTACTGGAAGTCTATGATTGGGGAGTGGGCCCGAGCACATACGAAGCTTAAGCAATTGTTCCACGGTTCTCGACCGTGCAGCAAGCTGACCCAGCGACTTTTGTAGCTTGTCTATACGATCGGATACGGTAACGCCCTTGGGAAGCTGGGGCGAGTCTTCATCGCCACCGTTAAACATGAATTCCAACCTGTGGAGGCGGTATTCAAGAAGGTCCAGAGTATGCACGAGAAGCTCTTCTGGCGGAAGCGTGTCCATGGTGCAGGGTCGACGCCACGATCCCCCAAAGATGCCGTATCGCAAGAAGAATCCGTGCCTCAGTGTTTCGACTGCCCTTCGAGGTGGGGGGTTCAATTTGTTCGTTCCAATCCAACTGTTCGTTTGGACACACGCGATGCCCGGACAGAGCTGGCGCACAAGGACGGACGAAACGGGCTCGGAGCCTTAGCACTAGGAGGCCTTGACGCCTTCTTTCTTTGCATGCCTTGTCGCCTGTATGCCTTGTCACCTTAGCTCCTTTTAGCCTTTTGGCCTTTTAGCCTTGATTCCTTGGTGGCCTTGCCTGCGCTTCGCCAGGTGGTCTTTTGCGCGTTCTTGGCTGGACTTGAGGTCACGTAGCATCACTGACCACTAACTTACCTAAGCAAGTTAGAAGCAAAGAAGCAACTGCTCCTTTCCCAAATTAAATATTAGCCACCACATCCATTACCACCTCCATCTTACCGTCCTCCTCACCACTTCCTCCTCCTTCTTCTTCTTCCTTTTCGTTCTTCTCTCCATTGACACACCCTCTTGGTCCTCTCTTCCTAATTGTCCGCTTGGCTTGAAGCCATTTCCCTCGCCATGTCTGGCCTTCGCTTTCTAGATCTCGTGAAGCCTTTCACGCCTTTTCTGCCAGAGATCCAGTCTCCAGAGACCAAGGTACTTGCATCACACATCTTACCATGCATTGTGTCTATGCAATTAGTCGCTGACACTACGCGTTCAACAGGTTCCATTTCAGCAGAAGCTAACATGGACCGGTCTTACCCTCCTTATTTTCCTCGTCATGAGCCAGCTGCCCCTCTACGGCATCGTCTCCAGCGATTCATCTGATCCCCTGGCCTGGCTGCGTACAATCATGGCGTCCAACCGCGGAACACTTATGGGTAAGCTTGACCCTAGACTTTCTGCACCTTCAACACCAATCCTGCCAATTGCTTCGTTTCCGAAGACGTCTCTCGGTTGAAAACGAATCATACTGACTCGCGATGTAGAGCTGGGTATTACACCAATTATCACCTCGGGCACCGTTTTTCAATTGCTCGCCGGCACGCACATTCTTGACATCGACATGAACCTCAAGAGTGATAGGGAGTTGTACCAAACTGCGCAGAAATTGCTTGCTCTCTTGATGAGCTTCGGACAAGCGTGCGTGTACGTCGCGTCTGGTCTGTATGGCCCACCATCCGAGCTGGGCTTGGGTATTTGTATTCTCTTGACGATCCAGCTCGTCATTGCTGGTTTGATCGTCATTCTCCTGGACGAACTCCTCCAAAGTGCGTATCCCTGGCTGCTTTCTCCCAAGTTTGGCTCCGTACTGACACTTAAGTAAAGAGGGCTATGGTCTCGGCAGCGGTATCTCACTCTTCATCGCCACAAACGTGTGCGAGCAGATTCTGTGGAAGTCTTTCTCACCGATGACGGTTAACACTGGTCGCGGCCCTGAATTTGAGGGTGCCATTCTCGCCCTTGTCCACCTCCTTATCACTTGGCCCAACAAACCACTTGCCCTCCGCGAGGCCTTCTTCCGTTCTAACCTGCCCAACATTTCTAACCTCCTCTCTACACTGGTGATCTTCGCCGCTGTCATCTACTTGCAGTCCTTCCGCGTTGAGCTTCCCGTCAAGTCGGACCGCCAGCGCGGCATGAGAGGCTCCTATCCCATTCGTCTCTTCTACACCAGCAACATGCCCATCATGCTGCAATCGGCCCTGGCTAGCAACCTGTTTTTGATCTCGCAGATGCTCTACTCTCGCTTCTCCGAGAACTTGCTTGTTCGTCTGATCGGTGTCTGGGAGACGCGTGAAGGCTATGGCAGCCAGCTGCATGCCACCCAGGGTCTCGCGTACTTCATTTCGCCACCCCTATCCTTCCGCGAAGCACTTGCTGATCCAATCCACACCATTGTGTACCTCATCTTCATGACCACCGCCTGTGCTCTTTGTAAGATGCTACCCTGTTTTGAAGTCCGTTTGAGCAACGAAGCTAATGGTATGATAGTCTCCAAGACATGGATCGAGGTCTCTGGCTCTGCACCACGTGATGTCGCTAAACAACTGAAGGAGCAAGGCCTCGTCATGGCCGGTCACAGAGACCAGTCCATGTATCGCGAACTCAAGCGTGTCATCCCCACGGCTGCGGCATTTGGTGGTGCCGTCATTGGTCTTTTGTCTGTCGTTTCGGACTTGATGGGTGCTCTGGGCAGTGGCACGAGCATTCTTCTAGCTGTGACGATCATCTATGGTTACTTCGAAATCGCGGCAAAGGAGGGTGATATGCCTGGCCTGAAGGGCATGGTTGTGAACTAAGTTTCCAACCAAGTGGATGTAGAGGAATGGGGATCAAAGAAAGGGTGTAAACGTAGAGTCGAACATGGAGGGCCGTCCGGAGACGAAAGTACCTGAGACGGAAGTTGTATACTTCTAGCAACTAGCAAACGAAAATGTCATCTAGGAAATTCTTGATGAAATTGGATGACGCTTGGTTGCTCGTCCTAATTTTTCTTCCCCTAAGCAGTACCCGACAAAGAAGATAAGAAAAATGAAAGGCAACAAGAAATGAATAATTATTTCACAGGACAGGACAAGGAAACGATACGTATCGTCCACGGGGATGAACGAAGCTCTCCGCTCAGTCGCTTTCCCCTTTGGGTGTTAGCGCACGACATGATCAACGTAACGGGGACAGCGCTCGGTTTGAACGGTTTGACGTAGATGCTTTTGCTCGCTAACAACCAACCGCCAACCTTTCTCTCTTCTCAAGTTTCTTGCAGCGGCGCTCTCTATCCACTGGACTCCACGCACTACACAAGGAGTGCAGTCGACGGACATCAAATGCAGGTATAGCCAGTTGGGGTGGAAGAGCGTAACCTACAGGTTCCCACCCCCTCTCCAGGCAGTAGCGCGGACGAACGTGAACAAGAAAAGCAGAGAATGCCTTCATACAGCGCTGTCATTCAGGATGATGACATCGATGCGCTGGAACAACGAGTGAACAGGGAGAACAGGCGAGCGGCGAACGGTGGCGGCGTGCGGATCAAGAAGCCGGGCAGGAAGCGGAGGGATCTCACGTTCAGCGGCGGCGGACAGGCGAGCTGGATATCGAGTGTGATCAACTTGGTGAACACGAGTAGGTTTTCGTCCCGGCTTGCCCGCTCTCGTCGGCGGACCTGGGCAAGGAGAAGCGTGAGAGAGTCTTGAGTTTGCTGACGTCGACATGTTGCGCGCCAAAAGTCGTCGGAGCCGGCGTGCTTGCTATGCCCCGCGCCCTCTCGCAGATGGGCATTCTCCTGGGCACCTTCGTGATAATATGGTCCGGCCTGTGCTCCGGGTTCGGTCTGTACCTGCAGACGAAGTGCGCGCGCTACCTCGAACGCGGCCACTCGTCGTTCTTTGCGCTGAGCCAGCTGACGTACCCGAACGCGGCCGTTCTGTTCGACGCCGCGATCGCGATCAAGTGCTTTGGCGTGGGCATCAGCTATCTGATCATCATCGGGGACCTGATGCCTGGTGTCGTGCTTGGCTTCAGAGAAAGTGCTGGTGAGATAGGATATCTCGTCGATCGACATTTTTGGATCACCGCCTTCATGTATGTTCTGCTTCTTCTTCTCTACTTTTTCCTAGTGCGTTTTGAGAAGAGAGACACAGGCACTGATGTGGAGAAATTAGGCTCATCGTTATACCGTTGTCATTTTTGCGTCGTCTAGATTCGCTCAAATATACATCCGTCATCGCTTTGGTGGCCATCGGATATCTCATCATACTCGTCCTAGCCCACTTCATCAAGGGCGACACACTAGTTGACCGAGGCGAAATCCACGTCTTCACCTGGCAAGGCCCCGTACAAGCCCTGGCCAGTTTTCCCGTCATCGTCTTTGCATACACGTGCCACCAAAATGTACGAATGTTAAAAACCCCAGCTTCATCCGGCTTAGCTGCTAACCAGTATCGACCTAGATGTTTTCCATCCTCAATGAGATATCGAACAACTCGCACTTCCGCACAACTGCAGTGGTGGTCGCCTCCATTGGAACGGCTTGCAGCATTTACATCCTCGTCGCCATAACAGGATATCTTTCGTATGGCGATAACATTGCCGGCAACATTGTCGCCATGTATCCGCCTGCTGTGCCATCCACCATTGGCCGCGCTGCGATCGTTGTGCTCGTCATGTTCAGCTATCCCCTGCAAGTACACCCTTGCCGCGCCAGTGTGGACGCGGTGCTCAAGTGGCGGCCTGGACGGTCACGCGAGGAACCTAGGGCACGCAGAGAAGAAGGCAGCGAGATGAGCGACGCGAGATTCGCGGTCATCACGACCATCATCATAGTCCTGTCGTACATTGTCGCCATGACGGTGCATAGCCTCGAGGCCGTGCTTGCCTACGTAGGATCCACAGGCTCTACGTCCATTTCCTTCATTCTGCCCGGTCTGTTCTACTACAAGATCTCCGATCCGGACTCCCCACACAAGCACAGGCTGCTCAAGTCCGACGACGAGGACGACTACGATTCAGACGAAGGCAGCGTGTCGGTGAGGACGAGTCTGCGTAGCGTGCGGAGTGTCGGCAGCTTGGTAAGCAAGAGGCAGTGGAAGGAGGCGCTGTTGCGAAAGCTGAGCTTGGCCCTTGCCGTCTACGGGGTGTTGGTAATGATTGTGTGTTTGACGATGAACATTTTTTTCCATGCCAGCCATTGAGCGGAGGATGGATGATCTAGCTTACAGGAAGTACCATGTTTTGAATAGACGTAGTGTATGGAGTCTCGGAGCGTTAGAATTATGTGTATACGGAGCTTTAGAGGGCATACTGCGAGGGGATGAATCCTGGCATATTAGCGCATCATTTAGATACATCGTGGGTATTGTGACCGAGCATGACGTTCATGTCATCAATGCTTCAATTGGTGGATAAGTTCTTGTGACCTTTTCATAAACAAACTACGGCCAAGTCATTGGCCAGTCAACCAGAGTAGTGGCATTCCTAATGCGTCGAATTTGAATGATTGGGAATTCGATTGATTTATTTTTTTCATTCTACTTGTAACGGCATACAATTATGAAGCCAAGATGGGCCTTTGTACGTGATCCAGACATTTTGGGATTACACCGAAAAGTCTCCTTGTGATCCCAGAGCCGACGAGAGCAATAGAACGCATGACCGATGAATTGTACGACTCAACCCTTTCTCGCGTCAGCTCAATGCTTGGCTTTCTCGTCAGCTGAAAAGCCGCTCCTCTCTATGATACGATATCAGTGCGTAGTCATCTGTTGACGAGAATGGAAAACACGCGTTCTAACAAGGGCATCTGTTCAATGCTGCGAGCGTTGATTAGAAAAACCTCCTTCACTCTTAACATCGCCATGAATGGGATCGGATAGGTGACATTCGGAGGAGTATACACACTCTTCCAGAAAAGCACATGAGCACACATAGGATCTTCTTTTCTAAATAAAACTCTTATCAATCACTGTTGTATGTGATGTCAACGTTCCTCACAATCTCAATATCTGAGAGTAATGATATATTCGTCGATCTGTAACTATGGAAGGCGGGTAGTCACTACAAGAACACATCCAGGAATGAGGTCTCCACAAATCGCCACCTTGCGTTGCATTCTATACGACATGCGAGCTAGCTGCCAGCCTTTCGTGGTAGTTTCTGTGTCCGCAAAATAAACAAGAACGTGCGTGGGTATTCCGTCCCAGAAAACCAAGTCGAATGGATTTGAATAAGCGTCATGAAACACACCCGCTTCATGAAGGAACTCCATGTCATTGAACAACTCTCGTACACTCAGGCTCACAGGCCAGTTATATGCGTCAAGATTGCGGCTCTTCAGACATGCAGTGCTGCAACCGTCGGCTACCATGGAAAGAGAAGGGATTAGGCGAGAAAACTTCGTGTCGTCGCACAGATCCGGAGAGAGCAGGATCCGGGCATTTCATAGCAGAATAAGGTAATTGCTAGGCGCGATGCCCGTCTCGCCCGTTGCCTCGCGGCGTGCCTGCCACCATCTCCCACTGACGTCGCTGATTTCCAACTTCTCGCCCTTGGTAAAGCTGATCTCATTGGCGTCGTCCGGATTGGCCTCGTAACTGTAAATCGCCTTAGCTTTGTACGGATACTCGATAGTGCCTGCCTCAGTAGGTGCGCCGGTTGTCGCGGGGCCCACGGACGCCGAGTTGCGCGACATGCCACCAACAGGGCCGCCCTGGAAACCGGTGACCGGGCTGGACGTCTCGAAACCATTCAATTGCGCAGAAGTGTACATCTGCGGCGCCTGGGACGATGTGTCGGGCCGATTCCCTAGGCCACCACTGATTCCACCGCCCATGTAAGCATTTGAAACGCCTCGTGAGGCGCGAGATGAAGGCTTCTCTTTGTGCAAGGCGAAGGAGTCGACATAGGTGCGGTGCGCCGCGCTGGGTTTGGAGCCGTAGTAGAATATCCAGACGATCTAATAGTATTCAATTAGTATCGCAAGGCACTCGGGACTTTTTTTACTTTTATATTTCGTTATTTCTTTGTTGGTTTAGGGACCCAAACGTACAGCTACCATGGAAAGCAAAATAAAGCCGGCAGCAGCGGCTTCTTTAGCACCGCTGGAAGAGTAGACCAGCGAGTTGACGGAAGAGGTGGTAAAGACCAGGCCTGCCGCGAGAAAGCCTACGATCTGGTGTATGCTAATGTGAGCTATCTGAGCCTTCAAGAGTCTACTTGAAAGTAGGTGCTTACGGCAACATTGTACGTCTGCTCTGCGTCGGAAGCGACGGTGACGAGGACACCGATGATGCAGAAGAAAGTGTAGACGAGCGCCCACCACGCGAAGTTGGGATATGTCTCCTTAACGTCGCTAATAACGGATGAAATGAATGCGATCAGCCATGCAAGCTATTCCGCAGCATGTTAGTTGGTTCCCTTCAACAGCCAAATGAGGGCGGCACCCAGGAGACTTACAATAGCGATACTAATGGTAGCCAGTGCAAAGGGGTCTCCAATGATTCTCGAGATGCTAAATCGTGGCTCAGGGCTGTACCGATCCATTTTACCGAAAGAGCTGGGAGCCCGAAACGACATTCAATGTGTGCACGGCAAGACGCCTCTTATTCAGAAAGATGAGTTTAGAGGTAAAAGGGAGCCGAACTGCAACGACGCGAACAGTGACGATACGAGGAGAAGGACCAGTAGATAGGTGGTGCTCAGGTTGTTTCGGCCGAAATCGTGGAGGGAGGAGCTGGTGGCCGATTCTTGCGCAAGTACCAAGTTGTTTGAGGTGGTCCAAGGGGTGGGAAACGAGGCTCTGAGTAAGGATGGCGACGAGAATGGGTTGGGATTGCTCGTGCGGCGCCGATTCGAGTGGTTCGAAAGCAAGACAGAAGGGCAGCGCCTGGTTGCTTGCTGGGCGAGAGACGCACACGCAATTCCGGTGTTCTGGTCAAGGCCCAGGCAAGACAACAGCAAATGGAGGAGAAGAAAAGTATCTCGCGCAAGGAGGGGATTTCTGCGGTTGCTGCGTCTCAGGTTCCACGAACACAGCGATGGAAGCGCAGTGCGATAGGCGCCCCGACTGTGGGGACAGGTAAAGAAGTCGAGAAGAGCAAGAGCGAAAAGTAGAGGGCGCACCAGACGAGGATATCAAAAGAGCGTAAGAAGGCGACAATTGGTCGTGGTTGAACGGAGCCGGGGAAGAATCCAAGAAGGTTGAGAAGAGTGTGAGAGCGTACGAGAGTCGCGGTTAGGGAGAGACGACTGACTGGCCTTTGCTTTTCGCCGCTCCGGGTTTTGCTCCTCTTGGGGCTCAGGGCTGACCTCAAGGGAGAAGGAAAACGCCCCAGGGCAGACGAGGAGCAAAACAGGGATATGCGTCAACAGCACGCAAGTTTACGAAAAGAGAGCCCGCAGAAGGACGTTGGTCCACTTCAAACCCCCGAAATCATCGCCTGCCGGGCGTCGTTTCGGCGTTTCTCAGCCATCCGTTCCCCGTCTCACAAGCAAACTGTGCCCGAATCTAGCAAGCCGCGCCTCTTTCATGCTTGCTTCAACCACCGTTCATCTCTCGATGGGTTCGCGATGAGCAGCGCTGGCGGTCTCTTGGACAGAAAAGACCTTTCCAGTGTCTTTCCGCGCTGTCTTCGTGCTGCGTCTCCACTGCGTTCCTTTAATTAGCATCCCGCAGGAGGTAAGGCTGGCATGCGCTAAACCCATTTGGGGACATTGCCACCCACCTCATCTCACGCTCAAATTGCTGCTCATCTGCTGTTCCCGAGCTGAGCGATACGTATCCTCGACGACGCTGACAGGACTGTCTACGTATCCAGGTCTCGCCCGAAGCTGGAAACAATCACGATCAGCCAACTTTCTACGGCCCTGTCAGAGCCACGCTTGGCTTCTCCATATAATCAGACGTTTCGACACGCGGACACCGTCAAAAGCATGTTTGAGCTACACCACGCTACGATGAGAAACAAAACCGCGAGCGCCATGACCATAGGGCTCAGAATCTCTCACTTCGATGGCTCAGTTTCTCCTGCTTTATTTTGCCCCGTGTCCCGTTTCCTTATCGTCCAATTTTTTTCGTCCCCTTCTTCCGCCGTCGACTCTGAGAAGCAGCGCGCTCTTCGCTGTTGAAACGTTGTGCCTGCTCTCAAACCCCGCTGAAACAGCCCGTTTGGCTCGTCGTCAGCATAGAAAAACCGGAACCCTCCCGAACCGAGTCGCTGTTTCGATCTCTTTGCGCGACTTTATGTCCGTGGAAATCTTCTCGGGGACCCCCAATCGCGCCTATCAAAAGCCGATCGTCGCTCGCCGTGAAAACGTCATGCTATGCTTGCGGCATGCGTGAGGCCGCAACCTAGCAGGCCAGCTATAACCTACTCGCCAGCCCTTGACACAGCCCAAGTTCATTTGCATCACCGTCCCCTTCGCAAATCTCCTCTTTGAAGAAAGACATCGTTTAAATACTTTCGGTAACTGTGTGCCATGAAAAGCCGGTTCAATCGTTGCTCGCTTTGATGAGGCTTCCAAGCAAGATCTCGGCCGAGGCTTCTCTTTCCACATACGTCCTCTCTATCGTCCATCCTTTGGTGGCATAGAGCAGTGAAGTCGGACTCCAAGTCGCGACTGAGCATGGGCAGATTTCTAGAGACTTGTGTTGCCATGGTTTCCTTGGCCATTTTGCCGACAAGGACATTCTCGAACACGTATTACTGACGACGAAGATTTAATACTCAGCCAAAACCCCGAATATAAAATTTAAATGAGATCTTTAAAGCTGGTTCCTTTTGGGTGAAATTTTTTTCAAAGATCTGAACCAACGTGAACCCATCTGACAATGCTAGCAATGACGAGCCTTGACTGCAGCCATCGGACAGCTAGAAATCGCATGCTATTAGGAAATAATAGCAATGTCCTAGCTAGGATGGATTGTACGCCATAACTCGCATGCTTTCACACATCAGATCTTATTGTTTTGAGCCAAACTATCATCTAATGCAGTGCCAAGGAGCTCTGTCAGCGCAATAATGACAACACAATTGTCTCCTGCTACATTAAATTTCCCAATGCAAAAGCACTTAGGTCGTATCTGTGCTCATAATTACCATTGGGTCTCTCTTGAATTTCCAAAGAGCTGATCTTTTGATTTACTGCAAATTTACCTTGGTTCCTAATATACAGTTTGGCTCTAGCCTTGACCCTATGGGGATACAACCTTCGTGACACCCAAGCTGGTTCAACCTTGACTACCCATTCTAAACCCAATCACAGGTCTGAAGCAGTGCATTTTGGCGGCAATATGTTCCATGATCTTTGTCTTATTCTATTCTCTTGTCTCACTCAACAGGCCAAATTGATCCGAAGCATGTAGGTAAGATTGAAATACATGAGGAAACGGAAAACAATGTTGGACATGGGGACCTTTGAGATTAATTGATGGGAATTCAATGACACGTAACTCCGAAAGCAATCATCGATCAACAATCTTCATTATCCACGTAAAATCTGCCTGCATACCTCACATTCCTCTTCCAACAATGAAGCCGTCGCCACTTCCCAAGTCTAGAAAATCACCGCTACTGTTCAGAATATTGGCTTTGAAGTTCACACATAGGAATTCTGATGATGCGAGGGCTATGTGATACACACAAGCTACACGAGAAAAATTTCTCGTCTCAACCATTCCCCAAATTGACTCTCCCATTTCATTTCCATTACAAAGAATCCTACTCGGACATATTCGCCTGGTCGATCAATGACTTCCTTCACCAGAAGACCCGATCTGGTCGAATCAGTAGTTGTACCTACAGCAAGGCACATTATAGGGCTGGAGAACAAGAAATTTCCAAGGTCGCTAGGATCAGCAAGGCAGTCCAATGTATCGAACTTATATCTGCCGACCAGCTGGTTAGCTCTAATCGAACTTCTCAAATGTTTTACGAGATGCTATCGCGAAGGCTGTTCATAATAGGTGGTGGCCGTCGTGAGTCTTTCCGAACATGTCTTGTGATAGCCCCCTAGTCGGCAGCAACAGTAGTGAAAATTGGTTTTCTCGTACGATAGGTATGTGTATTTACCGCTTTTCTCGCTCACCAGCCAGCAATTATCTGACCAAACGCCTAGTTCACCTTTTGTCGGCCTGTCAGCATTCATGCCTACCGGTGAAGGCCTCATGGGAGCGCTGATTCGAATACGGCGGATCTGGTCAGAACCATGCGCAGCTTCATTTTCGATCTTCAGGATCTGAAGTTCTTGCTTGAGAAGGCGCAGGCCGGAATTGATGATCTCCCTACTTTCCCTACACGAGAACTCAGTAAAATACTTCCTATTTTTCGCGTACTCTCTGACCCGTGTAATCTGCGAAACATAATTGACTATGCTTACTGCAAACCAACGTCCACTTTCGAACCCTATCGGAGCGAGATCATCGTACCTACGGGATACCCAACTCCACGATGGAGCAATTGACGTAATAATACACCTAGGTAGTCTATGTAAAAACCATAACAAGCCATTGCAAAAGTCGCCCTGCCAATGGCCCATCAAATAAGTATCGCTTGTAATTCTCTGGACCTCCTGTGCGACGCCTGAGATAGCTGGTAGCGCATCCGACTCGAACGTTAGAGAACGCGCTAAGTATGCATTTAAGGTCATCAACCACACGTCGTAAACCTCTCTATTTGAAACACCAAATGGATCTAGACGTATTAGCTGCTTCGTTAGCCTGGGCTGCCGAATGTGCAGCGTTTGCATCTGAAACATGCGCCTATCATATTCCTCTGCCCAATAGTTTACACATTGCCATGTCATTTGCTCCTCTGTCCAGGTTACAGTCCGTGGGGATAAGGAGAACTCTTGAATGACCCAGCCTCGCGACACGAGGCAATTGCTTCTAGACTCGCGATGAGTGGCTCCTGGCTGTGGATACTTTTGAACCTTGACCTTGAATGTCTTCCCTGCTGGAGATGTAAATGGTAACTCCACGCCAGCGAAAGATGGAACCATGTATGGATTTCCATCGTCGATAACTGGCCGGCGATTGGCCAGTATTCCCGACGTGGCGCTTTGAGGATGTGCTGCAGCGATATTCAATGTGCCTAAGTTCGATCAGCACGGCTCCATGTGAAGAGATGAAAAAATAGCCACTAATATGCAAAAATGGTGAACGTACAGTTCTTGTACACATCACGCATTTTTACCGACTCTATTTTCCAGTCTTCCATGCGATCTTGAAGGATACATAAACTATCGATCCACAAGTACCTAAATCCGAGCAATCGAGTTATCGACACAGCATCCTGGAAGGTTTTTGATAGCCTGTCCCATTCGATAAGCTGACGATGATGATCCAGATTCTTCGACGTTGTTTTCAGTGAAACATTTGTCCCCCAACGGTGGCTTAGTGCAATCCATTGACCTCTCTTGCCTTCTGTGAGCAACAGACGTGGCTGTTCTGAGCCATTAGATGGACCAACATCAATTACTCTCGTAGGTAGGGTCGAATCACGGGGAGCAGGGCACTCTCGATGGTGATTGACACACGTGGTGAACCAACCTTTCAGCATCTCCATGCAGGCGTTATCATGTGGATCCACTGGGATATGACGACCATAGAGTCCCTCCACATCTATGTCCAGCGTGAGATCCATGCAAATGACTTTCGCGTCTCAGCATCCTACCTTCGTCCGTGTAAACCATGAGACGTGGATTGGCAGAGCCTTTGTTCTTCTCGTGTAGAGCTAGGCCCACGCCATCGCTATCTAGTTCTAAATAGAGGCGAGATTCTAAAGTAGGGATCTCTCCGCCTGCCATGAGCCGTAGTCCTTGACACAGCACACATCCCATCTCTGCCGCCCTATCTAGAGATGGTCCGTTCACATGATGTTTAGTGGCCGAACTTGAACCTGAACCGAATTGTTAGCTTAATTGATACCTCAAACACGTCAAGGGTTTTGTGGCAGCTGTGTTGGCGTCCAAAAACTTCAGGTAGTGTGGGCGATTTCCTCACTCTATTAGAGCGCGTACCTCCTGAGCGCAGCTCGATGCGCTTACACACCTCGCACAACACGGTCATCTAAGAGAGCTTAGTAGCAAACTTTACGATTATCTGTGACCAACGTCAAGCTAAGTTTTAAGAAGTTGATGGATGTAAAAACTACAGAAGAAGGCTGCCCCGCAGGCAGCGCGTAAGCAATCATGCTTGTTTCAAATTATGTACGTGGGTTCAGACATTGCATCGGGCCTCAAGCGTGGAGAACAGCGGAGAGGGCCGAGAATATCAGAAGAATTCGCACAAATGTGAACTGAACTTTTTTTTTAACTGATGAAAATGCTTATTGAGGTGGGCAAGGCCTCGATATCAGCTTCAACTTGAGAGAGAACCATCACCAAACGAACGGAGCTATGTCTCAATGGAAACAGGTGTTGATCAGTGCGAGCAAACCGCAAGCTGCTATCGAAGGCCCATTGGTCAAAAGCTTGGGAACCCGAATCGAAAAACGGCATCTCGAGAATGAGCTGGCATAGAGGCGTTAAGCAAGATCACTGAAGCGGACTTTACGCTTGCCGTAGATTTGGAAGCCAGAACCCTGTAAGGCTCTGCATGTACACATTTTCTGTAGCAAGACACAACCACTCGAGGAGCAGGATTTCAGACACCGGAACGGAGTAAGCAGGGATGATTGAGGGAGTGAGCCCCAACGACGAGCAAGTTGCATTGGCGTGCGAATCGTCGAGCTGAAGTACTGTAGATTCCCCACACGCTGACCGAACATGGTGAGAACTCCTGTCTCCTCGACAATCGTCGATGAAATCTGTGCGAGAAACTTATCAGTAAGTTAGCGTACGAGCGAGCAAATACAGTTACTGGGACTTTGTAGTCCCCCAGCCGCCCTCAAGGTTGACTCGCTAGCGGCACGTGGCTTAACCCGCCCTTTCGGACGGCAAGAGCAGCCGGGTGCTCGCCTAAACAGGCCCGGCCCAGCCTTTGCTTGAGCAGTTGGGAAGCAGCAACCCATCGTAAACTGGAGACGGAAGGAGAAGCGATCATCTTCGCGGCAGAGGAAGCAACGACTCGCACAACGGTCACCGCAGCCAATTCACCATTGCTGCCGCTGCCGCCACCGCTGCCGCCTTCCGTCGATTTGACTGCCCTTCTGTCGCCTTTGCAAGCACAATCAGCAGCGTCGAGCTGCATCGGGGCGGCGTGCAGCATGGTGCGGAATGTTTAAGTCGCGCCTCCGAAGCAAGAACCTCTTTCGGAGGTCGAACTCATCAACCCAGTTCAACGACAACGCTCACGTCCACGCCGAAGACAAGCTCGATCAGCCCTCTTCCCCACGCTCGCGGCCCGTTGCTGGGACGATCACAGTCTCGTCGTCGCCCACGGTCGTTCGAAAGCCCAAGCAATCGCGCAGCTTTTCCAGTCTGCGGGACACGAGGAAGAAGTCTGCCACCGCTGATGCTGTGAGCGGTGACGTGCCTCCAACGCTAGACGTGGATCCGAAAACGCCCCTTACCGACGCCGGGAATATCGAAAACCAAAATGAACATACTGAAAAGGAAGGTGGTGAAAGTCTGAAGTCTGCGGAAGGGACATTGTTAGACAGCAGCATCATCTCGTTGCCCGGAGCTGGACCTGCCCCCGAAGTTGTGGTTGAAGAAGCCACTCCTGGTATTCCTCCCCCTGCCAATCCCATTGACGTGCACGTCACCGAAAACACGCCTGTGACGCCCCGGCGAGGAGGTCAAACGACGGCAGAGGAGTTGTTGGCAGCAGAAGCCCTGCGGAAGCAGAGCCTCGTGTCTCGAGCAGACGTAGATATCATCAAGGCGTTGCTGCACGACGAGCAGTTAGATGCAGCGACCTTGCATCGGAAGCCACCGAGCTTGCAAAGAGGTTTCACAACCGCCAGCGAGACTACAGCGCTGAATGCGAGCATGCTGAGTCGCAAAGTTTGGGTTAAGCGGCCCCACGCCGCAGCTACTATCGTGCTGATTAAAGAAGACGACTTGGTAGACGAGGCAAAAGAGGCCATCTTACAGAAGTACAGGAACCAGCTGAGCCGGCATTTCGATGCTCCAGACATCACTATTCGTATCCTCACAAGAGGGGAGCCCGGCGAGCGGATTTTAAATCCTGACGAGCCACTTTGCAGGACTCTTGATTCATACTATCCTGGTGGGCAGTCTGTGGATGAGGCTCTCATCATCGACGTGCCTCAGCGACGCACGCCGCGACCCTCACCGAGAGTCCACAGCCACCATTCTCACAATCGATCTCACGACTCTTTCCAGTTCTACGATGAAGGTGAGCGAAGTGCCCGTCCTCACGAAAGTGCGACGGATTATTTCCCACCAATGCCACCCGTGAACTTGGGGCAACCGTCTCCACTGCTCACAAATACGTCTCACGACAGCCACTCTCACGACTCGCGCAAATCACATGCAGCTCACGAGCGCGCGATCTCCGTCCTAAACACTGGACAAGTGCCTCCTTTACCTTCCCCTGGTGCAGTAGGCAGGAGAGCTCACATGGCAAAACAGCATAGTCGACCAGCGCATCCTAGACAACACACCTCATCACCTACGACACTATCTTCGTCTGTCGCATCGCGCGGCCCCAGGCCGCACTTAGATTCCACAGCGTCTACAGAGAAACATCCTCAATTGAGTGCATCTACGGCTACACTGCCCACACCACCGGCACCAGAACCAAAGACAAATGCAGCAGCTGCTGCTGCTCCACTCAGTGGCAACGCTCCTCCAACTCCCCGCGTTTCCTCCCCACGTCCAGGTGGGCGACCGAGTCGGAAAACACGACAGAAGCAAAAAGACGAAGGTCCTACGGCATTATCCTTGCCCCCTGGGATTTTAGACACATCCGTGCCGCCGATCAACGTTCTCATTGTGGAGGACAATATGATCAACATGCGTTTGTTAGAACAATTTGTGCGCCGGCTGGGTGTGCGCTGGCAAACTGCTGTCAATGGCCGCGAAGCCGTCACAAAGTGGCGACAAGGTGGCTTTCACCTTGTCCTAATGGATATCCAGCTCCCCATCATGTCTGGGCTAGAAGCAACGAAGGAGATTCGGCGCCTAGAGCGGGTGAACAATATAGGCGTATTTAGCTCCGCCAGCAGTTCAGCCCCGGAGCTCGATGAAGAGTGCGATCCTCTTGATGCGAGCGGCAGGAAGAAAGAGGTTAGGCAGGAGGACAGACTATTTGAGGACGGTTACTCAAGATTGTTCAAGAGTCCTGTCATTATTGTGGCGTTGACGGCGAGTAATCTGCAGAGTGATCGACATGAAGCGCTTGCGGCAGGATGCAATGATTTCTTGACAAAGGTTCGTTCTGGATTTGCGCCCATTCAATTTTCCTACGACTAACTATTGTCCCCAATACAGCCCGTGAACTTTGTCTGGTTCGAGCGCAAAGTCAAAGAATGGGGCTGTATGCAAGCTCTTATCGACTTCGACGGTTGGCGCAAGTGGAAAGACTTTGCAGAAGCAAACGGTCTCAAAGATCCATCCAAACCTGCTGGTGCACCTATTAAAAGGAAGGCTCTTAAGCCTGAGAGCACTGCAGTTTCGAAAGCGTCAGATGCAAAGAGTTTGGATGGAAAGGGCCAAGAGAAAGTCGTTGGCTCAGATAGAGCCAACACATCTCCGTCAGAACAAAAGGATTTCGCTTCCACAAATCCTAGCGCCGAGGGCACGAAGGGGGAAAACGTGGCGAAGGAGAACAGTACTGACACTATGCTGCATACATCGAACACATCTGGCTGAGCAAGCCCATTTTGCCTGAGTGGCCTATTTTTGCCACAAGGTTCTGAGTTTCTCGTCTTTATACTGTCTTACATTATGTACACGCACACGTATGTTCACTCTACAAATATTTTCTATGAGAAAGGCGCCTTGGAAGGTAGGCATACATGCATAGGGCCGTGGCGTTTTAATCTTTCAATAATTCAAGTTTCAAAGTCTTAAAATGTGTTCGGTGATAGATCTACCTAGGGAAGATGATCGTCTCTTTTGCAACTTTATGATGAGACTGATTTATTTGCAATCACCAGCGAAAGTGTGAAAATATGGTCCATGTCGTTTTTCATAATCAATCGCCCGTCGAGAGCAAGGCGCTTATGATCATGGTAATACTCCTGATTCACAAAATCTTGACTCGTGCCTAGTAACGGTGCGCTAGTTATGGCACACATAGCTACCTGAGTAGATGCGCCTGACGACGCCGTCTCTCGAAGAGCGGTCTTTATATTGACCAGTGTAACGCTCTTGAAACAAGAATATCGCAAACTTCTAATCCACTAGAGGGGCTCTTGCTTAACATGATTCCAAGAGCTGCTTGCCGTCAACTTCACAGACTCTGCGCCTAGGCGAAGCGGCGACGATAAACATCAACTGGCTGACTGTATTTCCAAGACGATGAAAGCCGCGTAGGAGTAAAGTTTTGTCAGTGCAGAGTACACAAAAGTTTGTACCTTAGGGCTTCCGCCAACCACCAAAAAGGGATTTCTTAGATATTGAACTAACTTGGGCAGTGCCAGAACCAACACAGGCCATCGCATACTCGCATAATAGTGTCAACGGGACGTAAATATTTGAATGAAGTTAAGGAAGTAGACAAATGGCTAGCTTCACAATTGTGTTGTGCTTGTAGCACAGTACGATCAGCGCAATCAAACGACCTTCGCTCCAGCACCAGATAAAAATATGCTTATAATACTGTGCGTAGCTTCAACGGGCAGTTCATGATATTAGTTCGAAATTTCTGCTATTATAGTTATTTTAAACAGGCGCTGCTCGCGATGGACGACGGAAACACTTGTTCCTGTCCGCACTCGGAGTTCAGCTGGCCAAGAAGCAAGATTGCTTTCGCGCCTACATAACAAATAACTACATTATCGAATCGATCGGAAGCCAAAGAATCGGTCTTGAATTCTTTCAAAAAAAAAAAAAAATTCACAACTTCAATGTCCTCAAGACTCACGGCCGGTGTTACTGACAACTCGGCGAGAGACGATGGGCCGGCCTCGATATCAACACAGCTACGACAGACTAATCGGCCTAAACGAAAGCAAGTGTCCAGGGCGTGTAATTGGTGTCGTCTTCACCGCGCGAAATGTGATCCATACGTTCCATGTCGGAACTGCCAGGAACGAGGTGAACGGTGCAGTAAGAAGAACAACGCTGAACTACAATCACTTCCACGAGCACTACGGTACAATCGAATCCAAGTCGAAATACATTTCATTGCTGAAACTAAATTATATGTGTCACAGAGAGATCGAGAGATTGAGCCAACAAATCAAGGAGCTAGAAAGTAGCAGCGAGAACCTTCGAAATGCGAGAGAGGGAAGTCCAAGAGGTTCCGAATCCAGCGTCGCTTGCGAAGCATCAACTGCTCAACAAACCTCTGCTTCTGCAACAAAGAACCACGTCTCAGGCTATGAGGGATTGCTTAGAACATTACCCAGGAAACGCTGGGAAGGTTTATCAGCGCGCGGCCCACAGTCGCAACAAGTATTGTACTACGGCCCATCATCCACCTTTTATTTCCTAAGCAGAATCAACGCGTACATAGGATCAGAATTTCAACAACCGCACTCCAACCGGCTACCACTACCTCATTCAGCAAGCAAGGAGCTCAGCTCGCCAGATAGTACAAACGAGGCGACTAGGAAACATGGAGCCTCAGCCTACCGTTCCGACACTGGCGAGATCAATCTTCCCAGAAGGCAAGAAGAGTACTTGCTGGGCTTATTTTGGCAATTTCACTACTGCACACTGCCTATCATCGACGACGAGGACTTTATGACACATTACAAAAGCCTCTGGGCAAGCCACGAAGCCTCGACTCGGAAGCCGTCTGCCTTAGTCGACATTGTGCTTGCACTGAGCATGCAGTACGGCTCTGCATTACTGCCTAGTGACCGTGACGAAAGGAATTCAGGCATATATCAAACTGACTCAACTATTGCTGGTCGTTGGCTCTACCGCAGATCCAGAGCGCTCTTAGCAAGTGACCTTGAAAACCCATCGATAACCACGCTTCAATGCCATATCTATTCCGCTTCATATCTATCGTCTGCATCTTTTGCGAACATGGCGCATAACACCTTAGCTGTCGCCGTCCGGATAGCTCAGTCTCTTGCCCTCCATCTGAATCCGCCGGCATATTTACCCGAGAGGGAGAAGCAGCTTCGGAGGCGCATCTGGTGGGTACTGTCCACCTTGGAATCCAAGACGTCTCTGAAACTGGGAAGACCCTTCGCTTTCCAGATTTCGGATGTGTCATGCCCACTACCTGATGATGACCAGGAGACTGCGTTGGCAGCCAGCTCTGCTTTTGGAATATACGCTGAGGATGTCACATGGCTGACTTATTCAGTGCAATGCCAAAAACTCATTCTCGTCTCCAGAGATATATACGAATTTGTTTATGACGGGTATGCAAAAATTCTTGATTCAAGAGCAGTTGAAACGCCTTACCAGGATCACCGTGCGCTTGAGAGCTGTGCACAATTGCTGAGTTCACAGATGAGCCGTTTTGAAAGATGGCTGAATAATGTCCCGAAGGGTATTAAGAACAAACGTAGAGATGGTGGCAGGTCTATGTCAACAGACCGGACTGCTTTGGAAGTAGAGCAGCAAGCACCACTGTGGCTACAGCGGCAGCGCATCTGTCTCGAACTGGTTTACCACACCATGGCGATGAACTTCTACCGCCCTTTCATAACATTCTCCAGCAATGATCGTATGAGCACTCCTACAGCAGAGCTGCACGCATATTCTTGCATAAACCACGCTGTCGCGCTCACGAACATTATTTACCAGGTGCTCAGCGAGACGGACCTGTTGAACGGGTGGCATGAATCGTTTCAGTGGCAGTGGAATGCCACTGTGACCACTCTTGGCTTCCTCTTCGCCTATCCAATTAGCCAGTCTAGCGCAATCGCCAGAAGATCCATAGACAAAGCCATCAAGGCCTTTGAGCTCTTCGGGAGCAACAACGTTGCGGTGTCATTGAGCGCGGCAAACGTAACCCGTGACTTGGTCGAAAAGTCCGATGTACTTGCCAGCCGCTTCAGAGCCGGATTTGGTACTTCTCATGATGAACAGGGTCTCGGCACTGGCTATGCTTTCCGCAGAGAACTAGACCAGAGCGGTTACATGCAATCCTCAGAAGGAGGTCTCAGTACGATGATTTTGGACGGCGCGAACAACTTTTCCAACTTCATGGACTTGGCCTTGTCGGTGGATGTACCCAATACCTTTGAAGATCTGTTCACCGACACTAGTGGAATGTTCGACCCGTGGAAAATAGCTGCTCCTGAGGCCATGTGAGCCCGCGGTCGTGGATTTATCGCTTTTACACAATGTGAAGGAAAATACTCATCAGCTGTCGAGGTTCGACGGTAATTGTGCAAAGGTTTTCAGGCTGTGGAAGCGCGGATTGCGTTATGTCATTTCTCCCTCAAAATTGAGCCGGAAACTTCGTGCGCAACTCCTTTGGGCATCATGTTTATCTGGATCAGACAAGAGGAAAAGTGATTCATTCATTACAGCTAAATTCTACGTGCATCGTCGTTGTTAAGCTATAAGCTTGTGTCAACAAGATAGCTGACCATTCCTTCTATCCAGAATTCAGATTCATGGTCAGTATGTTTTTATCCGAGAAGAAACAATGGAAATATAGAATAGTATCTGCACAGAAAAAAGGAGGCAACCACGCAGAGATATCAAGCGGACTGTAGAACATTGGACTTGTCTCTCGAGACAGGCCTCGCAGGAGCACGCGAAGCTTCAGTAGAAAAAACTCGGTCACGATACTAGGAAGAAGCGGATTGAGCTGCCTCTTTTATTTTTTTTTTTCTACTCTTAAGCCTACAAGACCACCATGCGTCGTATGCGCTGACGTCACCTTGCATGTAATGCTGCGCCTCCCACATATACATGCGGGCGTTGCCTCTATATCTTGCAAAATGTGCAGAAATCGAAGTTGATCTCCCGCTGCTGCGGCTCTCCACGCGCACACAGATCTGCAGGTCTGCGATTCATAAGTCCGGGCTGCCCCCCGTCGGGCGAAGTCTCTCTTGAGCTGTGAGATCCAACCACGACGTTTGAAACGAAGTTACTTGGCGGAAGAGGTCGTTTCGCCGACCTGATTGCAGCGCTCTGTGCAATCTATCTCAAGTCCTCATGGCTTCGGCCGCCTAACCACTCATGAAATTGTCATACTTTGACGACTTTTGACGGCATTGCATCGGACTTCGAAAGTAATTCATTGCTGAGCTTGTCCCGCAGCAAACACCTTCTGCATCGAATTACGCGACTGCTATTTGCAACATATCTTTACACTAATATTGGCAATCTTTGTATAGGAAAGCTAGGAGGGCTGTATGTCCGCTGTTGTGGAGATCATTTCTCCCGGGAAAGCGCTGTACACATACTTGCCCTAAGGACTCGCTCGGTTTATTATGTTGACGGGATTTGAGACTTTATTACCGCACTTCCTCTTCTCTTCTTCTATTCTTGTATAAATTCAAGCCCAACTTGCACCATCCGAACTCACAGAAAATTGTAAAATGCACCGTCTCTATACGCTGGTTTTCATCACCGTGTTTCTCCTCTCCTCGTGGGCTTTCGGGATGCCAATGGCTAATCGGAATCGAGGTACAACGAAACGATTACATTTCAATTATCTACGAGCTAATTTTTCCTATAGTCAACCAGGGTACATCAATAAGTTCCCCCAGATCTCAGGGGTTGCAAAATCACGCACTCCTAGCGCGACAATCTAATCAGCCAAGTTTCACTATCAGTCCTCTTGATAGCAGCGCCGATATCGAAATCTCCATCAAAGCGTCTTCAGGCGGGCCCCAATACATGAGCATCGTGGTTTGTACGGACTCGCCTATCTATTACGGAGACTGTATGACCATGCAGTTGGACAAAGATTGCTGCGTGGACTTCACGGCAGGAGGAACCTGGGATAAGTCTATAAGTTCCATCGAAGTATCGACCATGGACTCGCTTTGCATGATCTATCAGGAACACTTTTGTGGCAGTGGGAACAGCATGTGGCTTAATATGGGCGATACGAGCCGTGACACTGTCGATTTGACACCATACAATGACAAAATAAGCTCAATGGCTTGTTATTTCGATCCACGCGGGGTCAACGGAACCTGGAATTCCACTTGAAGAGCTCGGAAGAACATGTCTATCTGTACGGACTGAGAGCCACCGGGTTAAAATTGGTTCAAAAGAAATGATTCACATGTCAATATGACGAGCATTTGAAGCACATTTAGCATGTATCAAAGATGTTCTCTGACGAAAGGGACTAGGATATGATTTCTACCAGTCTACGTAACGAACATGAATCATGTAATATACGACGTTCCTTAATGAATTGAAGCTGTATTCGGCAATTGATTGCTCTTCCTCTGTGCTTTCTAAAAACCTGTCATGCTCTTGGACAACATCATAATTTCTTGGCTCTGTCGTGTCACGATTGCAAGACGACAAACGCACGAGACGAGACAATTCGAAGTCATTATCCTCTTCATGCTGCAGATATCTTGACTGCGTTCGCGGCCTATGGCTGTAGAATATGTAGGATTTCCACAGGGCCCAACAGTTCGTAAGGGGATGAAAGTGTAGTCATGATCGCCTTCCACCGCATAGTTACAAGGTGTCCCAAGTAATACCAATTCCTTGTTGACAATTGGTGGTCTTTGATACAGGAGAAAGTGTTGATTTCAAAATAGAACTTCTATTCGTAGTGAAATCTAAGGCGACGTGGCATATCTACTTGACTGTGATACTCTTGACGTGACCAAACTTAAATGTACAGTGGTCCGAACTCGTTTAACGATACTATCCAGCGCCATAATCACAAGACCATAAACCGGAACGCCTAAAGGTACAAGAAAGCCAATCGCTGGTAGAAGAGTGCGTTGCAAAGCCATCTTTTGACTTCAAGCAGCCAAGATTTGGGACTCGTTTCATCGCGGCTACCATTGCTGAACAGCAACGTGATCCCAACATCGTTCACTGACCACTGGTTTCTCTTGGCTCAAAGCCATAGGTGATCTCTATCTCGGAGAGTGACTTCATAGGCGATAGTTTGGAGGATAGCCGCATGAGCATCGAGGGTCGTTTTGCAACATAGTATGTCTCGCTCTTCCCAGAATCATTAGACGCGGTTGAAAGCAGTGACTTGACCGAAGAGGCGGAGCTGATCGTCCCGGCGGGCATGTTGTATTTTATAATGTCGAGACAGTTGTTGACACGGGCTTCGAATGGTGCAACGGAGCGAACAAGCGCTTCGGCTGACGTGAGGGAGTCCGGAGTGCTTGTTTGAGGTGCCAATGACGGCTTGACTGCACAAGATTCAAGACAAGCTTTGGGGTCTGGATTTTGAGATTGCTTAGCTTGTTCGCTCGCGAGATCTTTCGTCCCTCTTTTATGTTTGCATCGGCACAGGTGCGGCTGATGTCGAAGTTACGCTCTGTGGTGTGCACGCGAATCCTGAGCCCGCAACCGGCAAGGCCACCGGCGATGTTACCTGAATCTCTACCGGCCCCGCCGAGAACCGCACCTATGAATCGCCAACACCATTTCCACTAAGACGACACTAATAGGATCCGTCGACTCAGGCTTACCTGCTTCTCAGCGAATGGTGGCCTCCCGTGCAGATCAGCCGTGGCTCTGAGCAACCCATGCGTGGATCCCGGGATGGTTGCTTAGCGTCCCCCGTGGAAATGGTAAACTGGTTGAACATGGGCAAATGCGGCTGAGAGGTCTGCATTCCAGCTGAAGATCCTTGAAGGACTAATCGCAGTTTCAAATCCAATGCCGAAGGCAGTTGCTTGGACACTCGGATCATCCTAACGACGGGTCTCGCAAGTCTCAGCTTCATGCCAAGTTAAGGCGCATGAAGAAATGGCTCAGCTATCTGAAGTCTACATCCCTTGTTTGATAAAAATGGTATAGTAAAAATTATATCTAATGCAGCCATCAAACAAGGTGGAATAGAAATGTCTTTACGTCGCGCTGGTCAAGTCAGATCTAATAGGAAGCCGTTCCTACTTTCCAAGTCATATCTTTGCTACCGGGGATTACGTATACATTGCAAGTTTCATCCGTCTTTTCAATTCTACTAGTCACTTTTCGAAGCAGAAGCGGCTTGCTCTTGCAGCCTGGGTGCCGTACTGTTTTCTTTTTCGAGGTCTGCAGCCCATAATGCCGCACCAACCGTGTTTGTGAATGTAAATAGGATGCCAACAAATGGAACCATTTCAAGCAATGTTGCCGTGATACCAAAGCTAAAGCTTATCAGCACTGGCTGAAACTGCGGCTACATCTGAATTTGCGTTTGCGGTGCATCTTACCTAGTGTACGCGGCCTTTCTCTGCTCGACGAACTCTTCCCTGCGGTGGTTACTCATCTTCTTCAGCTGAAAGTACCGGGCATGTGCCTGGGGCCCGAACTTCCGGCCTTGAAGAACTAAAAAGATCACTGTACCAACTACCGGAATAAAATTTAAAGGAAGATACATAAAGTAGCGGATGATCGCCTTTGGCGTGAATCGGGCAAACGGCTTCTTCATAACCTTGCCCAGCCGAGCCATTGCATCGCCACCGGACTTCAAGTCGCGACCTTCCGCCACTATATTTGCCTGGTTCCTTGCAACAAGGGTCTAACAACTGTTAGAGGAGAATTGCTTTGCTTGATAGATTTTCAGAGCTTACTCCATCAAAGGTGTCTAGTAACGCATCCTGGATGAAAAAAGATTTTGTTAAGACATTCGTGATCGTAGCACTCTCGCTAAGCACAAGCATCATGGTAGAGAAGATCGCTAGAGGTCCATTGAATATCGTGAGTATTGCAGCTTGTGGCACGTAAGTGAACATGAACATGGCCGATGTAACGCCGACAGCGGTGGAGATCGTAGGCGTGAGTCTCGACATCAGCGGTCTCCATAGATCGCGGTGGGATGCAAAGAACAAAATACCCTGCACAAGTTAACTTGAAGTCGCAAGGGACATTGTTGTGTGGCCCTGGTAACAGACCTTGAAGGGATATAGATACGCTCGGCTCTTGATCGCTTGCGCTGCAAGCATCTTGATGCGTTCGGCATCTTCTTGAGCCACTTCTTTGACCTTTTTATCCATTGCGTGTCGTATCCTGAAGTTTGCTCAATCCCTTACCGTTAAGAATGAGATTGCACACCTTTTTGATGGGCCGTGGCTAAGAACTTTGATCGAGCTACACGACGGTCAGTTACGTCACTCGCACCTCACATGCTTTCCTTGGCCCCGCCACACTCACAGAACTAACATTACAGCCTTGGAACAACGAACGCAAGGCTGAAACGGTGCGAATTAATTTTGACGCGGGATAGTCGTCCCAGGATTCGATGCTGAAATAGGCTTTCAGCGATTTTCCTCCTGTTCTGGTCTGTTCATCGCCCACTTGCCCTTGTTGGATGCTCCACCTCTCCTGTGTCCGAGCTTTGTCACGACGCTCACAAGCGGCTAGATCTTTCATGAAAATGGGGCTTAAGGTAGGTATTGCGCGCACTTGGACTAGCTTGATATAGCTGATCATATCCAAGACTCTGTCGGCGGAGAAAGCAGCAGCGCTTGACAAGGAGCTTATGAGTGATGGCGCGTTCTCGATCGACCAATTGATGGAGCTTGCTGGCCTCTCCGTCTCACAAGCAGGTATTTCTGGAGAGATGATCTGAAAATAAAGCTACATGTTAAACTTCATATAGTGTACAAGATCATGCCTCCATCAAAAGGCAAGAACGTACTTGTTGTTTGCGGTCCTGGCAATAATGGTGGAGATGGGCTGGTTGCCGCACGGCACTTGCATTTCTACGGATACATGCCTACAATCTACTACCCAAAGCAATCGAAGAATGAGCTCTATCAACGCCTCTGCAAGCAACTTCGCGACTTAGATGTCGCTTTCACCGATGATTTTTCGGCCGCTTCTTCAAGCACGAATCTCATCGTCGATGCTGTCTTTGGATTCTCCTTTTCTGGCGAAGTGCGACAGCCTTTCCCTGCTGTCATAGAAGGATTTGAGAAAGCGAAAGTTCCCGTGCTGAGTGTAGACGCGCCTAGCAGCTGGAACATAGAGACGGGACCTCCGGAAGACGGACCAGGGAAAAACTTTATGCCGGATGCGTTGATAAGTTTGACGGCTGCCAAGCCGTTGGTGAAGTGGTACAAGGGAAGACACTTCATTGGAGGAAGATTTTTGAGCAAGGCGATAGCAGAAAAGTACGATATTGAAGTGCCGCCGTACGAGGGTATCGATCAGATAGTTGAAGTACCACTGGGCGAAGGTAAGCTTTGAAGAGCTCGATCGAAGCAAAAACGAGTGATAGATTGTTAGTCCAGATTTTAGAATGGAGTAAAAACCCTTGTTGCTTTAAGTTATACCTACACGTTTATAAGTTATACAGAGCTATAGTACACTTGGATCGCCGTCCATTTCCCATTCATCAGTAGAAATTCGTGAAGTTGTGTGAGACTATCTGGTCGTATGGTCTATAGATAGACCCTCAGACCACCAGTTGCCTCTACCAAATACGTGAGAGCCCAGGCGTGGAGGCGACTGAGCGCTGAGTCCTCGGCTATCCAGCCGAATCCAAACGCACCTGGACCAGCCGGGCTGGGGCTTGTTAGCCAGGCAGCCACATGCATGCTCATAAGAGCTAAGAAGATAATCATAGTCCAATTGGCCATTCTCTGGCCACGTAGTAGCGTAGCTGTGTTACGCAAGAGCTGGTCGTATTTTACGACCACATCCTCCTTCTCGAGTTCGAGCCGCAAGTAACGTTTGTCGGCTGTTGGTACTGTCTCTGCGACAGTAATGGGGGTGGCGAGTGCGAGATTGGTGGGTTGGGAGGAGAGAGGAGGAGGGGTTGTTGAAGGGGATGCTATGGAGACTTCTTTGTCGAGATCCATCATTAGATTCTGGAAGTGCTCCTCGACAAGCTCATTCTCGAGCTTGACTTTGAATTCGTGGACTTTGGCGTCCACAGATGCTTCGGCCGCTTCAAGCTTGGCTTGGCAAGCCTGAAGGTCCTTGGCTGTGGCCTTGTATTGGGCCTGGGAATTCTCGAGAGCTGCCTTGCAGATCTCAAGGCGCTTGTTAGAGTCTTGGAGAGCAATCTCCAGTTCTTTGATGCGGTCTACGGCCGCTTGGTGTGTGTTTTGCAGGCCTTGGTAGGCCTGCTCCATATTCGTGGCGCTCTTTCGCACCATGTCTCGGAGACATTTCTCCTTCTCCACTTCAGTCGTTAAGGCCTCGAGGCGTTTCTCCAAGTCCTCGTACTGGGCCAGGGTAACGTATTGGTTACCCGGGTAGTTGGCCGTCACAGCCAGCGGAGGCTGTGACGGCTGCTGTTTTGTCTCCGGCGCCTGGGCCGGAATTGGGAAGGCAGACTCAAACTTGCCAGGCATATTGAATTCAAATTTGGCGGATTTTCCGAACTGGAAGGTGTTGGAAGAGTCCATGTTGATTTTGTTGGTTTGTTGTCTCGGATTGTTTGGAAGTGTAAAAGAAGAAGTCTTTGTTGGAATGCTGACGGAACTGGTTTTCGAAAGAGAGTGAGCATGCGTCTAATTCATATATCATCATTGCAAGATCTGAACATTTATTGAATCATTGTGCTATTGTCCTTTGCTTGGATGGCTTCATGCAGAATTAGAGGTCTGCTTTTGTTATTGGTGTAGACAATACGTCGCGCGCAGCTATTCATTTTGAGGTATTTTAGAGCTTCTTAATTATTGATCCAGGGAATGAATCTAACTAGGGGACTCTTATCGTACGAAAGGTTAAACAGCGTCATGAGAGTGGGCTATCATGCGGATAGTGGATTGTTATGTAACAATCGAGTCACGACATATTGCCAGATTGTGACGATGCTTGGTGAGTTTAAAATATGCTATTCAGTCTACAAGATCGTACGCACCATAATATCCACTATATGACTTGAATAATCCCATCCTGTAGTCCAGGTTTCGATGGCACAGTACTGTTTAGGAGCCTCTCTTCGTATCCCTTGACATACACTTCAGTAACTAAGGTCACCTCTCAGCAGCGCCTAAAGACAGAGCTATCTCTCGATATTTTGGAAGTAAAATGCAAGCACCGTATATGAGTTCCTTGGGTCTGTTCTCGGGATAAAGTAGACAGTCAAAGAAACTGGGAGGGCACATCCCAGCACTCTCAGGCGTATCTAACTGGGTTGTTATGTTATTGAGCAATAGATCCAACATCCTCAAAGACATTGAAAATTGTCACATTGTCCCAAAGCGCTTTGGAACAGGCTCAAGAGGTTTTCACTTCGCCTGAGATCTATAGTGAAGCTGATGGTGGCCGTCGTCGAGATTCTCGGAATTCCGAACCATCAATTCCGTTGTTGCAACCTCAGGCAGACAGTGTATTTGCCTAACGAAAGTTTCCCAAACGAGAACTCCGACGATGCTGCCATCGAACTGATCAGTTCACACAGTCAAAATGGTTCTGCGAATACGTCTGGCTCGTTTCGGCAAGACAAATGATCCTTTTTATAACATCGTCGTCGCGCATGCGAGGTATTTTCACGCCAACATCAAGAATATCTTGCCCGGTGAGCTAACGAGATCAATCAAGGACCGCTCGCAACTCGAAGCCGCTCGAGGTGTTGGGCACGTATAACCCGGTAGCAATAAGACCTATAGATCCGACGCAGAAGCCCTACAAAGATATCAAGTTGGATATATCGAGGGCGAAATACTGGATTGGTGTTGGTGCGCAACCAAGTGATACTGCGTGGAGACTGCTGAGCATGGTAAGTAGAGCAACGGCAGTGACTTTGCTGTACATCGTACAAATACGAACAAACATTCCTGAGACAAGCACTTGCATAGTGAGCAATCGTTTCGCTAACATATTTTTTCAGGTTGGCATCCTTCCACCGCAATTTCGCAAACAAAAGTGGCGTGAACAAGCCGCAGAAGCCGACGCACGCTTGCAGAGAGATCAAACGTCGAAAGACATAAATTCAATGAGTGACAAGGAGCTTGCCGCGAAGTTTACGGGTGATAATGCACCGTCATAAAACTCCTACAAGTGCACTCCGCTCGTGTCATATACTGTCTGCACGGTTGCATGTACTCGGCGTTTACGCAATACGAAATCATCTTTGACACAATTGCATGTACGATACCAAGAGGAATTGAAATATATGGAGAGGAATCCTATTCTCGTGCAGAATACGGGAACTATTGATTGTTAGAAGCTTGTGTCGGTATAGTTCCGGTGATTTTCTCAAACTTTTCCATCACAAATTTCCAAAGCTTGTCTCTTGTGCCGTCCTCCCGGTATTGTTTGAGCAGCTTAACAATCTTAGGCCCAGCGCTCTCGTCTTTTGCATCAACAGAATATACACCGCTCCCCTCTTCACCGTCAGTTCCTTTTGCAGTAGTCCCCCAAGCACTGAGCTCAACACCGGTACGGCTCCCCTTCGCAGGCCAGCGCTTACTCGTCGCCAAGTACACATGTCTCTCGCCCGTCTCCTTTGGTGGAACTCCTACAATCGCGATCAAGAGCTTCATAAGGTAATTAACAATCAATAACCAGCCGCTGAATGTTCGACCGATCTGTGATTTCACTGCACCGGGATATGCGTGAATGAAAGTCACTTCGGGCGCCTGCTGCTGAAGGGCCTCTAATGACAGAGTTGCCATGGTCGCACCGACACCACGAGACTTGGTTAAGGAGAGATTCTCCATCTCGAAATCGGTAGGAGTGATAGGTCCTTCCTTAGTCCCAGCCCCGACTGTGATGGCACGCGCGAGAACCGGCGAAGCTGTACGCATTTCGGGGAGCAAATTCATCATGAAGCGAATTCGAGAGTAAAACATCAGCGCCAGTGCGGTTTTAAGGCCTTCTGATGTTGCTATGAAGAAGATTCGGTCAGCGAAGCCTGAAATCATTCAATATTGATCGGATATGTACGCACCGGCTTTGAAGTCTAATGTGCCTTGCGACTGAAACAGCAAGTTGATGCTGCTCTCCTTACCCTTGATTTCGCGGCACACGTCGTCGACGTTCTTGATCAGAGACACATCGGACTTGATGAACAGGCAGGATCCTTCAGGGTTACGTTTGTCCACCTCCGCTTTGATACGTGCACCGGCTTCAGCGGACCGACCTATGAAGTAGATACGCGACTTGGGAGCGCATTTGGCAAACTCGAGGAGAGTATATTCTCCTATGCCAGAGGTGGCGCCAACAAAGACCGCAACAAGACCAGATGGAAAGGTGGCTGCAATACGAGAATTTGAGGAATGGACGGCTTTCAGATCTACCATACTGTTGGGAGGAGCTCAAGTAATCGTGCTTAAGTTAAGCTGTTTGATAAACAAAGTACCATCTGTAGGTTCTTGACTGGAAGTACGAGATTTCTTAATCGAAGCATCACCGGAAGGACGGCGGGGTTTTCCAGACTCAAACTTTATATATTCCTTATCATTCTACGCCACCTTCTTCCAGATCACGTTCAAATGCTTGTGTTGGGTCGGATTTCTCCAATTGACATGCAAATCGGCCAGGGTGACGATGGTTCCGCTCGTCGTCTCCGCAAATCACGCTGATTGGCCTTACGTACGGGAAAACGGGGACAACCACACAGGTGTGGTCGACAGCTGTGTGATACCTCACGGCAGCCTTATGTCCAGAAATCGATTTCCATATTTAATTTCTTTGAAAATTTAAGGGATGAGATGCATCACGTGGAACTGGCGTGACGCAAAAGGACTTTGTCATTGTGGTCAATGTCGGTGCCAAGCATCCACCACCACTACGCGATTCAGTACATCAATCGGCACAGGCAGCAGAGCTGTAAGCTCTGTGATGCCTAGCCGACTGGGATATATGAGCACACTTGGGGTTTTCCATGATTTATTATCTTGATAGCTGCCATGGAAACTTCACCTTCGCGCAAAAGACTGGATCTGCCACGAAGATCTAATAGGCTAAAAGTTAAGTGCCATAATAAGGGCTCCAACTACGGCAGATGTCAAACAACCGCGCACATGTCACTGCTCTCACCACACAAGTCGAATCTTATGGGACCCAGCAAATCTCCCAAGGAACCTAAGTCTGCTATATTCGAACTTCCGCCCAATCTCAAGGCCGATGACGTCGACCTTAGCCCTTTGGATCTGAAAATTCTCCTTAAGAAGCAAGATTGGCTTCGTAAAAACAGTGTAGCATTGCCAGACCAACATGCTTCGACTAAGAAGATTGCTGAAGCAACTTTGGTATTTGGTCAAGAGGAGGCAGGCACAGCAGTGTGTATCTCGGAGAAAGGCATACTCCTCACGTGTTCACATTGCGTAGCTGAGACAGAAAGCGAGCTCGAACTGGAAAGGCTTCACTATATGCTCTTTGCCTCTGGTCAAATAATACAAGCAAAGTGTATCGCATGGGATGCCAGACGCGATCTAGCCTTATTAAAAATCGTGGCTGCCCAAGCACCGCACGACTCTTCGTTCCCTGCTGCGCAGGTCTCCTCACAGGAGCCGAAAATCAGACAGCGGATTCTATGCGTCGGTCATCCGGGGAGCACCGACTTAGAAGCATCCCTCCCAGGCCTCAAGACAAACTACGACACGCTCTACGTGAGCACCGGAAACTTTCATGGCTATGCCCAAGGGCAGAACTTACACGATAATTTCGAGATCGGGGCGCTACAGCACGATTGCTGGACGTACTGGGGCCACAGTGGTGCACCGCTTGCTCATCGCAAGACGGGTAAGTTGGTAGGCCTGCACTCGTCTTGGGATGAGACTACTGGCATGAGGAGAGGCATTCCTCTAGACGCAATACACGCGTTCATGGAAGAGAATAGTCATTATTTGAGTTGATATTCCTATGAACTAAAGAGTCTCGTCTCATGTTCGTTTTGGACTTTGTCAAGTCATCCATTTCGCCTCGTTCTAAGCATATTTGTATTTGATAGGACGTGACGAAGAACCATATCTTTTTCTAAGTTGGTGAGGCCCCGTGCACTGGAACCTAAGCATTCCGGACTGCATTCTTCAGTGTGATTCCAGATTTGAATTTTAGAGGTTCAATATAATGTCGGTAAAAAATGTACTTATGCAGTTGCGCAATGTAAAGCGAGGCAGGTTCCGTGCTTCTAGCAAGACTCTGACCAGCGGAAGCACTTGAGGACACTGCCATCTGGACGAGGCTGAAGGACTTTCATGCAGTAGTTCGGAAATTCTTTGCCAAAGTTTGTACCTGAAGAATTTAGCCCGCAAAAGATCAAAAGCCGAGCCTGAACAACAAACCGCTACATGAGGTTCCGTCAAAATCGGAGAAGCCGTACCAGCACCCCTGGCCATTGTCAAGTTTTACAGCCTTTGTGTCGTAATGGACCACGATGTCACGCTTGAAGCATGAATAGCTCTGGTCGGCAGGGGTACCGGAGCTGGATGTTGTTAGATTCAGCTCGCAGAAATGCTTGTAGAGCAGCTAACCATTGATTGTTCGTGTACTCGAGGAGATTTGAAGGCATGATGCAGCTAGGACCATGTTCTAGAGCAAAGCCTAAGCCTGTTAGGAGGACGAGGATGGTTTGGATCACAACTTCTGTCGCTAGCATTTTGATATATGTGATCAAGGTCTAATTCTGCGGCAGTAAAGAAGTGATAATCGAGTGGTTTGAATAGTTTAACCCGGACGGAGTGGCCAGGAGATTTTTATAGCTGAGATTTTGCGATGTCAGGTGGCATACTGCTATCAATCACTCGGTAACTGTCACGCGGGCAGTAAATCCTAATCACCAAGATGTAAAGGTGGTTGGCGTCGGGCTTCCACGTCTGAGGATCGAGCCACACAATCCAATGACAATGATTCAAAATCCGCTTATGTTCGCATCTGCAGAACATCCTAAGTCGGCTGCAGCGACATGTATGAAACAATCTATCAAATGGATTTTGATCAGTTTGGAAATCACTTGCAGCGGCTTTCGTTACTTATCCCATCTGCGAAGATTTCATGTATCTCTCCTCTGTTCTTTATGCTCTCGGATTATTGAATTGCTACACCGTGCGTGCGCCATTTGTCCCACATGTTGAACTTGTGGGAGCATTGCACAATTACTGAAATCATGGCTGAGAAACACACTTTCATTTGTTCTTGCGATCATTTGTAGAAGGACTAGATGTGTCACTTTTAGGAAGGATCTGTTTCGAATCCTCAGGATTTGAAACGTGCAGAACTAACAGCAATTAGGAAGATCAAAACAATCAGCTTTTATTTCAGATATCCAAGCTGTCATAGCAATCACATGGTAGAACACACTCACCACCACGTGTACCAGACTTCGCTTGTTGGGGTATTTATGAGACCGTCCTGTTGGGAGATAAATATGGCCGTCAGAGTCAACCAACTGTGGTTCGAAGTGTTTAACTAAACAACCTGGGAAGACTTGTCCTATTCGACTGCTGACCAAAACAGAGACAGCAAGAATAGAGATAAGGAAAGCTTTGGTGCAATAGCCGAGGGAGATGGTCGATGTGGTAGGTCAACTTTCGAGGCAAACTGCGATGGGAGCTCGGAACGATTACTTGACTTCATGTCTATCTTCGGAGAGATATGAGATAAGTAGATCTAATCCCGAGCAGGAGGAGGATGGTCAATTGGTGGCGGTTTTTCGAAATTGAAACATAAACTGAAGGACATTACCCAAAGAGCGCTTTCTTTATTTTGAACGATGTAGTTGCCCTCAGCTTATGTGAATGACTGGCGATCTGGGCTTAAATTCTCATCAATATATGCCTTTATAGGCCGTCAAATACCACTGCCGGTCCTGAAGTCAGCTACCTTCTGGTCTGAATACTTTCTCGACTGCGAAAGTACTCAGAAGGACTCAACATGATTGGTCATGACATCTCCACCCGCAGGGTTGAGAGAAACCATGAATTCAAATAATTTGGCTTTAATCATCTACCGGCTCGCTAAAATATCCATAGACACGCCCGAAATCTGGTCGGCTTAACTCCTCAAATCTCAGTTCCATTTCCTCAAGAGAGGGTACGACATGTCTTCCTCCCCCTTTTCCGTCACTTCTCCATGCGATCCCTAGTGCCCGCTCAATACGCTCCAACTCGTAAGTATATTTCTCCAACAATGCCGTTTTGAGGCTGTCTCGATTTTCAAACGCAGCAATCGCAAGATGCAAATCCTCCGCATTGTCGAATAACTTTGCACGAGTCTCGATTTCCAAGCTCCAGAAGTCGAGTTTGCTTTCATGAAGAATTGCCCAGGCTTTACTCACATCACCTGCAATCAGCATTTGGTCGATGAATATCGTGTATAGACGCTCGCGTCTTCTCTCCGGATTCGACTGTCGACTGTTGTGGCCGCGGAGAATGGGATGATCTAAGGAAACAGACCGATAAGTTATCCACTCCTCCCACAGGAGATCGGCAGTGCGGCAACGTCCTAAAATTTGGAGCCAAGCTATGACATATCCCCATTCATCGCGTTTGAGAAAGCTTCCGAGGTGGTGGTCAGGCACGTTGCCCCCCTTGATATGCGTTCCATCGAAACCAAGAAGCACTGAGAGAACGTCTTCTCGCTTCCAGCGTCCATTACGGAGCTCACCATAACCATTACGGCCGATGCTAAATTTGGCTATAATAGCACGGAAGGCCTTGAAAGTCATGTTCACGCCTCTACTCCGAAACAACCACAACGCTCTCTGCATTGCTTTGGGATCCCTTGATCTAGCAGCGAATAATGCACAGTGATTGAAAATGGTGTCGTCAGCAGCCAGCCCTGCTTTTTCCATTCTCAGGATAAAGGCATAGCATAGTGAAAAGATTCGTAAGTCGGTGGCATACACCCGCGCTCGGAAAAGTGCACGTATGATTGGATAACTCAGGTACTGTAACTCCGTGGCAGAAGCTGTTCGCTGAAATGCTATGGCAAGAACGTGGACGATATCGCGGACGGTGTGACATCTTCCGAACAGGTAACGAAAGGCGCGACGCAACAGAGTAGCGTCCCTGCAGCGACGGGCTATTTCTCGACCAATTGTCAAAGCCTCGGTCTCAATCTGGCGCATTTCTTCCATTACTTTGTAATACTGAGAGCCGACGCGTGAAGCAGGTGTGACATAGATTTCCCGCATCCGCTTGATGTTGTCAGCATCATACGCAGCCCAAGTCTGATCAGGCTCAACGTTAGACGGTCGGAGCTGCCGCAACAGTTCATGGGGACTCAGAGTTGTCTGAGGTCTTCTGTAGCCATTCCAATGGTTGCCAGGTGTCAGTATCACATTGTCCAGAGTGGCGGACTTCACATCAGGTGAGTTCGGAACCGCACTTTGAGAGCGAGCATAGTATGAGAGCAGGCTTCGCGCCTTATAATGAGTGGTCTTTGAACATAAGGTTCTACGTACTTGCAACATCAGCCAATCAGATTGAAAAGCCAACGTTGATCCATGAGCAAAGACAAGAGTAAGTCGATGTTCGGTTGGCGGACAAAAGCAGGTTGGAGACGACGTTAAAGACGTAGAATCGCTATCACATGACTTAGCGCCACCCACTAGACTAAGGCTTCAAGGCATTACACTGGGGTGATGCTGCTGCAAAACAAGACCTGCGTCAACCACTTTGCGACGAGCTGCATATCAATTTATTTTGAGTCCTTACATAATATCCTTCACGATGGTACTGAGTAGCAAACGCAAGACTTCTCCTGTTGCAGATGACAATGAAGTTTCAACCAAGCGTCGCTTCATCGAAACCGAGGACGTACAATCTACTGGTGAAGAACCGGTGCCAAAGGGCGAAGACGCGAACATATCTACATCACAGACTCCAGCAGCAGAAGGCTCTGGTCCCACCGTCTCCATAGACACCAAAACTTCCGACCGTATGGCCCGATTTAAGGCACTCAAGGCTCGTCAAGCAGACGGCGTCAAACAGAACGCTAAAGAAGTTCAACGCGAAAATAATCGAATCAAGATCGACCCCGAGCTTGTTAAAAAGCTTGATCGCAAAAACGCCATCGCTTCACAAAAACTGCTCAAGGACGACACTGAAGCTGCAGGTGAGGACTTTGAGCGCAAACGCGCATGGGACTGGACTATAGAGGAAAGCGAAAAATGGGATAGGAGAATGGAGAAGAAGAAGGCGAATAGGGAAGATGTAGCCTTTAGCGACTATAACACCGAAGCCCAGAAGGTGTACAAGCGGCAGATGAGAGACTTCAAGCCGGATATGGAGGCATATGAAAGAGAAAAGATGGAGGCGATCCAGAAAGCCGCCGCCAATGGCGGTCTGGAAATTGTTGAGACTGAAACGGGCGAGCTAATCGCCGTGGATCGTGATGGCAGTTTCCTATCGACGGCAGATCAGCCTCAGGACTTTACAAGCAAACCGACGAAAGAAAATCTCGACAGGCTTGTGAACGACATCAAGAGGGCAGAGGAAGTACGGCTGCAGAGAAGAAGGCAGAGAAACAAGGAGCAGTTGGATGAGAATGGCGATGTCACGTACATCAACCACAAGAACAAGCAATTCAACGAGAAGCTCAACCGCTTCTACGACAAGTACACGGCGGACATTAGGGAGAACTTTGAGCGTGGTACAGCGATATGAGGCAGGTGTCATATGTCGTCGGCTTTATGGAAGCCTACATCTATTTATGATTTAAGCCTCCTGCAAGAAGGAAGCTTTGGCCTGTCGCATATCCTGTTGTCGCAAACATCATGACCACGTTGGCAACCTCCTCTGGATATCCTAAGCGGCCTAACGGTAAATCCGGCAGCCCTTCAACGTTTTTGTTGGGAATCATTCCAGTATCGCCAATCATCGCGGGTGCAACATCATTCACCGTGATGCCATATGGTGCAAGCTTCGAGGCCAAGTTTTTCATCATGGACGTGAGACCGCCTTTGGACGCGGCATAGTCTTGGTGGCATATCAGATAACAAATAGCGGAAGCGTGGCAAGTTGGTAGTACTTACGACAGCCATTTATACCAACTCCTTTAGCAGCGATGGAACTTACAAAGATGATTCGGCCCCAGCGTTTTTGCTTCATGTGTTCAACCACACCCTTCGTTAGTAGGAACGACGCAGTCAAGTTCACTGCAATGGTAGTTTGAAATTCCTCGAGTGGAATGTCCCTAACTTCAGCCATCAATTCTACTCGGACTCCAAATATGACGATGCAGATGTAATGGTCGCATACCAGATGTCCGTAATCCTTTTCCCTCTGCCTGCATTGCTTACCAGAATGTCAACGCCTCTCCCATGTCCCTTCTTCACGTCTTCTATCAGCCGTAACACTTCGTCGGCCACACTTAAATCAGCTTGATGCGTGGTGATACGTATATATTTGTCATCTGCGCGATGGGTGGCATGATCATGTCTTAGCTGTGCCACAAGTTCCTCAACAGCCAACTGATTGGACGAGTAATGAAGTGCGAGATCAACATCCTGAAGAATGAATTGTCGGGCTACTGCTCGGCCGATCCTGTTCTGATCTTAATGCGCGAGCCGCCGGTGGGAGGGCACGAGCTTACCCGCCAGAAGCGCCTGTGATGAGGCAGAGTTTGCCTCTTATGCTGTTGTCCTTCTCGTGAGTCGCCATTCTTTTCTTCTGGTGTGAAACAGGAATCACCCGCTGTCGAGGATTTGGCGAGCGTTGTGAGAATCATCGGCGGCTGTACAAAACTTGTCCCGTGACTGGTTTGTCCTCGACTCCGCTTTAACGCAACTTAAGTTGGCTTTTCCTCTTGCCGGGGCCACAAAACAACCCCGGCTTTAGTGATGCGTTTTCCTGGTCGGAAACCAAAATAGTTTGCTTCAGCTGCTGCCGTTCCACGCTGTGATATTATGTTTGTCCAGAGTAAGCAATGCGAGAAAGATGGCTATGGAGATGTGGAAGGCGAGAATTTTTGATCTTATATTCCTACGCAATTAGAAAGCAACCGTTCACCCCATCTCGGTTCGTCTTCTTGCCGTCGTCGCGTCACGTCTTGTTCGGACTATTAGTCTCAACAGCTTTTAGCGTTCTGCCAACCGCAGTCTATGTATTTGTGTAAGAACTTGGCCTTTACTAAAACACGGTGTGCCTCCCATCTACTGGTACAATGCCGCTATATCTACGCAGGGGAAGAAACGGTGCGTTCTCTATTTGTTAGATCGAAGTTTGTAGTGTCTTAATTAGCCTGAGATCAAGATGACACTAATATTTACAAGCGAAGATTATAACTCTACAAATTCCGTCCGAAGAACAGGATCCCTTTCAATTGCATCTAGATAGTTTCCAACTTTCACCGTAAGACCGTCCACGTCGAATCCAAAATACTTGTACGCCGCAGTCCCCGGCAATGAATGTCCAAAGCGCGTCATACTTGCCGCTGCGTTGGCGTATCTTTCCCAGCCGTTGGGCGCGTAGGGCTCGATGGCGACGGCAGGAATACTGAGGTGTCGCTTCAGAACACTTCGTTTGTACTCGACAGGTTGCTGCTCGAAAAGCCGCCAACACGGAAAACTGACGACGCGGACGCGCAGGTTCCGATCTCTTCGGAGGTTCTCCGCAACGGCAAGGGCGTGAGACAGCTCTGCGCCAACACCGATGAGCGTAAGATCTGGCTTTTCGTCGTCCACCTCCTCAAGCACATAGGCGCCAAGGGCCACTTTTTCCCTTCGTGTCTGCTTCAGCTGAGGAACGGCGTGTCTCGACGTTGAGATGATAGAAGGAGTATTCTTTGCTTTGATCGCTGTGATCCAGGCTCCGGCAGTTTCTTCGCTGTCTGCTGGCCGAATGTAGAGGAGGTTCGGCATGGCTCTATACAGAGTTGCAAGTTCGATGGGTTGATGAGTTGGACCATCTTCACCCATGCCAATTGAATCATGTGTCGCAGCGTGAATAACCTGAAGTCGCTGTAAAGCTCCCATGCGTACCGCTGGTGCGGCGTACAGATAGAACATGAAAAAGGACGACGTAACTGGGATTATGGTGTTTGGTGCGTACGCCGCGAGACCATTGGATATGGCGCACATTGCATGTTCGCGGACGCCGTAGTGGATGTACCGGCCGGTGTAATCTCCATTTATGCCGCAACTGGTTCGCAAGTCAGGCTATCGTCGTCGTTAGTGCTGCAGTTTATGATTCATTTCACGAACATACATGCTGAAAATCAACCTTTCCGGGCCAAGTCATATGGACTGATGGAGATAGATCCGCCGTCCCAACCATGAAGGCATCCACATTCTTGGCTATGGGATTCAACACAAGGCCTGAGGATGCGCGTGATGGCGTCGGCTTTTCGGGAAAGGAGTTTGGGACGAGATCTTCCCAGTTAGATGGCAATTCGCCGCGGAACCGCGATTGGAACTCGGCGGCAAGGGAGGGATACTCCGTGGCGTATCTTTTAACCAGGTCATTCCACTGTTCCACGATCTTCTGGCCCCTTTCTGGCAGATCTGCGAAGAACTCGCGAACAACGTCGGGAACAACGAACTTCTGCTTCGGATCGAATCCTGCCGCCGTTTTCATTGCTTCCACATCCTTCTCACCGAAAGCTGCCCCATGAGCTTGCGCCTGGCCGGCTACTGCGCTTCCAAGACCAATGACCGTTCTACAGTTGATGAAAGTGGGCTTATGCGCAGATGATTTGGCCTTCTCTAGAGCTTCAACTATGGCCATGACTTCAAAGTTTGCGTCTTCAACATCGATGACGTCCCAACCACATGCACGCATCTTCGCGTTGACATCTTCGGTATTGGTCAGATCGACTGAGCCGTCACATGTTATCTGATTATTGTCATAAATGATCGTCAAGTTGTTCAAACGAAGATGACCGGCGAATGAAATGGCTTCCAACGCAACGCCCTCCTGAAGACACGCGTCGCCAATCATGCACCAGATATGATTTGAGACCACAGGAAACCCCGGACGGTTAAACTTTGTCCCAAGGTGCTTGCTAGCCATAGCCAAACCAACTGAGTTCGCGACGCCCTGGCCCAACGGCCCAGTGGTAACCTCTATGCCCTCAATTTCTATTTCGGGATGACCTGGGCACAGAGAGTCCGTTCTTTGAGAGTGGTATGACTTGAGCTGATCAAAATTCATGGCTTTGTAGCCCGTGAGGTGCAGGAACGTGTACTGGAAAAGGCACGTATGACCTAATACGTCGTTAGCGGTCGAAAGGCGACACTCGTCATTCCGGAATAAAATCTGCACGCACCGTTCGACAAAACAAATCTGTCTCTGTTGAAGAAGTCTGGAGTGTGCGGCGCATACTGCATTACGTATCTCCACAACGCAACTCCGATTGCTGCCATGCCGATAGCCCCGCTAAGCGCAAATCGTTAGCATTGTAAGATCTATATCAAGATGCAGCGCTTGCGCGCACCCAGGATGACCTCCTTTGAATTGCTCGCACAAGTCAGCAATCAAAAGTCTGAAGGTCTTCAAAACTATATCATGTTTTGAAATCAGCTCATTGCCTGTAGGGAATGATCCTTCTGGCAACACCGACTTCGCTGCGGGCTGGCCGTCAACAACGGGCGCAAAAACAAGTCCTGGAGCCATTTTTGATTGTCGACACTGATGAGACGGATGAGACCACTTCTTAGTAGCACTTTGAAAGCTTCGCAAAACTCATGTTCATATCTCACGCCGAGATCCGTGTCTAAATACTTCATCATCGTAGGCAGATTGACAACAGCTGTAGCGGCGCCTACGACTTCCATATTGGGAACGTTTAGCCTACGTCACGCATAACAAGCTCGCAGCTCGAATCAAAGCTGGACCGTTGTCATCGGCGACAATATATGCTCGGTTAAGAACGCAAAATCCCGATTTCCAACGAAAAACAAAAACGGTCGATCAGGTCCCTTCTTATTGATTTAGGCTTTTGACAGCGAACCTCTATGACGATTTATTTCATGCTACACCAGGTACAAAGGTTTACTGTGTACCTACATTCCCTTCATCATGATAGGCACAATGACAACGAGCGAGCAGCAAGCTGTCGCCAACGTCCAGTCTCTAAAAGTCACACCCAGGTCCTATCGGTCTAATCCGTCCATACAAGTAACTCCCGACAAACAAATAAAAAAGGTCGAGGCTCCAATAGAAACTCCAGGCAAAGGGCAAGTCTTGGTTCACATCAAGGCGACCGGAATCTGCGGGTGAAGTTAACGAATAACTCCTGTTAAGAACACCAACTGACAACACTCAGCTCAGACATTCATTTCTGGAAAACAGGTCGAATAGGTTCACTCGTCGTGAATTGTGATTGCATACTCGGCCACGAAGCAGCAGGCGTTGTGCTACAATGCGGCGAGGGCGTGCAAAATCTTCAACCAGGTGAGATTTACCATTCTCGCGGAGAGTAGGCGTTAATCGACCGCAGGTGACAGAGTGGCAGTGGAGCCCGGGGTGCCTTGTGGAGACTGTTTCTTGTGTATGGATGGCCGATACAATCTGTGCGAAGATGTTCAATTCGCTGGTGTCGCTCCCTATCACGGCACGCTTCAGCGCTATAAAGTGCATCCGGCAAAATGGCTTCACAAGTTAGTGGTTACCTTACATTTACGGATATCAAGAAGGACATTGACACTGAACTTGACTTAGGCTGCCAAGCAATCTTAGTTTTGCCGAAGGTGCTCTTCTTGAACCGCTCTCTGTAGTCCTGCATGGAATCGAAGAGGCTGGCCTTGGATTGGGACGAGGAGCACTTATCTGCGGCGCTGGACCTATAGGGCTGATTGCGCTGGCAGCAGCTCGCGCCTCAGGAGCGCATCCGCTGGTAATAACAGACTTAGATGCCGGCCGTCTTAGCTTTGCTAAAGAGTTTGTTCCGAGTTGTATGACATATCAAGTCGATTCGTCTTTAGACGCTGAAGGCAATGCGAGAGCGATCCGCAAACTGTATGGAGAAACGGAATACGAAGCACCCAAAACGGTGCTGGAATGCACCGGAGTCGAGAACAGCATATGCACTGCTGCATTCGCAGCTAGGCGAGGAGGAACCGTCATGGTTATTGGTGTTGGTCGTGAGATCATGAACAACCTTCCTTTCATGCATCTGTCGCTGGCTGAAATCAACCTGAAATTCATCAATCGCTACCGCGACACGTGGCCGGCGGGCATAGCATGCCTGAGTGGTGGTATCCTGGACCTTAAGAAACTTGTTTCGCACACGTTTCCGCTTGAGCATGGACTGGAAGCATTGGAACTTTGTGCGGATATATCGAAGGGAAGCATCAAAGTGCAAATTGTTGACGAACAGGATGCATTCTTGTAGATAGAGCAAGAGGACTGACATTGTAGACCTCATCGTCAGAGAAGCTAACCTCACGTTGTGTACAATGTTTGCATATGTTTCCTGCACATTACAGGGACAATCTGTCCTCTAGGGCTAGCAGCTTTTGCATACGACGTCCGGTTCGTTGTCATGTTAGCATTCTAAGCAGTCTCTTTGAGAGGAGGCTAGGTGCAGAGTGCAAGAAGCGTGATGGAGACTGTTCTTTCGCATACTTTCGACGCCGTCTATTGGGAAGAGCGAAGAACTCAGAATTCGCTTTTTCTTGGTGGGCGTGACGAAAGCGTGTGGATTCCGCGCCTGCCATCTCCGGAGCACCCCACCCCGCAGCCTGGCACCCGCCTTGCAAACGATTTTCTCCGTGGGCTGCGCTTGCCGAATTAGGCATTCCTTAACACCGCGGGCGGCGGGACACAAATTCGTGGATCAGAAAGCTTCAACTTACCGCTTGGAAAAGTAGAACACCTGCTATAACAAATCCATCGATCTTGTTTTTGAATCATCAAACTTTGATCTCCATCTCACCCAACCAAGACCGCTGCAAAAGTCTGACTTAGTGGAAATGTCGGCGAATGAGGTGAAAGTCCTGGCTTCTGGCCACAAAATGCCCTTGGTGGGATTTGGCTTGTGGAAAGTACCCGCTAATCAGACTGCTGATATAGTGTACAATGTATGAATTTGCAGCTGCCCCTTCCATTTTTTCTGCAAGCTGACAACCACAGGCCATCAAAACAGGGTATCGACTATTCGACGGCGCGTATGACTATCAGAACGAAGCCGAAGCTGGCGAGGGTATCCGCAGAGCTATCAGTGAGGGCATAGTGAAACGCGAGGACATATTCGTTACAACAAAACTCTGGAACAACTATCACAAACGCGAGCATGCACTTGCAGCGGCTCAGTCGCAGAACAAAGCCTGGGGGCTCGGTTACATAGATCTCTACCTCATCCACTTCCCAGTGCCACTGAAATACGTGGACCCCGAAAAGATCAAATACCCAGTACGCCATATATTTCAGGCTTTCTGAGGACAGTTGTGCTAATCAATATCAGGCCTGGTGGACCGACGTTGACCACAAGGAGATCGAGCTGGCAAAGGTTCCTATGCACGAGACGTGGCAGGCACTTGAAGAGATTGTCGATTCAGGAATTGCCAGATCGATAGGCGTCTCAAACTGCTCAGCGCAAACTTTGTACGACATACAGACTTATGCCCGCCATCCGATATCCGTCCTGCAGATTGAGCATCATCCGTACCTTGTTCAGCCCGAACTCATTGCGTTGGGAGGAGACCTGAACATTGCGATCACGGCGTACTCAAGCTTTGGACCACAGTCCTTTCTGGAACTACCGGAAGCTTTCAGGGCGCGTGCAAAAGATATTCCACTTCTGTTTGATGCAGAGGTAGTCAAGAAAGCGGCTGAAAGGACTGGCAGAACTCCAGCACAGGTTCTACTTCGTTGGGCTACGCAACGCGGTATAGCCGTCATTCCAAAATCAAACAATCAAAGCCGATTGAAGCAAAATTTGGAAGTGACAGACTTTGATTTGACCAAGGAGGAGATTGACTCTATCAGTGCTCTGGATAAGGGCTTGAGATTCAATGATCCAGGTTTCTATCTGCACAAGCCACTGAGAATCTTCGCTTAAGCTGTGTATACGAGTTAAAGGAGAGAAATCTTGAAAAACTCAGTATAAAATTTTATTCATTGCTCATTGAATTTGCTTACAATTGATTCACGTTACTGGCGAATATCAGAGGTCGACTGAATTCGCAGGTTCTGCATCTTTGATCTTAATACACATGTGTCGATGCGCTGTAAGACAACATCTCATGCTATATCTGAGATTTACTGTATTCATTGTCGGTCCGAATATAGGATGATGACGCGTTCTGATCCAAGCCTTCTTACGGGCCCAAGCGAGGATAAGACAAGTGCCGACGCCGGTGCCTAAAATATCCCGAAATGGAAACCGGTACTAATCCAAATCCGTCTAGTGTGGTGTTCTCGATCAGGAAATGACGGGCTCATTTACTACCGATCCACGAGAATCAACACTATTGCAAGAAACGCCCACATAGAAACGAAAGGGTGATTGTGGATGCAAATAGAAACTCTGTGTATATGCTCACCAACAAAAGAATGAGCCGTCTGCGTTCTGTGAATTAGTTAGTCACAAGCTTCAAGAAATTCTATAAACAGCATTCTTAAGCTGTCTTATCTAGCATTGCGCAGTCCTCATCAACTACTCCAATCTTGCAATCTTACGCCTTGCCAATCTTCCCCAGCTGAAGTGAACGTGAATTGAGCACTCTTTGATCTCTTTCCGATCATGAGGAGCAAGCATTTCTTAGACGAGACCCAGACCATTGTCAACGGCTCGTTGCGATCGCTAGCTATCACAAACCCGGCCCTTCAACTCGACGAGCAGAACAAAATCATATACTCCCGGTCTTTCAAAATCTCAAATGCGGTCAAAATAATCTCTGGAGGTGGTTCTGGTCATGAACCGTCATTTGGGGGTTTTGTTGGTGAGGGGGGATTGACGGCCGCTGTTGCGGGCAACGTGTTTGCATCGCCATCTTCGCAACAGATCTTGCATGCAATTGAGCGATTCGGTCCTGATTCTGGTGTTTTGGTCACAGTTATGAATTATACCGGGGACGTCCTCAATTTTGGAGTTGCTGTTGAGAAAGCGCGAGCGAGAAATCCGGAACTGTCAATTAGGATGCTAGTTGTGGCAGACGACTGTAGCATACCAGATAGTCAGGTGGGCAAAGTGGGAAAGAGAGGGATTGCTGGTACGGTACTTGTCCATAAGATCACTGGAGCTGCTGCTGCTGCGGGATGGTCTTTAGATGAAATATTCCAGCTCGGCCAGGTCGCTAAAAGCAACCTTGCCAGCATTGGTACCAGTTTAGACAGAGTCCACGTTCCTGGCCAACCTACAAAAGGAGATGAGTCTTTGGAGGATAACCAAGTAGAGCTTGGAATGGGTATCCACAACGAGCGCGGCATATCACGACTTCAGGGTACCGACGCCAAATTGGCAGCCGTAGTGGGAACCATGCTCGACCATTTGTTCAAATCATTAGCGAATGGACTTGGTGGTGCAGGAAGCCTTGAAATGGCTGACTTGGTGCTGATGGTCAACAACCTTGGCGGATTGAGTGTTCTTGAGTTTGGTTCCATTGTTGCCGAAGTCACAGACCAGCTGAAACGGCGGACGAAGAAAAGCCCGAAACGCGTGTACGCAGGTACATTCATGACCAGTCTAGATGGCCCGGGATTCTCAATCAGCATCCTTAATCTCTCGGCAACAGGCAAGCAAGACACCATCCTTCAATTTCTCGATGCGCCCTCAGATGCTCTGGGCTGGGTTGCGCCAAAGAAATGGGCTTCATCGGACTTCGAAGAGGGCGAACTACCTAAACAAAATACCAACTCTCCGAATGGCGCAGAGAGTGCTCATTCTGTCGTAGAGCCACATATGCAAATGGTTGCTCAACATATTATGAACGCTATGAATGCCGTAATTGCTGCTGAACCAGAGGTCACCAGGTATGATCAGATCGTCGGAGACGGCGACTGTGGAACAACTCTGAAGCGCGGTGCTGAAGGTATTTCACAGTCTTACCATCGTCAAAGCTTTGATTTTTGATACTAACAGCTGAAACAGCTGTCTTGAGATCTCTCTCCAACACACCCTCAAGCCTCGCCATGCTTGTCGAAAGCATCACACAAGCTGTTGAGTCGACCATGGACGGTACATCAGGCGCCATCTATGCAATCTTCTTCAACTCGCTTATGCAATACGTCAAAACTCACGCGCAAGATCCAGACTCTGCCATAGATCCTGCATTCTGGAGCCAAGCTCTGGATTCCGCCATCTCGACATTGAGGCAATACACAGCTGCAAGCGTTGGAGATCGAACGCTGATGGACACCTTGCTACCGTTCTCTGAGACTTTGAGAATGTCCCACGACATATCCGCCGCCGCTGCGGCAGCCACCAAAGGCGCAGAAAGTACAAAGTCGATGAAAGCGAGTCTTGGCCGATCTGTCTACGTTGGGGGAGAGAATGAATGGCTAGGTACAATTCCGGATCCGGGAGCCTGGGGCTTGATGAGATTATTTGACGGGTTAGCGAGGAGCATTAAGGGGTCGAGTTCGGCTAAATAGCAGCTTGAGAACTGCATGTCAACGCTCTAAAAAGAGGGGGGGAAAATGGGCTCAAAAACGAATCAAAGTCACAATTTTTGACCAAATTACGTGTCGTATAGCACTGAAATCAAGGCTGTGTTAAAAGCCATTGAAAAATAAACACGAGTTGCGTAGCACAAAAAGCTCCGTGACATGCTGACCATACTGCCCTAAAAAGAGTATTCCCAGGATCGTCGCCAACTTCAAACACACATAATTTTAGCTAGACAATCCCATTGTTTGCACACTTGAACCAAATTTCAATATGTAGAGGAGATCTAAAATGAAATGACGCTTTTAATTGCTAGTTTAAAGCAACGTAAGGCATTGTTTCTCCTATCAATATAGTGCAACTTGGTACTCGCAAAAGCTTATGATTACATGCTCGCTCATCATTCGAATTGAGAAAGAATTGACTGCATGCAATCGGCTATTCACTGTACAAACCGAACCATAGCGGCGTCAAGCGTACTTTCTCCTCAGTTGACCACTTCAAACTTTGTCTAGACCCGCACCTATGTGCTCAACTTTATGCGCCTTCTCAACAACCTGAGCGGCACTCTCTTCCAGAGCTTGCGTCAAGCCAACGTCTCTCTGTGCTTGAGCAAGCATTTCTGCGTCCTCGGCTCCAAGGCGGCTTTTGAAGATGCGATCCATTTCTTCCAGCGTCGCACCTTTGGTTTCGGGAAGGAAGAACCAGACCCAAGCAATACCACCACCGAGAAACACTGCAAAGAAAATATACGTGCCCCATGCCCATGCAGACAACATTGGAGGCACGAAGAATGCAATTGCGAAGTTGTTCACCTGCGAACGTCGAAGCATTAGCACTTCCATTTCCAATCGGTAAGACTATTGCAATGACGTACCCAATTACTCGAAGCACCAATAGAGGCACCCTTTGATCGAATCGATAACGGGAAAATTTCCGAAACCAAGGTCCAAGAGACAGGACCCCAAGTCGCGCCGAAAGTGCCGACGTAGAGCCAAATAAAGGCCACGGCAACCCAACCTGCCGCTGCGTGCTCGCTCCAATCGTGACGGAACTTTGCGACGATCACGCCTGCTATAACCATGCAGCAAAGCATGACAAAAGAGCCAACAATAAGCATGGGCTTTCTGCCGACTTTGTCGATCATGAACATGGCTGGTATGGTGAAGATGAAGAAGATACAGCCTTGAACACCGCTTGCAAGGAGCGCCTGGGTCCCGCCTGTCAACCCAAGACTCTGGAAGACGTTGGAGGCGTAGTAAATGATGGCGTCGATGCCGCTCCATTGCTGGAAGAACATGACCAACCACGCGGTGGATACGCGCATAAAGTTGTCCTTCGTGCGGACAATGTTATAGTATTGGGCAAGCTCACGGATCCAGACATTTGATTTTCTTTTTTCCGCAAGTTTCGGGAATGCCTTTGCGAAGGCGCGCTCTTCAAACAGACATTCTGCTTGAATTTCCTTGTATTCCACCAGCACAAGGCTGTTGTCGGCCGGTAGCTTCCTGAGATAGGCCAGCGTGTTTATGGCCTCGTCGTGACGGCCTTGTTTGATCAACCAGCGCGGCGAGAACGGTAGCCACCAGATACCAAGAGCCAGGCAGATAGCTGGGATGCCTTGAATGATGGATGGAAGCCGCCACGCTAGGTTAGATTGGTGAACATCGGGGCCACCAATGTAGTTGCTGCCATAACCAACCCAAAAAGATATCATGATACCCAGGATAGTTGCAAATTGATAAAAGGACACCGTAAAACCTCGAAGTTCTGGAGCAGACAGTTCTGCGTTGTACAGCGGCCTGCCAGCACAGTCAGCTCGCCTCTCTTTCATAACTTGGCAATGATACAACCACGTACCCCACGCCACTAAAAGTTCCAGCACCAAGACCAGTAAAAAAGCGTCCGGCGTAAAGCATTTGTGGTTTGTGATATGATGCACCACAATACAGATAGCTCCCGAGGATGAGCCAGCAGCAAGCTGAGAACATGGTGTATTTCCTCGAGAAGATCTCGCCGAAGATACCGGCTGTAAGGGAACCGATAATGCCACCGACTTGCAACACTGAAGTGAGCCAGCCAGTGGCACTTGAAGACGCCACCACCGTGGGAAAGTTATCTTTGAAGCGCGTCATGACCAGAGATTGGCCGAGGATGCCTTGTTGGTAGCCATATTCGAAACCGCCGAAGCTATACAGTTCAAGATCAGCGTAATGATCTTTAGATCCATTTATGAGACTCACGAGGCAAAAAAGGCTATGACGAAGATTTTGGGGTTTTTGATGACGCTTTGCCATCTATTCGCATACGCCAGCTGGGTGCGAACCTCCGCAGAGGTAATAGAGCCGCTTCGGTCAGCCATGGTCTAACACTGAGCGGTAGAAGCTGTTCTGGCCGACGAAAACAGAGGCTGGGCTGCTTGGGGATCTGCACCTTGAATTCGCGCGGAGCAAAGGTGTGGCCATACACGAATATAATATAGTGGTTGAACAACCATGCCGTTATTTCCAATGATCCGGCACCGCACAACCCAATTGATCTTTTCTAAAAACGCTGCTGCCCCCGCCGTATGGGGCATATGGAGCCCCGGAGTGCTAAACCCACGGGGAATAATGGGATCACTGGATCGAAGAACGGCCGAAGAGGAGGCTCGTGCCGACCTTGGCGACCCAAGGAACTCCACTCGTCAAGGCTTCAAATTGCCAAAGTTGGGAATAGATTGGCGTTACCCGTTCCAGCAAGTTGTAGCACCGTGGACACAAGGCCGCCGATCGCGTGAGGGCGCACGAAATATGTGGGCCCATAACATAATTCGCAAGCAAGTCAGCGTGTTGGCCCGAACCGAAAGGAGCAGCTCCCGACAACCATGACTTCAAAATTCTGCAAGCAGCGCCCGCTAAATGCCCATGCCTGGAATTAGATTGTTTATTAAAAAAAAATTTTTTTTCTGTCACACCCCAGCCAGCGTCCTCTTGGACGGTACGTGGTTCGGCAGGCGATTTCAAAGCCCAAGGGTTTTGCTTCGTGCAAGCAATGACTCAAGTTGATTGTGAGGCAGGTCATGGGCGACATCATCAGCAAGAAAGAAGAACTGCGTATTCATCTTGGGGCATTCTACAGTAGATGGAGACATGAGGCGAAAAGGCTTCGTGAGACTGTCAATTCGCGGAAATTCTGGCCTTCATTTCTACGACATAGGTATTCTAATGTGGATATGACGGCCGCCACAGTTCGATATAGGATAGCCGTTGGATTGATCCGTCACTTTTCTCCGCAGCAAGGACGATGTTCTCTCACCTCGATGACAGCAATTCCATCTTCCTAGCCTGTATTCCTATGAGGTCGGCTCAAGGATGACGCGTCTGTATGTTGTCATGTTATGCGCGTCGGTCAGAGCAAGAACGATGTGTATGGTCTGGCATCAATCAGCCTCAGTTTCGGTGCTCGTTTCACCGTGATGCTTACGTTGTTCGTGTACGGTCGCACATGCACCATGCTTCCATCAGAACCGACTGTTTCTATGTCAACGTTCTGAGAAAGCTTGGTCAGATCGCCTTCCAACCGAAACGAAGCATCCCAGTGCCAAAACCAGTTGAACTGCAATTCGTCGTCATCTGGATCCCAGCTTGCCGACCCATCTAGAGATATGACCGTGCTGTTGTCACTCCTGTACGTCCACGGGACGTGAAGAACGGCAGGCCCACAAGTATCGTTGACAATTGCGGTCGGCGGGTGGTTATTCTGTGTGTAATTCGCCGCCGTCGTCCACTTCATTCTGTTTGCGAAGTCCCATTGATAGTCTTTGCGCCAGCGCCAGATGGTTGCAAATGCACTCATGTAATACTGACCGCTCAGGCCTTGCACCCAGTCACACGCGTCAGTGAACACGCTCGAGCGGCCAGAAGCGTCCTCTAGTTTGAATCTTCCACCCCAGCTTCCCCACTCAGGATGTTCTGGGTCGCCGAGCCCGTTTTGGATCAGGCCAAGGTACGAAGGAGTATCGCCTTCCATGATGAAGTAAAATTCGGGATAGTGGGCTCCCAGTTCACCTATGCGAATGTGTTCTTGCAGCCACGCATTTGTCACCAAGGACGTGTCGGGACCACCGGCGTCAAAATGCCGATAGACTTCTCCCGAAATGCCATTCCAAGAAGCTGCTGTGTACTCGTTGAAGGCATGAAGTGTCACGATGAAGAAGAGCTTCGGATAGGTGATGCGAATCCAAGATCCAGCGTCGTCTTGATCGGAAATAGAATACACCCGTAGTTTTGAGACAAACGACGCCACAGCATCTTCATCTCGAGTCTTGGAGACGTAATTGAGAGCTTCAGCCAAGATATTTGCTCCTCCCCACAGTGTCACCCATTGTGGTTTGTCGATCGTGGTATCGTCCACAGCCTTTACAAGAGCTAAGGAGGCATTGCTCGGGTCCAGCTGTAGTGCGGCAAGCCCGTACACAGGATGACCAGAATAAACCTTGGCGTGCAAGTCCGACGCTGGAGGATACGGTGCATAGCTGGGAACATTGGCGTTCAAATTGTCCGAAACGTTGCCATAGGCAGAGATAACGGTGTGAATTGTCGTCAAGTCAATGGAGTCATTCTTCCAAGTAGACGTTGTACCGGCAATTCCTTGTATGTCGAACTCATTCGCGTACGTCAAGAATCGCACGAGGCTCATCTGATCGTCAGGCTCGTTGCTCATGTCGGTGCAAACAAAGATCCTTGGCTTGGTCTCATAACGACTGGCTTCGCATTGCCGCTGCATTGCCCCTCGTCGGCCATGACCTGCGCTGCTAGCGAGAGCACTCGAAAGGGCAAGAAGAGAGTAAGCAGTCAAAAGAATATTGCCCGCCATTGCAGAGTGACTATATTTGCTAGGCTACTAAAGTTGAGAGGTAGTGAGAGGCCATCAACCCCCTTCTATATCAACGTACGTCCGGGGCACAAGACTTCCGGGCCTTGACCACCGAGCGTACAGAACCACTGCTCTTCATGTCGATCATCCATGACCCGCACAGGTGTCAAATCTTTGTTCTCCATGCATACCGAAAAGGCTCGAAGCTCTAGGTGGTAGTAATCCAAGAAGAAGCCATGCACGTCGGACGAGACAAAATTGCAAGCAAACCCCGCACGCTGACAGGCATAGGTGTGGAGATCATATGGGGAAAGAACCTTAGTAATCGATGTAAAGCCTCCAGTCCCCACAATCGCTTCATCAGGAAAAATCACACCAGGAACCGACGTATTCCTCCGTGTCGGCCAAGTTCTGGTTGATCGCGGCGGGTTTCTTCGCGGGAGCAGGCAAGTTAGCGATGCGAAATAGCCCGTTTTGCACCGCGAGTCATGGCTTTTGACGGCGAAGAATGGCACCAGCGCGCGCCACGAATCCGTAAACCCAGTCAGGCATTTTTATTTATTTGACGAAGCTACTACTTTGTACGGGGTGTTCTTCCAGCGTAGTATCGCTGCCAACAGGTCTAACAAAGCCACCAAGCTGGGGCGGTGACTTACGGCCCTGTTGACGATCTTTAGCCAGTCGCCAGCCGAGGCCCCACAAGACTACTTTATTACTGGATTCGTCCCGCAGTGGCTCCAGCTGCCAGATCCTGATCAGCACCATGCCATGGCTGCTCGAAGCATGCGATGTCTTCTGAGGCCCTCGATCTTCAACGCAGCTCTGCTACGCGACAGCGGCGATGTCGCACAGGTTGTCTGAAATGTCGAGCGCGGCGACGAAAGTGTACGTGCAAAGTCGGTGCATTCTACGCCATTGAAAGTGTGCTAAGACCGGCGACAATCAAGGTGACGAGGCCAAGCCCCGATGCCAGAACTGTGTTGCGAAGAACTTCGAGTGTCGCTACGGCACGCCTCTGACCTTTCTGGCGAAAAACAACTTCACGATCGTGGAGGAGCCTGGACAGAGTAAGGGCTTGGGGACAGCTCGGCCAAAGTACGCAAGTTTAGAAGTCAGCTACCAGAATCGCTTCTGCCAGCCTTGACGCTCTGTTGACTTTTCTCTTTAGGCCGTTGCCGATTCATCTTCGCGAAGTGAGCATAACGACGTTCCCGATTCCCAAATCAGGGATGAGAGCCTTCCAAAAGGCGCAAGCTTGTCTTCGACAAGTGCACGTACTGGTGACGTTCACGTCGTCCAATCTACGGCCGTGACGGAATCACACCAACATGGAGATCACCCTGAACTGACCGGCGGCGATTCGTACGAGTCCGCCCTTTACGGGCTTCTCGCCTTGGGTAGAAGCGCCGCCAGCCCATCGGCACCGACGGTAGTCACCGCTCCACCGCTGGACCCCTCCTTCGCTGATCTTCATTCTCCTATTCAGTCCTTGTTCGATAGAATACCTGTCCTACCTGACAGGGACGTCCACGCTAGCTTCGATGAGTCGTCTCCAACGCAACCTACAATCCATCAGGACCTTACCTCGCTCTATCTCCCACCCCTGCGTACGTTGGAACTGTTAAAATATTTCAGATACGAGATAGCGCCAATGGTAAGCTCATATGATACCAGAACCTGGCTCTGACTTCTAACCAATCACAGCTCGACATGATGGACAGAGATCAGACGTTTGGTCTGGTTGTCCCACGATTAGCAATGGTCTCTCACCCTGTTCTATTAGTCCTTCTGATGCTCTCTTCTTCTTCTTCGATAAGAGGTGTAGAGTCTTCGAAAGCAGGATCAAGCGAGGAAGAACTGAAAATGCTGGCTATAATATATGACACAAAGCAAGGGGAGGAAAGCAACACCAGACACGCTTTAGTTGCATCTGTGCTGTACATTCTGCTAGGCTTCATCTCAGACTTCTCGTCTGCGTGCCGGAATGGCGTGCTCCAGACGTCCAGCCCCTGGAATCCATCCGACCTGGTAGAGTTTTCGAGACCAGGGCGACTGGAGACGTCTTTGTATTTCCTGTCCCTTCGACTAGGTACGTTTGCGACATGACCATCCAACGGTCCAGAGGACGAGGCGCTCACATGTGGCAGAGCTAAGCGTATGCCTTATGCGATCAGAGGCTCCGCGACTGCCTCTCATCCCTCTCAGCACGATAAACCATCTGCCACAAAAGTCAGACACGGTATTGCCGTACGCGTATCAAGGCCTGCTGATGTGTGCGGAGGTCCTGAGTCTGTGCTGGGGTAGAGCGGAAGAGTCGGCCACCATGACAAGGCTGCCTCTCGCGACGCGCTGGTATCTGCTCTTTGAAAAACTCGAAGGCTGGTATAATCTGAGGCCCGGTGAGCTGCTTCCCCTTGTCGAGCTCGACCCTGGACAGGTCCCAGGCAGTGTCGACAGACACTTCCCCACGATCAGCTTCAGCACGGCGGCGGGCGTTTTCGCGAACCAGATGCACCACACGGCCATGTTTCTGCTTTTGCTCCACAAGCCCCGGAATTTGAGGCTGCAAAGCACGCCGTGGCACACTTCTCCCCTTTGGCATTCTGAAAGGGTGTGCGGGATCGCGCTGAACAACAACCGACGTGAATCTTGGGATCCTTGTTTGCTTTCATCGCTTCTGTTGGTCGCCAGAAGGATGACGCACGAATCGCAGCAGCGGGCTTTGTCCGAAGGCTTTGCTCGCATCCAGAATTTAACGGGCTTCCAGATCAGCGAGACAGTTGAAGCTCTTCGTAGCACTTGGTCATACTCTGCTGATATTTGAGGGCACATGTATTATGTCTAGTGAATTGGAAAAAAAAATTAATTTTTGCGAATCTTATAGCCCCAAATGCGCTCAAGATCGGCAACGCGCCAACTCGTCGCCCAACCCGTGGTTTGCTCAATATTCTTGAATAGCTTAATCAGCACAGCGTGCTCCGACCTATGTGTAAGATGACGCCCAGCTATCCACAGAGGCTGGACGGCGTTGTTGATGCAGCCTTGATGTGGGTTTGTCAAAGATATCCCGCAAATGCGCTTCGCGTAGCCCAGAATCAACTGTTCCTTTTGCAGAGATTGCTTGGAGCCTGCCGGGGCCATGTCCAGAAGTAAAAGGCAGGCGGTGTGATGGAGCTGATTGGCCGAGATGGCCGCCCAGTGGATGAACAAGATGTGTGGAAATGGCTTCCCATCCAGTGTTTGAAGCGGTAGCAGTTCTTCGGGCCGCTGGTCAAGCCATGCTTGAAGATCGTCCCACAGCGCTGTCCAGCGCATGGCATAGGCGGCATCGTTGCACCCGTTATCTGCGCCGAGCTCGCTGTACTTCGTACGATCTGCGAGAAGCTCGCATACTTTTGCGCACAGGTAGACCGCGTAGTTTGCATGCATGTCTGGAGATCGATGCTGAGCAAAGAGTTCCTGGGCGCGGTCTGCTGAAACTCCGGGCGCGAGCCACCGCCACGGCTCGATGAGAGTACTCTGCGTTCCGTCGGACATGAGTGCGCCGCAGAGATCTGTGTTCTGTCAGCAATCAAATCCTTTTAGAACAGCGTCTGCAAAAGAGGGAGGTGACCAACCCATCCTTGCATAGCACCAAAAGAGAGCCTTTCTCAAATCATCGCTGAAACCGTTGACGCCGAAGCTCACGAACAACGCTGCGCATCCATCCAAGTGTCTCCTCCAATCTTCTCCGCTGGCGGACATCATCTCCATACAGCATAGGATGACGCTTACTGTGATGGCATCTTCGTCGCGCACTTGCAGCAACGGCTTGAGCATCTGGATTGCCTCTTGATACAGCTCAAGGCTATCGCATGGGTTCCTGATGCCCCCCATGAGCTCCAACTGACGGGCAGAGATCGCCAGGATAGCATAGAGCAGAGCCGGCGAGCGCCGGGCCAAAGGGGGAATAGTTATTGCAAAGTTCCGGTTCGAGTCAAACATGTCTAGCTTTCTGTTACCTCAGCACATCTTCTCTGCAACTTTTCCGACAGTACGGCCGCAAGCTCGGCATCTTCGACGTTGGTCACGTACCCAAGAAGCTACCCGACCGACGTAATTGTCCAGATACTCCAAGCGGCGACCTACCGCAAGGATCTGTTTGACCGAGTCAGATCGCAGAGACGCACTTGTGTCTGCCTCGTACGACTCTCTGGCTTCATCTCTGACCGGAGTGCCCCTCCTCGTTGGTGCGGGAGTCTGCGCTGTGGTGAAAAGCAGATTGCGGAGCTCATCTTGTGAAGCGAGATAGGCAGGATCATGTGGCGACGGGTGCAAAGTCCATGTAGCTAAAGGCGAGATGGACGAATCAACGTCAATGTCCATGAACTACAGCGCCTGCGACCAAGATATTGTTTTCACAAGAGAGTGATGTTGCGCGTCAGGATCATGAACAGCTCGCACGGTGTCTGCGAACTTGCTCCAGAACGAATGTCTAACCAGCTCTGGATGGGTCGAAGTGCTTAGAAACTGCTTGTCCAATCTTTTAGGTGGGCTTGCGCTGCCTGCCTTTTGGCCATCCCAAATTATCGGCCCAAACGTTCACTTCGATTATTTCTTCACGCGTTCATTTGCATGGGAAGAGATGCCCCAAGTTTGTCTTTGCTTGTCTGCATAACAGTGGGAACGAGAGGATCAAAAAAAAAAAAAAAAAAAAAAAAAAAAAAAAAAACGAGGCTTGTCGGCTTTTCAACTCATGCAAGCGGAAACAACAAACGGTCGACCCAACCAAAGAGCAAGGCCTTGACAGGATGTGTTCCCTCTGACCACAAAATAGCAAAGCATATTCTGGCTCGTTGCGGTCCTCTTTCAAATAAGGCAATGGACTCCCAAACCGAAATGCAACCACGCCGAATTCAAGTCTAGCTACATACGAACCTGTGATGGCGGTGAAGGATCCCGATTCGCGACGTCTATTTCGTCCAAGAGACAGATGACCGAGCCCGCCAGGCTAGAGGACTGACTTCAGAGTCAATGGTCTAGGAGCCCAACCAGACGCGAACGGGACGACAGGCAATCAACGTCAAAAGTCGAATTGAATATAGCGGTCCAGAGACCTAATGCACAGCGGTCTGTCATCGCGCTCGTTGTTTCGTAGAGATTGGATAACAGTTATGGCAAAACATCTACTGTGCACCAGGGATCAAAGGTTCATACCGCAACCTTCCTACGAGGTGCTCCATTGAGCTCGTTCATTTTGCGTTCCACAGGTACAGCAAATGGAACAGGATCATCATATTGCATTGCTTTGCAAGTGGTGGAGCGTCGCCAGCAACCCTTGTGCTGGCAACGGTGCGTGTTTGATTTTAGAATCACAGCATCTGAGTACGCAAAAATGATGTTGAAAGACGGGAGGTGCACAGAACAAAATATCAATCTGGTGGAGTAAGTGTGATGTTCTTGTATTCTACGTCGCCTGTATCGCCTCACAAAATGTGCCGTCTACATCTCAGTCTTCCATGCATACGCTAACCTGTCCAAGAAAGGCCTGTCCCTTTTATGCAACTCATAGATTCGTACGTACTCCGTGTATTCTTCGGCTTTCATTCTGCCTGGTTTTTTTTTCTTCACCAGCTTACTTGTCCGAACTGTCGCCCAAAATCTCCGCTATGACCGACTTGATTCTGGGCTCCTTTCCAGCCGTTTCTCCCTTGATTCTCTCAATCGCCTTGTCAAAATCAAGTGCCTCTCTGGCCAAATCTCTAAAATCGCTCCCAAGACACAAAAGCGTCCCAGCGCCCACGAGTGCTCTGTACAAAGCCTCTGCATCTACAGCTGCCATACATACCCGAGTGCACGCATCCAAAAGCGTGATGGCACGGTCCGTATCGTGGTTCTCCCCGCCGGCAGCTATCAGTACGCTGTAGTTAATGTACAGAGTTGTGAGAGCGACGCTCATATTACGGTTATTTGACGTAGTAAAGGGTGACACAAGAGCGTTTACCTTGTCGAACTCGGCGTCCATGAGCGCGCGTCCAGACTCATGGCCGAATAAGTTGGCAAGCGCACGTACGGCCATCATTGCGTTATTGATGGGCGCGTTGGCTGAAATGTTGTCACTCGATGCGAGGATGTCGATTAGTGTCTGGGAGCCCTCCCCGCTAGTCAGCTCGACAACTTTCGGCGACGCTGCAGCAAGTCTTAGAAGATCGAGTCCCGGAAGTCGCTTTTCCGCAGGCCAGTCCGTAGCCATATGAATAATCATGCTGACACCTTCATTTGTGAGTGCAATAGATGCACTAGGGTTTTTGGACAGTGAATCAAGTTGTTGGGTTGTCTTTGTTAGGACTGCGAGGTTCGACGGGCTGAACGTAATGTCCTTACGCCCATCTGCTTCAAGCTGCTGGTTGAACTCTTGGGCTTTCTTCAATATCGTGGGCAGGTTCGCGGTTGTGATGGACAGATAAGATGTTTGTGGTAGAACCTTTGGTCTAGATGTCGCCGTAGGTGGGGTGGGAGCTCCAACCTCACCAGGTCTATAGCGAGACTCCTGGCCCCAGGGATCTGAACCCGGCACGTTGGTCTGCTGCTGGCCGATCGTCGCACCTTGGGTATTCGTGATGATAAAGTTGGCGACCTGGTCCAAGTAAGCAGCGGGAAGCTCATTGTCGTTCAGGAACTTCTGCGCGGCCTCATACGGGTTCTGGGTTGTGTTATAAGGTAACTTCAGGGCTGGCTCGCCGTCTTTGATGTCCACATCGAACACATAGTCGTACTCTTTACCGTTGTACGTCGTCTTGGATCCGCCTCCCGATGCGTCGACGACAGTTCCTACCATAACCCACTGATTCGCTGCTGTCGACCACTGATATGCAGACACGTTGCCGTTTGTTTCCTTGATCATCTGCACCTGACCCTCCTTCGTGCCAGACTTTGAGGTGAGAAACTCTGGACCTGGTAAATCGGTCTTGTTGATGCCGCCAAGGCCCTGCTGAGGAATCGCTGACGCCTTGACCTGCTCCTCAAATGCTGTTATAACGGATGGAGAGCCTTGTCTCTCTGTTGAACGCGAGAAGACTCGCACGACTTTGTCGCTGGCGCCCGTCACGATATCTCCGTTTTCCTTGCAAACAGCCACGTCCCAAACAGAAATGGCTGGATGCGTTATGACCTGGATACACTGGCCATTGCTCCATATCCGCACAGTGCGATCCTCGCCTGCAGAAACAATCTCGCCTGTGGGAAGCACAGCTAGCGAATAGATGAAATTCTCATGTCCGTGTAGTTCACCTAGCAAGTGCCCCTCTAATGTAAGCAAACGTATCACGCCGTCGTTTCCGGCGGCTGCAAATTGTGCGCCTGACCAGTGACTTGGTGGTAACTTCGCGAGCGCTCTAACTACGTCGGGTGCTGGAGGAAGCTTCCGAATCAGTTTTCCAGAAGGATGGTATACGTGAATATTGCGATCAGCGCTGCCTGCCAAGATTTCCGTTAATACACGCCGTAATCTCCAAACAAGGTTGAAGGTCTATGGAGTGGTATCGGGGGATAAAGGACAGAACGGGTCGTAGCCAGATAGCACGTTCGACCTTACTCCATCCTCAGTCTCAATATTTCAGACTGGCATCATTGCACGACAATCTTGCACAATGCACATGCAGATCACTACATTTTGAGCGACCTCTGCCAGAACCTCTTCGCCCGGGACAGTAGCCGCTGGCATGGGGTGTCATGATTGAAGTCTTTCAAAGGGCAGAAAATCTGCTGCTATTTGCCATACTGAGAATTAGACTTCATGCTTGGCACCCTTAACACTGCAGACCAAAATGTCATGGCACGACGGGTTCCTGGCACAATGTGGGCGCATACAAAGATGAAGACCTTGTGCTAGTCCGCCAATTATTACCGAAGCAGGAACTCACCTGTTAATATCGTTTCTTTGTCGTAGTAGCAGACGGCCCAGACGCTAGCTGTATGGCCTTTCAACTCAGTACTGGCATCCCAGCGCCCAACCTGCCAGACACGAGCCTCTGTGTCCCAGCTGCCGCTCACTATATTCTGCCCGTCCTCACTGACGTCTAAAGCGCACACATTGCCCGCATGGCCCAGCAGCAGAGCATCGGCGTTATCCTGGGGTAGCTTTCCTGGCGCCCGAACCTCAATTATAGCGTCCCGGCCACCGGCCACGATGAGCCCCTCAGGGTATGCCGGTGACGCGGGTACAAAAGCAACGCTGTTCACGAAGTCGGAGCCGTTGGATACGAATGTGCAGTCATAGGTTGGGGGGGAGGGCTTAGTGACGGTCCAGAGCCGCACAGACTTGTCTCGTGAGGCGGAGAGGACAAAGGAGGGTCGCGGAAAGGCAACGGCTCGAACCTGTATCCAGAGTTGGCCATGTTAGCAAGTGAGTCCTCAGGTTTGTTCTAGGTAGCGTTCTTCGAGGGCCATTCATCGCTGTCATGATTATGTGCCCCAGTCTACGAGCAAGCTGTGCGGAGCGTCCGTAGACAAACTAGTTGGCCACCCGTTGTTTCAGCAGGGCGTGAAGCAACATCAGGCTCCATGAAGCTCCGTGAAGCTCAACAGCGGCAGTAGACCGCCGTCATGGCAGGTTTCAATAGGAGAAGCAGTTCCATCATGAACGTTGCGAAGCGAGCCACTGGTCAGGCTGGAGGCTGCAGAAGCAGAATCAGCAGCTTCAGCATCGACAACGGCAGCGACAAGGGAAAGCAGAAAGGAGTGTGCTTGTAGCAGGGTAAGACTTGCATCATCATCGTGCCCCTCCAAAGAGGCTGAGAGCTTGAAGTTGGTCATGCGAAGCGAAATCCAAGGTCAGCCAAGGCCAGGAACGCGCAAGCTACTCCCCAGATTCAGTGTGGCACTAACAAGCTGGAGCAGTGCCGGGCAGCTGCACAGCGTTACGTAGGTGGGTGCGGGATTTGGGTTTTGGTTAAGGGTCGGACGATCGGTGATATGGGGTAGAAACAGCAGCAGTCAGCAGATTCGATCGTGCATCCGGACAAAGTCAGTAGCGGGTGCGGTATTGCAGAGCTGTAGCTTTTGCTTCCGATTGTGGGTTTGTTTCGCTGGTCGAGTGGCTGTGGCGGGGGCGAGTCACGACGGACTGATGAAAGAGGGAAGTCACGTTCGACGTCCCAGTGACCAATGACCGAGCCGACCTGGAGGAAGCTGCGACCAGACCGGGAACGGCGCGAGGAGCGCTAAGCCATTCCTAGCAAGACCCCATCGGCGAGCCGGCGTTCTGCAGCCGCCGATGCTCTGGCACGAGCACACAATGGACATGCACGCACAAGTACTGTGAGTTGATGCCACACGTCAGGGCAGCGAGCACGGTGAGCCGTTCTACCCCAGAATCGTGGATGACGATGCAAAGCTGTGCGGAGCGCGGACTGACAGAAAGCTCCGCTTCGACACGTGACGCTACGCAGCGGTACGTTACGGTAGCTCCTGCTTCAGGCTGCTTGTGACCAACATGGCTGCTCTGTTTGTCCGACGGCGGCGTTTCGTACGACGATGTGTGCGACCGCAGCTGTCAGTGGTTGCTGCATGCTGGCTTTTCATCTTGGCCAAGCGTCTGGTTCTTTCAGTAGGGTACAGTAGTAATCGTAGGAGAGTCTCGCAACGAGATCTGAGAAAGCAAATCGTGGTGGCCCCAAGCTAACTGCAGCCTCGCCCTGGTCGTTGTCGGTGGAATGCACAGACCCGGCCCCCTGCCGCGAGAACGACCTCATTATTCTTAATGACCATGTTTCTGCCGGTCCCATGGCCTTGAACAACAATAATTTCCGTATTCGTGCGGTTCTCCTGCCTCCACTACGAAAGCGGACATTTCCCCAGAATCCATGCCTTGTGCGAGATGACCAATGCATGCAATCAATAACGTATATTGAGGGGACGAAAGCTTGGGCGATCTTCATATACTTCCGCCACGATGCTGATACCAAGATGGTCCTCTCGACACAGACATCCATGACGGACAGTGCTGCAGCGTGGGAAGTTAGTAGGCAGCGAGACCGCCGACCAGACTGGAGTTGGGACGAGATCGGCGGTATCACAAATGCCGCTGCCGTCCTTTGGCACGCTCAAGTATACAAGTATTTGTACTGGGCTTTAGCGCCACCAAAAACGGTCGACTCCCTATCGATAGCCGCGCTGGGTCCCTGATTCGCACGACGACGCTCCGTTTTGGGAAATGTTTGTGGCTTTTCTGAGCTGCCTGCCCTCAAAAATATTCTGCTCGACAGGTAGGGGTGCGCAATAAGCGAAAGCGCTGGAGGACGAAGCGCTAGAGACGGCCCTGCTACTCGGAATATTGGGAGGTAAAGTGCGGGCATGCTGGCAGAAAAAGAGTCTGGGCGAGCGACGGTGGATCGCTGCTGCGGTATCAATGGAGCAGGTGGTGTCAGTGGTGCCAGTGGTTGTCCATGGTGGTGTGCAAGAACACTCCACCTCGTGTGCAACACAGGAAGTATACGAGGCCAACGCGAGCCTTTCAGAACAAGGCAACGGTCAGTTTTAGCGCGATCGAATCGACGTTTCAGAGAGGATGACGCTGGCGCAATCTGGGGAATAAAGACGAAGGGCCGCGAATACTGTCTGGGCATATGACTGCAGAAGCTGCATGCCTAAGAAAGCAGACACACCAATCCCTAGCTTGAGCAGACAGCCGTCGGCCGAGACGCAGGGATGTGTGCTGTTGGGTTTGCCCTCCAGCGTTCGCTGGTCGGAGTCCGGGGCGCGTCTAGCAAAGCGTGGCCAAGGGCTTCGATCCACGGCCCGCGTCTTGAAAGCTACGAGGATAGAGACGAGGGAGGCAGTTGGAGTGCATTGTGCTTTTTCAATCCACGGGCGGCTAGAAAGAAGTGGCATCGAGCATGGCTACAATCCCCGCGAAACCGCGCAGAGCAATTGTTGGAAATGGGGAGAAAGAGAGAGGGAGAAAGGGAGGGGGAGAGAGGGTGTGTGAGAAAGAGAAGGAGAGAGCGAGATTTCGTATGTGGTAGGTCTTCCTGATGCGCGGATGCTTTTGAGGCAGGAGAGGAGGCGAAGGAAGAGTACCACAGTAGGGAAACGAACATGCACTCCTCCCTATAGCGAATAAGCACACACACACACTCACTCCCTCCCTCACTCCCTCCCTCACTCACTCCCTCACTCACTCCCTCACTCATTCATTCATTCGACCATTCATCCGTTCATTCGCTCGCGCCTCCCTCGCTGCTCCTGTGCGCAACTACACACATACACACAGACACACACAGACACACGCACGTACGCGCACGCACGCGGAACTCAGTGCCCTTCCACATCTGCACAAGTCAGTAGCACCGGGCCCGCGTCATGCACGCCACAAGCGGTGCGCACTGGCTTTCGCTGCTGCTCGGATTTCCCAGCCAGGCGGCTGACCCCCATCGCTTCTCGACTCTCTCTGCAGCTTGTCGCCCCCGCCGATTTGCTCCCCAGCAAAAACGTAAACGCGGCTCCATCCAGGATAGCTCTGCTTTTGAGACCAGATCTCTGCTGGGTTAGCACCGCGACGGACCAGCCCTCATGCTGCGCTTTTAAGAGGTGCCGCCAGCTGCTGCTGCGGCGAGACGATGCGACAGCCGCATTTCATTGCTGCAGCAGGAAAAAAAACCAGCCTGCTCAACACCCACAACCTCCCGCTTCCCGCTTGCGCCCGCGTCCACGCTCACGCTCCGCCGCGCACACGCAGCCGTGCTCAGTCGCACTTGCCCGCACTTGCGACCCGGTCGTCGCTTCCTGCTGTACCTCGCTACACCGCGTCCTCTCGGCGCGTATTTTCGTCACCAAAAGCGCTGCCAAAAGCAAGTTAGTGCCAACGACTCAACGACGGGAAGGAGCGCCGCATTGATCCTTCGTTCCTTCTCCCTTCTCCTCTTTGTCTGCGGCGCCTGCAGCGTGGGCATGTTTCCCACTCGCACCTGCCGTCGACCTGATTTATTGATCCACTTTCAGCCTCTCTTCAGCCCTGAACGCCTCATCAACTTCGTCCATACCAACGTTCGGCATTCCCGGTCGACCCTTATACTGCAACCACTACTTCTCTACGTCCACGACCGTTCTGTGCATCGCGCGGCATCTTATATCTTGTGGCAGCCGACCTTTTGTTGTTTCAACCCTCAACGGAACTCCCATACACACAACCTGTTCTGCCGCCACGCCTGCAGGAACACACAGCAAACGTCACTCTACGATTTGCTGGCGTCCCCACTTGACCATTTCTCAAGCCCATATTACCAAACCACTGCAGCATACTCGGCTCGCTTTTGACGACATATCCTCCTTTTCGAGATCGTCACTTCCTCTTCTTTTGTTTTTTACTTGAGCTTGCTCCTTCTGCGTACTTCTCCAAACATGGACAACATCACAGTAGAGCCTTCGGGCGTCGATCTCATGAACGCTCTTAACACGTAAGTGTATTTTCCCCCAGCCCATCAATTCATTTTTAAAGCTTCCTACTCACAATCAGCATCTTAGGCTTTATGAAAATCGCAAATCCTCCGACCTTACAGTCTACTGTCGGGGACGAACTTATCCGGTCCATAGGGCCGTCTTGTCTTCGCGCTCAGATTTCTTTGACGGCGCATGCAGGAATCCATTCAAGGAGTCACAACAAGGGTGGATTGACCTCAGCGAAGATGACCCTGAGGCCGTCCAACACATGATCAACTGTATGCTCATCTCCATGATACCTGCTGCGCAATTGTCTGCAGCAACGAGAGAGAGGAAAACGAATTGAACGCTGACATGGATGGCAACCGACAGACTTCTATACTCTCGATTACCTCCCAGCTCCGCGCTCCCGACCCTCGCGAGGCTGGTCTATAGGAACCGAGAATCAAAGCACACCGAGTCTCTCGTCAACACCGTCAAGCTATTTCAGTCCTGCCCCAAGCAGTCCAGCGACACCTACCTTTCCGCGCGAACAGCAGCGCAGACTCAACTTGTCTATGGTCGAGGATCCTCTGCTTGCGATTGCTGCGGAAGTTGCAGCCAAGCCAGCCTCCGCGTCGCCGATGCTCTCCCGCTTTGGAGTTCATTCGCCCCTTGTTCCGTCGTCCGAAATGGCGTACTTGCTTGCAGTGAAGGAACCTGTGCATCCAATAACTCCTATGGACACGATGATCCGCGAGGAGCTACTGAGTAAGGCATTCGACGAGGAAGAGTTAGTACACGATCAGTCGACGGACTATCACAATGCACATCTGGTAGTGCACGCCAAAGTGTATGCCATTGCGGAACAGTAAGTCATCAACGCTAAATCCCTGTTCCCCCTTTTCTCCCCACGGGCCCAAGCCAAGTCGACACATCACCTTTCTTCTCTGCAAAGGCCACAAACCCCTGTATTGCCTTCCACACCTTTTTGTCCCTTCCCTTTGCAGACTCCGGCCAGGGATGACACGTGCAAATATAAATAGAATCTCGGAACTAACGTAAAGGTTGCAAAAATAGATACGGCATCAAAGGCCTCAAGACGCTGGCTAAGAAAAAGTACGCAGCACAAGTAACACACCACAGAGAATCGCGCGAATTTGCAGCCAGCCTGCCAGAGATCTACGATGGCACAATCGAAACGGATCGCGGGCTAAGGGACATTGTCATAGCCACATTCAGGCGTTTTCCAGAGCTGGCTCAACGTCGCGACGTCCAAATCGTGATCAAAGATACGCCCGGTCTCGCCTGGGAGCTTTTCCGACTAGCTTGGGGACTTCCTGTGTGAAAGTCGGAAGTGTATACGAAAAGCTACCTTTTTTTTCTCCTTTGTCGAAACCGAGACATCACACGGCGCGATTTCGTTAAAAAGATACCCCACTCGCTTTTTTGGGATTTTTGAAGGGCAAGAAGCAAGCGAGCTTGTGAAAGCGGCATGAACAACAATAAGCATCCGAAACACCCCAGCCGGTTAGCGAAGAGTGGGAAAGGACTGGGCATCCTTCAGGCATACGCTATCTGCACTGCTATTAAACCCCAGAGTATGAATAGGGAGACATGGGAGCGTGAGCAGAAGCCTGTTAGTGTCTCGTCAAGTGCAATGACGCGGGAAACTGCCGCTATGCAGATTACCACACTGTCTCTAACGGAGATATGAGTTGTTAATGGCCTTGAAATCTTCCTACAGCAAGGTTTGAAGCTATTTTGAAACGGTGACACTGCAGCTCTGCGGAAGCGGTAACAAGCTTAGAAAGTTGTTTTAAGCTGTAATACAGCAGCTGTGCGGAAGCTAGTTGTGTCGCTCAAGAGCTGGAGCAGTGTGAGGCATGCGCACCACCATCCTAGATGCATTGGTGCAGTTGTAGACCGCCGAGGAATGTTTTATTTTTATTAGCGATTGATCAGCTTTTACTGCATAGCGCTTCGGGAACCAGAATCGATCTGCATATTACCCTAGAACACGGTTTTGCACATGTACTAAATATATTGGTCTTATTGTGATCTGGAATGTTAAAAGCACCATGTAAAAATCACTTAAGACTCTTCGATTTTCATGTGGGCCAAAACAAGCTAAAGTACGGACTTCGACGGTACAGCGATGTCATAACCGACTCTCCCTACCTTCCCCACAAGTCTCAAACGCAAAGTTGGAGTCACTGACCTGAACATTTTCCAAGTCTCTCGTCTACGGCAACGATCGTCGATCAGATCGTCTTCCTGATATCAACACGCGAGTGCCGATCTCATGAACAAGCAGCGCCACACTACTGCTTGGCTTCAGCTGCGGACGACGCGGCGGCCATGTGCGCTTGGAGACACTGTCCTAGCGTCCGTTCAACTAGGAACACGCCTTGACCTCATGGCACGCAAAGGAGACTGACCTAGTCGCCAGCTACACCGTTTATCAAAGCAATAACAAGACAGTTATTGCTCGTTGAGGCTACAGGAGTAGTAACTTGCACCAATACTGGGAAAAGCTGGCGCGTTGACGCATAGTAGCCGTGTCATTTCAACCTAGTTCGCTCTAAACACTACGGGCCTGGGAGACATCCGACGGGTGGCGGCCGTGCTGGCTGGATGTGGAGCGACGGCGGGAAGGGATGCCTTTGCCATTGCTTTTCCGATACCACTGTCGCTACTAATTCCACTGCCGCCACGTTGTTTGGACTGTCTGCTCAGCTAAAGATTTTGATACCGGGTATGGCTGGCTGGGTTGGCGACGGGGGATGTCGCTCGCAGGAACCCAATCTACGGATCAAGCCTGGAACGATGTTGGGCTTTTGCGGCCGACCTGTTCAGAGGGCTAATGTTGCTGGCAACAATAGAAGCACCAATACCGCCACGATTATTCGTCTTTCCTTTTTCAACGAACTGAGGTGCGGAATCCCACGACGAGGCAAAAGAAAAAGAAAGCAGGATCCCACCGATATCGATCCCACCACAAAAAGCCACAGTAGAGAAAGCGCCACAAATGCTGGGGGAGGTTTTTTGATGTCTGTGCCACGATCTAGAACGCAAGAGTCGAAGGCTTGTCTGGCGCTCCATGCCGATCATTGGGTCGTTCGTAAAACCGGGGCCGCGAGAACATCGACGATGGCCAAGCTACGTAGCTTTTCCCATGCGGCTGAAAAATGCAGCTGTTTAACTTTTCCCATTGTCCTTTTGCGCTTTTCATGCACGCCACCCCGTTGTGGTCTGGTAAAAGCCACGCGCGTTCTCAGTACCCAAGTTATCCACGGACTTCCCCGGCGGCGGAGGTAAGCTAAGAGTGCTGTCAAGCACGTCTAGCCCCGCTCTAATGATGTTTGAACAAGCCAAGTCTGACCATGTGTTTTGTTGGATGTCCGAGAGCGTACGCATGTGCCAGGAGCGCATTTAGTTTTGCCCTTTGCCCCAGAGGTGAACTGCATGGCGCCAGGAGAAACCATGAATTTGCTTCCAAAGATGATTGTTGGCCTATCCATCTCACCGAACGCGCTGACGAACATTGTGGCTTGTTCGAGTTTTCGCTTAAAAGCGTAAACAAGCACTATGTCTGGGCGACAGAGATCGCGAATAGCACTCATTTCCACCGGGCAACTGTCGGCTGGTTCCTGCGTACAACAGTCTCCGCTACCCTTTTCATTCCCCCTATCCATGTGGGACGATGGTACGATTGTATCACCGGTGCGCTGGCCATACTCCTGATCGCCATTTCTCCTTCGTGCACGACTGAATGTCTCATCCTCCTGCACCAGAGAATATGCCTGTGACAACCTGGCGCTTTCGTGTCATGAACGGAGCCTGGAATTCGCTCTTGGCATCCCAGTCCATTACTCTTTCGTCTCGTCCAGACCTTTGGACTCTGCGTTTCAACCAAGGAACTTTCAAGCAATGCAAAGACTGAAAGCGGGTCTCCTGGATCAATACATCATGGCTCTGCTTGATGCGTGGACGTGATGCATATCACAACGAACGGATGATGCTGACACTTTTTTCTCTAGCTCATTTACAACAATGCTGCTCATCACGCGCAGGAGAAATGTCATGCTGGCCCAAATCAGGGAGGCCACTTCATGGTATCATATCGTCTCAACCTGACGTGTGATATGGCCTGCCATTTGTACGGCTATCACGGCCTGACTGCTTCATAATGGTAGTTGAACCGGAAAAGAGAGGCGAGATACCGGCGTCGCCTTCGGCTAAGTCATTCATCGTCTCGTCATCCAACATATCTCATATTCCGTTCAAACTCATGACCTTACTAATGTATAGGTTAAGAAGTACCTCGCTAATCAAGATGCCATTACGCTTTGATATGCGATCTGGGTAGTTGCAAAAAGTTCGCAAGAAGGCATAAATTAAATGCAGCACATCGCGAAGAGCAGCTACAAGGCTTGCAGACTTAGGAGGATTGTCTTAGTCGAAGTGCTGACATTCTCTCAGCTCAAAGTCCACACCTCCGCCATGTCTTCCTCAAAGAAACCCCGGAATTGCGTGACAACGATCGCCCGCTCCAGTAGTGTCTTGATAGTGTAACTATGGCGGCGCTGAGCTCCTGAAAATCCGTTAAGAGGACTGTAGAACGTCCTGCATATCACAAAACACTTCTACGTCGGAAAACTTTGTCCCGGAAGGCTGCGCTGTGTTAGAAGGTTCCTGAGAATGTCCACTACAAGACATGGCCATGGGGCAATATCCGTGCCAACCAAACGGTTCTAGGGAGGATTTGATCGAATAGTCCTCTTCAATACCAGTGGACCCATGAGAGACGAAGCGGCCGTAGTAGTGCAGCGATGTCCGGAGAATCCTGTCTATCTCTATCTCTCTGTGCAGTATATGATAAAGCAGATCCGCCTCGAACCATCATGCGTAATGCCACCCGAAACGGTCTGGACACACGCAGGCCAGGCACTACGCTTAGTATAAAATCCGGCAAGTTCCTCGTTTGCATAGAGAAAGCTCTTTAGCAGGGTGGATTCCGGAGCGAAAGACATATGTTTGCAATGTTTCTGCAAGCTAGGATCTCGGATATGTCGCACAAGGCTGACCTTTTTGGTCCGTTTGCAGCACTGGCACGGCGTCCGGACAAGACGCCTTTCACCGGCCCCCAAAGCATTAATGTGCCGTGACAGCATAGAAGTGCGACGCAACGTCTGTCTGTTATCCTTCCAAGCGAGGGAGACGATGCTTTCACTGGCTTCGTGGGGGTCTTGCCGAAAGGATCTGCGGTCTAGGACTGGGCGTACGGTGGCAATAGGGCGCGGCAGAGATTCAATGCTTCCAAAGACAACTTTTCAAAAGCCTTTTGGTTCCCATTCTAGATAAAAAGGATGCCGCTGGTCGTGGCTCTGGGCAACCGGCCCGTGATTGACATTTGGCCCCTCATGCATGTTCTGCTTGGGTTTTCCCTGATTAGCTCTCCCAAACCTGCACGCCTCGAGTCGCCCTGGTCCGGCAAGTTTTGAGGGGGGCAAAAAATAAAAGAAAGAGTCTAGATGCGAGTCCATGTGGCTCTCCCGACTCTCACCACCTGTGCCGTTCCCCTTCGCCTTATCAAAACCTGCGGATCGCTATCATGTGCCGGCAAGGCGTCACTCCCCCATGTCGACTGGCCTGCCTTCACAACACTGGACCAAGAAAGGGGATCTCGACAGCCTTTGATAACCACGATTTTTAGCTTTTTTTTTGTCCCCCAACAGCACCCAGGAGTAGGTGCGTAGTAAAAAGCCAAAGCTTCAGTCACATCGCCGATCCCTGCAGCGCACCGGACTTAGCCAACCTTCGCACAGAGAAAGGGCATACCGCCAGGCAAACAGAAAAAACAGGGAAGAGAAAGGTCGCAGCCCAGGCTCATCATCAACAATGAGCCGCAAGCCTAGCGACGATCCACGTCCTTCCCCCCTCCCCCCCCCTCTTTTCTTCCTCACAGCCAGAGAAAATTGGTGTAGCATTAACCGCTTTTTTTCTTTTTTTGAAAAAATAATTCTTCGCTGCCTTGTAGCTTTTGCCACCGGGTTCAGCCTTTCGAAGCCCAGGTCGCATATACGCCAGTCACACACTCCCCCCTTCCATTCGACATGGCGGAAGGAAGAGCGAGAGAAAATATCACGACAGCGTGGGGAGAGAGAGAGAGAGAGAGAGAGAGAGAGAGAGACGTTAAAACAGTAGCGCATCGGTCCGAGAGGAGTCCAAGTTCGAAGCCGGGAACAGAATTTCTCTCTCTCTCTCTCCGTCCCTCCCTTCCTTCCTTCCTTCCTCCCTCTGTGTCTGTCTATGTATATATATATGTGTGTGTGCGTGTGTGTTAGCGTGTGTATCTAAGTGTGCGAGGGTCTCTCACTGTCCAGCTTACGCAAGGAGTCCAGGCTCGTGATAGCCCGAGTCGGCTCGCGTCAAAAGCCCGGTGGAAAAGTCCAGGATCGGAGTGACTGGCCAAGACGCGTGCTTTCTTCCCTTCCCATCTTCCTTCTTGTCGTTGTTTTTCTCTCTTTATGCTTTTATGTCGGGTTTTGTCTCGGCCAGAGACAGGCAGGGAATTACATCCGTCCTCGCCGAAGCGTACGCTGCTATCTCTCTGCCTCTCTCTCTCTCACACACACACACATGCGCGTGCGCCGCACCTCTCACAACGGGCGTCCGGATGAATCTTTCGTGTCCGGTGTCGAATCAGCTGACGCCCTGCGCGACGCCTCGGGGAACCTCTGGCAGCACCTGCAAGGGCCGCAAGGTGCGTGTGTGCCGTAAGGTTTTCGAGCATGCTCGCCCGATTCGCAGGTCGCGGGACGCTTCAGGCAATCGAACAAGGCAACCGGGGGGTTGAGGATCGGGGGAAGCTCGTTGGGCACAGGACGAATGATGATATACGTACAGAGCGCAAGTTCTGACTGCGCATCAGTGGTTGAGGGGCGTGTGGAGGGATTATTAACACGTTGAAACTAGTTCTTAGAGCGTCGATAGAGAAGAGAAAAGAAGAAGACAAAGTCTAGAGGATAAAGTGAAATCGAGCGAGGACTACGTCTCAGAGAAAGTAGGATATCTTGAATTTCCGCCCGGTATCGCCAGCGCGTGCTCCCCGAAGGTCTATTGGAGGGCGGCCACCTAGCGAAAGCCAGACGTTGTGAAAAGTGAACAAACCGTCGTATACATCGAAAGCCCTATCCTCTGCAGATAGGTATTCCCAACCGTTTCCCTTATGCTATCAAGCTAAACCCCCGCTCTCCTTCCAAAAGGAAACACTTCGTGTCATGCAAATTGGACAATGAAGAAGGATGGGGACAAAGACGACGGCAGTCGTGGCTGTCGATCGGGCCAGAACGTGATGGAAAAGACCTGTCTGCACCAAGCCGCCCTCCTCGTTCGCGGGTGATTATAAGCACGAGACCGTGTGATGAAATATCGTAAGGACAGACAGATGACAAGGGTATGTTGGAAGATGAAAATAGGAAAAAACGCCGCATTTGTGTGTAAAAGAAGTGTAATGGCACATCGCATGACGATGAACATGCCTGTTTATGTTCAGTCCGTCCCTGAGACTGGACGCCAGCCCCCCATTGTTCCAGACAAATGTTAACCCATCATGATGCATTGCCTTTTCTTTCCATCATTCGCAAACGGCCTCATGGACGTAGGTTTGGGCCTAGTAAGAGCGGAACGCGAGGCCGAATCGGAAAAGTGTGACGGGTGAGCGCGGCAGTAGATCTCAGAGAGCCAGCGAACAAGGGAAAAAAAAAGGATGACGATGAAGCAGGACGTAGCGCCATGTTGAAAGTGACAGGAAGCGCCTAAGAGAATCGCACAGAACCGTAACGACAGTTTTGCCAGACCAGGCTCGTCATCTGTGGAAGCATCGAGCATAGAGACCTCACGCAGGCCAAAGGAACCGTGAGATGCATAGTCGACCTTCCATCCAAACGAAAAGTGTATATGAAAACCCACTTTTCCGACCCAAATGCCGAGATGTTCACCATTGAAACGCCCCGACCAAGAACACGAACTGTCTGTCCGCGTGAAGCGCTTTCTAGGTATCCGATCCAGACCAAAAACAAAGAGCCATGAACATGACGATCAGGAAGAGTAAAAGAAAAAAAAAGCCGAGAGGTGATCGAGGAAATAAGGGGGGGAAAGATAGGCCACGGGCCCCCAATCCTGCCGCCTCAAGTCAACGCGTCCAAGTTTCGTTTGCCTATCCCCTCTTCTGCGCCCCGCAACAAGATGCAACGCCGGACCGCGGAAACCGTATCCCAAGTAAAGCTCAATAAAAGATCAAGTGATGTGATTTCGATGCGCGCGCAAGGGGGGGAATCTCTTTGTGTGAAGCCAAAGCCAATAGAGCCACCAAAAAAAATTGATCGAGATGATCTTGGGCCAAGTATGAAAAAAAAGAAAAAAAAACAGCTCGTTTGCTATGCCTTCCACCGGTGGAACAATGACAATGACGAAGATAGCGATGATGATCCGATGATGATCCGATGATTCAACAAGGCTCGATGATAAGAGATGATTGGATAACAATGTTCATATGTTCATGATTTAACGCCTGAGAAAAACCATGGGCTATGTCGCAACGCTGCAAAGATTGATGCTGTAAATGAACGATCGATGCCGTTAGTGATTTGACGGAGGCGTGCGCAAGTGTCCCGTCTTGCTTGCGCCTTTCGTAACAACGATCAAAAACAGTGGGTGAGGGTTGGGGTGCTTGAGCATGTGGTGAACACTCTCTTATCGACCCATGAACGAGATGTAATCGTTGTTCATGCCTTGGAACGGGTTGCCGGTCATAGTGGAAGGCATAGGCATAGGTTGTCGCATAGAGGGTCCATACGCGCCATTTGACATGCCAAATCCACCGGCAGCACCGTACAGACCGTAATTCGTGTTCCCGTTGACAGAAGCTAGCGGCGATGCGGCTGGGTTCGGGTTCGGCAGCCCTGGCGGGGGCCCCGTGGCGGTCGAGAAGCCCGGAGGCGCTCCTATGGGTCCGCCGTTCATGCCCTGCATGCCCGGAGGCGGACCCATAGAGGAGGCTTGCAGGCCGCTGGTCTGCTGGCCGGAGCGGACGCCGAGCGGATTCTTGGAGAAGGACAACCGAATGCCGCCTTTGACGCTGTTGTGGAGCGGATGTCCGTACAGCTCGTGCAGAGCCTTGGTTGCAAACGACACGTCCTCGAACTCGACGAAGCACATGGGACCGTTCTGCTTTGTACGGAAGCACAGACGTTTGTATCCGCGTTGTTTCGAGAACACGGACTTGAGCTCGTCTTCGGACGTGTCGACGGGCAAGTTGCCCACATACAGTGTGTTACACGGCGGGTTCTGGTCGGCTGGATTGGGGGGTGGGTGTCGTTGGTGGAACGGCGGTGCCATAGGGAAGCCCGTGGAGGGACTCAGGTTCGTCATGGGGTTCATGCCACCGGCTGAAAAGGCGGAGCTGGGCGACTGCATGGAATGCCCTGGGCGAGGGGACACGTAACCGTTGGTCTGGGGCGACTGAACGCCGCCGGGCGCAGTTGAAAGTAGCGACAGACCTGCAAAGCGCGACGTGGGGATCTCCGGGTTCGTGGGCCGCCTCGAGCCTGGCATGTGGGCACTCTCGCCACTGCGTGCGTACGCGACCGGGTCGTTGAGCAGCTTGCCGGTCTCGTCCGTAGGATCGTCGTTGATCATGGACTTGCTGGAGACGGTCGCGTTGGCAAGTGGGGACTGAGGGGAGAACAGGCTTTGGATGGACGCCTTCGACTCCGGGGCGGGAAACTTGTCGCTGCCGAGCGAGCCGTTTGGCGGCGACATCTTCTCCAGGCTTTGGAACGTGCCGTTGAAGCGCGAACTCTGCCGTCCCGTGCTGAGGCCGGCGCCGGAGGAGCCTGTCGAGGAAGCCGAGCTGGACGCGTGGCGCAAGGTTGTACCGTCGACGGTGTTTCTGCGCGCGCTAGGGAACGCGATGCCGCTCTGAAAGAGTTCGACCAGCAACTTTGCATCGTTGGAAATGGCCTTGCCGTTGAGCTTGTCCTTTGCGTCCTTGGCGCCGTTCAGCGTAAGGAAACGCGCGACGGCGGATGAATACGACGCGTCCTCGGGATACTCGGGGTCCACGAAGCTCACGTCGACCATGTCCTTTGCGAACAGCAGCATGGTACGAAGCACGTCCAGGGTCGTGTTCCGAGGCAGTTTTCGCATCAGAATGGCCGGGAGGTTTTCCATGTCCTGATGGGCGGTCGTGGTGGGCTCCAGCTTCGACAACAGTGACGAGGCGGACGACTCGGTCGGTCGGCGCTCGCCGATAGGAGACAAGCCAAAGGAATGCGACGACATGGTGTTTGTGAGAACGTCTGCGCTCATAGGTTTGGTGAGCGCGAAGGACTGCTGTGGTGGGGAAGCGGCACCAAAGGCAGCGGAACCGAAGATGGACACACTGGGAGGACTCGCACTAGAAACGGACGCCAGCCGTCCGGCCATGCAGACTCTAGTGTCGTCGCAGAAGGGGGCGAAAATAGCACAAGTCGGTGTCGCCAAAGGGCGCGCAGTTGAGAAGGGAGAAGCGTTCTTTTGCTGTCGATCGTAAGGCTGACCGTGTGCGCAAACGGTGATTGCGCGTGTCTCACCAACACCGAAGCGGCTGCACGTCTAGCCACTTGGACGCTGTGCGCGCAACGGCGTCGCAATGCGGTCTAACAGCGGGGCAAGACGGCGCGCCGAGCGACGTGACGGCGTGAGAGGGCTGTCGGGTAGGTGGAAAGAGTGAAAGAATGCGTGCGTGAAAAGCGTACGTGTCGCTGCGCGAAGGCTTGTTGGAGAGCTAGCGGGTGCCGAGCTGCCAACGGAGGTGCATGAGACAGTCAGATGGCGAGAGCGAAATTGCAAGAGGAGGGTTGCGCGTAAGCGTTCGAGGTGGTGGAGCAGTGGAGCGAGGTCAGAGCAGAGGGAGAAGCAGCCGTGGCGGAGGCGGATGCGGTACCAAGAGGAGCGCAACAAAGGCGATGTCAAAAGATTGGAAGGAGTCGTGGATGGTCCTGGGGGGCAGAGGGGAATGCGCACGTGGTTGGATTGGGGAGGAACGGTAGAGATGTGCAGGCAGCGGCGGGCAGCGCGAAGTAGGTTGGTGGTTTGGATCTTCAGGACAAGCTGCGGATGGGAATTTTTTGGGGGGGGAGGGGGGAGGATGGGTGGGGAGGAACAGAACGGAGATGGCTCGAGCGACGAATGACGGGAGAGCGAGAGGAGGAGGGGGCGAGGGAGCGAAGGGGGAAGGCGCACAGGGCAGGACAGGACTGCACCGGACGGGACTGGAAGGGACGGGGCTGGAATGGAACGGGCTGGGAGAGAAGAACACAGCGTCGACGACGGCGCTGCGGACGGAGCCCGGGCGACGGGCGAGGGCTGAGGGAGCGCGCAGGGAGGGCGAGGGGTTGGCGGTTAGTCGCGCAGAAGACGGAAGAAGCGCAGCGCAGGCGCAGAGGCAGGCGCAGAGGCAGAGGCCGCGGCAGGAGCAGAGCGGGCTGGCGAGCGAGCAGTCGCAGCCCTCCGTTCTTCCCGACCCCCAGCAGCGACACTCGGCCTGTCTTCTGGGATTGCAGCGCAGCTCGTCCAGCACGGCAAGCGGTCGCACCAGCAGGCCGACGCAGCTCCAGCACCTGCACCTGCACCCAGTGCCAGCAGCTAGTCCGGCCCGGCGAGACAGGCACGGCGCAGCCGCACGCGCACGTCAAGCCAACGGGCAAAGCGGGCAAAAGCGGGCAAACGCTGGCCCAAAGCGAGCGGGCAGGCAGACCCGCAGGCAGCGCAGGGCAAAGCAGCAGCAGAAGCAGTAGCAGAAGCAGCGAGCAGCAGAAGCAAAATGGCAGAAGCTGAAGCAGCAGCGCGGCCGAAGAGGGAGCAATGGAAAAGGCAACAGCTCTGTCAACCCTCGACGACGCCGGCGTGACTTGGGAACTTAAAGCTGGCTTACATCGAACAAGCGTGCAGTGCCGCGCTCGCGACGGGCAGGCCGGCCAGAGTGCTTTCGAGCTGGGCCGCAGAGGAATGACGAGAGCGCGGCGCTGACCAAAGCGCAAGAATCCCAAAAAACACTCCGGCCGCTAGCTCGCACCGACGCCAGCCCGTTCGCGCGCTGTGATTGGCCCGCCTTATCACAAAGTGCCCCTCTGAGCGCCGGATGAGCCACTGTGCAAAGCCGGCCGGCGCCATCCCAGGCCCGGCCGCGTTGCAGACCTCGCTGGGAGCAGAACGACGCCCGCGTCCAGGGCGAAACCCCGTGCGTTTCTTTTGCTCGCTCGCTGTCTGCGCTCTGCTGCATCGCGCAGCGCAGCAACAAGTCATCCCTCTCGATGGACAGACAGCCCGACCCAACGCTGGGCCGTTTTTCGTCGCGCTGTGGAGTACACGCAACACACACACGCACACGCACACGCACACACACACACACGCCCTCGTCCTTGCGCCCTCATACCGCAGTACAGATTCACAAACGCACGCGCTCATGGACTGGCCCGCCTGGGGCTCTAGCCATAAGCTAGAATGGTGGCCCGCGTAGAGAGTCGTGCCCCAAAGGCAGCCTTGTAATCGTTGGTCTCTCTCTCCCCCTCTCGCTCTCTTACTCTGCATATGAGGTTATGTTTTATGTATGTACATGCCCGTCTTACACTTTCTCATGAACATCGCCGATGCTTGTTCGACATAGCCAGCAGCCAGCCAGTCAGTCAGCCAGCAAGACGGAGCATCTCCACGCCCCCAACCGTCAAAGCTCTTACGACTACTGCCCGGTTCGCGGGGTCGTTGAGATCGGAGCCAACAGGAGGGGCGTCAGCCCGTGGGAAGGGGCAAGCATCTGGATGGTCTGGGTGTAGGGAAGGCCCGCATCAATCAGAGCGCCAGACAAGCCCACCACGCTCCGGTTGCTCATGCCTTTTGATCGACACACAAGGGCAACGGTTTTGCATCGGTCGACGAGTAAGAATCAAGCGACGCGACGCATCCCAGCTTTTTGCCGCGTCCACCTTTTGCGTAGAGTCCTGCTTGTTCTGCTCGTCCTGCGCCCCGCTAGCAAGGGTTGCTTGGGAACGAACGAGTTGTGGCCGCCCGATGCCTTTCGTCGAAAGGTTTCTCGTGCCTTGCTCGCGAGCATCCACACGATGCACCCAGGCTCTTTCTCAACGCGGCGGGAGAGGAGGAAAAAGAAAAGGGAAAACAGGATTCATCGCACCTTCTCTTCAAACGACGTCTCGCCACATCACGCTAGCCACGATCGTCCCGTCCGTCGCGCCGTCTTTTTTGGGCAATCCTGACCTGCTGGTCGTCGCTCTTGCCGACTCCAACCAGCAGCACCGGCCATCGATGATTGATGGATGCGCCCCCATCGCTCCTCCTGCAGCGAGTCGCCATCTGTCTTTGCTGTACACGCCCAGCCTATCGCTCTCCCGACGCGTGTCCGTTGCTACCATGTCGCCCGACATGTCCAGAGATGACGTCTTGAAGAGCGCAGCAGGAGCGAAAAGAAAAAAAAAAAGAGAGAAAGAGGAAATAACAATAACCCCACCAATTGTCTGCTTGCTTGTTGTGTTGCGCGTCTGCTGCACCAAAAAGGCACGCTCTCGAATGGACAACCAGTCTCCACACCTCAACATGCACTGCCTCTTTTAATTACCAATCCTCGTCTTATCCAATCCACAGTCATCGTCATCAATTGCTGTCTCTCCCACCATCCGTCCCTCCCTTTTTAGCACTCTCCCTTGTTCCCGATAAATCACCGCTTCAGGCTGTGTGCGATTTCCCAGTAGCAGCAGGCTCCCAGGGCTGCCCGACACAAAGCACGGCGCGCTAGTTCCGCCCGCTTTTGATCCAGCAACTCCCTCGAACCATGCCATGCAATCTGCAACTAGCCTTGGCAGCCCAATTTTCCCTACCGCAGAATCTCTGGCCGAAACGCTCAAGCGCAACAACGCCGGTTCACACGTCGCTTACTACCTCACTTTGAAGCAGCTTGGTGCAGAAGAAACACGGGCAGGCCAGCCCTAAGCAGCAGAAGTGAAACATTCCCTATCTTTCGCGTCGCTTCTCGGGCCCCAGACGGGTTTCTGTTCCAGCGGCAGGCGAAGTAGCTCGCTCCCACCTGCTCCCGACCGGCAGAACACACCATGCGCTTATCCTGGGCTCGATGCCGAGCGAATGGGCGCGCTGCTCTTCAGGTACAGTGAGCGACGAACACAGACCATGCAAGCACGCTTTCCGCACCTGGCCGACCCACTGCCCCGGTATCCAATCGACGATCACGGGGCGCGATAACGAAATCAGCCCGCACCTGCCCAGGTTGTTCGATCCCAGTCGATGTGCTCCAACTCGCCCTCCCCATCGCTGCTGTTGACTCTTTTTCTTATTCCCCTAACTTCCTCTCGTCTAGGCACCTCTGCCTCCCTGGCCGGGTCGAATGTGCACACTAACAGCCCCCCTTCCCTCTTACCTAACCCTACACACGGTCCCCCCCGGAAGACCTGTCAGTCCGGTTCCTTGTTGCCTGCTGGCTGCTCTCACGCTTCAGCACGTGAAAGTCTCCCCCTCCCCCTGTGGGGACATCTTGCATGTTCTAATGGCATTTCTTTCTGGCTGATACGTGATGAAAGGGAAATGATGGCATGGCAAATTCTTGTGTTGGGACACGATCGGACGCATAGGACGCATCTCCGTTGCTGCACTTTGACGTACAGGTCCTGATTCCCTTCCACCCGAGCTTTGCTGTACAGCCTGGTGGAGCATCGCGCACGTACAACACCGGATTGGGGAGTGCGTAGTGAACAGCAGCAGCACCACCGCTGCTAAAGATGATGTCTCACCAGGGAGAGGGCGGATCCATTCACCCATCGATCTGAGACTAGAGCGATAATCTCCCCCTCCCCATCTTTTATCGCCTCATCCTTACCTACAGAGGTACTTTATGCGCACTCTCGTGCGTTGATCGGGTTGTTCGCAAAGAGTTCCCGGCTCGCACACATTCGGCCACGACTCTGGCACGTTTGCCGCCCAGAGTGTTGCATGCGCTCGTGGGGATACGTCCCGTTGTCTTATCGTCACCTTCGAGATACGGGTACCCACGACGGTCCGCCGCACACTTTCGTTCCAACTGATCAAGTGGATAACTCGAGCAAAAGACAGAACATTGGGGCCTTTGTGTCACGGACTATCACTGTGGACGCCCCGCCTGCATCACGTCTTGTGTAACCACCCCTTCCGTAGAGGAAAGGAGGAAAAAGAGAATACGACGTCCGCCCTTTCCCGCCGCCCCTGCAAGCACCCGCACGACCAAAAGGAGTGGACGGTTTTCCCCCTTAAACTATATACCAAAGATATAAAGCCTTCCGCTGTGGCGGACGCAGCGAGCTGTGATGGAAAACGGCAGTCCATCTGACGCAAGGCAAAGGCTACGTCTGACACGTCGTGTGCTGAGAAATGAAACTTTATCTGCGGCGTCTTTTACTGCATCGCCCTGCTCACATGCACAGTCCTGCCGTGAATTGATCATTTCTCCAATGCTGCCCATCAATTAGACTTTTCTGACGGCAGCACGCTATCACCAATACCGCGACCACTACTGGTTGGCGTGGTTGCCTACCTAGCCATCAATCACGTTGGTTCCGAACGCCGATTTTGGGGAAAGGGCAGATACGAGTGGCACTAGTGCAATTCAGCTCCTGGCGGCCATGCCCACATGCCACTTTTTTGTTAATTGACTCATAGACGGACGCGATGCGGGGTTGAAGATGGTGGTCTTTTAGATCGCGTACACACTTAGGACTTGGGAACCTGGAATAGTTGAGCGCATAATTGCGTGGTTTTTTTATTGGAAGGGAAGTCCCACCAGGCCATGCAGGTGACGGCCAACGCTGCTCGCTTCCTCTTCTCTTTGCTCAACCACACACGTGAAGATGAGGCGCCGAAGGCGGTCATGATTTCGTCACAAGGCTGACGTGGAAAGTAAAATGCTGCCCTTGCGAGGCTTGCGAGGGGTGGAAACGGCGAGACAAGCGTAGGGGATCGCGTTCTTCGTCACCTCACATGCGGTGTGATCTGGCTTGCTCACCTGCATGAGCCTCAAGTCATGTGATTCTCTTGGTTTTTTCAAACCTCACATCGACGAAGAACGGGTGCTATATTGCTTTCGCGCTTGGAAGAACACTATCCACGGCATTGCCAGATGAATTGACGTGCTGCAGAAGCATCTCTGTGCCCTACAGAAAACAGCTTTACCTCCTGTAGTAGCCTACGTTTTCCCCCTCCGCCTTCCCCATTCACAGTGTCGAACTTATCAACTTGCTACGCCAAATCGCTGACCTCCCTCGTCCAGCCACTTCCGTTCTTCGTCCGTAAAATCTCGCCCCAGGCAAGCGTTGCGGTGAGGGTACCTCCCAAATCGCTCCAGGATGGCTACGTGTAGCTTTTCGAACTTGATGCTGTCCTCTACGGATTTGACAACGTCCGGATCGTCTCTCCCCTCTTCTGCGAGCCCCTCCAAGATGCGACTGAAGAGGCGGTGGTCCTCCAGGTCCTCAGAGTGCATGAGCGGGAGATAAAACCACTGCCTGAAGGGCTGCGACAGACGGATACTGGGGTGCAAGTCCAGCCTCGGCGTCGCGGTCGAGACGTGTCGCGCGAGCGAGAGCGCGATTCTGTCGTAGTGTTCGTACACTATCCTGAGCGTCTCCTTGGAACGGTACAGGTTCCTCGGGATCTGATCAAGCAAGATCATCATGCTCAGTGCCGTCTTGACACGGCCGACCTCGTCGACGCCGCCGGGCCCGTAGATCTCCTCCACAAACGGCGCCGCGATGTCCGCGTCCGACAGTCCTTTGACGGGGTAGTTGGCCGGCGAGAGCGCTCGCACGGCCGCGCCGAACTCGTCGTCGCACAGCTTGTCGAACCTGGCCTTCGCCTCCGGCCCGGCGGTGAACCAGCGTTCCACGCACGCCTGGTCCGCCAGCCTCGCGCCCCAGGGCAAGTCGCCGAACCAGACGGTGCGCAAGCGCGCGTACAGCGACGGAGTGAAGACGTTGCGATGCTGAGCGATGATCTGCCGCATCCCTGCCATCTGGCCTTCCCTGGGCCTCCGGCGTCGTTCCAAAAAACCGTTCCGGGGTTTGTATAAAAAAAAAGACGACGACAAAGGAGTTAAGAAAAAGCGGGGGAGGGGGGCGATGGCCCTTAAACCCCGGTATTCTAGAAGATCCGGTTCTCTGGCTGTCGTCTGCACGAAACGGAAAGCACGGATGAAAATAAGAAATACAAGAAGCGAACAGGTCACAATGCAGACCTGTTCGCGACACGCTTTGCGCTTCCGGACTCCGCGGGCAAAAGGCCAAAGGCGCGAAAAAAAAAATAAAAATAAAAATAAAAAAGATTGAAGTCGTCACGACCGTCTCCGTCTTGAAAGGAGTCGGCTGATAAAAAAAGGAGACTGGGGAGTCAAGCCCTTCTTTTTTTTTTTTAAAGTTTCAGCTGCTTACGTCATACTCTGTCTCGCTGTTAACTGCTTTTCGGCCTTGTCGGAAAGGCGAACGGGTTGCCGACGCCGAGCCCGAGAAGGGACGGTCTCGAGACTTTTTGGCAAACTCCCCTGAGGTACGCTGAACGGGATGACAGAAACACGCCCCGATGCGGGCTGCGTCGTGGTGTCTTTGCTGCTCACACAACGCGGTTATCTCCAGAGTTGTCGACAACACGCTGCCTGCGGTCTGGCGTCCCCTTTAGTTGGTGGCATTTGGGCTTCCACCCTCACCTTCGCCGGCTGTGGCGTCTTGCAATGTCGAACGAGTGATCTCATGAGACTCGAAAGGATGGTATAGCTCAACACGAGGAGTTTTTTTTTTCTTTTTTTCCTTCAGGTCGGTACGCAACGTTTTGAGCGCTGCTTTGTTCCAGCCACGTCCTGGGTCTGTTTACGAGCCAGCTTCTAACCTCAACTCGGCGCTATGCGTTCACTGTGATGTCTCGCTCTGCGTGAACCTTGATCGAGGTGGTAATACGAGGGCAAGTGCTGTGAGTCGTATCTCTTGCTCCTTGCGCTGCTTGCCGCTTGCTCTCAGAGACCATGTCACTCCACTCGACAGTAACAAGCGGTAAAGCAGACACGTGCCATCCTTTTGCATTGGCACAACACTGTAGGTTAAGTTGTGTAACGGCAGAGGCACAGGTGACTGATATCAAAAGTAAGTCATTAACTGCCAAGCATGTACGCAGAGCGACTTAAGCATGGGAGTAAAGTTCACTGCTACAACACTCGACTTCACCAAAGAGCACTCGCCTCTGGCGAATGGTCTCCACACACAGCGGTCGCGTAAGAACCTTGATGGAGCCGTGATGCTCTACCCGTGGGTCTGACATCGTCCGCTGTAGCTCTCGAGCCCTCCTTGGATCTCTACTTTGCCTTGACTCTATCATCACTGCGGTTCCGCAAAGTATTCTTTCCAACCAAGAGGGGGGGGGGGGGTAAAAGAAACAGTCACTTCAACGAGGAGAGGAGTTGTGCGCGTAACATATATACGTATGTAACGCCAGCAATCTGCAAGTTCTCCCCAACAAAGGTAGCAAGACTGGAAGTCTCCCTTTCGATCCGACGACGAGTTCTTGCTCTCTCCAAGGTCTGCGAACTTATGATAAAAACAGAGCTCATGTGAACAAAGAACCGCCTGAAACATCCTTTATCCTCATCTATACCTCCAACAGTCCCCTCTTGAGCGTCTCCGTCGGCTTCTCCGTCCGCTCCCAGAGCAGGTCTTTCCTAGTCTGCCGGAAGTGCGTCGTACCGTACCGGAAGAGCTCAGCAAACGTACCCGGCTCGTGGTCTTTGTCTTGGTTCTCCGGTTGATCCCACAACAGGCCGAGAGCAGGCGTCTTGGTAAGGTTTTTGCCATGGGTCACCTTCTGCATGCTTGCCGTCGTCAGCGCCTTCCACACGAGCTTATACGCCTTCTGGTACTGCTCTGAGCTCGGGTCTGCATCGAGTCTCGTTGCGAAGGCGTTGAACGCCGACTCCCCTCGAAAACCGACCACGGTCTCGGCGGGCCAGCATTCCGGCAGTACACGGAACCATAGGATGTGGTCGCGTTGGTACTCTGCTCCGTTGAACCCAGCCTCGCCTGGTTCCTCGAGCATGGCCACTCTTCTCCAGCATAGCGTCTGGGTAATGTATTGGAAAACAACCTCCGGGCCAACGATGAACTCCCACTCCATACCGGCTTCTCTGGACTTTGAAAAGTCAAGGTCGGTGGCGAATGCCATCAAGGGGTGTGCGGCTAGCCCACTGTAGTTTGTCCTATCCTTCCAGACGTGGATGAACAGGTCATGCCAGCGCTTGATGAACGGGTCGCCCTTGCGACTCATCACCCAATGGTTTGCAGGCTGCGTGTCGTAGAACCGGGGGATGCAGATCTGCCGTGGGCTTTTGGGGTCCGAAAGTTGATCCCATCCCATCCGGTCCAGCTCGCGGATCAACATGTTTCCGACGTCCATACTGACGCCTCCATACAGGTACAGGCACGCGCCTCGCAGCATGTCGGACGCATGCGGGCCCGCGTACGGTCCGTCCATCGTGCCGCGAATCAGCGTCTCGGGCAGCATCTCGGCAGGAACATACTTCAAGATGTTGTTTGGCGATCCAGGCACAGTGTCGAGGACTCGAACGGTCCAAGAAGGCCCGTTGATGCGGACCCAGTCAACGATATTTCTCTTGCACCACGCGGGAACGTTCTCGAGTCCGGAGTGCCAGTAGCACCAGATGTTCTTTTCCGACGTGACCTCGCGGAAATCGGAGAGTGACTGCAGAATCTCGTCGTCAGAACGGCTGTCTTTGGGCTCCGCGGACGTCAATTGGTCTTTGAACTCGTCGGGTATCGTGAATTTGGGGGACGCCATGGCGTGCCGGGCGTGTTGACAGGAGCAGATAAAAGGCTCGGAATGGCGAGGAACAGAAGGATGGAAGTGAGGAGCCATTATTCCCCGTGCTTTATAGTCCAGCGCTGCATGTCAGACTGCTGATTAGGTCAGCGTTGTGTTGCTTCAACAGCATCCTGCATCCTGGTCAACCCACCCAAAAAAGGAACCACTTGCCAACTCAGGCAACTCGGTCTACCAAAGGCCGCCGGTTGTGGGGGCGGCGCCGAACGCAGCGTGCCGATCTGAACGTTGAAGCTAAATACGTTTCGGCGTCATTAGACGAAGAACTTACTGTTACATCCGTTCACGGACCCCACCTTGTTGCTTGATTTGTCAGGATCCAGACCCTGCCTGTCACTCTCATCTCGTCCACACAATCAAGTCAGTCAACGTGAGTTGCTGCATCGTACGCTGCTGCATCCAGCTCGCGCTTCGGTTCATGTACCCCTCAGGAAAGCCCTGAAGCCGCAATGGTGAAACCTCGAAGGCCGCCCGTCACTCCACCCGGACCGGTGGGCAATGGAAGAGTCACCAGTACCTTTTCCAAAGCTCCCCGTGTGAGTATCGAATGCATCCGTCTAGAGGCCTCGTGCTGCGCTCGTTGCAGGACGGGCACCATGTCGTAATATATTCGATCAAGCGTGAGGCGGTCGGATCGCTTCAGGCGATTGGAACAACTAGATCCTCCTAACCATTTGCATCTCGTTTTACTGGATAATGTCGTCCACTACACAGAAATCTTATGTTTAGCCATGAGTCTTTCTCCGTTCGGATCAAGAAGAATGTTTAATTCTTAAATGTGACCCAGTTTGAGTTCTTTGTTATAGGGTATTGGATGGGACAACCAGTCCGAGAACATCGCACTCAAAGTTGACTATAAAGCCTGACCGTGAGTCTGTTACAAGCTCCTACGATGTAGAGGTTTCTATCCATTCATCGCCTCGAAGACGCACGAGAAATGCCTCCTCAAATCTCTCCACGTCTTGTTCATCGGTGGCCTTAAATTGTAGAGGAGATTGTCAGTCGGGCGCAGACACAGGAGACTCCATACGCCATTTTTTCAAACCAAAGCGTTGTTACCAGCGGAACGCGAGACCCGCGACGATCTGGCAGCTTGACACGAGAAGCTCGGATTTTCGCGTCGAACAGTGCTAACGAACGGGCATCCTTCGTCAGGCCAAACTAGACTAAACTTATGTCACGGACATGGCAGAAACGCCCAGCTTGGGCGCACAAGACGCTACATGAAGCAAGGGCTGCGAGTGTAAATTCTCCGTATGAGTGGCAGACGGGTAACTCGGAAGTAGTGAAGAGTTGATCTTGTCATTTCCTTTCCTTAGACTACACGTGCTGAAATGAACCAGGTATGCGTATTATTCAGAACGGACCCTAACGGGAACCCTGAAGACTTGATCCCCTATCGTTGGGCCTTGGCACTGCGACATCCCTGCCATGGCAACCAGTCGTAAACAGTGACGCAGCACTGCCAGCCACCTTAAAGAAATAGCGAGGCTGACTGCACCAACCTCACCACAACGCACTATTACCGTGCAAACCCCAAGTCTGCGTGAGTTTCCATCCCCTTCAACTCACTTTCTTGAGCACAACGAATTCACTGCAACCAAGATATTAGGAATCATCGGTCTACCCGCAGTCCTACATCAATACTCTTCTCGCAAAGCATCGACAGAACCTACGAGCTTCCTACGAACACACAGCCCTTGAGCGGCAGCGACAGCTCTTGGGCTGCGAGCAACGAGGACAAACTACGCCTCACATCATCACCACCCATGGCTCCGTCACTACGCCAGTTTCTGCGCAGAGATCTGCCAAAGGGAAATGGTGACGTCAAACTGGGGACGGGACAGGTGCCCGGCAACTCCTTCAACAACGCCGGGTTCCTCGCCCTGTTCGCTATCATCGGCGGATTCATGGTCCTGGCCGCCATTTATTTCTTCTTCATCGCGAAAAACGGTGGCTTCAAGCGGATCACGAAGGACGACTGGGAGGACTACAAGAGCACGGTTTTGAGACGAAAGGGCCCCGACGGCAAGACGCTGAGCAATGCCACCAAGAGCACGAAGCTCGGCGGCGGCAGCGTGGTTCCCAAGTGGGCTAAGAGCGATTACACGAGAAGCACTGAGAGCAGCTACGACGACGGGGAGATGCGCGAGGTCGAAGAAGGCAGAGGCTACCGCAACATCCGTCAGACCAGCCGACACGACCCCGAGCTTGCTGCGTACAAGCATGAGAAGGCTGCCAAAGTCGGTGGGATCAACACGTCGATGCATGGTTCGCAATGGGACTACTCGAACACTGACCGGTCCGACGTCACTCCCGCGCCGGCGGTTGACAAGAAGGAACTGAAGCGGGCCGAGAAGGAGAGGAGGGCCAGGGAGAAAGCCGAGCAGAAGGAAGCCGCCCGTCTGGAGAAGGAGCAGCGAAAGCAGCAGAAGAAGTCCAAGGCTACGGAAAGCGAGGCCGGCGACCGCCAGGCGCCGCGTCGCAGCCAGCCCTCCGCCGCGTACAGCTTCCAGCAGGGCGACGACGCCGAGTCGTCGGTGTACACGGCGCCCCGGAGCGAGGCCCAGACGCGCCACACGCAGTCCTCGATCCGCCAGGTCAGCTACTACGAGTCGTACCGGCCGGGCGCGACCCAGCTCCCTCCGCTCCGCGAGCAGCCGACGCCGGCGCCGAGCCAGCGCTCCGGCGACGGCGGGCGACGCTCCCACCGGGCCTCGCGCGAGTCCATGAGCCACGCCTCGTCGTCGCGCCAAGGCAGCCCCCGCAAGCAGCACCGCAGCGGCGCGCCCCGCTCCGACTACTCCGGCTCGTCCGACACGGGCACAAAGGTGTACGAGCACCACATCCCCGGCCTCAGCAAGGGCGAGGTCGGCGTCGAGGACTCGGTTAGCCAGGTCGGCGCCCGCAGGCACCGCCAGCCGCCCCCGAGCGCGAGCTCGGGCTACCGACGCGGCGGCGCAGGCCGAGCCCGCGGCGACTCCCTCAGCGAGAGCGACATCTGAAACCCCCACATCGCCCGGAACCTCCCCGCCACCTTCCAAAAAAAAAAAAAAATAAGAAAACATTATCCGATTTTTTCTTCTTCTTCTCTTTGGAACTTCTTTCCCGTATCGTCTGCGCGGAGAAAAGACCCGGGAATCGCCTCGTGGCTGGCTACGGTCGAGACGAAAGGCCACAACAAACACCCCCTCCTCCTCCTCCTCCCTCCTCCTCCCTCCTCCTCCCCCAACCACTTACCACCACCCACTTACCACCACCCACAACAAACCATCCTCGCCTTTTGAATCTCCTCACGCCTTGCGTCGTCTTCTTTTGCTTTTACCCCCAACCAAAACCCCCCTCTTTTCTGGTCCTCTGAGGCAGGCGTTACTTGAGCAGGTTTTTTTTTGGTCACAGAGTTTGCATAAGTCGGAGAAACGGTTTGTACACTAACCTTTAACGACGTACGAGGGGGGGGGGGGGGGCCACGGGCCGGACGAAGAAGAGCGGGCGAAGACACGGCTACTCTCCCCGAAATGTAGATAGATAGCTCATCATCATCATCCAAAGCCACGTCGTCGGCACATTCACGCGAGGAGAATGGGAAGAAAACGGACGCTCACGACAGGAACAAATATTGTAAAGACGACAAGATTTTAAGCAAAGCCAACACAAGCTAGAAAAGTGTGCACCACGAGACAGGCTCTGTGAAGAACAATGATTGTGATTTTGTAGAGAGAAATCAGCTGTCAGGCTCGCGCCCATTCCAATTCCTAATATCTGTCTGCTTGGCATGTAGTGTGCGTGTGTTGTGTGCATGGGGAAGGGCTAAGGGGGGGGGGGGGGGGTATCTGTCTGCTTCTGCAAGTAAACAAAAAATAAAAAGGAACCGGTTGATACAAAGTCGCCCTACCAATACACAGGATCTTTCTTCCCTTTTGTTTCCCTTGTTTTTTTTTTCTCCCCAAAAAAAAGTTGATCGAAACGGTGCAGGCCCCTTCGCAGGGCGCAGAAAGATGACAAACTTTTTTTTTTCCGTTGCCCACTATCAAAAGGGAAAAAGAAAAATCCCGTGCATCGAAACATGATGTGGACGTATGCAACCCGTGACATGCTTTTCATTAGCGAAAAAAAGGAACCCTTCTCTTTTTCGACAATGCAGATGCAAACTTTTGAGTATGTGATGCTTTTGCGGTGGGAAGGAGGAGGAGGAGGAGGGGGCGGGGGGTGGGTATATTTGAGTGACGTGACCGGAAAGCGGGTAACTTCCAACTCTTTCTCTTTAATATGAACCAAAACGGGCTCAAGGTGGGGATGGGGGGTATCTACAGAAAGGGGGGCATCAAACGCGGCCTGAGCAGCTGCCTGCAAAAAAAAAAGGAGAAGCAAGGGTAAACAAAAAATAAACCTCCAAGCCGAAAAAACTAATGCGCGAAGCAAAATGCACGCAGCAAGCTCAACTTGCTGGTGCTGCTACGGCGCATTGTACAGACGCTCGTACGAGAGACAACATCGACATAAATGACACGACGTCTGGCCTGTCGGCCTGCATCGGTAAGTGGTAGAAAGGAGAAAACCTGGTACAACAGCAACCCGAAATCTGGTGTTGCAAACGAATTGGAACAAAAAGTGTGTCGGCTTTAGAAGACAAAAGATACGCAGTCAATCCAAAGCGGAAAACAGGGTGAAAAAAGGGGGGGGGAGGGAAGGTGTGGTATGGAAGCATTTTCTCTTCTTCGTCGACATGCAAGCGACGTGAGTTCCAAAAGTCTTTTTGAGGTTCCAACCTTGCTGGCTTTACATGGAGAGAGGGAAAACGGCTTTTTCGGGAGGAATTCGGGGACCAAAAAAAATCAAAATCAACGCTCAGGATGCTCTCTTCGCTCTCGTAACATCATGCACATAATCGTCGTCTTATCATCACCGCCTTGCGTCAATGGTGTGTGCGGATGGGTATGTGATCAGGGATTCTGGATACTATCGGTTTGTGGTTGTGGTCATGATCGTAGTCGCTTGGGGGCGGGAGGAGTGGTTGTGGTGGTAGTGATGATGGTCGTAGTTGATAGAAGAATCAGAACGCAGGACTGGGGTTGAAGCCAGCCTGCTTGCCGTACCCAGGTGGATAGTGGTAGTTGCCGTCATCTTTGTGACGGCGCCTTGGTGGAGACGGACTGTGCCGACGTTCGTACCTTTCGGTCTGCGTCTTTGCGCGGCGACGACGGACGGGCCGTTGCGTGCGACGCTCATCCTCAGAAGTGTATGACTCCGACGTGTAAGAATCGACGTCATCGTCATAGTCACCCTCAACCTCGTAGCGAGCTGTTCGACGATGCGGTGTCGGCTGTTGCTTTTCACGCCTCTCTCGTCGCTCCTTGCGGTCCCTGCGTTCCTTGCGCTCTTTTCGCTCCTTGCGAACGGCGGCACGGCGCTCACGTTCCTCTTCATAGATGCGGTCGCGCTCTTCCTGCGCGTAGACGGTACGACGCTCGGTGCGATCGTCGTCGGAATAGTCGTCCTCGCGAGTGTTTCGACGCTCACGGTGGGAAGGCTGACGTCCCAAAACGGACTTGGTGGCCGCCGAGCCTCGGGTAGACGCGTAAGCCGTCTCGCGACGTCCGCCAACGATGAGCTCGGCAGTGGTGCCGTCGCCGACGGGCCTGAGCTGGACAAGACGGCCATCAAACTCCATCTCAAAGCCGTTAGTGGTGTCGATGCGGACCTTCATCTCGTCCCCGTTGACCGTGACGGCGCCGGCCTCGGAGCCAGCCATTATGCGATGGCCGGCCGAGATCAGTGAGGGATCTTCCTCGGACGAGTGTTTGCTTCTCGACGAGCCGGTGTAGCTGGGCAAGCCAGCCTTGCGGCGAAGCGCATCGGCCGTGAGCGGGACGCTAGAGAGATCGGTCAGAGTGTCGCGGCGCCGGTGTTGTGCGACGCTGTCGGTGTTGGCCTGATATTTCATCGCGTTCCTGAGCTTGTCGTCCATGGCCATGTCGACCTTGAAGCTCTGTGTCGGCGTAATGTTCAAGTTCTGCAGCTCGTTCTGGAGCGTCTCAGCGATGATGCGACGCAGCTCCCTTGACTGATCCTCCTGGAAGCCAGCGTGCATATTCTCGAGCTGGTCGCGCCTCTCGCTGCCCATGTACGACATGCGTCGGCCACTGCGAGCGCTCTCTACCGTGACGCGAGGATTGATTGGGTTGGAGTACGACGTGGCCTTGGTAGCGCCGCTCGAGGCCAGGGACGGTCGTCGGTTTGCAGAGCTGCCCGACGGACCCGGTGTCACGGCACGGAGCGTCGCTCGCAGCGGCTCGTCGAACGCATCAAAGTCCATAGAGCGACGGTCAGGGTACGTGATGTGAGGCTGGGCCCTGCGCATGCTCAGTCCGTTGGGCGGTAGTGGCAGTGACTGTGGTGGTGGTGGCGGTGGGGGCATCGGCGGCGGCGGCGCCGCCGCCGCCATCCCCAAGCCTATTGGGAGGATCGGAGCTGGTCCCAAATCTGGCGGCGGCGCCACGTGTGGAGGTGGCATCTGTGCCATCCTTGCCGCGTCCACCATCATCTGCTTGCGCTCCTGCTCGAGCCGACGAAGTTGTTCTTGCTGCTCAAGCTGCGCTTGCTTGACGTGGGCTTCCTTGCGCCTTTGCTGCCTTTCATTGTAAGAGTGCGTAGAAGCCATCTGGGCCTTCTTCAATTGTCGCAAGTGCGCAACAGCGGCGAGCTCGTCAGCCTCCTCCTCGTCGGGGCTGTCGTACTCCTCCTCGGATTGTTCTTCTTCTTCTTCTTCTTCCTCCTCGCTGTACTCGTCTTCCTCGGATTCTTCCTCGCTGCAGTCTTCGTCCTCGACAGCCTGGGTCGGCGCTCGTTGCGCGGCCTGTTGCGCCCTATGTGCTGCACGTAGTTGGCGTGCCATCTTGTCCTCTTCGTCGTACGTTGGCCGTTCCGCCTGGATGACGGTCGGTTTCAGGACGCGTCGGGCGCTGATCCTCGTTGCAGCTTGAGGATCATACGAAACGGGGCCCTGGCGCATGCCGCCTCGAGCACCTCCCCTGGCGGATACCATGGGCCCCGGGCGGTCAATGACCATGAGCGCCCTTCCCGGGTACCCTTGATGCAGATAGCCTCGTCTGTCGTAGTAGGCAGACTGAATGGGCGGTTGGCCCAGGCCGCCGGCTGGCATGTCGTACATGCTGGCTGGACGAGGGCCTTGCTGCTGGGAGTCGCGACGGCGGGGCTGTGGGCGCTGCTGGACGACGGTCTCTGGCGGACGTGCGGACGCGGCGGTAGTGGCTGCGGGGGTTGCAGTCCGGACAGGTGACCGGGTCCGCGACGTCGTCGGCGGCGCGTCCGCGCTCGCGCCAGCCTTTGCTTTGCGGCTTGCCTTGCGCGCGGCGGCCTTCCTGAGAACCTCGATGCACTTCTCGCAATTGGGCTGCGAGCACTGCACCTTTTTCTTCGTCTTTGTCGATGCCGTGCTGCCGGACTGTTGGGACTGCGTGTCGACGTCGCGTTGCTGCCTGGAGGATGGAGCGCCGTTGGAAGCGCCCGAGGCGTTTGCGAGCTGTTGCAGCGCGAGAGCCTTCTCCCTGGTGCTTTCAACAGAGTCAGCGCTCGCGCTCGTAGCCCGTGTGCGGCTCGAATACCCTGAGTCGGACACCTGGTCAGCGTTCTGCGCCGGTTCGGCGTCCGAGCCTGCTGTTGGTGTCACGAGAGCGCCGGAGGACCGTTTTGCGGCGACGTTTGCGATTTTCCTGCTCTCTTGTACTTCCTCTCCAGTCCGCTCGTCATACTCGGCGCACGACGCGATGACGGACGCTGTGTCTTTGCGGCCCTTGGCCATGCTCGTCTGGTTGTGGCCAGTCGCGCGAAGTGTGTCGGCGTGAACCGGGAGCAAGCGGTGCGTTCGCCAGTCTCCCAGAACGATTTGTTTGTGGTTCTTGTTGTTATTGTTTTCTATTGGCTTCGTGGTGGTAGTGGCGGCGGCGGCGGTGGTGGTGGTGATGGTGATGACGGTTTTGTCGTGCGCAGTCCTGTGTCCTGTTATGCGCTGGCCGTGGCGGTCAAAAAATAAAAAAGGATGGGGCCGTGAAGGTTGCGGGAAACGAGACGTAGGCCGACACTATGAAACGTCGCAGGAATGCTTGCCTTTGCGTTGGAGGGCGTCAGCGATTCGGGCTGCGACGTGCCGACTTAGGCGGCTCTTAATTTATTTTATTTTTATAACCGTCCCCTTTTTTCGGGGGAGTGGGAATGAGGAAATCTCTTTGGCTCGATAGGTCGGGGGCGCCTTTGTTTAATTCACTGTTCCCTCTTATCCTCTCCCTCTTGAGCGAGGCGAGGGCAAGGTGAGGTTCAGGTGCCGTCGCAGGAGCACGGGACGACGGGGAGTGCGTATGGGAGATCAGGTCGTGAAGGGTAAGCAGCGGATACTATCGATAATAAGGGCCGATGTAAGGCTGAAGGGCTTTTTGAGAAAAAGAGGCGCCCGGTCCGTCGCGTGTGGAGGCGATGACTCGAACGGACCGGCAGGGCGGGCTTGTTAATTTTTTTTTTCTCCTGTCTCGGTGTTCTCTGGTAGGCGATGGGTACTCCCGACGCCAACACCTGTCAGACGCTGGCTCGCTTGGAGCAGAGCCTCCGTGCGGGCAACGACCAGAGGCAAAGAAGAGGCGTGGTCCGGAGCGGAGCGGTCGAGAGTGTACTGTCCAAGTGTGATTGGGAGCGTGCGAGATCAGGACGGACTCATCGCTGGGTGGTGGCCCAGGACGAGTAAGAGAAAGCTCTCACCGGTTTGGCGCAGGAGTGTGGTGAAGACAGCCCAGTCATAGGCAGCAGGGCCAGCTAGGAAAAGCTGTGTGCTGGCTGCACGGCGCTCGGCCTGGATTGGGTGCTGGCGAGGAAGAGCTGCAGCAAGCCGATGGGGGATGTTAGGCTCAGCGCCGGACAGAGCTGGCCCAGCAGCGGGCAGGGTGAAGGCGAGGGAAAAAACGGGTTGCCGGGCACCAGAGACTCGGGATGAGTGGCGAGCGGGTGGGCCTGTCAGGTACTGATGGAGCGCGAAGGGAGGGCAGCGGACGGGACGCCGGGCTTGGGCTGGGTGTGATTTTTTTTTCCTTTGGGCGACGGACGAGTGGAGCGTACGTTGGAGGGTGACGACGATGGCTTGCGGCCTAACCGTAGCGACGGAGGGCCTGATTGGCGTGGGCGCAGAGGGGAAGGCGAGGGCTGCCTTATGACAGCGCGCAGCTCGGGAGAGGTGTAGGAAGGCGAGGATGGACGTGCGAGGGCGACGGCGACGGCGACGGCGAGGGCGCGAGCGAGTGCGTGTGCGGAGCGTGCTCGAGCACAGCGCGCCCGCTTCGAGTCGCAGCGCGGAGAGAAGCAGAGCCAGGCAAGGCAGAAGCACGGCGGGAGAAACGACGGAGGGAAGAAAGGCACAGCGGGCACGGCAGGGAACACTCGCCGCCGCGAAATTTCTGCGCTCGCATCAGCGCCTGAAAACGGGGCTGGGCAGCAACGGGCATGATATACTCCATCCGCGGCGCTGCTCGCCTGCTGCTGTGCTGCTGATGGCACACGCTTCCGTAGGCGGCGAGTTGCCGAGAGGGAGGGATGGGGGTGTGGGTGAGGATGCCCTGGTCAAGCGGGCATGGGCACGAGGCGGCGCGCGAGAGAGAAAGACACCGGACGGCGGCGCAGAGCAGAGCCGTGGCAGAGGACGAGGAAGAGGACGGAGAGACGAGATGAGGGAGAGAATCACGGCGACACGCGCACACACACATGCACCGGCGAGAGACAGACACAGGCAGACACAGACACAAGACTCGTCGACACCGCGAGGTCTGGTGTTGTACCGCGGACGTACATGCGACTCCCGCTGTACTTGCGACGTCCTTCCTCGCCCCGTCGCACGCGCACACCCTTCCCTCCTCCTCGCGGCCGCCGTGAGCCTTGCTCGGCCTTGAACTTGCGGCCATGCCCTTCTCTTATTCGTCCTCTGCTCGCTCTTGTCTCTGCCGAACCAAAGGCAGCCTTCGAGCAGCGCTGGCACCGCTGCGCTATTGTATGTCTTGCGCCCGGCCGCGTCGGTGCGTGTGGAACAGAAACCCCCGAATACAGCCTGTCACGACGCACCTGAGTCATCGTCTCGACGTTGGACTTTTGGGACGTACGCCTGTTTGCGGCTTCGTTTCTCGTAGCGAAAGCTGGGTCCTAAAAGACTCACACATGCGAGACATACACACGCGCACACCTACACACATGCACATACACATGTGCGCACGCACACCCACACCACCCACACACACAAACATACGCCCACACATACCTCGCGCTGTCCCCCTCCACCCATCTTTCGAAGGTGCAAGACCAAAGCCGACCTGCTCCCCATTGTGCGTCGAGCCTTATCGAGTTACAGGGCTTTCGCATCCCTGCCCCCCCGTCCTCGGGTTCAGACGGCCCTGCCGCATCGAACATATCTCGTGCCGTACTGTGAACTTAACCCCATGCTCCCAACCCTCCAAGGACCATCCCTTCACGTCCTGAAGCATTCTTCTCGTATTTTTCGCAATCTGCCGCCGTCCGGCCTCCGAGGACGGGAGAAGGGGGGACGTTCGAAAAGCAAGCGACCAAGCAGCCCGAGGGTCGGTCTACATGAGCGTCGTCTTTTCCTTGCACGTGCGAGCGAGCGGCCGCTTGTGTGTTTGTCAGCGGGGCTTTGGGGGGGGAGCGAGGGAGGGAATAAACTTAATGCGTTTCAATTAGAGCGAAAATTAAAATAAATAAATAAAAAAATATAAACCACGGTGGCGGCCCTTTTTGGCTCTTGCGAAACCTCTCTGCCCAGCAACAGAGAGAGAGCCCGTGTCCAGCGCTGGTTTGGCAAGGGCGCACAAAGCAAGGCACATGCTGCGCGCTGCGAGTGATGATGGTACACAGATGGGCACAGCTGCGGAAGCGCAATCATCGTCAATCACTAGCAGCAGCAGCAGCAGCGGGAACACGGCCTGCTGAAACGAAAGGCCGACTCTGGCTCGTGCCTCATCCCATCCCGCTGCATGTGCCAATCGTCTCGCTCCTCCACCACCACCACCACCACCGTGGGCCCCTCCGTCTATCAGCTATCAAAGATCGACCCCTCCTCTGGCCCATCCACGATCGCCACTCTTACTTTCCGCCTCATCGCCCATCGCCCTCGTCGCCTGCACAATGTGCCCCCCCCCTCCCCCCCCAAGCCGTCCTGCCCAGTCGTCTCTGCCCTGGACGATCTCTGTGAGATTGTCCCGTCATCACAGTATGAAGCCTTTTCAAAGCCGGCTACGACACTAGTGCCTCTGCGCGCGCGTATGCCCACTGGCCCAACGCACCAGTCAGCTCGAGTGACTCTTTCGGCACCCGCGTCCCTCCCGGCAAAGAGTGGATTGCAAATGAAGCGAGTCGACCGCGCCGGCCCCCCCCTCGTCCCAGACCTGTCGGCCTCAGCTCACCGCCTGTTGGACTTTTTTTTTTTTCTTAAACCCTACGGTGATTTTTTTCTGGTTTCTGCCATCCAAAAAGGCTTCCCACACCTGCAGCTCGACAGCCCGTCTCCCATCCACTTCTTTTCCCGCTTTGGTTCGCTCGCTGTTCTTCCTCCCTCCCCAGTCTCCCTACTGGACCCTGCTGCTGCCCAATGGCGTCATGACACACGCGCTCAGGTACCCACGACGTAGTCGGGATATATGAATGTACATTGCTACCCAACGTGCCCGACATTGGTGAATCGAGAAGAAAAGAGAAAAAAAAAATAAGGTTCTATTCCATTCTCTTGTTTCTTTACTTGTTTCTTTTCCTCTCGGGCCGCATGAGGCCTACGCAAAGTCAATTGCTTGTATTTTATTTCGATCCTCCCTGTATCCCTTGTCGAAACGGCTACTTGTCCGCCTTCTCGCCCTCCCACAGCTCGCTTTGGTCCCCTTACTTTGTCTTCGCTTCCGCTCGAAGAGCACACGAATCTTCACGGGAAACCAATGGCTGAACAGGGACGGGCCATCCATCCATCCTGCGTGCGTTGTGCAAGCATCGCCACTGTACATCTCGCGTAGCCACGCGCGGGCAGCGCTGCCGAGGTGCTTGTCACGAGACTGGAGTCTCGTCGAATGGGAGAGGCAGCCTTGGGCGAGATTTGAGGCCCACCATTTCGTCTCCCCCTTTGGGATGCTGGCCTTTCCAGCATCAAAGGACTCAAAAGGCGGACCCCTCCTGCCCGCGTCATCGTCCTCACCGCCGACCGACGTTGACCAACGTGCTCCAATGACGGCGGGCCAGACATCCGTCCATGGCCAAAGCTGTTGGCCAATCATCCTTCAGTCGTACTGACCAAAACGCCTTGCCAGGACCGACAGACGGCGTCCTGCGTCTGCGTGTCGGCACTTCGACGCGCAGGAAAAGGCTCTCCAGCACAATCGCCAAGTAATGCCGGCGCGCAAAATACCATGCTCCCAAGCTTAGCTCAGGATTGGGTTCTCCACCTGTTCCCCCCTCTGTCACGGAGAAAGGTCCTCGGCGGCTGTCGTCTCTTGAGTCCTTTTGCGCGGGCTGGCTCGAAAGGTGAGGGGAAAGGGGGGGGGTTCCCGTCAGCGGGCCGGTCCGCGCGGAACGACACCCGCTTTTGCCTCTCCGTTTTGGCGTTCGCGACGGGCTGTGCGGAGTCTTTACCTTACTCTATGGCTCAAAAGACGCCAGGAGAGCATCCGCCAACCTCTGCTGCACCAACACTGCTACGCCTCCTGCTGCTGTCACCGCCGACACCACTGCATGCTGTCAACTGCACAGGACGACCGTAACGCCACCTTTCCGCGACGCGGGAAATCGACGATGGATCCACCGCCCCTTTGGCGTCCTGGATCGTTGGTCGTGTTTTGGAAAAGGTGGGGATGACGAGGGCTGCGATGGAGCTCTGCGCCCCAGGCCATCCACATCCGTCATCCAACGTGTTGGTCCGGTCATGACAGTGCTAATGCTGTTGCTGTTGCTGCTGCTGCTGCTGCTGATGATGATGATGATGCTACTCCTGCTGTTCCGGCTGTTCAGCCGCCACTTGTCGTCGTCTTTACCGCACGCCTCCACCCAAGCCGCCCCCCCATCTTCGCCTTGCCTTTAGCCGGCCAAGCAATGAATCCACCACCAGTGTCTTTCTCGTGTACCCCGTGGTTGCCGCCCTGCCCTTCCCCGCCCCGTTCAGGTATGGAACAGATGTCGTCCCGAGATCCAGGCCATCGTCTTTTGCCCGATTCGTCGCTTGGTGGTGAGACGTTGGGACGTGTGCGCCACGCAGAGCTGGTTACAAGTACATAGACCCCACAACACCCACTGCACCAAGGCCACGGCAACAGGAAGGGATGGAGTAAAAAAAAAAAGAGCAAAAAGTCAATTGTAGAAAGAGACCACGTCACTTTCCAGGGCGGAACTGTGATGCAGCCGCCCCTCTTGCGCGAGGTGAGTTGACACGTCGGTGACGTTGACGAGCACTGGCCGCGGACGTGTTCTGGCACCGACGTTTCAGGCCAGCACGACTGGTCCTCCCGACGTGCCGCCGTTGAACAACATTCCCGATTCCCCAAATCCCATCCTCCCTTGCGAAGTCAGCGACCTCATGTGCGTCACAGACACAAAGCAGCGTCCCCTTGTCCGTCGTCTACTTCGTCATCGTCGGAGCCAAAACGTCACTCCTCTTCCTTAGAAAAAAAAAAAAAAAAAAAAAAAAAAAAAAAAAAAAAAAAAAGCGCGGACCGCCGGGGAGACGGTTGGCCTGAGGAGGGACAGGCCGCCTTCTGACACCCGCCCGAAAACCTCAAATCAAAACGTGCCATATGGTGCGAGAGAGTAGCACACGTCATATATGCCTTCTTGCTTTGATGAAACCACCGCCTGCGCGTCTGTGCAAGAAAGGACAAAAGAAATGTGCTCCCCTACCGTCCCTTGTCTCGATGCCGCCGCCAGTCCCCGTAGCCAGCCAGTTCAGACTCACAAAACTTTCCCTTTCCTCTTTCTCTCATCTTCTATTTCCTTTCCACGCACTCCTTGCTTCCTTCGTCACCCTTCGTTTCCACGCTCGAGCGAATCCGAGCGCCCCAAGCCGTCTCATGGAAGCAGACACTGGTTCCCCCCTAAAAAAAAAAAGGGGGGGGGGGGGGGGGAAGGCCGCGAGCCGCGAGCCGCACCGGCCCGGTCGTCCTGATGGCGACTGAGAGCGAGAGAAATGATACGGAAAGAAAGATGCCTAGGAGCTGGGGGGGGGGGGGGGGGCAAGGTAGGAGGAAGGGCTGCTTTCAAACCTTCCCCATACCCTCCAGGGAGAGATGGCACCACCGAGATCTCCCGAGGTGGAATTAATAAAAAGAGAAGCGCCGCGGTTTTCTCTATCCCTCGTTCGCGCCTCTGGGGGGAAGAGGTGGCGGGTGCTCCCGAAGGAAAAAAAAAAGGGGGGGGGGGGGGGGATATCAGACGAGGCTCTCGTGTTATTTCGGGACGCGAGGCAATTCTTCGCGGATGAGGACGGAGGGGGTGGGGGCGAAGAGCCGCGGCGGGTAGAAGGAATGGTAATAGCAGTAGAAGTAGTAAAAGTGGAAGAGGGAGACGTAGAAGGGGGGGCAAAAGGGAAGAAAAAGGGCACGCATAGAGTCGAATCTCGTTTTGGCCAAAACTCAAGGTGGACACAAAAAGAGGGAACTTTTCTGCAGGTCTGGTCGCCGATGGCGATATATACGTCGCCGTCGTAATGTGTGGAGTATCTCAAAATGGTCATGTTCATCCTCTCCTTTCCCATGCGCCATTGTCTATGCGATCCCGCCCGCATTTCCCATGATTTCTTGGCATCTATAATCAACCCCTATCTCTTATCTCCCTCTATCGCTCTACTCACATCCTCTCCAGCGGTGTCAGGCCCAGCAACTTCATGCCGTTTTGCAGCACCTGCCTTGCGGCTACGTAAAGTGCCATGCGGGCCTTTTGCAGTTCCGGCTCACTTCCCACCACTTGCAGGTGATCGTAACTCGAGCTCACCGCATGGGTCATCTTGAACAGATACGTCAACACCGTCACAGGCTCGTGTGTCTTTACTGTCATTAGGAAAATATCTGGCCACTGCACCAGGGTTCGAGTCAGGTCGATAGCATGTCTCTCCTTAAGCAGGGACAGGTCCGCGGTGAGAAGCTCGGCCGATGGGATCCCCACTTTGCGGATGATGGAGGAGAGACGGGCATGTGCATACTGGAGATAAGGACCAGTGTCGCCCTCGAACGACGTCATTTGATCGCGATTGTATTCGTAGTTGTTAATGCTAGTCCTGATTAGCTACCCTTCAACGATGAAGCAGAGAGAACGAGGCCAAAAAAAAAAAATAACAGACTCACCGCTTTCCGGTCATGTCCTGCACCATGACGGCTGAGATACCCAACGTGTCGGCAGTTTTCACTGGATCCTCGACCTGCTTGTACTTGTCCTCATTCTTCTTCATGACCTCGTGCATATAGTCGCCCACGTCGTTGAGAATGTCGTTCAAAAATTTGACGGTGCCTTTGCGGGTGCTCATACCCAACACCATACCGAAGTTGATATGAACGCACTTGTCTGAGATCTCCTTCAGGCCCATAGCCTCCACGATCTTGAACAGCTGTTGCAGGTGCAAATCCTGCTGCATGGCGACGACGTAAATCATCTTGTCAAACTTGTACTTGTCGTACCTCTCCTTGATCGCTCCGATATCACGGGTGAGGTACAGACTGGTGCCGTCCTTTTTCTTGACCACCGCCTTGCCCAACTTCTTCGCTCCGAGTTTTGAGAAGTCAACGATGACAGAGCCGTCGGAGTCTTCAGAGATGTTCTTCTCCGCCATGATGCGAGCTGCTTCCTCCATAGACGACTCCTTCACGGTGGATTCGCCCGAGTAGTCGTCGAACTCGATGTTGAGGCGTTTATACGTAGCCATGTACCTTTCCACGCTAAGCGCCCTAAAACGCTTCCACAGTCCCAGCACCTCCTCATCGCCATCTTCCATCCGCTTGAAGTATTTCCGTGCTCGCTCGTCTACGCCTTCGCTCTGAAGTTTCTCTAGAGCCGCCATTTGTTCGGTGGCATCCGCGTTCTTGCTTTGAAGTTCGGCGATTTCTTTCTTCAATTCTTCCATCTTCTTCTTCTCCTCGCCTTGAATCTTGCTGATTTTCACGTACACATCGAACAGGTGACCGATGGGGTTCGCAACCAGCTCCTCCTCGCTTCCATATGTCACAAATCCAAGGGCAAGAATACCGTACTGCTTTCCCCAGTCACCAAGGTAGTTCATCCTGACGACGTCCCATCCTGCCGCTTGGTACAGATTTGAAATAAACCCGCCAATAATTGTACTCCGCAAATGGCCAAAGTGAAATTCCTTTGCAATGTTCGGCGACGAAAACTCCACGATGATCTTCTTTCGTCCCCTGGACGGGTCCGATGGATCGCGAAGACCAAGCTTCGTGTTGAAGCCAAAGGACGGGCCGTTCTTCAGTATCGAGGGCAGCACGATGTTCTGAAGCGGCTCGGGCTTGTAGACGAACTTGATGTAGGCTTTGTCGGTCGTTGGCGGTTCAACAAGAGGTGACGGAGGGAACTGAGGGACGGTCAGCGTTCATTTATCGCACAGCTCTGTATCAAGTAGGCATGCCTGGCCGGCCAACTCATTCGCCAATTCGTCGGGTTTCTTGCCCTTGATGCGAAGTGCGGGAACGGGCAAAACCAAGTCGCCCTTGTCTAACGTGTTCGTGTACTGCAGTGCCTGATATACAATCTTCTTGTCCACACCGGCGAGTGGTGCTAGGAGCTCCGTGATATGTGAGCGATAAATATCGACCGGATTCACTTCTGGGTATGTGTTTGGCTCCTTGGGAACCTCATTCAGGCCAATTTTCTTTAATGTCGCTGACAGTTCGTCGAGCGACTGCGTGTGAGACAGCTCTTTGTTGTCCATGATGGACGACAGCTGGTTTGTTCGGCGTGGTAAATTTCGACCTGAAGCTGGTGTGGTACCAGTAAGGCGGCGCAATTTAGTCTGAAAATTCTTAAAGCTCTGGTGAGTCAAAGGAGACCGAGCAACCTGAACCGGCAGGCGTGACGAAGCGAATGTATGCGCGAACCTTGCAGAGAATGTCGCGCGCATGCAAGAGAATCGATGTGGATCAATGGTCACGCGAAATTCCTTTGCCTTTGCTGTCGATTGCTGCCAGTTGACATGAGAAATGAATGCGGCCTCGGAGATGGATGGTGGCTTGCACGTGATCTGGCATGCCTCCTCAGCCTTACAACGTGCAATTACTCATTTTGCTTCCAGATCCATTCCGCTCTTGAATGACGCTTCTCACCTAACCCGTGCGCAGTCTGACTAGCCCTTCAATTGCGTTGTGGATCTCCTGAAGCCTGATATTTCGCTGATGATTCTACAGGTCGAGCAGCGACTTACGATAGAATTTTATACCTGCTACAGGCTTCGCCTGCGTCGCTACAACCTAACCTATGTATCGTTTTTTAATATTTTGGTTTTCTTCGAGTCGAATTATTACCTGCTAATCTCTCTAGCCATTCCTTGTTTTTGCGCGATAGTGTCCCGGTAAGTTCAGACAAAATGTGCCTAATGCTACCTTGAGCACGACAAATGTAGCGGAACACGGGACAAGGCGAGGGTTGTCACAGCATTGAGCCACCATTCGGCATTGGATCCACCTTTCCACATGAGCGCAACCAGTCACAGGAGTTTGGCAAGGCTTTGACTTGCATTTCAATTTCCTGTTTTTTGTACCAGCTGCGCAAGCGAGTGTTCATGCTTGACACCCGGAACTTTGCCAGCTTCTTCTCGTTCTTCCATCTAATCTAAGGATGAATAGTATTCAAAGTCTTAGTACGAGCAGATCAAATATTCGCTTTTCCTCTCATACGATGAACTGAAAATGTCGGACCAACGTGAGAGACAAACAAGGAGATAGGAATGTATAGACAGAGAAAGCAAAGCAGAACCTCGTCCAAATGCTTCAAGTTCGAAAGTTTGATTTCTGAAAGACTTGGATAAAAAAAAAATTGAATGCCGACTAGACAGATTCAACATTTGTTGGTAGACATGATGCCACTCCTGGCGGCCACTTGCGGTCTTCCATATGACTGTTGCTACGTTGTGCAGCGTAGGTGAGATGGATGTGAGATTGCGCCAGGTGACAATAGAAGTCACCGTCAAGCAGGTAAGCTAAAATCCGCTTTGGACAATCACCAGAGTGCTGATTAGAAATTTCGTCCAGCAGCACGTCACAATTCGAGCCGAACAAAAGGAGAATGGAGGTTACATGATGTACTTATGTCACTGCAATCAGCCAAGCTTGCTTAATCCAAAATAAACTCGTCTATGCTTTGTCCTCAATTTAGTGCTTGGGCTAGCAACGAGGAATCTACCTCAGGTATCACCTCTACGAGTCCATTAGATCTTATCAGGTTGATGAGGTCATAATCACTCGTGGCGTCTAATTTTGGTTCGCCCTCGTCGCTGAAGCAGTCCGTTCACATCGAACTTTCGTTCCCATCCCTTCAAATAGAACAGTCAACACCCTCATCTATACGGGAGGTTTGGTGTTCTATACAATTGAATCAAAGTCGCGACAGAATATAGCAAGGGGAAACTGGCGTAGCAAAGATGAAGCCTTCGTGAGCCCTTGTCTAGATGGAGAAAGAGGGTCTAGAGCACTTCAGAGCTTTGGAACCAAATTTGTATGGTCGCAATTAGAAATATCATTTTCAAAATTCTGCTTTTTCCCCTATCCATTTATTCCAATTTTGTTCCTTCCTTCCTTCCTTCTTTCTTTCTTTCCTCTTTCTTTTTTTTTTGGACGCGGCACTTGAAAGAAATGATTCCTTGGCCTTGAGTCGCTTGACTAACGACCGCAGCACGACAGGCCAGAGCTCGAGACGATTCCGATAAGTGATTCTTGAACGAATTCAAAAAGAAACCGGACGAGTAAGAAGTCCTGAATCTACGAGCATACAAGTCTCGAGGTTGTTTTCGCACGTCGCTTGAGAGTTCCCTAGTCAAGGATCTCACCTGCGGGAAGCGTAAGGTGGGGCTGAAGAAAGTTCTCTTGGAAGTTCGACGCGCTCTCATCTTACTCTAACCTCGGCGAAATACTGTTGCATCGCATATATGGTTATCAACCACATGACGTTCGTCAACATGACATCCGAAAAGGTGTGCGCACAAAACAACAACCATGACCGAGATACCAAACGATATCGTCTTGTTTGGTTATCCGAACTCACCGTACGCTAGGAAAATCGTCTGGTACCTTACTCTTCGCAAAATCGAGTATGCGTACTGCGTAGGTGTTCATTCGAGCACATGCAGTGCACTGATGGTGCTAAAGGTCACGTAGGAACAACCCAATCGTCTGCCCCGGCCTACTCTAGAGGCCCTGAATGTTTCGTACAGACGCATCCCTCTGCTCTCGATAGGCAAAGATGTATACTGCGACACGCGACTGATCCTGCGCAAGCTTGAATTACGATTCCCAGACGGTAGACTGGGCACTTCAGATCCCGATCATCGCGCCATCGAACGATTGCTGGAACGATATACTGGCGATGCCGGGATCGTCACGCGCGCAGCATCCTTAATCCCGCCGTCTGTATTCTCGGATCCAGCATTCGTCAAGGATAGAGAGGCATTTAGCGGCAGAAAAGGATTCTGGGACAAGGCCAGGCTCGAGGCAGCGAGGCCCGAATCGGTTGTGCATATACGAGATGCCTTTGAGCTCCTTGAGACGACACTGCTTGCAGATGGGCGAGATTGGGTTTTCAAAACCAATGAGCCCAGCCTAGGCGACATTGAAGGTAAGAGTTTTCATTGCTTGTTCTGTACTGTGGCTCATGAAAGCAGCGATATGGCCTTTCCACTGGCTAGCCGACCTGCCGGGCGCTCTGCCGCCAAACGTCATCTCGCCAGTGCAGTTTCCGAGAGTGTTCGCCTGGATACAACGTTTCCGGGATGCACTAAAGCAGGCCCAAAGGCTCAGTCCTAGACAGAAGAAGGTTACTGGAGACGATGTTGTCAAATACATGCAGCAGGCTCGTTTTGTCGAAAGCGTAGGAGAGATTGCAGCAAATGATCCACTTGGGCTGAAGCCTGGGGAAGTAGTGGAGGTGTGCCCAATTGAAACTGGTTTCACGCATCGAGATAAAGGAATGCTCTTGACACTGACGCCAAATGAAGTCGTGGTGGGCAAAAAAATGAACGTTGGCGGCGGCGAGATACGAATTCATTGCCCGCGATGGGGCTTTCGCATCACCAGAGCGCGTAATAATAAGTTGTAGCTTGTGGCAATACTCGAGCGCCGCCAATATAAGTGTAGATACTGCTCAACCATGTAAGATTTCTTTCACATCGGGACAAGAACGTCGCAAGGCATGATAAAAAGGCTAAACTGGAGGAGACAAAGATCTTCGCCTGGTTCCAGGACGCCCGCTCTTCCCCTGGGCGTCTCCCATTTAGCAGCTCGCTCTGAGGGCTGTGGCCCATTTAATCCGTCTCAGGTAGCCAAAACAGCGCCGGGATCAGAACACCCTAGTGCTATTGTCCGCCTCCATCTCGTGGGAACATAGAATCGATTGTCGTGCTGGGCCATTTGGGAAGAATCAGCGTCCTTGACGTTAATTTTTCTGATATAGTTGATCGTCGCGAGCGCACTGTTGGTTCTCGGCTGTGACAGAGTCTTGGGTTTTGCAGCATATTGTACTACTGGTCCATGGATTCATGTATGAGGATGGGCATGAATGCAGCGCCGCTGCACTACGGGTTTCGCGGTACTTAGCGGCGGGAAGTTGGTCGCTCAAACGCCCAGACTGCCTCTGTAGGAGAGAGGAACTGCACGTGGCGCCTGCGCATTTTCGTGGTGCTTTGATCAACGAAAGACGAGCCAGAACAGGCGGGCATTAGACAGTGAAGTAGGCGGCACCATCCTGGGCCTCCGGGCATTGGCAGAAAAGCGCCGCCGTCTTGCACGATCATGAGCTATACCGGCGAGGCCCCCAGCGCGGTTTGGTGGAACCCTGGCATCCATGAAGGGACAGCGGACCAGACAAACAACGTGTGCGCGGTCCAGCGACAGCCAATGTGGAGGCTGAGAAGCAGCGACGGCGGGAAAAGCGGACTTGAGCGCGGTTGCAGCCAGCCCCGTCAACAATGCCCAACTCCGGCTGCTCAGTCCGTCGGCAGCCGACAGCCTGGCCCGGGAGGACGACGACAGCCATCCACCGCTGAGCAGCCGGATGGCGGCGGCGGTACCGATCGATGCCTGCCGTCCCCGCCACAGGTCCAGAGAAGCGACCAGGCGGTAGGCGACGACGTGGCCACAAAGGACGACCGTCGACACTGTCGCAGCAGCGATGCAGCCGGGCTTTTTGTCCCTGTGGAGGCCGATTTTCTTCCACGCCGTGTGCGCTGGCGCCTCACACGCCGTTCCAAGCATGCGGATGGCCTTGGGGTTGCGCAGCATTGGGCCGGAACAGTGGAGCCTGATTGATGCCCAAGTTGACCTGTATGTGCGTTTCCGCCTGGGAGACGCCACATGCGGCCGCTGCCCAGCCTCTGTTCAGGTGAGCGGTCATGGTGGGGCGACGCGAGTGGTTTTTCACCTCGACCGCAGCGACTCGCTCCCTCCTTCTTCCTCTTCATCATCATTCGACGGCCACGACGCCTGGCGGACTTTTATATACGTGCCGTGTCTAGCAAGCAGGGCGACGCCTCTCCTGCGCTCACACCTCTCCTCTCGTCACAACGTCGTTTACGAGCCTTCACCTCTAGCGGCGGGTCACTTGCCGGTCGAGGCCAAACGTGCATAACCGTAAGTGCGTCAATCCAATCCCGGCGCTGGCTGTCTCGCGCCTTCAGCTTACCAACACGCTCCTCTGTTGCCAGACTTGCTTCTAGAGCCTCATACCCCCCCGCTCGTCGGGTCTGAGTTGTCGTGTCGCGTCACTGAGCACAGCACATGACAAGTCGACGCCTGTTCGAGATAGATATCCTTGCCCCACACTGCTCATCGCAGCCAGACGACTTACAGCGCCTTTTTCCTGCTTTTCTCTTTGCATCTCTTCTGCTTCCCTACCTCCATCTCCCCCACCCTTGCCGGCCCTCGTGGAGGCTTCCGTTCCGTCCCGTCCTGCGCCTGCTGCACTCAACTCTGACTTCCCTTTCCATCTGCTGTTATCTTTTTGGAATCCCTCATAACGTGGACCTAGTCGCTTTCCCGGTTGATCACCTGCCTGGACTTGGCCACCTGGACACAACCGAGGAAGTTTCACTACATAGCAATCCAGGCCTGGAACCTTCCTACCTTTGACCGGCGGATTCTTCTTACGTCGTCATTTCTTTTGGCGCCCGCCTTCAGAGCAACCATGGCAAACTATCAGTACCAACAGCCGCATAATTATAGCTACGAAGAATATGAGCGCGCCACCGATCCAGGTAGAGCTGCGCCTCCAAGTGGTCCAAACTTTCGCTGGTGGATTCCGGAAGACGGAATTCGTCGCGATGTGATACAGGCGGACATACAGCGCTATCTTGGTCCAGATGCCATGGTAAAACCTGGCGAGGGCCGCGATGAGAACAGAGTACGGATCTATGATTTGACACCGCGAAATGGCTGCTGACGCTTCTCAAGGGCCGAAGAGGCTATTGGATCGCTGCATACAGAACATTTACTCCAGTCAGTTAATAATCCACAATAGAGTCAAGATGATCCAGGCTCATAGATGTGTTGTAGGAAATGATCAGGGACCTGAAGGCAGATTCCGCCAATTTTGAGCGATCAGGCGAGAGAGGTACCCCAAAACCGGATAGATTTGGTTCTCGATCTACCCATAGTCCTGACTTTTGTGTAGGCGCATACCAAGATTCCACAATTCACCGATCAAGGCAATATTGGGGCCCCACATCTAATTCAGGATCCCAGCCAGAACAGATCGAACGTCCTCAGCCACGAATTTCTGAGCCCAGGACACATGCACAAGGCAGTTCGGCCGCTTACCAAACAAGTGCAGCTCTATCCAGCGGCTACTATGCACAACAAGCCAGCTATCCTGCCACTCCAGCACCTGGGACCAGTTCGCAATATACACTTGAACGACCGCCCGTGACTGGTGGAGAAGCTTATCAATACGCAGCTCCCTCGGACAGTATATTTGGCCAGCCGAGTAATATGCCACGTCAAGCGGAACCCAGGATGTATTCTGCGACCTCGGAGCCGTATTCCAACGCTCCTTCCAATCCCCAGGGTTACGGTCCTGCTAGGTATTTTGGTTTGAAACGCCCGGAGTATTTGGGTTTCTACTAAGCCCAATCAATAGGTCGCAGCAAACATACGCGCCTTCAAAGGCTGCGCCGCCAGGCTATTACCTTGCCTCAGATGGCAACTGTAAGTGACCGGAGCATATTCTAATTTGATTTCACTGACCTTCTAATTTAGACTACCCCATTTCGTCCCGGCCAGCGTAGACACAAGCTGTATACTAACCACCGTCGCGTTTCCGTGTCTATAAATTTTCCTGCAACTGGATCCGGCCTGGAATCTCTTTTTTATTTGCTGTCAGAACCTTTTCATATTTCTTCAAGTTATATGCTGGAGATTGCCAAACGTGGTCACCACCGTTGGACATTCATGAACCCACGCAGAAAGCCAAGGTCTATCAACCCGTCAACGTTGTGGCCTTGACAGCATACTTTCCGTTGAGAATGGGCCACTCATGCCTTTTACATGAACCAAATTTTTAACCTACCAGGCCGATCACTTGATCTACATGATTGACGTGCATTCTTGAACTCCACCTCGAGCCATTCGGCTGGAACCCATTCGCGTTATGAGCACCACGAATATGAACGATGGACCCATGCCTTATCAATGTCTTTTAAACCAATGTCACTGTGGTAGAATCTGGATTCTGATACATTGCATCTTGGCGTTTGATGACTGGAAGGAGCGGCGTCTCCACAGGATGTACTGAGCCGATTTTATTTCTCCTTGTTTACTCATCACTATGTACATATTCACCTGGATGATTCTCTTAGCATTACCTGCTCGCCGAATGGATGTTGACTTCTGCTGGAAACGAGGATCTTCTGCATTCATAGCTTAGCGGGGGGGCCGAAATTGGGACAAACTGAAACATCCCCGTTGTTGGTTGGATTGCCAACTTTTCAATTTTTTTTTTCTCATCTGAACAAGTTCTTTCGATGTCTGAGGGAGTCGTGGGGCCCTGTTGACCACGGTTCTCTGCGATTAGGACTAAGCTCACCTTTTTGATGCTCTACCTGCTCCTTGCCGGAAAGTCGAATGATTCTGAATTTGACAGTAGATTTCCTTCATAACAGTTCTTGTGGTTGGAATTTTGAAATTCGTCCTTAGTCTTACCTGATAGCCACGTACCTGCTTCTAACCACCCCGATCATATGCATAGTAATTCTGTTGATTGAATGTCCTTGATTGACTTGAAATCAACCCCCCGTATTTGTTTCCGAAGGGCGAAGAAGTTAAAAAGCTTTGCTGTCATTTAGTCAGGTCAATATGCCTTTGCTTCAGGCTGCGCTTGAAACATAGCCACATAAACCATACTACTGCATCGTACCGACAGTTATGTGAGACTCATTGCTTGAAAATGATGAACTTCAGAACTAGAAAATTGTCCTGCTAGTCGATTCTGATAGACACGAGTTCGGCGTCTCCGAAGAGGTTTCACGAAAAGTCGACGAGCAAGCCTCCCACGTGCGAAGCTCGTGTTGGATCGAAAATGCTACATCCCGCTTTACGTTTCAGTTGAGGAACTTCTTATGGAAGAGTTTCTGCTATATGCCAAAACGTTAAAAGGCCTAATAGACCTCGCAAGCTGCGCAAGACATCAACTTAGTCGCTTGCTCTGCCGCAAGTTCTTTCACAACTGGACGAATGATGCTTTCCACCGTCGTACTTTGTGGTCGATGAGACTCTGCACATGTTGAACTAGCTGATAGATATCACGAGAATCTTCTTGAGGAGCACCGAATTCTCTCCAGCTTTTAACTGAGCAAAGCTGCACAAAATCTGTTCTCTAATGTACATGGTAAACGGAAGGGCTACATCCTTCTGGGTATCTGGGAATTGTAACCTGTGAGAGAAGAGTCTCTCACGCTAGTCTGTTAGTCATGTCGCGGACATTTTACAAAGTGCTCCGATGTGATCTCAAGCGAGTCTATAGATGCCCCAAGCGAATGGTGTCGGATCCCATACAGAGGAAAAAAATAACGTTGCGCGATCATCCTTATATGGGGAGAAAGAAAGATTGTCATATGGCGAGTATCCCGGTGCGATCACAAAGCAATCGACATCAAACAACAAATGATCTCGTGCGTCGACAAGTCACGTGTTCTCCTCGTGGAGAAGATGTTCGACGTTTGAAGTTTCGTCCTTCGGAGCATAAACCGAAGTAGACATGGTTGTCACCTCGATAGAGCCGATATGGCGTCATGTAAAGGTTTCAATCTTCACACCCCACATGCTACGTCAAACGGTGTGTGGTACCACCTCGTTTCTGTGCAGACAGTTGAATGCAGGGTTTTGCTGCAAGCCTGGTCGGAGAAATGCCGTCAATTACGTCTGAGCAGCAACCTCGAAAACCCACTCTGGCGGGTGGATGGAAGGTTCCGGAGCGAGATCGACGAGAGAGGTCCAGCAGACTGCAGAGAGGCTGAAGTCGCTGGATAGCCAGCATGTCTTATGTCCAGAACCTGCATTTCTGCGAAACCAGGGTAGACGTCATGCCGGATCTGCTACACCAAAAATACGCATCTCAGCACTGGGCCTGTGTGCAGCCATGGTCCCCCAACGCAGGGCGCCAATGACTTTGAGAGGACGTGAAGGGACAGCCATTTCTGTGCTCTTGTGCAGGCGCGCGATCTGCGGGTGGGCGACAATAGCAATACACACTGCAGGATGTCGAGCTGTCCAGCTTACATTGATGGACTTTTGCTGAAGCAAGAGACGTACGTCCGAACCGTTTGCTTCCAAGCCGTCTCGGTCTTCCAACGCGGATTGGCCGAATCCCGCGCTGAACGTGAATGCCAAAACGTGACAAGTACAGGCAGCTGTTGGTGCCGTCGATGCGTTCGTTCAGAACAGCAGGCCCGACGCGGCCCAGTTCGAGCCAACCTTGAGCCGCTTTGCGTCCTGGAAAGATCCTCCCTAAGAGACGGCAAAACACGTAAGTGGCAGCGTTCGAAGCCCCGTCGATTGAAGTTAGATTCGCATGTGTCAGGGTAATGGCATTTTGGAGAGGGGGGTTTTGCAGGACCATGCCTCTTAGTGAGGCAGACGGCGCGTTGCGGGACGTGGGAAATTTTTTTTTTTTTTTTTGGATTTTCTTGGATCCCAGTTTCGAGGTCCAATGATGCAGACGCTGTCAATCTGGTTAGCTTCACGGGCCAGAAACAATGCGGAAATGTGTGCTTCGTCCCGTTCGTCCAGACGGTCGTCCACGGGTGGTTGTTGCAACGCGGGTCGACGCTGTGATTGGAGACATTGCGACCCGTCGGCGCAAGCGCCACCTACGCTGCTCTGCATGACGCTAGACGCTGTCAAAACCCCCTCTCGTTCAGAGCGTCGATTCGCACTCCAAACCTCGATCGATTCCAACCTTTGGAGCTGGCCCACTCCAAAGCTGGAGTAAACCCCGAACCAGTTTTTCTGCACTTTGCACTAGACGTCTCTCGGCCGTTGGACGAGGAGATTTGGGGATGTGGGCAATGTGACAATGTCGACGTTTGCCACCCCTGGGCCCGAGGCATGCGATTGTGTCCGATCGTGGTCGGAAATGTCACACGTGTGGAGAAGGGAAATTTGCCAGATTGCGATTCTCTTTGAAAGCGAGAAATGAAAAGCGAGAAAAAAAAAGGTTACTTGTGTGTGATCTTCGATTGCAGACAAACTATCGCATTTTCATCAACGGCGGGGTATCTCCTATGTATTCCGTCCTCCCAAAACGCTTGCTCGTAGAAATTCTCTCTTACAGCGTCAACTGTGTTATTTTACAAAAGCGCTCGCTCCCAATGTTTGTGCTGGCAATATGCAGTTGTCCGGCCCCGTCAAATTTGTGGGGGCTGTCTAGCGACCAAAGGAGAAACAAAAAAAAAGAGATAGAAGAACAAGCCCCCTAACGCCAACGCTGAAATTGCTGATGGAACAAATCATCTCGCTGTGTGTATTCGTGACAGATGCAGTCGTTAAGAATGGTGCAGTGCGTAAACAAGAGTCGTCATGTCGGCGTTCACGAGCCTTGAGAATGCGTTTGGAGCGAGGCAAGCGATGCGAACGCTCCGCTCATGGCCGAGTAGCTTGACGAGGTTGATGAAGTGGAGGAGGCGCTGCTCGATCGTCCGGCAGACAGGTTCAGTGTGATGCAGTCTGAGCAGCGGTCGTTTCGTGTGTTTGTTCGGCCTCTGCAGCCTCGCTCGTAATTGACGCAGGAGAACATTGTGACTGAGGGTGAGCTTTTCGAGCGGTGACGCTGGGCTGTGCGTGTGTGCTCGCTGTTCGGAGGAGGTGTCAATCGCTTGTTTGCGCTGTGAGACGTCGAGGTGGTTTTTGTGTGTCGATGTGTAGATGTGTTGGCGCAGGTGCTTTGTTGTGTGTGGGTAGCGAGCAGCAGGGCGCTGTTTCGCAGGCAACAACGGATATATACGCAGCCCGGGATCAGGCGGTCATGCTGGTGAGGTATGATGTATTCCTAGAGGAAAAACCAATACTTCCGGGCCTTGCAGGACGGCTTAGCAGCCAAATGGCCATGACGACGCGATTGCGCTTATGCAAATGCGGAAGACGACGTCGTTTCAGGGTTTCTGTGCACAGAACCAAGTTGCGGCAGCCCAGGATCAACCAAAGCGTCAGCCTGCAGCGAAGAGCCGACGTTAGTCTTGGGCTCTTAGTCTTTGCTGGAACAGGGCATTAGGAGCAAAAACGGACCGTATGATTGGACTCGAGACCGGGGTCGAAAGGAGTCTGACTGGACAGCAACGGCATTACGAGCCATGCAAGCCAAGTACCATCAGGGGCGCAACCCCGAAGTGAGACGTAACAGTGCTGGGCCGCGGGCGGCTTTTTTGATGGCTCAGATCTCCATGTGTGCTATCGAAGGCCGGGTCCAAGCCCGTCGAGCCCGTCGAGCCCGTCGAAGCCGTCGAGCACGATGACGGATGGTTTCTCTGCCCCGAGGCCCCTAAACCGCCTGGGCTGGACGCGTCAGCTGATTGTGCAGTATTACAGTGCAGCACCGTACAACGTTGGGAAGCATGGCGCTCCTATCTTGATCCGCCGCCTTGTCCACCTTAGATCCGAGATATGAAAGTCGGGCGTCCTGCTCCTTTGAACAGATCGAGCTTACACCATCCTGCCCTCCCCTTCGCAATCCCATCCGGACTTTCCCACACCGCCCAAGAGACCTCCACGGTGCTCCAGCTCGACGTGTCTGGCCGGTCCAGTCGCGCACCTGAGCATGCCAACCGTCGCCTTCCTTTTGGCCTATGCAGCCATTCTCGGACAGGTTCTGATCGGCACCCGTCTGCATAATCGTGTATCAGCAGCTGCTGGGCCCTGGACCTGGCGTCCTCACTCTTCGCACGGACCCCCCGACTTTTTGCGTATCAATTTACCGCAGCAACGTCTCTTCGCCTGAACCAAAAAAAGATTGCGCCAGCTGCGGTGTATTTCTGCTTTGCGGACGATCAATAATATTTGCTTTGTCATTTTTGCATCTCGGTTATCCATCGTCCTGCTCAATCTCTCTGGCGGCATCTCAAGCTCTCTCGGAACATGCCGGATCTGGATTTGCTCAAGCCAAACACAATCGTTTTGCTTCTCGAATTTTCTCCGCCGTAGATGGTCGCTCCTGAGTTGCAACCTTTTTAAGCGTCACTGCGTCTCAGATTTAGGATTTTATCCCATGCTCAGATGGCCTCAACCGTTGCCCAGCTGGTTTGGCTTTCCGGAGGCTGACATGGTCATCTCTGAGGCTGCATCATATAGCACTCAGGATCACGGACCTCTAACACTCGAAAAATATGAGTTCCACGAGCAAAGTCACGCGGATGTGTCCAGGTTCTGCTGCTTTGAGCTCAATGTCGCCATAGAGTTGGGGTCGTAATTTTCATGTTAATGTGTGCACGCGTCTTCTCATTACCGCTTGGTGTCTATGTTCCAACTACAAATACCCTCGCACAGTCCACCCCTTGGCAAATTGGGTTTAACCACTCTCAATTCAACGACAGTATCGGGTTAAGGGACCGCCACCATCGAACCCATCCTCTTGGCTCGATAAGGGGGTATCGTGACATTACTTCATGCAGGCGTGACAGCACCCTGACTACGCTGATAAAGAGGCCCATCCAAGAGACAGCAACATACATTCATGATCATGGCAGGTTGATCTTGGCCGGTAAGTGCCAGCAGTCATTCTATATTCCAACAAGTTCGTAAGTACGTAGTGCAGTCCCATTCTGTTGTATTGAAACCGTCCCCTCTTCCATGACAGAGGTGCCGCACACGAACCCAAAGTAGGAACTAAACTTCTCCGATCCGATTTAGAAACACAACGACTTCTCATGCTCCCTTCCACAGCTGGTTGTACGTTCCGGTACATAGCTTTTGCCCTGCACGATCGACGAAATCGCTAGTTCAGTAGTCATCGTGCCTGGCTCACCAGTCCCGCGAAATGTTCATCTCCAGGGCAGTTATTAAACGACAAAAATCCTAGCGAGTACGAATTTTGCAATTCTTTCAATCCCATCAGGTTCAAAAACTCGGTATCATCCATATCTACCTCGTCTAGCCAGGAAGATGGAAGATATGGTAGTCCCTTCGGCGAGTCGCGGCGAGGGCCGTTTTGTCGCGGTCTTTTGCTTGGACTGAAAGGCCCCGCGCCTTCCGGAAGTGCTCGCTTGCTTGTTCCATTCATATCCGATAGGCTGGGGTCAATCACATTGGTTTCTGCATGGTTGAACAAAGTGCCATTCTCTCTTGGACGATTAAAGTCTTTGATGAAAGCTTCGACAACAGAAGACATCAAAACAGCAGGCTGATACGATCTTGCCATCTCTGAGAGCGCAAGCTTTAAACATTCGAGGTTTGCGAGCAGATCTTTTCGCTCTATTGCGTTGGATTGGATCACAAGTTCAGCCATCAATGCGGTAGCTGCAGTCCCAGCGTGTTGAAGACCAGTGACGAAGCACTGTGCAAGATCGAAGCGCTGCCGGTACCGACTCATAATGGCTGCAACCTTTTTCGCATTATCTGCACATACTGTTCGTGAAAGGATTGTGAAGTGGTTCATGCGTTCTGGTTCAGAGTCGGCACCGTAAGGTCCATCTCCGTTGATGCGTTGACCATAGTTTACGAACGGCCGGTGCAGCAATATTAGAGCTGTGTGATATTGCGAGTGCAGCAGGTATAGAGGAGCCGGGCCGTTCTCTATGTTTTCCTCAGTCCACTTCAGCTCGTCAGGAAGCCCGGCTAACCAGCTTGTTAACTCTTTGTCGACCGCGGCGATCTTGAAATATGCGTCTGTAGTTTTCCAAGGTTGTTTTACTTCCAAATCACAAAGCGGACCTACAAGCTCCATCAATCGCAGAAGCGACTCGTAGACTTTGGTCTCCCATCGTTTTGCGCACGGGCGAGGTTGTCGACTCGCTATCAAGCGACTAAAGTCCTTGGACATACAAGACGGCGCGATATCCGATGTCTTGAAATAGCTTGGACGACCCATGTAGATGGAATAATAGGTATCGTTGATCAAACAAGCCCATAAGACCATGTGTCTGATCTCCAATTCACGTTCTGTAAGCTGAAGCTCCTCCGGATCAACGTGAAGGCCGACATCAAAAACGAGTCGGAAGGACATTCCGGCCAACATCCACCCCGTAGCATCATTCCCAATCATGCATTCCAAATCAGCCAGCAGAAACAGTGCTTGAATTGAAGGTATACCTCCTGGCTTTTCCAGCTCCAGGTGGATCATGCTTTTGGCTTTGGCATGCATCACCGAAATACAGCAAGGTGGTTTTCCGCTTGCGACGAGCCGCACAATATCTTCTCGACTCTTATCTGCATAACGGTGCCCGATGGCAAGCATGGCGAAATGCAACAAAATCGAATAAAACTGGGTGCCGCCGCTAGCAAGGTCCTCTTCAAATGCGTCTTTGTGCACAAGGTGAAAGTGCGAGTTGTGCATCCTCCAATACAAGTCCATGAGGTAGTCATGTGTTTCCAGCGACAAGTCACGAATCAGCAGTGCGATTGGCCAATGCGATTCACGCCTTTCTAACGACCTACTTAGATTCACGCCAGAGAGTAGATTCATGTTGGTTGTAGGTCCGAAGAAGCGCAGTCGGCCTGATGCAAGATCAAATCTCACCGGTGCCGGTACAAGTTTTCGAACCCAAGACTTGCCGTGAGAAGTGTCCGAGGGAGGCTCGCTATTGCTTGCCTGTTGAGAGAGCGCTGGAAGCTCCGCAGCGGGTGCAGGCTGCGTTTGGTACGGCGATGATTCCTCACCATCCGCAACCGATGAAGGCGGCCTGTATCGAGCGTTCGGCTCATCAGCCTCTCCGTTTTGGACCTGGGCTTCACCTAGTTTAGGATCCATGGGAAGAGCTCCTTGCTGCTTCAAGAGATTCTCAAGTTGTTCAATTCGCTGACACAGTCCGTCTGCGAAAGCTTTCGATGAGCCTCGACTGTATCATACGCTTAGACCATGTAAAACGCGGACTTGTTCACATCGCTAACCTCTTGCGACCGTCCTTATGGTCAAAATGGCATTCGTGATTATTAGCCTGTGGCAGATCAGTTGACTGAACAAAGAATCAACGCCTTGGTTCTGGCTTACCTTGCATTGCGTGCAAATCCTCTCTCCAGGCTCGAGGGAGCACTATGGTGCGTCAGGTCAGCACACCTCCGACGAAAGTTTGCAAAAAAGCGTGTCGACCCATACTCTTATTCTACTTCTCCTACATCGTGTGCACGCGGCACTAGCGCGATTGCGCTGTCGAGCGGAAGATTCATTCATCGCATCTTGAATTTCCACATCGTGACGGCAAACGGGGCTCAGGAAGACATATAAGCGAGGAAAGTCAGCACACCTGAGAAACGCGACAGGAAAATATGCACCGAGGGAAGAAATGGCCTAGGCGTTCTTTCTCCAGACCTGCTGGACAAGGCCGCACATCTGGGGCGCGGGGACGCTCCACTCTATCGGTTGCGCTAGCTTGGTGCGGCCCTCGTGATTTGCTTTTGGAAAAGACCGTGGGGCTGATCTAGGGAATATGATTCCCGAGACGAACACCACAGCTGATGATACTAGCAAGGGGTCGGAAATAATTTTCCTTAAGAACATCTTTTTTTTGGGGGGAAAAAGTGGCAAATACCGCCGAAGATTTGATTTCAGCTATGATTACATGCTTTTCAAATACGACCTCTGTGCAAGAATTTGTTAGGGATGTCCACCCATTTGCACCGCAGATACTCGCAGACGTTCTTCCCTAACGTGTCGTACGTAGATGTGCTGTTGAAACCTCGATCGAGATGGTCCCGAAGAAGGAAGTGGACTTAAAATAATGTGTTAGTTCATGACTCGACGAGCAGTGCAGTCCATTCTCTGGTAGCGAGGGGGAGCCGAAGAGGGAGGGGGGGGGGGGGGGGGGGAGGATAAGATGTCTCACCACTTCGAATTCCCGGTATCTCGAACCGTTCTATCACTCCTCCCTTGTACTCTTCGTCCAGCAGGTACTTTATTTTGTCAATGGTTAAAATGGAGCGCAGCCAATCCCATTCATCGTCGTGCCTCACCCAGAAGCCGACGTTCGCGTCAGAAGCCTTATCGCCACTACGTCCTCCAACGATCCAGCCCAGGGGGCCTCGCGTCGTCGGCCCGTATTGCTTCAAATCAACTGGATCTTTTGTCTCGTAACTTGGTTGATCACGTGGATATACTTTCATGTTTGTGGGCGGCAAAATGTCAATGGTCTTGTCATTCTCCCATGGAAGAATCACGCGGTGCTGGACCTCTTTCTGATCCAAAAGTGACACATAATACTCGTAATAGATCTTTCCTTCTGACTGGCGCTGGTCATTGCCTATATGCCGTTAGCATGTGGCATTGGACGACGGAAAAAAGAAAGTAGACGCTACGAACCAAGTGTCCATCCGGGGCAGCCTTGTAAGCCATTGTCCATGCACCAGCGATTGAAGCCGGGCACGTCTAAAGTGGCCTTGGAAACCAAGTTCTTGTTTTTCGTTTGAACAAACACGCGAAGGTCGACTGTGGCTACATCCTGGTTACGTGGATTGTCCGGGCAGTAGCCGTTAAGGCTGAACTTAAAACAGCTCAGTTCCTTGGCCGCCTCTCCGGCTGAATACCGAATCTGTCGCTCGATCCACTCCGCTTTGGCTTCCAAGTCAAGGCCGCAAATGTAAATGTGGAACTCCGCCTGGTAACCTCCTACAGCCGTCATGCCAACCTTTGTCGTTGTGGGTGGAGGGAGACCTTTGACTCCTTCGACTCGAACGCGATCTTTGCCTATCTCTAAATCGATTATCGGCATATGGATACCATTAAGACTTCAAACTTAGACATACCAGTCATCTTAATCCCCTCAAGGCAAGCGGTGACATCAGATCCATAGTACAGTGGCCCCTGAATCTCATAGAGCAACTGAGACGAAACTGTGCCTACGCTCACTTCGCCACCTGTGTTGGGCTCCTTCGTAATGACACATGTGCCATCATACTCCAACTCGGCGATCGGAAATCCCAGGTTCTCGCAGCCGTCCATCAATCTCTTGAAGCCGCTGAAGTAACCTCCGCAAACATACGCTGCGCACTCAATAAGATGACCGCAGATCAGCGAGCCAGCGATTTGGTCAAAGTCTGTTTGTCTATCCCAGCCGTGCCAGTACATTCCGACGCCGACCGCTGGTGCTGCGTCCGCAACACGTCCGCAAACGACAATATCGGCCCCCGCACGAAGAGCTTCGGCGATCCCGGCGCCACCGAGGTAACATTGTGCGTAAATGGGAGTGTATCCCCAGTCTTTGAGAGGCTTCCCGGTCATGAGACTGGTGAACTCTTCGCCCTGTTTAATCAGGCGGTTGACCACATCAGTCACCTCGTCACCCTCGACATAAGCCACCTTCAAATTCAGTCCTTGTCTGTTGACTTCATCCTGAACTCTGGAAGCTAGGAGCTGAGTGTCCGAAGCACCAGCATTCACGGCCACTTTGATGCCCTTCTTCGCGATGTCCGGAAGTGCAGGTCCAAGGTTGTCCATGAAGGTTGGGTCAAACAGTCCAACTGGCTCCTCCATGAGCTTGCCTTCGGCGCGCAGTCTTTCGTTGTCGACTTTCTGGGCACCATGCAGCGTCATTGTACATTCCGACAGCCAGTCGCCGACGATGAAGTCAATGTCCAGCTTGCACAACGAGCTGATCGCTCGCTGTCGGTCGCTAAAGCCCCCAGAAGCGCCGGCAATACGCACCGCTCGTTTGTGACTGCCGTTTACGCTCTCATTGGCATGTCCGTTGCTGAGCCCGTTGGTAGCCATGTTGTGCAGCAAGTAAGATGGCCGAATGCAGAAGACTGATGGTGCGGCTCTGAACGCGACAGATACAGAATCATCCTAAGCTTAAATACTACCTTAGACCTCCGTGAATCTTCACCATTGCCGCGGATGCGGAGCGCGTGTCACTGCAGAGATGCTCTCCGGAAATTCATTTTGCGGTCCATCCATTCTCTCTAGAGAGTTTTCACGTGTGCCTCGAATTCAGAACCCTGGGCCAGTGATGTTGCTTGAGATAGGCATGGCGCATATGGAGGTGGCGGGGTTGGCCTTTGCGAGCTGGGGAGCTCTTTTTCCGAGTCGGGTTGCTTCCGACCTTACGCGGGCGATGCTCTCTGCAACTCCGCTTTCTCCACAGTTTATGTCTTCGGGCCCACTATGTAGCCCTTGAACAAGGCTTCCATCAGAAATATCTAGCTACATGAAGTACGTCTCATTGGACATGTTATTACCACTAGGACCCGTTTCGGAACTCTTATTCGGCTGGACGGCCAGCGTGGTATCCGTCCAATTGTTCCTATGACCTCCGTAGTTGAGTATATGTATTTCGACAGAGGACTATGTGCAGTTTTGTCGTTGAAACAGCGATATTTAACTCGTTACACACGCCTTACTTGTTCAGTTCCATTGTTTGCGGTAACAATACTTCGCACTTTTGCATCTTTTCCAGCATGTCCGGTCTCAAGGGGAAAGTAGTAGTCCTTACCGGTGCAGCAAGCGGCATGGGTCTCGAAACCGCGAAGCTTTTGGCATCGAAGGGCGTGAAGCTGTCAATGGCAGATGTACAAGAGGGCCCGCTGAAGGAGCTCCAAGCCGAACTTGAGAAATCCGGTGCCGAAGTGATGGCCACTGTCGTCAACGTCACAGATCGCAAATCGGTGGAGGAGTGGATCAAAGCAACGGTTGACAAGTTTGGAAAACTAGATGGTGCAGCCAACCTTGCTGGTGTCATTGGCAAGCAAAACAACGTAGCAGCATTGCAAGATATCGATGATGACGACTGGGATTTCGTGCTTGGAGTGAACACGAAAGGACTCCTGAATTGCTTGCGAGCCCAGATTCCATACTTCAACGACGGTGGCTCCATCGTGAATGCTGCAAGTGTAGCTGGCTTAATCGGCTTTAAGAATAATGGATCCTACGTCGCGTCAAAGCATGCCGTCGTTGGTCTGACAAGGACGGCTGCGAAAGAGCTAGGGGACAGACAAATCAGGTGTAACTGCTTCTGTCCGTAAGTCATAAGTAGATTCCGGTCGCCTTGACAACGAAGACTAAAGCTGAACAGAGGTCCGATCGATACGCCCATGTTCCGTCAGTCTGCTGCAATCAGGGGCAGTAAACTGAATCTGGATCACATTGCTCTCAAGCGGGCAGCACACCCGTCGGAAGCTGCAAATTTGGTGGAGTGGTTGCTGTCGCCAGGCTCGTCGTTCATCACGGGAACAGCCCAGACCATTGGTTAGTTGAACGTCGTGAATATACGGTATGATGCTGACGGATTCCAGATGGAGGATGGTTGTGTTGATTGGGCTCACACTTGGTGTTGAGATCGCGAAGGTTACATGTTCTCCAATGAATGAACGACTGCCGACTGACAGATGCCCGAATCTCCGTTTCGCCACACGTGATCTGTAGAAAACAAGTTAAGGTACAGACTTCGGATAGTGGCGATATCATGCACGAAAAGTGCTTTGAGCGCCAAGTTAGTAAGGCCTATAGCGGCTCTTTCCATCAGCACTGATTTCTCAAAATAAAAATTCTTGACAACTTTTCACGCTTGCGTCAGGACACTTGAAACCAGCGATGAAAACGCTGTGAGTCGACTAGGCGCCGTAGATACAACTCTCGTACACTTTTCTATGTCTATGAGCGCAGGAGTGCCGACTTTGCAAGCGCGAGAGTTTTATGCACCTGGCCGTTCGTTGGCATTCTATGCCGTAAGACGTTGCACATTGAGCAATCACAGAGGGAACTTCGACAAAGGTTGCAAGTCCGCGCTTCTTCCACTATTCGAATGACCATAGATCACTCTAGCATCCGAAAATCCTCTGCGTGGTAAACTTGTAGAAAAAGGGTGCTAGATGTCGGGGCCTTGCTTGAGCTGGTCAACGTGTGCAAGCGAGCTGCATGTCACCTGTCACAAGTCACAGTGATATTGATGTGGCTTCTCCTCGACACCAGCAACGGTGTGGATAATCACAACGCAAATTGCAGCTATAGCGTTTACTGCTAGACCGCAAAAGGAGGCAAAGAGGGACCAGATCAGACGCTCGAGGCCCGATCTGGATCATTGTTTCTCGAGCTGGATTTGAACACTCACGTAGTGACTCCTCGCAAGACCGCCGTCCACGGCATGACAAGCAAAGCCGTCATTCGCGCCGAGGGCCAATCGAAAGACCACCCCAGTAGCGTCAGGAACCAACTCGGCGGGAACGGGCTGAAGACGTCTGGCCGGAAACGTGGCGGTGGCATGACGATCACACAACCCACCACCCGTTCGGCGGCTCAACAAGGACCGGAGAACGCAACGAGCGTGTTTGCGTATGTCTCTGCTACAATTCCATTATATGCGCTGCGATGCGCCGGCAACGGGCGCATACATTGGGCTGCGTCGAGATGGACGGGGTGCTCAGGAGGAAGCGCCGGGAGGGTCCTGCGAGCGGGCGCTTACAGCAATGCACCTAAATCTTAGCCTCACAGCGCGGGCGAGCGAATCAGCAACCTGCTACACCAAACCACCGCATGGAATCCTGGCCTGGATCGTCTTCGAGCATGTCTTAGCAGACTCTGCTTTCTCCCGCTGTGACCAAAGGTGATTGGCTTGTTAGTGCGTGAGTAACGGTCCACTGCTCACCATCCACCAGGGTGAAGGACGGGGATGCATAACGATGTGGCGTCCACTGCGATGCGCGAATCTCGAATGCTCGCCCAGCGCCTCGTCGCAGGCTGGGATTGGATCTTGTGCCTCTTGTGCTTACGCCCAGCACACTGACTTTCTGTCCTGCTCTCCTCCTCGAACCACTATTATCTCTTGGCTTCAACCTTCTTCATAGTCTGCAACAGGAACTCTTATCTGACCTTCCAGATCCAACCACCGCAACACTCGGCCGCTCAGAAGCCGGCCAACTGCGAGAACATCGGGATCTGCTTTTGACTTCGCGGGCGAGGGCGACACTCTATACAACCCCACTCGTACAACGAGCGTGTACGCATACCATCGTCAGAATGTTCTCCTGCGCGTCGTTACTGTTGGCTCTGTCCATGTGCTGGAGCTACGTCGCCGCACACACCGTCATCACGTACCCAGGATGGAGGGGAGACAACCTGAATACGAACGGCACAAACCCTGACGGAAGCGTTCCAACAGGTTCGCTGGGCATGAATTGGAATCCGCAAACGGGAGGCTACGACTTCCCTTACGGCATGCAATGGATGTATCCGTGTATGTCCTGTATCTCATGATCCTCTGGCTTAACATGAAGCTAACTAGAACGAAGGCGGTGGCCTGCCAATGTCTACGAATCGCACAAAGTGGCCTGTAACAGGCGGCGCACTTGCCTTCCAGCCGGGTTGGTTCAATGGACACAAGACAGCATTTATCTACATCAACATCGGCCTTGGCACAGAGCCATTGAACTATTCGCACCCGATGGTTCCTGTGTTCCAAATAGTCGGTCCGACCAACTTAATGTATCCGGGTACATTCTGCTTGCCTCAGATCCCTCTACCGGCCAACATCACCTACAACATCGGAGACAATGCGACAATACAACTGGTTGAGGCTGCTGTGCACGGAGCCGCACTGTATTCGGTATGTTTTGCGCTGCACAGGGTAACCGGCATATGGAAATAGCCGCTAACATTTTCGAATAGTGTGTCGATATCACGTTTGCGGACCCAGCAGACGTAGCGCCAGTCAACTCTTCGAATTGCTTCAACTCGACGGGTGGCTCGGAAGGCGGACCGATGGGTATGAACTACGTCTTCACAGCCAGAGGTCTGACATCTAGTGCATCGCCGCTAATGTTCAGCTGGGCGGTGATTGCAACATTCGCAGCTATGGCTATCTTCGCCAGCATTTAGCTTCGACTCCAGATTCGAGCTTTTTTTTTTCTTTTTTTTTTTTTTCAAACCGGTTGCTCTTTACGTCGCGAAAACATTTGCTACGGGGTTGGAGTTGATTGAGAGTTTTTTCCACAGCTGTCTAGTTGCTGTTTTATCTGGCTGATAAATGCGGCCTAATGGCTTCCGAAGTCTTGCTTTATTCCAGGCCTAGGGCTAAAAAGGCCTACTGTACATATCATCTCTTACGCAGCATGCCCCTCTGACCTATATGGCCGGTCAGTGCAAGGCTGGTCAGGCAGCTACTCGTCTACATTAGAGTAAATAGACGACGGCACGCCACAAAAATTCGAAACATAGCACGAGGATGAACCGTAAATGTGACTTGTCAAACTCGCCGTTCCTGCAAAAACACTACACTGGCAGGCTGGTTAACTGAGATTGCTGGAAACTGTGTTTGTTTTGCCTTATCTACTGCGAGCATTTCAGTTATAAAACTCCTCCTTAATGTGATAAGAATCTAGAGATCATATGCACGTCATTTCTAGCTCGTTAGAAAGCTCATGTTTAAGCACGTGTTACTGGGTTGCCTTACTGCATAGCGCATAATCCTTTCCGTAATATCTATGTATAGCGAGGTGGCTACACCATCTACGGTGTGGGCGCAGCCTAGGCTGCAAGGCCGCAACTAGGAACCCCTACAGTTTGTGTAGCTGGGACAGTTTGAGGCTCTTTACTCTCAGCTTTCGCAATCACTGCAAGTTCACGATGCCGCCATTTCGCACAGGCACAATAGAACGGCTAGATAAGCCGTCATCCTACACAGCTAGCAAGGTACGTTGCATCTGCAGGTCATGCAATTGTTGCGCGGCAATGGCTTCTGTAAACGGCGCATGTGGCTAAGAACGAGACCTACGCAGAACCGCAAAAGAAAGCGCAACCAGGAACGTGAGCGGAGACGCGAGTCTGGCGCGAACGGTACGGGTGACGATGCGGAGCGCGACGAGGCGAACAGGGCGAATAGAAGTCCAAGTCCTGAGGACAAGCTGAAGGACGCGACGACGCTCTATGTTGGTAATCTGAGCTTTTACACCACGGAGGAGCAGATTCATGAACTCTTTTCCAAGTACGCATCCATCGGGATGATGCTCAAATGTACTATGCTGACGTGCGCCTACCGGACAGATGCGGAGAGATCAAGCGTTTGGTAATGGGCTTGGACCGCTTCCAGAAGACTCCGTGCGGCTTTTGTTTCGTCGAATACTATACTCACCAGGATGCGTTGGACTGCATGAAGTACATTGGCGGTACGAAACTCGACGAACGCATCATCAGAACCGACCTTGACGAGGGTTTCGTGGAAGGACGTCAATACGGTCGTGGCAAGAGTGGTGGCCAGGTAAGAGACGAGTATAGAGAAGAGTTCGATCCGGGCCGAGGTGGCTATGGACGAGCATTCGGACGTGATAATGAAATTTAGGGCCTTAAGTTTAAAAGGCAAATGGGATAATTTGAAACAAGGCCGATGACAGCATGCATGAAATGGTGTCTTGGGCGCAGAACTTGGGCGAGCGATGACATTCCACCTGTTCCTTGTACTTGACTGGAGCATAATCAGGAGCCCGTCCGCCGATGTACGTAAAAGCGATCGATACCCTCAAAAATATAACAAATTCTAGGTTCAAAATGCACTGTCTAAACGCGCATGTCTCGATGATGCACAGTGCGGACTCATCCGACCGTTCTATACCCTCCTCATCTCTATGCTTTTCAAGACCTCACCAAGCCACCACACATGTATCCTCTTATCATCAGCTAGCTCTGGGTGGAAGCTTGTGCCGAAGCAATTGCCCTGACGCACTGCAACAATATCTCCGTCGTCTCCAACCTCCTCTGCTAAAACGCCTTTCTCGTTCAGTGTTCTTGCCCTTCCGGGCAAGCGACACATAACCTCCACTTCAGCGCTCATCCTCTTTTCGGCCGCCTCATTCTGTGGCGTCTTGCTCGGTGCTACGACCGTCTTCTCTCTCGCTGCTTCGCCACTCTGTATACCGGTGACATGTGGCAGAATTTTCTCCACGACGGGTGCGCGTATGAACACGCTTCTGAAGGGCTTTCTTGGTTCGCTGAGGAAAGGCATGACAAGGTCGGCCTCGAAGCTCTCGACTTGGCGCCCGAAGTGATTCCTGTTTATACGGACGTCCAAGCCGCCGATGAGCTCTTGCCCTCCCTTTTTGGTCCTGTTTGCGCTCTCGCTAAGAAGAATCAAACCCGCGCATGTCCCCCACACGGGCTTGCGGAGCACTTTGACAAAGGTGCGTAGAGGCTCCAGCATCGAACTGCGCTCGGCGACGAGGGAGATGGCCGTGCTCTCGCCTCCGGGTATGATCAGAGCATCGCACTGGTCCAGTTCGCTCGGCGTGCGGACTTCAATGATTTTCCAACGTACGTACGTGAAAGATGCGGCGGCGGCGCGGAGGAGCTGAACGTGCTCGCTAAAAGCGCCTTGAAGGGCGAGCACGCCGACTGTGACCGACAGGACTGGTTGTGACAGTGTCATTGCATAGCGAGAGGATTTGGGATCACAAAGCGCAGTCTTTCTTAAAGGACCAAGATTCGAGTCACGGCTGGACATGGATATACGCGGAAGAGACACTGACTTATCTTTTTGATCGCCCGATTACGGAGACTTGAGTCGACGGCGATTACCGCACGGTTCAGGAACGTCCTGAATTGGATCACGTAACAAGAGCGACGGTCGAGCCACAATTAGCTTGTATACTTACTTCAATGCGCTTTTTATTTTTCTTTTCTGAGAAAGGCCGAATGCGTTTTGACTTTGCACGAGAAGAACTTGCTGAAGAAGCGGTGTTTCGGCCCCAATCTGGAACGTGGGAACAGCAGACGTAAAAGTCTCAAAAGTTCCAATCAAGACAGCAATACCACTCGTCCCCAGCGGATTTACATGCCGTCTTAATGTAGAGTAATGCACTAAGTCAACTTTCCGTGGACTTCAGTGTGCTAGCAACATCATGGAAACCACGTCGAAACGCAGCCTAGAAGAAGTTATCTTGGCGTCTCAGGACATGAACATGTTGGAAGATGAATGTGAGTCGTGATCGATAGTCGTAATGAATATTTGAGAGCAAAGCAAAATTGTGGTCCTTGGCGAGCCCTCAGAGTGGTTAAACGTCTCGAAAATGCGTGGTAGGCGTCGATAGTTTCGACCTGTTTTGCTGCTGGGCAGCAAAACGTGACGAGCCCAGAAAGTTTTGCAGCACTCTCAAAGCCGGGCTAGCCAGGTGTCTAGGGGAAGAGTACTGATGCAAGAACCAAGGAATGCTATTTCTCTGCAGGTAGCCGAGCCTGTGCTCGTAGCAATGATGTTCAAGGACAAAGACAAGACACAATATTCCTAGTTTTCAGAAGGTTCATTTGAGCTTGAAAAGTTTTCGAATCCCAAGGAATTTACGGGGCATTTGCACGCTTTGCAAACGAAACCTGATCTGCTCCAGAATGATCATCATCTATTAACCTGCGAGCCACAAATCGTGGACTCGCTGCTTCTTGTCAACCAGAAGACTCTTGACCAAATCGCCGATTGTTTCTGGCGATATACACTGAGCGGTACCAAACCTGCACTCCAAGTCAGCACGATGTCTCGTGCATTGAAAACCCTCATACCAAAGATGAATACGTCAGGAGTCCAGCCAAGCAAACCATCCGCATCCAGGAATAAAATCAGACGAAACAGCGACATGTTCTGGCTCTTGTATACGATGCGAGGTGTCGTCCCGGATGTCCGGAATGCGATGAAGTCGCTGAAAGACTCCTTGATTTTCACGTGGATTTGAGGAGACAATCCGTGTGAACAGCCCAAAGAAGCTCTTTGATTGCTCTTGATGGGATCCTCTCACATGTTCTATGTTCTTCTCATGGCTATGACTTCACGGGCGCTCTTCCGCATCTGAATTCTTGGAATAGCATATGTATAATCATGGGTTTCTGGCGATTGTGAGTTGAACACCGTGATAATAAGAACGTATTGACAATTACCGCATATTTCATACTTGGCATGGACATATACTTCTACATTTGCTTGGCGCAATTCCATGCCTCTTGGACCACATCCGATCGTAGCGGACAATCACCGAGCGGCTCGATTCTGAAATGCGCGTTGCCAATTGCGTCTGGCTTTTTTTGCCCACTTTCTGATGTGCTATCCATCAGGCTTCGAAAACAAAGCAGGGTTGTCAAGAACTCTTACAGAGGTATCTCACAAAGTCGCTCCATACTATGGCGATGTTTCAAGATTTTGGACATCGCTAGGCTCTCAGAACTTTTGCCTATCGATATGCTTCTCTACGCGACTGAAGCCGATCCTGTTCACCCGAGTGTTTGCTATCCCAGCAACGTCAGTTTCTCCATGTACTTGCTTCACGGACTCTCGATGCGAAGCTTGATGGTAACTCTCGTCTTTGAGCCTGCCGCGTTCTGAGCAGGAATGCTCAAAGGACCAGATGGCTTTTCTCTGCTATCCCATTTCAGATCGATGGACTCTGCTCTTCACACTATCTCTTTTCTTCGTTATCCTGATCGCATGTGCGCACACAAGGGTAACGAGAGTTAACCTCTCTTTACGAAAGCAACGAAATCACTTGAGCAGTTTGACATGGGAAGTTGTGGAAGATACAAGCTCCTAGTTCGCTGCAATCGGCGATCAACGGCAAGCAGAGCATATCATAACACCGCATAGCAAATTCAAAACATGACCACGAAGTGATCCTTGGTGGAACTTGTTCCATTAATTCAACTATAGACTACTAACCTGCTCCACAGACATCTTTCCCTCCTTAAAGGAGCCATCCCAGCCATTGATAGTGAATTCTGACATATTGTTAGCAATCACTTTCACATAGCGTTGACGTAGAAATACGTACGGTTAACGGTCGTCGTTTTGAACTTTCGAGCTGACACACCATGCTCAAAGAGAAGATCGATTTCACCAAACGTTCTATCTTTGGTCTCTGGCAAGCGGAACCAGCACCATATGTTGCAGAGCAGATTCGTGCCAGCGTAAAATAGAGCGGCTTTTGCACCCCAGTTCCAGCCTGGGATCTGGTCAGATAATTCGGTAGAAATGTGCGGCAAGGACTTACTCAGTGGCGACACCATCCTGGGAGTCACAGAATTCGAGAAAATGCCTGTCAAATTATAGACAAATCGACCGATGGTGATCGTCTTATATCTCAGCTGTCCACTGGGGGTCTCGGCCACGATTGGATAACATGCAGGTCCCACCGTGATCATGTTACACAGCGTGCTTATCACGAACAACACTGCGACACCAATCTTTGCATCGTGAGAAGAACTGAATCCCAGGCCACCGATGGCGATGAGGCAGCAGAACATGAATGTCAAACCACCCATGTAGATGGTAGCGCGTCCTACACGTGGCATCAGGAACCAGCAGATAATGCCGCCCACAATGTAGCAAGCAGAGAGAGCAATGTTGACGTCGAAGGCTTGGTCGGCAGTGAAGCCTGCGGATTCTAAGAATACAACAGAAAAGCCGAGAATAGCATTGCCGCAAAGAATCTGAGCGGCCCAAACGACACAATTCTGTTTCAACGGGTCAGACTGGCATAGGTAGGATGATAGCGGTAGCTAAACTCACAATTTCGGTTCGTCGCAAATTCACACCTTTGAAGCAGTCGGCAAAGCTTGTAGCCGCGCCTTCTGCCTTCTCAAGCTTGGTAACGTAGTTGATATATGCCAAGGTAGTTTTAATACGTTCCTGCTTGTTCTCTTGGTGTGGTAGAAGGCGATTCAAGCTCTTCTCCGCCTGTTCAAATTTGCCTCGTCGAACGGCATTCCACGGCGACTCGGGAGCAAAGTATGCAGCGAAGAACAAAGGTACCGGCCATACCCATTGAAGTGCAAAAGGCAGGCGCCATGCAATGTCCCCACTCAGAGTCGATACACCTCTGATGACGCCGGAGGACAGAAGGATCCCTGCGCCCCAGCACATGCAAACGTAAGCAGTTACATAGGGTCGGAGGACAGTAGGCACAATCTCGCAGGCATAGGTGGTAGACAGAGTCTGTGGTCATCAGCCATCAAGCATATAGTCCATCATTCGACGCTGTGCTAACCTGAAAAACACCCCACGGGATGCCACACATTGCTTCACCGAATGCTAGTACAGACAATGAAGGCGCGAAAAAAGGGATGAAGATTGTGATGGCCATCCAGAACATAAAGAACATCATCGTCGGTCTGCAACCAAATCGATCTTGCGCGTACATGTTGATGGCTAGACCTGCGAGCTGACCCACGACAGCAGAATTCGACAGTCCAGATTGCCAGGATGGAGGTATAGCTTTGGTACCGGGCTTGTTTGGTACATTGACACCAAATTTTTGTTGGAACTGTTCCTGTCCGTAAAAGGAGTTGATCTTTGCCAGCGTTAGTGCTCTTGTCCCTATTAAGTCTTGGAAGCTCCCTACCGTGACTAGATCAAAGCCTTCCATGACAAGGCTGGTGGAGAGGATCATGGCCCAGAAGGTGGCGGTCTTGTACTGCTTCAGTGCTTGTCGGATAGTCAGGCTTCGATCCGCGGCATCAGCCTGTTCAGCCTGGCGAACTAGTTCTCGCAATTCATTCTCATCGAGGGCGAGCCCCTTAATCTCGCGCTCGTTTGGTTCCACGTAGTTAGCCATAGCTTCAGTATTGGACTGCAGTAACTGATGACGGGAATAAAATCACCGGGCGGTCTGAGCAATCATCCGATGCACATCTTCAGATTCTTATACCCCAGAACACGGTGAGTGGGGTAGGATCGTCCACGCCATGTGCGAGTGTGGAGGAGTCTGGGGAAAGCAGTTCTTGACCAATTTTGGCCAAATTGAGTCCGATGGCCTGTCTGCCGAAATTGCTGTCCGACGGAGTGAGGGGATGCAGTCCGAGTTCATTTTGAAGGCCGTCAAGTCATGACGGACGATGGGGCTGGGTTTTGGAGCCATCATCACGGAAGAGGAACAGTGTGGTCGAGGAATGGCACACGCCCATCGGACTGAACACCCTGTCTCCCACCGGAATGCCCAGCGGAATAGAGATGAGTTCGTCCACTGACGACAGCACTAACGTTCCAACTCATCCGATCGGCGCTTGCTATCCCGAAGTTTATATAGTGACGTGTAAAAGTTTGTGCTAGTCCATCGTAGAAGCCATTCTATGTAGATGTTTTCATGACAGCCATTCTTTCTCATGTGGGATTTCACATACTCAAGATCAAAGTGCGTGTAGCTCATTCTTCCAAGTTTATATGAACTACAACCGCCATGACATACCCACAAACCTCGTTCGTACATACAAAACTGTCCGATGGTTCGCTTCTTGGCCGAACGCGACGTGTTGCATGGCATAATACCCTGCCTCTTCAGCTCAACATTCTCAAGACCACAGGCCGCTATGATGCCTTCAAGCTCGAGTACAAGGCGTGCTATAATGATGAACCTGATCATTGGCCCATTCCGAACCACCTATTCTGGGACAGTGATGTGGCAAAATGGATTGAAGGCGCATGTTACTTCTTGCACGATCACAAAGACGAAAAGGTTGAAGCTGCTGTTCACGAGCTTGTGGACATGATCAGAGATGCGCAACAGGATGACGGATACATAAACATTCACTTCACAGTGGTGGCTCCAGAGCAGCGATACTCGAACCTCCGCGACATGCACGAGCTGTACAATGCGGGCCATCTGATCGAAGCAGCCCTCGCGCACGAAAACCTGTTTCGCAACCAGCGGCTTCTGCAGCCCATACTCAGATACGTCGATCTTATGTGCACCACGTTCGGGCCTGAACAGAACCAGATCCATGGCTATCCAGGTCACCCTGAGATAGAACTCGCGCTCCTTCGACTCTACGCCCATTCGAAGGATTCGCGGCATCTTGCGCTGGCAAGATACTTCATCGAAGAGCGCGGGAATCCAACAGGCTGCAACGGACGACATTTTTACGACGTGGAAGCAGAGAAGCGTGATGAGCGGCCTTTTGAACGGCCGAACCACTACCCACAACGACGCTCGTACTGGTACCAACAGGCACACAAGCCTCTTCGCGAACAGCGGGAGATTGTTGGACACTCAGTACGAGCCATGTATCTCCTGACAGCCGCTGCGGATCTCATGCGATTTCCTGACAGAGATAGTGTGGACTACAGGGAGACGTTAGCCACGCTGTGGAATAACATGGTTCAACGAAAGATGTCGGTGACTGGAGGCATAGGGGCGATGAAGCAGTGGGAAGGTTTCGGAGACGAGTATTTCCTGCCCCAAAGCACAGACGAGGGGGGGTGCTACAACGAAACTTGTGCGTCTATTGGTGTCATGCTACTCGCTAACCGCTTGTTGCACTTGGACCTTGACCACCGGTATGCTGATGTTCTTGAGCTTGAGTTATACAACGCAGTGATGACCGGTATGAGTTGTGATGGTAGCAAGTTTACGTATGTCAATCAGCTTGGTAGTAGCGACAGAGACCTATCCAAGCGCGAGGTGTGGTTCACGTGCGCTTGTTGTCCACCGAATATATTGAGACTCCTTGGCTCACTAGGCGGCTACGTCTGGGATGCCAAGGTCAATGATAAGCCGGAAAGCGTTCACGTAGATATCGATGTCCACCTTTTCACCTCAGCAACACTGCTTGTGTCGACCAGTCGAGGTGATGTCAAACTCTCTCAGCAAACGGATTATCCATCGACAGGGAACATCCAGTTCGACCTCGACGTTGCCGGAGATGTCCAAGTCGCAATACGCATTAGAGTTCCTGGCTGGGCAAAAGGCTACGAGGTAAGATCTGGTGTGTGTTCTAGCGAATTCATCGCTAACTGCTTGCAAGATTTTTCCGCAAGCAGATCTTCAGTCTGAGAAAGGCTATATCGAGATCCCATCGGCCTATCTGAAGACGCACAGGGCCTTCAAGCTCTCCATACCGCTCGAAATCCGCGTCATCTCACAACCGGAAGCAAATGCCAACACAGTTGCGTTAGCTCGAGGTCCCCTAATATTCTGTGTCGAGGACATCGACAACCCATGGGTCAAAGACCACTTCAAGTCAACTCACCTCGACCTCAAGAATACAGAGTTGACTGTAGACATACAAAAAGACGATCATATAGGAGGCGAATTTCCGAGAATTAAGGCCAAGGGCGGGATTTATGTTCGACAAATTCATGCGGCATCTTTGCCGGGCTCTGAGCAGGTCGTCTACCAGCCACTTAGCGCAGCTGATGAGAAAATTGGCACCAACGAGCTGCATTTCATTCCATATTTTTTGCGAGCGAACAGAGGCGGGAGAGGGCAGATGCGGGTTGGTTTAAAGAAGCTGGTGTAAGTAATGATAGAAATTAAGAACTTTTGCTCAAGCATAATTATTATGGCGCCAGGATAATCTGAATTTCAATCTGAAAACACTAAACTGCCATCAGAGCTGCGTAGTCGACTTGTGACAATCTAGAGAGAAAGTCTGTCGCTTCCGCGGCGATGCCCCAGTTGTCAAAAGTTCTCAGGATATCCATGGCTTGTTCGAGGATACGTAGAGGACCCAGTGGAGAGCATATATCTCCTACACCTCCGATCATTGCTGGTATCCGTGTTCCTTCTTGAATGAAGGCCTGAACCAGCTCATCGTCGCATGGACGATCTAGATTGATTGAAGCCGGAAGAGGATTTTTGGAGCTTGTTGTCGTCGTGCAGGGGGTGCTTGGGCTGTGAGTTTGCAGAGGCTGACGCTCGGTAAATATGGCGAATGCCCACAAAACCAAAGCTGCCAGCACCACGGCATGAGCTTCGTAAAAGGCGCCAACGCTGAAGCGTCTCAGATGCCAGAAGGTGACTCCAGCATGGATGATGGCAAGTCGAGCTTTCGCGCAATCTTGTTGAGCCCAGGTACGCACAATCGTCGTCAATTCCAGCCGTCTTTGGCATATCTCATTGTTTTGCGACATGAGCGACGTTGCAAAGTCTTGTATTTCGCCATATGGGGTGAGAAGAACAATGCGCGCAAGATGCAAATGGGCGACGGTCGGATGTTCAAGCCCAGACGCAGCACCAACGACGCTGTTCGCTCTCCAGTGCAAAGTGTCTAAGCAATCGCATGAGGCTTCACGCCATTTGTGATACGATGAGAGTGTTGGAGGCCAGGTCCACCATGGCATTCCAGCGCTGACATCGTGATCAATGCCGACAGTAGACCATTCCAGATCGCTTTCCAGGACCCCCTTAATGTGCCGCATGTGATGGTACAATCCGTGTATCAACAAGATACGACTGAATTCCCCAAGTGTGGATCGCACCTCTCGGCGGACGAAGATGTCTTTAACAGAGTTTTTGAGGGATGATGTTGCTGGAACTGTGAGTTATCCTAGAAAGACCATCAGGAGGGCAAAGTCGACATACTGCCTGCTATCACGGCGATTTCTCGCCATTGCTTTGCAGAAGGCGCATCCCAGAGTATTTCTGCGCACGGCAGAGGGATTGTTGGAAGCATTGAGGGCAGAAAGGCGTCCTCCTTCAGAAGATAAGACCACATCGAATCAATCATCTGCTACTTTGTCAGAGGCGATGTTGTTACCATGCTGTATTCTTACCCAAATGGAATACGCCAGCCGACAGTAGCGCTCGACGGTGATCCACTCGAGCCAGCTACTGACCGTTAGGATATCCTCGTCATTAGTTGCAATTAAGCTGCCATGACGGCAAGCAGCGCTGCATAGCATCTTGTACGCTGTGACTAGATCTGCACGCCAACTTCTAGCCTTCTGCAAGCAATTTCTGTCACCAGAAAACATCATGCCGATGCTATGCAAGAGCTTGGCAGTAACATGACCTGTGTCAATTGGTTCGTTCTCGTGCTCAGCCTGCAAGAGAATCAGCATGGAAATCGCGCACCAGGTGATTTAGCGCTACACTTGCCGCAAACACCAAAGCCCTTTGGAGAAACTCGTGCATGGTGTCCACATATCTGAATTTTGAATCCCCTTGAAGGAAATGACTGCCGATTGTTGCAATGCCTAGCGCCAAGAGCCATGATGAACGGTCCAGCGTCAATGTCGACAGATGAAGTAAAGGGAGTATTTGGTGAAAATTGTCGAAGTATCCTAATATCATGACTTCAAAGTCGTGCTGGTTTGGAAAGTGACTGGACGAGAAAGATGGGAAAACAGCTGATGGTGTCAGACAGTAGCTCTCGAAACGATCCCTCATCTCTTCCCAGGCATCCTGCCGCAAGAAAGAACGAAAACGCAAGGACTCATCCTCAAGTTCTGGTGTCAGTGGCCTTGAGATAGGGAAGCAGAATGGGTTATTGCTTTTTGCTTGTGTCCGAAGTGGTGGCCTTCCAGCTCGGGTTGCGTGCGGTCTTTTGATTCTCGGGAGTCTTGCACCGTCACTGTCTACATACAATTCGCTGCTCCGCATGACGCGCTCCACTCCAGACTCATTGGCGCTGACGGCTAAGTGCGGCACGTCGCTGCTGGCGATAGAGGACGGTCCCAGCGGATCATTGGGCGTGCTCAGTGAGGCCATGCTCGCAGAACCAGCAACATTACCCTGCATGGAGACATCTTCAGTCTGCTGCACGCTCTCTAGCATAACATCAAAGGTTGAGAGCACTGAAGTAATTTGGCTTTGCTGACATGGAGTAGATTGCGAGGTTGGCACCGTGCTAGTCGAAGGTGGCGTGCAGTAGTCGACGGAAACTGGACTGTCGTTGCCACTGGGCAGAAGCGGTGCAGAACTTCGTCGAGCCGCTGCATCTTCCTCATCTACTGGTCTTGAATGCCCTCTTGGGGTTGTCTGCGGCTGACAATCTATCATCTTGTCGATGCATCGCGAGCATGGCAGTGTCGAAGAACATCGCGACTTGGCCACGACACAAGCTTTGCATGAGCGCATTCCTTTCTGCTTGCGTCCACTTGAGGTTACAAAGTGCGTTGCTTCGTGACGCGTCAGGACATCGCTTCTTGTAAAGCGCTTGAGACATTTATGGCAGATGAACGCAGCTGTTGCAACATGGATCGCGGAGTGCCGTCGCAAGTGCTCGCGGCGAATGAAGCTACGTTCGCATTGCGGGCATTGATATCGTGTCGGTCTGGTTGCTGGTGAAACGGCGACATCGTCCGCCATAGAGATTACCCACAGTTAATCGATGGACTTCAATCACGATGGGGCATGTTCAATAACTTAGCACGCTGGCAGCAGCAGCTCACGTGTTGCACCAGGATCCTTGCAACCTGGGGCTTTGAGGAACACGACGGAGAGGAAGAAGAGACGCAGCAAGGCTTCCATCAGACAAAACGCAGGCGGATTGGCACCATTGTAGCTGTCTCAGGTTGCGTCCGGCGAGGAAGTTAGCAGCAGTGGCAAGTCGTTTGGGTACTCCGGTGGGATGGCGCCAACAAACACGTGAGAGGCGAACGTGTGGCTGTATTCCAAGAACCTGGAATCGGAGGAAAAACAACAGACTCAAAGCAAAGCGTTTGTGCTCCACTAGCCGTGTTCCATATCTGCACAAGATTGTGCCGGCTCAAGCTGTGAACTGGCCGTTCGACTTCCCAAGCAACAAGGCAGAATGGCTCGTAATATTTGCATGCTTGAGAAGCGTAGGGACGCCGATGGCTGCCTCAGGCAACAAAACACTTCGGGTGTCCGGAGTCGTCCTTCGCGTTTAACCGATCTTTACATGATCGACCGTTTGCTGTCTGGGGAATGGATGTGGGCTGACCATCAAGACCCTGACCATTCTTCGTGCTCTTTTCCCATCTTCGTACATCTCGCACACCTCCAAGCACCTGGAATGACGAGTCTGCGCGCATCAGTGCTTGTCAAGCGGGTCATTGATCATACTGTATGTCAGTCTGTTTTCCAACGGCTTTCAGGTGCCGGTTACGTGCCATGGAAGATTCAAGATGCACATCGAGCTTCGCATGTAGCAACCACGCCACGGAATTACTGAAGCCGCTTCTATGCCAAATCTCGCGTGAACAAAATTAACACAGCCATGGGAACTCAAGGCTTCAACCACGGGATGAACCTGTTCGACGAACTGTTTCCCGAAGAGGCCGTCCGCATCCACGAACGCAAAATTCACTCCCTTTGACGACATCCTCGCCTTCAGTGCGGACCCAGCCAGATCCCACTACGGAAGTTCCCGCACCTAGCAAGGCATATTGACTACAACACAAATGCTGCACATTACATGCATCTAGTTAAGATGGCAGCCTTCATTTTGAGCACATTTGCTGCTTTACAGTGCACAATGGATCAAAACCCTCTAGATATACATCCTTCTATGCTCGTGTTGCCTCGTCCCTCAACGAGATGATGCCCATGATAACCATGTCGGTTGAGAGCCGCAGATCAGTCGAAAAGTACTTTTCATGCCGAAAGTTCCGGCCGTGACCATGCTCTTCTGTTGCATCCCCGTTCCGCAAATGATCGCAACAACGGGTGATATGGCGGGTTTGCGTCCTGGGAGCAGATTCAGAACCAAGACGTATTGATGCAAGGATCTTGAATGTGAAGTGAGAAAGTGAACGGGGTTTTGATGATCAAGAGGGCGCACATTGTAGCTGAGCTCGAAGCAGGCGCCATATCTGTCGCAGACTTGCAAAGCCCGCACTTTCGATTTCTACTATTACGAATCGCACACAGGTGATAGTGGTCACGCAATCATATAGGTCGTCGTCCAAAGCAGAATAGGTCCATACAGTCGGTATTCTGGAAGTAATTGCTACGACACGGGGAGAAGACCACAGCCGACGCTTGCAAGCGAGTATCACTCATGAGCCGACCCGTGTGCAACGCTGCTCAACCTCTGCATTGTTCATGCAAGGTCCCAGCTCAAGTGATGGCAGCACAGCCAAGATGTGCGAATGGCGTACAGAGCGCGCATATGATTGTCTAGTGCGAAACAACACTTGAAGAACTTTGCTCCTCCAGTTCGTTAGTGGCACAGCACGTGTGGAAGGACCTCCGGCTTCTAAGCCGAAGAGCTGTTCAATCGACTGTGTGACAAGGATCCAAAACCCGTGCACCAAGGGGACCAGTGCCACACTGTTCCCGCAAATAAAGAAACAAAAATTCTTGCTGTGATTCCTAAACATGTGTGCTGACAGCCCCTTGATAAAAAAAGAAGAAGATAGCGTGAAGTGGCTGCACGACATATTCTCATGACGCGGCAGCAAGCGTAAAGGGTCATGGGATTACCAGAATCGGTTGCTTCAGTCGAAGAAAGGGCGACTTGTTAAGTAATCTTAGGCTTGTCTCTTAACTTAGCATGTTCACCCCAATGCCCGCTATAAGTCATCAGCCTTACAGACATTTGCATGGGACACCCCTTGGAGAAGCGGATACCGTGGTTAGCGGCGAGCGCACAGTCTAAGCCCTGCCAAACGCCAAGACTTTTGCTTGGGGCCGTCCGTGAAGCCCGAGTCCAAGCTGACACTCTTTTTTTGGGTGCGCTTGAGGCCTGGCAGGATTTGCAGCCGACGGTGCTGACGGCCGGCGCTGGCCTTTTGAGAGTCTGCCAGAAGGAAGCCGGCATGTGCGGAGACGATTCCGGCTTAGAACTAGTCTGTCGATCTTCTTGGTAAAAGCTAGCCTTCTTTGACACGCCTGCGCAACGGCCGACCGTTCTAGCTCTGGGGCCGCGGACAGCGAACTGGTCCAAAAACTCCCGAGCAGTGCGCTCCGTCGACAGCAGGATAGCCTCTGAGACCGGTCCAGCGCCGGGTCGTCGTCTGATGACGAAGGGTGTGTGATTCAGTAGGGACGAAAGACCTTCGTTCAATGGCTTTTTCATAACCCACCCATGCTTTCTCCAACCTCACCAAGTGGCGAAGGCCAGCCGGACTCAGCCGAATCTAGCAGAGGTAATGCACAGAGCGCTGTCGCAGGACACTTCATTACATCGGCTTTAGCGCAGGTAAGATAGACACAGACCGCTTCATCATGTCCCCTCACGCCGGAAATAAGAGCATATAGCAGAACTGAATAACGTCTTTCTGCGACGTGCTCTGGCGTATAATCCAGTGGTGCGGTCTGTTTCTGCTGATCAAATACTATCTCGACACGGCAGCCCGCTGCATGCCCCTTTTATAGTCGGCATCTTTCCCGTACAAGTTTTGGTCAGCAGATGCAGCATCAAACCTCCTTTGTTTGTTTTCACCTTCTTCATCGATGAGTAGAGCAATCGCCAAATCTGCACAGGCTGAAAAACCCGCCTTCGTCTTCATAGATGAGTCGGCGAAGTCCACGAAAGATAAACGACGGCAAATCCGATCGCAAGCCAAGCGTTTTGCCATCGCCGAGAGGAGCAAGCGTCCGAGGGAGATTCGCTTCGTCAACATCAAGGGCTCAAAAGAGGATCAACACCGTACCGAGCAAGGTGGCAGCAACCCGGCTGAGCCTGATAAAACGAACGGCAAGAATTCATCGGCTACGCCGAGGAGAAGCGTTATAATTCCAGATCTTCCCAAGCGCGATTATGAAGCCGCTCGCATCGAGCATGGCTTCGACGTCTTTCTCCTTTCCGGTCTTGCGTCCGTTCATATCGGCAAAGGTGCTTCACTTCATCTGTACGAGGCCAAATTAGGCGACTGGTTGAAAGGATTCAGAGAGCCGTCATACCTTGATTTTGTTCCTGCTTATTATGGATCTAGCGAGCTTGTACGGAGCACGGTAAATTGCACCATGGCTCAATACAAACGCGAAATGTGTCCGTCGTCGGGCGTCTCCGAGGCGACGGTTTTTAAACTCTATGGCATAGCTTTAAAGGACCTCCAGATGGCTCTCAATGACGTCGAGAGGAGATTGCAGCCGGATATACTCCTGGCCACGGCCGTGCTGCAACTTTTTGAGGTATGTCCTATCGCGCGCCTTGCATCTGAACCTCTATGGGATAAGGAAGTATCACTGACCCTTGGTAGCTCCTCCAGAATGAAACGTCAGGCCGCTGGTCATATCACACTCTTGGTCTGATGCACCTTCTTCAAATGCGTGACCCCGCGACGTATTCCGAGCTTGAAATGAGCCTTCTCGCAAGCCAGTTCGGTCCATTAGTCAATGAATGCTTCCTTCGCCAGATCGATTGCTTTCTCGAAGATCCAAAATGGGAGGGAATAATCTTGTTGCTGCAACGACAAAATAGGTTCGTCACCTCCATGCTCTCTGCGCAGACTAAGCTTCCGCGTTACATTCGCATCGCAAAGGAACACATTATGGGGAACGGACCATGTGATGCCGTCGAAAAACTTCGAGTTTTGGAGGAAATGCACAGCGTTAAAGAGTTCAGCTACCGGTGGGAGGAGGAACTCCGAGAACAGGCGAAGAGGGACGATACCATTCTCAATCTTCACGAGTTGCCGTGCGCTTTATGGTCACTTCAGCTCAACCTCAACAGGTTGATGGTGAGCCTTGATCCATGGGCGGATGACGCCCAGATACTCGAGCAGGAAACACAAGAGCTTTCTGAGAGAATCATGGCATGGTGGGATTCGTCCTCTAGGATTGATGGTGAGCGTGAAGACAGATTTTACACGTTCCCAATTCCCAGTGCGCAAATTTGCCTGGCGACAAGATTCGAGTGGCAGTGCGTTGTTGAGGGTAGACCTGGTTACGTCGACAATCAGCGAGGTGTGGTTCATCGCAAGATATTCGAGAACATGGTCACGCTGATCAAGTCCAAGCCTCCTACACGGAAGGTAAGTTAAGTTTGTCAACCATTGTTTTGCTGGCCTACTTACCAAACATCGGTGCAGTATAAATATGTCAAGTCGCCGTAACAGTATTATAATATTTTCCATCCAAGTGTCAAGGCCCTCGAATGATTTTGCACAAATCCGTAGACCGAAACGAGAGAAGAAGGAATCAATGGACTCAAAAATACGCTTTGTAAGTCTGCCTCACTGAGCAACTGCCGGCGTTTTTTTTTTTTTTTTTTTTTGGAAAGAATTACACATAGATTGTATAACAAGATGTGCATCTCCCTTGGCTTACCACTTCACTCAAGTATCGTGTATTACACTGGGCCAGTTCATGGCTGGAAAAAGAGTAAATGCCCGAGCTCGACTTGCAAAGGCACTGGCCTGACGTGTGAGGACAGAGGTCGTGGCATATATAAGTGAGAGGCTGACGTCACGTCTGACCGAAATTCGAGCTAGAGATTTGAGAAACTAGTCCGGATAGAGACACGAGCTATTCGAATGGGGCCAGAGCCATTTTAGAAGCATGCGAATAATGGGCGGTCTAGGGAGGGGAAAAAAAAGGAAAAGAAACAGGGGGGGAAGGGGGGGGAGAGGGAGGTAGGGACCTTGGCAGAGAAGGTTTGATTTGAGCATCGGAGTGTTTGTCACGTCGGCGGATTTCCGCCAAAAATGTGTTGGTCTTGTTGATTATACGATCAAAGCCGGCAGCCGAGGTCTGGGTCAGCTGTCGTAAAACATAGTAATGGCACTGTCTATCGTAGTTTTATACATCTTGAGCTCTTGACTGTTCATCATGTTTGTAGCTTTGGAACACGTCATGCAACTCCTGCCGTTGCCGAGCCAAATTTCATGTTTGATAACCTGGAACATACACGTCTTTTGCGACTTGAGGCTGCGCAGCTGCACAGTCGTCGCCGATCCTGAACCCATTGCTACCCCATTCGTTTTGAAGAGATCCGTGTCCGAACGTGCCGCCAACAACAGTGGGGAACATCATGTCGTCATAAGTGCCTGCCTGCACGGCGTACCACTCCTGCGAGAAGCCGTGAGCTTGGCCGTAGGTGGTGCGGCCAAGAAAGTCCCACGGGATCTGAGTCGCGTTCATCCAATCTTGCTGGTTGACGCTGGCTCCTAAACTGGTTTGCGCGGGAGGCTGCGAGTGATATGTCTCCATGTGCAGCGGCAAAACGTTCCGAGGGTATGCCGGTGCACTGACTGGAGCAACAGACGAGGAAGAGCTGCTGGGGAAAATTTCATGGTTTGTAGCCGTCTTAGGCGTCGCGGTTGATTCTGGACGTGGGTCACTGAGTGCTCCAACCAGACTAGCGAACTGGCAGCCGACTTGAACCAAAGTTCGGAACGTTGCGGCTAGTGGCATGTTTCCAACTAGTGTCAGAAGCTCATCCACAGAAGCTTTACGTGCCTGGTCTTCTGGAGATTCGGGTATGTCGGCAAGCTGCGGAATAAAGTTGAGACACATAACAAAGCATGACTGATAGATGTAGTAGACGTCGAGCCAGCTTGTGCCGTTCAAAATGCCTTCTTTGTAAAGACACGTCCCAAGAGCGATTACGGCCTGAGCGTCTGTTACACACTGGTCAGCCAGCCTAACAGCTTCGTTTGATATGCTCGTCAGGCTCGGCTTTGCTGCGTCCTGCTGCTCGACCATATCAATCTGCTTATTGACACGACTGATAAGGAATGGTCTAGTGACGAGAGCTCGCACGTGATGATATAGGATATTGAGCAGTAATACTGCACGACGTTGCTGGATATGAACAGCACTTCTGCCTACTCGTAGGTGCGAAGGAAGCCTGTCATGCCAGAGTTGTAACTCATGGAGTAGAAGCTGAGCGCTTGCCGTCAACGCGTCTCCGTCACTAGGAGATCGTACTTCGGATGCGTTGTAGATCTGCTGTTTCGCGCGGAAAGCCAATCGTGTCAGCTCAACTGTGACAGCTGTTAGGCGTGGCAAGCAAATGCTGCTTTCAATAGCTTCTTCCGGGAAGGTGATGGTAACCTCCGACTCCTCAATTGCTGATGGGCGACCAAGAATAATACACAAGTTTCGTTCGAACACGTAGACGGTCCACCATATCTGCTTCCTGATGTTCTGCTCCAATTCGTCGAAACCGACGTTTGCTCCTTCTCTATGCATTCCTAATGCGATGGCCATTCGGGATGCGCATCCCAGCAACATCCAAGACGCGTTTCGCTCGCCAACATTGTGGTAGTATAGTTGTAGCAACATTAGAGCCTGAATATTTTGCAGACTGGTGGTCGAAACAAGGTGATCCACATAGCATCTAGCGATTCTCAGATAACGCTTTTGAATAGCTGTCGCCTGACTTCCAAACGGATCAAGCTCTTGTGAGCCAAAGACAAAGATGAGCGACAGTACGCATATCCAGCCAGGATCCGATTCATCTGGTGGTGTTTCCGACTTCCACATTGCTTCGTAGCGTAGCTGAAACATGGTCTGGTGAAAAAGAGGATAGTTAGGATGAACATGGTCGAAGAAGGCCTGTTTAAGGGTATCTGCTGTTTGCTTGTCTGGCAGAGTAAACACCGCCTCTGTGGGATCTTCTTTGTCTTGGGCATCGAGGACGCGCAAATACAAGCCTCCATCCTGGGGGCGAAGCGCTGAATTCGCGTCGATGGATGACGCCGAGACTCGGCGTTGCGCTTCTGAAGGTCCGCTGCTCGTGGGTTTGACGAACTCAGCCTGGAGGGTTTTCTGTTGTCGCCTGGACAGCAAAAACTTCGGGTTGTGACTGATTCGAGCAACCATCTTGCGAACAACGGCCGCAAATCCTAGTGAGGATGACGGACCAACATAGTGTCCGACCCCGTGCGGCGCGTGGATCAACTTCTCGTCCCGCACTCGCTTCGGCGTTGCCTTCAGTGGAGGCGTGGACGAGTTCGACGTCCTGAATTCCTCCCGGACAGAGTCCGGAGCGGGCGTAGGTGGAGCCTGAGGCGAGTTTTGAAAGATCTCCGGGTTCGTTTCTGTAGATTCGGGATCCGGCATGGGAATTCCTCTCGCCTTGCCGATCTTAAGAAGGGACTCTACATCATGAAGATCCTCCTCCGGCAGCAGGCCCTTGACCAAGGCATCGAGAGCGCGATACCTCAGACTCAGACTTTCGAGGCTGCCGTACACTCTGTGTTTCCTTGGCAGCGTGCTTTCGCAGTGCACACCGGCGCCGGCGCAATTGGAGCACTTCTCGCCGGGCGTGTTGCGGATGCATTTTGCACGCCTCAGCTTGCAGCGATCGCAAGAGACAGCCGTGCGACGCCTCAAGGCATCGGGCACAACTCGTTTGCGCTTCCCGATCACCGTCGCAGTCGCCTGCGGTGTTGCAGACTTCGTGGGCGGAGCGCCCAGTTGGCCGAGGTCAGCTGCAGAATCAAGCATTGTAGTTGAGTTATCCCATCAGCAGTGAGACCGCTTCACACAGGGCAACAGCCTGCGTCAAGGGCTCAATGAAGAGAATCGCATGCTTCTGTGGATTGAGATGGACGAGGTCGGGAGCATACAGCCATGACATTTCGAGACGGCGCCGTTCACTGACTCGGGACGACTCGCTGACGACTTTCGGCGCCCGCGTGCCCGCGCCGCGATCAGCGGTCAACAGCCCCGCGAAGCTTCTTCTGGTTCTCCCTTCACCTGGGCCATCCTCCTTTTGTTAACTCGAGGGCAAATCACCGTCTTTCCACCAATCGGCACCGTAGCTCGGCATCCACGGCCGGGGCTATGGCCACCATGATGGCCCTGGTCCTGGACGCTTCCACCGTCAGGCATTTAATTTAAAGGTCCTTTGCCATGGCCGCAGCCGGGAAACATTCAAACAAAAAAAAAGTTTCTGTTGCACGTCACGAGAGTGATTGGTGAGAAACCAAGCTGTAGAACATAGAAGCTTTCAGATTTGTCGTTTGGAGTTTCTGATTACAGTGTCGTCCTCATTTCAAGCATGCGCGAGAGTCAATAAAAGAAGCTATTTCTTCCGCTACCTTACACCCCGTTAGACACCTTAAGGAGGCAGCCAGATGGAACACGGTTCAGTGATGTTGCTCAAGCCACGAGGGAGTATCAACTTATGAAAGTATTCCGCTTCGCCATGCCTGCGTAGAGCCGAAGGAAACGTTGATTGGCAAATTGTTCAATCCAGAAGCTGCTCCGCCTCCCAGTGATGAGAGATAATTTATCCTTTATATGACCCGTCCCCTCACCTGCTCAACCGTCTTGATTTTGATATCCCGCCAGCAACAAATGGCAACCATGGCAAGGCTAAGCACAGACGTTGAGGCGATAAGCATCACTTTCTGCGCGTCTCCGTATGCCTTGACGATAGCATCACGGGTGGGCGTGCCCGGTGGATAACTGATCTGGATGTTTATACTGTTGTAAATATCCATCATTTGGTCTTGAGACTCCCGAGGTAAGTACTTTTCAAGCTTTCTGGGAAAGACAGAGGTCCAGATGGTGGCAGCAATTGCTTGGCCGATGGCGCCGCCAATGCTCGCGAACATTCCTTCAACTGCAAGAACGGCAGCAACATATTGATGTGTAGTGGCTGCAAGAGCCGCTATCTGCTCGCAAATGACCAAGGTACCGCCAGCTATCGCGATCAACAATTGGCACATGATCACGAAGCCAATTTTGGAATCTGATTGCCGGAAGTGGATCATCAAAGCAACACCTAAAACCGTGACTGGGAAGCCGAAGAAGAGTGCAAGGTGTTTGAAGCGGCCTGTATGTTTGATCACAACTCCAGTTATGATTCCCCAAAGACACGACCCAATCGAGTATATATTTGCAATATAAGTAGCGTTCGTGATAGACAAGTTGTTGACGACTAGCAGGAAGCTGAAGAAATAACTCTCCCAGAGATAGAACTCGACGAAAATAATTGAAGATAGCACGTAGGAGCCAAGCACTGTACGGTTGGTCAGAAGCTCCCATGGCATAAAAGTCTTAGGTGCGGAATATTTCTCGTAGACACCAAAGACGATTAGTGCTGTAACACCCCCAACGAGCATTCCAAGAGTCAAACTGGACCTCCATTTCTCTTTCTGGTAGCTATACAATGCTAGCGAGAAGAGCAAAAGGGCAAGACCGGCCGTGAGGAGAAGAAGACCTGGAAGGTCGAATTCGATGGTGTAGTGTTTGAGGGACTCAATTATGTTGCGGTCACTCGTACGTGAAGGTGAGAGGCCTGCCCTCTTCGCCTTGGCATAATTCCACATAAACAGAAGAAACAGTGGCACGCACATAGCGGGTGTGACTATGCAGAACGTGCCGAATCCCCATCGGAATCCCGCATGACGCACAAAAGATTCAGCTGCAGGGCCAGCTACCCATGTCGTTACAATGTACGGGGAGGAGGCAAAGGCGTACATGAGACCTCGGTTCTTCAAGCTCGACGTATCGGAGATGAAGACATCGAGCGAATAAGCCATGCCGTTGTGCCCGATCCAGTAGAAGACTTGCGCGGCGCAATACGTGGTGACGTTATTGCACACTGCCATCATGATCAGACCAATAGTTTGGACGCAGACCATGAGAAGAAAGCCTTGCGGCCGTCCCCAGACATCAAGAATCTTAGCCAGAGGCAACTTGAACAGGCCAGCGATCAGGTTGGACATGACTCCCGTGAGAGCAGTCAAAGAATGGCCCTCGAAGTCGCTAGTGACGTACGTGTTCAGCGAGTTTGCAATACCCTGTTGTAAGGAGTTGACGAAATAGATAAGGAAGATGCTTTAAATTCATGAGTTGCAGGCCTCGGAAGAATGCATTTGCAACATAACTCACAGCCCGTACGCGATGAAAAGCGTTCTCTTGCTCCACACCGCCGTGGTTGCCTCAATTTTCTGGATTCCATGTTGGACGTTCTTCGACGAAACGTCTTCGCCCTCTCTGTCCAGGAAGCCAACAAATTTTCTCTGTTCGTTGATGTCGTCTCCGATTGGGATTGTGGCATGTGCAGCTTCGATATCGCTGGGCGGGTTTGCAGCGTGACTGTGGATACTCATATCTGCGGTCGCCTCTTGCACATTTGACATAAGCTTGGTGGTCATGATCAGTGTTGATGAAGCTAACAACGTTCATCACTTTGAGATTCCATACTATTTGAAGGCAACAACGGGACATAGCGGGTGGAAAAGGAGCGGATAAGAAAGGAGTAAAGAACGCAAGGCTGAATGACAAAGACTGTTTAAAGTAACATGGAAAGTACGGCAAATATAGCTTGTACGGTTTTTCCGTATTGTGTTCAGACACCAAGATGGGTTAAAACTACGGAAGAAATTCACCATGCAGAATCAAGACATAGAAAAGCTCTTTGACTCGTCTTGCATTCTCCCTCCTGTGACCAAGAGCCGAGAACAGTTTTGTTAGCCAAGTGAATCAGTCCAACATCCAGACTGAAGTTCGTACGTCCTGATCGTTCTAGAATCTCGTCGTTCCATGTACCTTATCTCTCTCTCTCTCTCTCTCTCTCTCTCTCTCTCTCTCTCTCTCTCTCTTTCGGCGATGGCGTCAACAGACCCAGCCGCACCTTGTTTATTCATGGACGTAATCCCAAAATGCTGCCTCGCTTGGTAAAAAACAAAGACTTACCATTTCACTGTAAGGTCTACTTGTCACTTGATTCGCGCTGTTAGCTAGGCCCGGGCGAGCGAAGATACGAGTCCCCTGAGCGCCATCTTCCGTGCGCCTGTGTGTTGATTTACGTACAGTTTCGGTGCGGTTAGTTCTAAGCCTTGGTGGCGTCGGCAGGCCAAGATATCCTCACGCTTTTATTCGGGGACATGCATGAATCCTTGTTCTAGAAATGCATCTGACTCGAGGGGGCGCGTGGCGGTGGCCAAATATCTTCGGAACAAAAAGAGTGGCATTCAGAAAGGTCAGTGTAGCGACATGATCGTGAGCTCGTTGGTAATAGCTTCGAATTCCGTCACAGAATGATCAAAGTTATTCTGAGCCCTGCCGTTCAACTCGAATACTACGATTTCTGAGTTCTGTATCTTGTGCAATGCATGGGGTATTATATCAATGCAATAATCATTGTGGAGAACCAATGACCAATTTTGAGGTTATGAGAGCATCCCGTGACAGAAGCTTCATATCTCGACAAAGCATGCAAGTTTATTCTGGACTTGATAAGGGCCAAATCAGATGCATTACATTCATGATTATCCTACAGCCATCCGCTTGATACTTCGTCAAACCGATGGTGCCCAAACACTCCGACAAATGCTATCCGCCGTTTCATGCGATCGTGCGCAAGATTAACCAAGGAAGTGAACGCCAAAGTTTATGCAACCGCTTTCCCATCGCTTTCAGCTTCCTCCTTAGGTGCTAAAATTAAAAATGCTGAATAGGGCTAAAAAATAGGGTTTCTTCGTCCGTCAATGCTTCGTTGTGGGGAGGTATGCGTAAGATGCATCAAACAGGGTATTTCATGCAGACCGAGACCGCAGACTATCTGAGACGTGCGAAGGCGTGCTATTTAGGTTCCAGGTAACGTCCAGTCGACAAGGGAGAGCGGTGGAGAACATCGGTAGGATGTTTGAGTTCAAATCCGTCAATCGTCCTCGTCCTCGTCGTAACTACCATCATCATCCACTTCCAAACTCTCGAGAGCTTCTTTAATGGCCGGGCTTGCCTATTCCAATGGTCAGGTGCTATTCATCTCGCGAGGAAAGTGATGTGATGCATGTAATGACGTGCAAAAAGGGGCGACACTCACCTTGGGGTCTAACTCCAACGCAATCGTCATTTCTCTGATCGCACCGGCCCGATCACCCATCAATTTCAAACATCGTCCAAGTAGGAAATGCACCATGCTTTCTTCTGGGGCCATCTCCCTCAAAATGTCCAATTCGCCCCTCGCTTGCGCCAGTCTTTCTGCGCGTCCCGCTCCAGTCGACGGCATTTGCGCCAATCGCATCAACGCCCTTGCCTTCATGAATCGGGCTTTTGCAGACCTTGGATCCATTTTCACGGCCCTATCATACCATGCAAGTGCTTCTTTAACACGTCCTTCACCACGAGGATCAAGGACCCAGCCTGCAGATGCACCTGAAGTGCTATTTCCTTCACGACCAAGCTTCTCGCACACATGTCCTAGGCATACCGCAAGTACACCATTGCGTGGGTTTACATTCCAAGCAATACGGTAGTGCCGTTCAGCGATGTCATACTTGCCAAGTTTCTCGTAAACAGAGCCCAGACCGTACCAGCCAGCGTAATGGCGAGCGTTCGAAGCTATGGCTTCGCGGTAGCAGGTCGTCGCCTTGTCAAACTCTTCTTGTGCAACGTGTTCATGGCCCATAAGCGTCCACGCGTATGCGCCTCCACCCCTCGGTCCCTCTCCCTCGCCACCAGATGTCGAGGAGAGCTGTGTGGCCCGCCTGAAGCATTTGATGGCCTTCTCATGATCGCGCTGCAGAGAGAAGGAATTGCCCAGAGCAACCCAACTCTCTGGAGCTAGACGATCCAGCTGCACAAGTTCGTGCGCCAGATATGCGAGCTCGATCTCGCGCTTGAGGTGCCACAGCACTGTAGAATAAATGTGCATATCTTCAATCCATGCACTTTCACTGGCAGAAGCGTTGCCAAAACTGTCTCTCATGCTCGCCACACTTCCGCCAACGGGCAGCTTCCGTACGCGTGCAAAGACATCTGCAGCTTCTTTATATTGTGCTCGCTCGTAAAGCGCTCGTCCCATCTTTGCAAGTACCCAAGGTGTCTCACGCTGCGCGCTCGGAAGCGTCCGAAACACATCGAGCGCTTTTTGCGAGTTGAACCGACTCAAGTTGTAATATCCTTCACCCAGCTTCGAAAAGAGATCCAGAAGCCATTTCAGTGCGTCTTCTTCCTGCTGTTGAGCAACATTCTGCTCGATCACTATATTCTGATGTCCAGTATTACCAGTTCTTGTCTCGCGCACCGTGCTTGCCGCGGAGGCCGGTCTCGAGCTTTCCTTTCCCTCAACCAAATCTCTCTCGCTAGGTGCGAGCATTTTCCTATTGCCGCTGACGACTCTCCCCACTGTACTCGTCCCTGCCCTGCCTCTGGTTCCTGTGGCTCGTGCCTTCGGCAAAGTTGCATTTTTGTCCTTTGCATCAGATTTACTTAGGACCCCTGCAAATCTGCTTCCAATACTTGTGCTGCTCCCGGTCGTCCTCGCGGTACTTGCAGCGGTGCTGGCACTCACTGAATTCTGGATGCGCGTACTCCTTCGTATACCTTGACTGGAGGCATCGCTACTAACGCTACTGGCCGTATGGACTGGTGGCGGCGGCGGCTGTCCTGAAATAGTCCGCTTGTGAGTTACTGTGGGAATGCTGGATGCTGTCGCAGATCTGCTCGCTCCATCTCCACCGTCCTGATCCGGCTTTAGTCTCCCTCTCGTAGTCATAGCCCTTATTTTTGGCGGGTCGATCAGATCTGCCAATCCTTGCAGTCCAGTCTTCTTTCGGGGCGGAGCCGGGGGTGCCTCGCTATCTGCATGATGAGTCTCATCCATGCTTATATCTTCGTCGAAGCGCATGCCACTTCCATTCGTAGCTATTGGCGTGTTCCACTCTGATACTTGAGAGAGCGAAATCCCTGACATATTACTACCGTTCAGACGGGACATTAGATTTGTACCGCCATGATTGAGGCCTGGATCTACGGCTGAGCGAGGTGGGTTGAAAGGATCGTAACCACCAATTGGGGTATTGGGATCATTGTTTGTGGATCTCGAGGAAAGGGCCTGGGGTTGCTGCTGCTGTACAGATTGCTCAGATGGTAGCTCTGCACCTGTCGGAAAGAATCCCCGTCTCAGGTCGTCAGTCAGCTTGAAGACGTTGGCCGTCCGTATCGGAACACCTGTGAGATGGTTAACACTACAGTTGTCCCACATCATGTCCAACGGCTAGTGCGTACCAGCATCGCATAGATCAATAAATGCGTCCCACATGAATGGGTTCCCCTTGAGACTTTCGGCAAAATATTCTGCGGCTTTCTTCTCTTCGCCATTTGCCCTGAGCAGCTTTGCCATCAAGTTACACACAGCAGGAGCATCTGGCCCAAGTTTTCGCTCTCCTTCCGTGTGCTTTCCCCAGTGATTACGACCCTGCCACACATTCCTACACCTCTCTAGCGCAGTGATGCCTTCGTTATAGCGTCGCAAAGCTAGACACGCCTGCGCGAACACGTATGCGCAGCCAAGAACGGCAGAGGCTGATGCCGATGTTGCGTTGTTGCTGCTGCGTAGCCGCACATCTTTCGAATAATCGTACGCGGCGCGAAACTGCCCGAGCTTGAGATGGCACTGAGCGAGCAGATACTGTGTCTCAGGAGATCGGGGGTCTAGAGCGTATAGTCTGCCTGCGAGAAAAAGAGCATTTGGAAGTAGGTCGTTATCCAGGTTGTAGTGAACCAGATTCCGGAGCTGGTTAATAGCCGTCGCGGCATGCGGCGACGGATTCGTTACCATTGCGGTACGGGAACTGGAGTCCGAGGCCAAAAAGTGCTTGTACGTTGTGGAAGGAAGAGAGGATTATTTACGTGGTTGCTGCCGTGGGATACATGGGTCGGATCTAGGCGTGCTAGATGGAAGGAATGCGTTGCGGTGTTGTTGTGGCGGAGGGGACGTAAACCTGAGATGGACAGAGGGATCACGACTGTGCAGGCGGGCGGTTAATCGTGGCGTCGTTCCTCATGGGGGCCCAGCAACCGACTTGCAACTGAAGTCAAGTTGTGACGTGCGGTGGGCCGTGGACGTGTTAGATTGGGGGAGACGGATTCGACTTTGTTATTGTTTTCTTCAGCAGCAAGCTCGCGATGTTGGTGTACCAACCACAGCGTAGCCCGTGGTCTGGGCGTCCTCAGCCTCAGCGAAGACTAATCGAGAGCGCCCAGCCAGCCAGGCACCGCGAGCTTCCCTCACAACACAACCAGTGTCCTCTGCTCAGACCTACCTTTGGCGCTCATCCTCACCCGGCTTGCATGGTGAGCTGTCGCTGCAAATCACGGGCATCAAACAACCTCGTCGAACATCCTGGTTCGCCGCTGGTGGCTTCAGCTACGGAAAAAGTTCACTCGTCAAGGGAACAGCTCGATTCGAGCAAAATTGCCCTGCCAATCTGGCTTTAGCCATCTAGCACCCCCGCCAGAAGCGTCCCGCAGGAAGCTATGGCACAAGTACGTTTGAAATTCTGACCTCTCGTCAAGAATCGGGCTGACTTGAGCTTGTCAGAAAGCCAAAAAGGAGCTCGCCGCACGGAATGCTGCCAAACTGAACCAGACCCTCTACTTCTCAATCTCGGTCCACACGTTCTTTATCCTGCTACGACTTCTACTCTTCCGTCACTCTTTCACGACTCGCTCCTTGATCCTATATCTCGTCCTTTCCACTCCCTCCTTCCTCATCCACTTTTGGTTGGAGAGAATCGGACGGCCGACATATACGCCACCCTCTAGCTCATCAACAAGCGAGAAAGGCGACCTGAAAAGTGCAGGCGAGGATCTCGATGCCAAGGGACTGACTGAGTTCTTGTGGGATGTCACATACTGGACGTGGGGGTGTGTAGTGTTTGCCGCTGCTTTCGGCGATCGGGCATGGTGGCTCTATCTTGTCATACCAGCCTACGCGGTCTACCTAGCATACACTACTTTCATGGGAGCAAAGCGGGGTATGGCTGGGTTCGGAGGAATTTCACAGGGAGAAGAGGGGATTAGCAGTGGTGTAGGAAGTAAGAGGCAGATGAAAATGGAGAAGAGAGGCGGTCAGAAGGCTGTTTATAGATGACGAACCCTTGGCTAAATGTTGAGGTGGTCGACAGCCGTCCTTGAGACCCGTGATGTGCAGAAAGTCCTAAGCAGGTTAAACTCTCTCTACCGGATCTCGTACCCAGGTGGGTGTAAAGAAAGCATCGACGGGTCGAGGAGTCGAACATTAAATGAGATCACAGAATTCCAAGTGAGTGTCCAGCATCGTACCCGGAAGGCAAGCAGATTGGTGCCGTCAGTCCGCTGCGTCGAAATCCACGCTGGTGATCATCTACTGGCATTATTACCGTTAAAAGACGCTCAGTTTGGCGCAGTCCTGAGCACAGAGAGCCTTATGGTTCATGGTCGCATTCGAACATTACCGAAAGGAAAGCACAGAGCCGGATCAGGTTAATTCGCTTTCGAGCTTATGGGTACATCGAGAAATTTGTTGCAACCACAGATGTCTTGAGAACTTTCGCTTTAGTGCTCGGTTGAGTTGATCGTGTTGCTGATGCTGCACGTCAATGTCTTAAAGCTGTTCAGTCCTGTTCTAGATCGACTCAACATATTCGTTATGAGCCAAATCACCATGTTTTAGGTTGTGCTCGCGTTGAGCCAAACCAAGAGTCATTTGGTACACTTGGCTTCCAACAGCGAATCTACCTTTGATTTCATCCGCCAAGTTTTGTGTTCATCTTGTTCATATCTATCCACCACGTCAATCTCTTGTGTTCAACGAAAAGAAGGCAATGTTCAGCATTTTTATGATGACAGCGTACGGAACATTCGCTTTCTTATCAATCTCAGTGCACCTATTTTGTCGCAGTACAAAATTGTGATTCGCTAACAAAATAGTCATGAGGCTGAAACGAAGGATTCATGCAGCCAAAATTTTGGCCGCGTCTCTAGCCCTTATCTACCAATCGTCTCTCGCCTCCTCAATATACTTATGACGGGTTTAAACGTGTTTGCGATGTTCCCCATCGGTTTTGCTCAATTGCGTTCGCGCGCGCCTAGGTACTTTGTTCTAAATGTCAGCGGCTATCTTTAAAGGTTTCACTCCCTGGGTCTGAAGCGTAACAACTACTCTTCGTATTTCTCTCATTTTCTTTTGCGTGAGCGCCTCTTCATATATGTTTTGTTAGTTTTTATGCTTTGCATCCACTTTCGATTTTTCCTTCCGGAGTTTGAAGGGAAATAGAATACCATAGCATCCAGAAAAGCACCCTTCCCACGGAGACGGAGTATGTACAGAACGCACAAATACATGCAAATGAACAACGATATGAAACGATCGAAATCTTCAATCGAATACGTCGAATCAGAATCGTTCATCACTGAGAATGAGGGCGTTCAGGGTGTTCCGGGCAGAAAATCGAGATTGCCAGTGCAAGATGTCGTCTTTCTGGTCGCGCAGTTCATCTGTCTTGCTGCTGCGACAATTTCAATCTTCTGGCCACCCGCCGCCATCATGCTTGGACAGGTGAATCAACTCATCGCCATCGGTTTTCTCTTAGCAGTCATGGGCCTCATATTTGACAATCTGGCTAAACAAGCAGCTCTGGTGTTTGCGGCCAGTTCTAGGAGATCAACTGTTCAGGATTTTGATGCCTTTATGCGTAAGGATCTTACGGCATCTCAAGTGCATTGGCAAGTTAGAGTTGTGCTTTTGATGCTCGTCAGCCTTCCTCTGGGCCTTGCTGCGGCTTATAAAACTTTCACGGGAGGAAACACTACGCGGCTAATCGTGGCGGGGGAGGGCGCATTCGGCTTTACGGCACCTCCTGGCAAGCAACGAATTGGTGATGGCTTGTCTTTACTTTCTGACCTGTATATTCCTTTCTGGATCGATCCGGCTATGAATCGGACATACGGCTACGCCCTTTATATTCGTGACAACGAGACAGCAGTTATCGTAGATTGTCCTCTTCCAGAGTATATGGCAAAATCTGACTTCTCGAATAAGCGGGCAACAAACCATTCGCTTACGAGCAAAAGTGAACGCAACTGTGTCTCGGATGATCAATCCTACAGATGAGGAGCGAGCGAGCGAGGATTATTGGATGAACTTGAGCAACCAATACGGGCTAGCTCGCGAAGCCATTGGCGGAATCGATGGAGCCACAAGTTCATTATGGGCTGGAACGGACAGCTCAGGCGTTGCGACCAACTACTCCGTCATATTCCTAGCACAGTGGAATAGCACTAAGAACGAAACATTTGAATCAGAAGCCATCCGAACTGTTGTTACACGCGAGGAAGCCAATGCTGAATGGGTTATCTCGACAACCAACCTTACTCTAACCAACGTCGAACTCTTGCCGAATACGCAACTTGCGGACCAGGACATCATTCAGAGAAATACGTTGAGTGTGCAGAGTATATTCAGTGCCTTTCTGGGCGAATACGACTGGCATAATCGTGCCGGAGCTTTCAGCCAACCATATCCTGCTGGAACAGTCGAAAAGCCTTTGTGGTACCAACCCGTGAATACTGTACCGTCGTTGGCGGCTGCAATGGTATGGGCGAGGATTTCCAGTTTGGATGAACCCAGCCGTCCTCATGTTTCCTGGAAAAACATTACAGGCTACAGCAAAGCTGTGAACGATATCAGGACCGTACAAACTTATCCGACGCTGAAAAGGAGCCCACTGTTGATGACCTTGCTTCTGGTTCTTCCTGTGCTTTCCATTGCTTGTCTGGCGCTCAAAGCGATATACTCTGATGTGCCGGTGGGAAATAACTTTAACAGCATTGCCATGCTTGCCGCAGCCGATCTCAGCACTCTTAAAATCCTGAGAGGCGCGGGGTTGACAGGTACATTGAGGAGAAAGATTCCTGTCGCGTTCACGGTGTGCAAAGATATTAGGGATAGCCGAAAAAAGGTTGGCAAAGTCGTAATGACACTAGGTTCACGGTCAAGTCAGCAAGACACCGTTGAAAGTGATATGCTGTATTATTGAAGACATTATTTGGCATTCACTTTCCCGTTCATCAAGTCGAAGACTCTACGCGCAAAAGATCAACAAGAATACTTAAAGTCGATTGAGAGCCCGTCTTTAGCGAATACCACGGTTTTCCACTAATTTCTTCGCATAGACTTGTCGACGGAATACATTTCACCTCTGTCAATGCATTTGTTATTGTTATCAGTACACTGAATATCACAATTCCTGTAAGATACCATCAAAAATACATTTGAATGGGTCGAAGAGCTCATCATAGTGTTATAATAGACACTTCCGACGCTTCTGTCTGAAAGTGGAGCATAATGAAGCGTTATGTTTGCCCACGCGTTGACGACCTGGTCGCTAGTAATGTTTTAGAATGAGAAAGTGATGACTGAATTAATAGATCTACGTATTTACCGCTTCCGTACAATGTTGAGTAACGATAACATGCTGAACCATGAGGTCAATTTGCTTCCGATTGTTGAAGATTTTCGTCCAAAGTTGTCAATGCCGAGGGCGGACCCTGCAATTTTTTCCGAAGGATTTGTGAAAATTAAGGCCGCATCACAAGGACAAACCTGCTGTTGAGACACCAACCAATTAGAGTATCCATGTCACTTCAACATTTAAACCAATTTCTATTTAATGCGGCTTCGAATCGCTAGAACTACCAGAGCTTTTTGAGAATACGTTCGTCCTTTGCGCTTTAGGCGCAGAATTCTATCCATTACTCTCACCGCTCCTCGCGATACAAACTTTAGACCTCAACGATGATCGTCCTTCATGCCTTCATAAGATACATAGCCGCACCAGTGCTCATTACAAACGCAATATTATACACTCTTGCATTCTGTCTTCCTTCCTCCCTAGCGAACGGTCATCCCAAGCGGCTAGCGACTTTTTTCGCTCGAGCCTTCGCCTTCATATGGTCGTTGCTACTATGCGCGGCGTACGGTATTATAATATCATTGGTGCTCAGGTTTATAGGTAAACCCGGATTAGCACAATGGGCTGTAGCTAGGGCGTTTAAGTATGTGATGTTTTTGTCCACCGGCGTGTGGATTACGATAGAGGATGAGTTTGGGGGTTTGAAGACGAGGCCTATGGTCCTTATTGGCAATCACCAGACGTGAGTGCACATTTCACTCAAAGCTCTTGCTTTTTGGCAAGACGTACTTGAGATTATTTCGACCCTATGACCAAGGCTAACGATACGCCTTAGTGAGCTCGACATCCTTTTCCTTGGACATCTGTTCCCACCGTACACATCCGTGACAGCAAAAGCGAGCCTAAAATGGACACCAATGCTGGGCCAGTTCAGTGAGTTGTTATTCTGACGTAGAGAAGGGTGCTTCTTCTGATTTGTGTCTAGTGTGGGCCTCGAAGACAATATTTATCGATCGCGCAAACTCCAAGTCTGCTCGAGCGGCATTCGATGGTGCCGCGAAAGAGATTAAATCCTCCTATCAAAGCGTTTACATATTTGTCGAGGGAACAAGGTCATACAGCGTTGAACCTACACTCCTACCTTTCAAGAAAGGTGCTTTTCACCTCGCCATACAAGCTCAAGTACCTCTGGTACCTGTCGTGTGCGAAAATTACGCTCATATACTTGTCATGAAGGGAGGATGGAAGAAGTGGAAGTTTGAGTCAGGCACAATTCGGGTGAAGGTGCTTGAAAAGGTAGAGACCAAAGGGTTGGACGCTACAGCTGTCGATCGTCTCTTGGAGGAAATTAGAGAGAGAATGCTCAGCACGATAGTGCAATTAGGAAGGGAGAGAGCTCAAACGCAATCGCATATTGCCATGGCCGCAAACGGCAAGAAATATCTATAATACTGTCCTTTTAGGATTGTTTCTGCAGCAGGGCGTCGTAAAATTTTACGTGATCAGATTTTAGATGATCATTCGGATGATGAGATGAGTTTATGCATGGCATGCCTGGCATGATTGTACAGATTGTACAGGACATTGGAGAAGGTCTATTCTCATTGAGCATAATTTGTATATACTTCGAATCTTCTACATATTTAAATTTCAGCCTTGAAATTGCAGCGAAAGCGTCAGTACTTAAAGACGGGTCCGCAAACAACTGACGATACTCAAATGATCTTTCAATAATTATTCTGTAAATAGTACTCTAGGAGCCTCAGTCAGATAGCTTACGCTGTTCATTAATGATCGCCTGGCGTCTCCTATGGCAGGCCATGTCTATATCGGTTCAGCGATTGTGTGCGCCAATCAATCACGGACGCCCAGTCTAGGTTTACCGAAGCTGCTTGGAAATGTCAAAACGCGTCGTTATCCAATTTCGAATTGGACTTGTTCAAGCACTATGCCGACGATACTCCTAAACCAAATCCGTGGGAATGTGCGGCTTTGCCGCACATTGCGTGCACAAGCTTGACTAGCCGACTGATATTTTCCCACTTAGATCTACAATTTAGCATTTCCCAACTCCTTGAAAAGGTCACAAATCGGGAAGATTTTTAAAATAAATCAACCTGGTGCTAGCTTGCCGAGTTGACAATCGTCTTATTTACAACCTTGAGCCGAAAGTTGGCATGTGTTCCCGCAAGCTTACCCCTATCAACATAAGCTTAAGTCTATGAAAGTAACCTCTGCGCGTACTCCTCCTTCTTCTGATTCTCGATGCATGTGCCTGGCGTGCAACCCTATCCTAGGAGGAATCTTCATATTCCTATGTGCGTGCTGAATGTGTCTGTTTCAAGCTCCTTATGATGATCGCCGCACATTTTCCTTGCCATGCTAGCGCCTTGAATATGCATGTTCAGATATTTCGGTTGTATCAGAGCAAAGAGAGTAATGAATGCCTCAAGGGACACGAATCAAGGTTCCTTGCCGGGAAATATAGGTGACAAAATTTCCGACTTGACAATACTTCTGCATCCTATCTTTTCATACAACTGTGCTTTTAGCGTCTTTTGGAGCTAGAGATCTAATTGACATTGTATCAATGAAACCGCTGATTCCACAAAATCGTACGGGCGCAGTCGTACGACCCGGAACAATACTAGGCCAAGAACAGAGCATAGACAGAGAGAGCGAGAAGAAACTACTAGACATTACTATTGAGGAAGTTGAAGCTGCAAACACTTCTAAAAAGCCTTGGGTTGCCATCCGCGGCAAGGTTTACGATTTGACAGCGTTTTTGAATAAACATCCCGGCGGCAGCGACTTCCTTCTCGCCTCAATAGGACGAGATGCAACGGCAATGTATGAGAGCATGCATGACGAAAAAAAAACACAAGAATACTCAGGTGTGTGATTAAGGTTCACCATCGATCGGATTTGACTGACTAGTCGAAAGCAAATATCTTATTGGCAATCTAAAAGGGGCAACTAATATGCTAGAATATCGCAAGGAAAGCGCTTTCTATAATGACGTGAAGAAGGTTTGCAACTCATAGGACCTAGCAACTGCGCAGAAGTACGTCTTAACGCATCATAGCGTATCGCCGCATTATTCAGGGAAATAGGAATCGACCCCAGGGAAGCTCCTGGAATGACCCTGAGATATTTATTCGTTTCTGCCGTATTTCTCGCCATGTACGTGTCTATGTTTTCGAAACCGACTGCTTGGACGCGAGCTTGGATTCCGTGGCTTTGTGCCATTATTACCGGTTGGGCAGGAGCAATGATGGGGTTCTTATTCCTGCATAATGGATGCCACGCTAACTTTACAAAGTCCCCCAAGGTCTGGAATGTGCTTCGAAGGTTGTATGAGAGCTTCACTGGACTCATCACGCTTGTATGGTTCTACCAGCATGGACTTGAGCACCATCCGTACACAAATATTGTTGGAGCCGATCCAGATATCATCTCGGATGACCCAGGCTTGTTACGTGTCCACGAGTAACAGCCTTGGCGGAAGCACTATGGGTGGCAGAAGTGGTATTGGCTTCCCGTATACAGCCAGCTGATTCTCTCGAGGAAATTGACGGAATATAAACAAGTCTTCGTTGACAGGAAATATAAGCATATTAAGATCAACCCGCCGCGGCTTCGGAATATGTTTGGTCAGCTGTTGTTCTGGTAAGTGGAGAGTGGTGTTGTCTGAGCTCAAGTCCGTTAACGGAAAGCAGTCGATTTACGCAGCTCATCATTATCTAATACCGTACTACTATTTTGAAATCTCGCTGCTTAGGCTGCTGGCTCTCCACACAGTCTCAGATTTATTCTGGTCCATATACTTGACGCTCATCTTTCAGGCCTCGCATGTCAACAACGAAGTTGCTTGGCCGAACCCTTCAAATGCAAACGTCGAAGACTGGAAGCAGTCTGATTGGGCGGCACTGCAAATCGAGTCATCTCTGGACTTCGCGCATGGGGATTTCTGGACTACCTTCATGTGCGGCAGCTTGAACTACCAAGCTGTGCACCACCTATTTCCATACATCAGTCAGTACTACTATCCGGAGATGGCACCAATCGTTAGGGATGTTTGTGCAGAATATGGAGTCGGATATAATTTGAAGGACAACATATGAGGCATGATCAGGGCACATGCAGACCGCATTTACATGTTTGGCGAGGAGAACTTGGTGCTTAGACGAGAAGTGAAGACCCTCGTACCATGATCCTTGGAGAGGATCAGGGGATGTGATCCAAGGCTGGGGCCGTTGCTCAAACAGAACGACAAAGTTGCACCGCATTCGCACGTGCCGGTGCTGCGCCACGTGGCTGCTGCATGACCTCATTAAAATGGGATTTGGGATACGGACGCGTTCCGGGATTGTCCTTGACTTCTCCCACCTAAAGCTCAGGAACGTGTCATGTACAGGAGAATTGTCGCGACAGCGCGACTTTATTGACAGCTTTCCCATCTGCTTCTTATTTTTTGCTTTTCAAGCGTGGTTTTTCGAACCCAAGACATGGAATTTATTTACCGATCAGACTTTCGTGCATGCTACAGATTGTCACTCTCCCCTGCTAAGAAGTCATAGCAAATGGCGTACAAAATATTCACTTTCCAAGGCAGCATAGCTGCCTTTCTGCTACTATCATCGTCATATGGATTTGGCACCATCAATGAGCCTGGTCTTATTGGGCAACATTGCGAGCATGAGAGAATCACGAGGGCTGCATTTGCATGCCACCCAGGAAACATGGTGTCAGATGGAAGATGCTTCGAGCCGCTCAGTCTGGACCAGCTAGCTGGAACATCGGGACCTGATGGATACGTTGGCCAAGGCTCAAACGGAGCGGTTGGGGCCCCAGACATGTTGGACCCAGTACCAGAAGGCCCGGAAGCACATTGCGATAATGCAGATTTCTTGGATACAGCATCGTTGGGTTTGGGAGACGTCTATCCTCGTACTAGAGAAGAAGCGACTGCATCATTGCAGGCTTGCGTGAATCATTTGCGACTGCGATTCGAAGAGGGGATCGATGCAGCCGATAAAATTGTTGACGAGGAAGCGAGAATTTTTGCTCCCCATGTGGACTTGTCCATGGCGTATTGCAGATTCTCCTTCCCGGACTTGCAGATGCATATGTTTTCAAGATCTAAATGCTCCGCCATAGAGGGTTTCGGACGAGCGTTGCATGGCGTTCAGGATTTTTACGCGCATAGCAACTGGGCAGACGATGCAAAACCTCCATTCGGCCTGGCGAACCCTCCCGGACTAAATCGCAAAGATTATCCTGATTTCCTCGACTTGCGAGGAGAAAATGAGATCAGCGAGCAAGTTCCATACAACCTTTCCACAGGTTGTTTTGGTGGTATTCTGACTGATGGCCCAGAAGGGAAAGCTGGGCATCCCCTCGAGCCAGGTTCCAAGGACTGCTCAGGCCGCATCACTCATCACACTCTAAACAAAGACAACGGTATCATTGATCCTGTGACAGGAAGCACCGAGAGTCCTGGACCCGGTACACCACGCAGCGATTTTCCAGGCAATTTTGAAAGGGCAGTTTCTGCAGCCATTAGAGATACTCGTCGTCAGTGGCGTCATTTTAGGGAGGAAATTCGACGAACGTATGGTACAGAACGTGGAAATGTTATAATATGTGCACTTGTGCGGGATAATCCTACCACAGACTGCTACGGTCGTCGCGTCGCGGTTATCGAGGATGTTGAGATGGCAAAGGGAAATTCCTATCGCATCGCGGAGATGCAAATGCCTGTACACAAGTGGCTTCAAGAAGAGCTTGAGGGCAAGCCACATGATGAAGGTCCAGGTGAAGGCATCACTAGCCAGAATGCAACTAAAAGTCGAGGGTCTAGTAGTGAAATGAATAGGGCAGCTGCAGCAGATGCAGAAGGCGGAGTCGAGCACGTGAACGTCTTGCCTGTTGTTAACGAAGGGCTGGACTTTGCAACCGTCCTGACGGATCTTCTGAAGAATACGACCGGATTGCCCACCAACAAGACTGCTATAATTGCCTTGACCAGCACTAGGAATTTACATCTCGGAGACCAGGTTACCCATATTCGACGTGCTGCGGAAGAGCAGATTCGCGTGCATCTGGGTTTGCTGCCGCCCTCTCAGCCACATGTTGGCCCAATGGAGGATGTTGAGATTGCTCTCGGCAAAGCCAAGGAGGAAGAGCTTATCGCTGCAGTGTTAGAAACAGGCGGAACGTATAGTGTGCTTCACAGTCAACACGCCGTCGCGAGTTTTCTCGATCATGTTGTTTCTCGTGGTTTGACCCAGTACGACAATGCCCGAGACACAGCGACGCTCTTATTGCCAGGCTTATCCATAGGAGACTACGTTACACCTCTTTCCGAGCCAAGACGCTTCCAGTTCGATGCCCACGCGATGGACAATGTAGTAATTACAGTCTCACCGATATCTTCGAAGCTATCATTAAACGTTCGTGTGCGGCATGTACGCAGAAATGCAGTCATCACAGAGCTCGACATAGGCTTGAGCCGAAACGCAACCTTTCGAGCAGAGGTAAGCATCGACGATATTCCTCGTGGTGATGCATGGTTCGAGCTTGAGGTCACGCATATAGAAGGCGATGGTTTACGAGGGAGCGGCTTATTTGAGGTGAACGTAGAGTCCGAGGACGTTGGTCTAAGTGATGCAGATAAATTCGATAAGAAGAATGGATACAAGCATGACGATCATGATGAACTCTGAGCGGAACAGATGACTGATATAGATCGAAACTCACGATTTCATTCATTAACATACGTATTCAGACAGAGGGATAGCCAACCTTTTGGCATTAGACATTTGCGCAGCTTTTTTTATAGAACGGTACGAAGAGCAGACATAAAATTATTATTACGCCAAGCATAGAAACTGCCAGTTCAATGTATTAGGTAGCTAGAATAAATCTCGTCTGGTGATTCATCCTTCTGGTTGAACGAAAGATACAGCTTTCAACATTGTGGACATTCAACTTGATGAGCCGATTGAGTGGTGAAATGAAAAAGATTTAAGACATTTCGTTCAAGTAACCAGTGTAGCATATGCATCCGAAAATGGACGGCTGCTTGAAAACAAGAGCAATGGCCTGCTATGTTGACTAGCTCTCTCACAGTAGTGGACTATGATGTCATGTGACGTTAGCAGTAACTTAGCTTTGATTATCCTTAATTCCTCAACTCAGACCTATCTTGTCATCGGCTCTTTTGCGTAATACAAAATGACGGCTCTGAGTGGACATCTTGCCTTGGTCACCGGTGCTACAGGTGGCATCGGCAAAGCGACATGCTTAAAGCTTGCAGCCGAGGGAGTCAACGTTGCGGTCCATTACCACTCTGCCAAAGCCACGGCGGATGAGTTGACGAGGAAATTGCGAGACCTGGGCGTTCAAGCTGAGAGCTTTCAAGCGGATCTGCAGGACTACGATGAGGTCCGGTGCCCTCGATTTTTGCTTTTCCCTTGATTCTCACTACGATTCGATGACTGAGATCACACGCTGATCAGCCTCGCAGGTGCGGAAGCTTCACGCGGCGGTGGAGGAGAAAATGGGCAAGGTGACGATCCTGTACAGCAACGCGGGCACGACGCTGTCCAAGCACAGGCTGAGCTCGATCGACCAGGTCTCCGTCGACGAGTTCGAGCGGACGTGGAGGGCGAACTGCGGCTCCGCCTTTCTCCTCGCGCAGCTGTGCATGCCGGCAATGGAGGCCCAAGGTTGGGGCCGGGTGATTTTCTGCAGCAGCGTCGCCGGTTTCACGGGCGGCGTCGTCGGGCCGCACTACGCGTGAGTGGCTCCCTCGTTCGGAACGGGGCTCCGGAGCGTCTGTAACTGACATTGGAGTTTTGTTTTTGCATACAGTTCGTCAAAGTCCGCGCTTCACGGGCTGATCCACTGGATGGCGGGAGCGTACGCCAAAAAGGGCGTCACGGTCAACGGCGTGGCTCCTGCTCTGATCCAGGACACGGCCATGCTCCCTGGCAGCAACGACGAGCTGGCTTCCAGTAAGAAGCGGCGCCTTCGCTTCCTATCCGTTTTTCAATGGCTGACTCTCAAACCCAGAGATCCCCATCGGCCGTCTCGGCAAGCCGGACGAGATAGCGGACACGGTGTTGTGGATGGTGAAGAACTCGTATGTTACAAACAAGGTCGTCGCGGTCGATGGAGGGATGTTTGTTCAGTGATGACTTGAGCGATTTGCCTCCATGACGGGAAGATACGCAAAACAGACCGAAGAACGACACGTACTTCAGGAATCCTTACCAAGTCCACAGGCACAGAGACGACGTGGTACGTCATTCGTTTTGGAGTTCTACATTTTGCCTCAGACATGTTGCATAATGATGGAGACAAAGCCACGCACACTACCGTAATCACTTCACACCCACTAGTCGATCTTATTTGCAATGGGTGGTCACGAGACGGACCCCTTTTGATCATCACCTCCAGCATTGCTGGCTTTCTCCCTCGCGAAAATTTTCGTATTGAACTCAGTCCGACGCTGAATGCACCTGAGAGCAATGAATTGGCGTACAACGCTGAAGTCAACAGTGAATAGATTCAATTAATTATGATCTCTTAATACAAGATGACGATGCAAGTAAAGGCCCTTTACCGTATTCCTCGTTGCCGAGATGCATCTAAGAATAGTATGACAACCCTTGATGTTTTTTTTTTTTCCAGTCGACTATGATTTGTGAAAAAATGAGTTCCAGACAACTGTACGCCGGCAAACCCACACCAGATAGATATGCAACGATCAGGATCAATTTTTACCGTTGGTCATGCAGACCGCCTGCAGTGATATTGTTCAGAAGCAACTCAAGGCCTTCGCCGCTTTCACCGCCTTAGATAGTCATAAGCGCGCACGCTCCACTAGCCACATTTGATTGAGTTGAGAGTCGGATTTCTCTGCCGGGTGGATCGAGGCCATCATTCTAGGACTCGGCGGCGCTGCCGGTGCAGTTTCCGTTGCAACGCCGGAGCTCTGAGGAACAGCTTCTTCGGACGCAACTCCCGAATTCTCAGAGAGGCTCTCCCCGAGGCTGTCGGTGGAGGTGAAACTGTTGACTGAAGAATTGTCGTCGTCGTAGTCGGAGACGACGATTCTAGGAACTTCTTCCGTGACGGTGAACAAGGAGGGCTCTTGCCAGGAGTGGCGATGACCAGAGTGCCTCCTTACCATCTGACGACGAGCAGATCCACCGGAAGCCGAAATGGCAAGAGACCTCTTAGAGGCTGGGATGGGTCGATCCGTGTCTTCATGTTGGGCTCTGAGCCGCTGCTGCGATAGAAAGCCATGCTCCAGCTGGCGGCGGTGGAGGGCACCGTGGTGATGCTTTATATTGCGGTCTGCCTCGACAGAAAAGGACCTGAACTTGTTGGCCTTCCTCTTTTGCGTCTCGGAACCGGCCAAGATGCCAGCATCAAAGTGGAGGTAGTCAGCAAACTGCTCATCCTCGTCCTCGTCTTGAGCAAGGAAGTGTGCCCAAGGCTCGTCGTCGATGTCTGGCAGGGGCTGGCTGAGACTCTTCGACGGCTTCTGCACGTAGCGAATGGAGGGTGGGAAGGAGTGATTCCTGTTGTAAGCGCTGAGGCGGGACATGATGACCGGAGGGATGGTCAGTAGGAAATCTGAGTGCCGGGTCCGGGCAGAACGCCCGCCAGATTTAAGGACCACAATACAGGGGAAACGGAGTCGAAGACGAGGGACGCGAAGGGGAGGCGAAGATGCGAATTCCTTGGGTCGAAGAAGGATGATGTGCAGGCCTATGCCGAAGGTGCAGCATTCAGCTGCAGGCTTTTATATGCATGACCAGTTCATGCGTGAAGCAGAGCCTCCCAGGCTGCGCAAGCGCGGATCGCGGCCTCGAAGGCGATGATTCATCCAAAATAAATCTCGATATGGCCATTCAAATCAAACAGACGACGCCCTGGTAGCTGCCTTGTCCCAGCAGAGGGGATCCAACAGGCTTGCCCTTATTTTTGTTCCTTTGGTTGCTGTTTTACAGCTGCACCAAATCGAGGCGAGGCCCATCCGCGAGGAGCCAGACGCGACGCAGTGGCCGAATTCTCGAAGTCTGCAGAGGAAGATGGAATGTTAGCGGCGCGCATTAAGCGACCGGATGATCACATTTACCACCCACCATGATGGTGAGAAGAGCGTTGCGACGAGTGCCCGTTTAGGCTGAAGGGGGGTAGCGTGACGCGCCCTGTTCCACGACGGCTCCATACACGACGTGCCTGACCTTTTCGGTGTCACCGCCCCAGGCGAGACCGACCGAAGCTGAAAAGGATCGCTCTGTCAGCATTCGGATAAGGTTGAATGTCCATGCTCGTATTTTCGTCTGGAGTGTCAGTAGTGTGGGGTGTGCAGCTGATGTTGGACGCTCTCACTCGAAAAAAAACCTGGGGCGTGCTGTACCCGCCATCCGCCATCGGCCCGGACCAAGCGCAGCCTGCGTTAGTGCCCACTAGGGGCCAGTATCCTCAGCCTTCCAACACGTCCCGCATCGAAAGGAAAAAAGCTTCCTCTCTTCGGCGTGGTCAACTCCATCCTTGTGACGCTGTCATCCTTCTCGGAGTATTTGACCAAAAAAAAATTGCCGGTGCTGGTGAGAGCGGAAGTGTGCGCCTAAGTGTGCATGACGGGACTAGACTATGCGGGCTGACTCAATAACACCTGCAACACCAAGGTGCGAAAAGCATACGACTTCCAATTGACTAGAAGAGTTTGAGAACAAATGATGGATCTGGAGTTAGATCGACGTCAAGATTACTCTTCAATTTGATATGCTAATATGTATGCAGAGCACCACCGTCTCGCTTGACAACTGGTATACCCTCAAATAGTATGCTGCGTGTAGTGTACATTGTAATAGGTGTCACGGATCGAACCACGTCATCAAAAGAATCTGTTTCGAAGTCGTCACAGACATCACTCGATAGCGATGCCAAACTCAGTAGGAGTGTGCAGCAAAGCGCATTTCGGAAGCACCAACGTCAAAGACGGCCACAACGCTCTTCAACCAAGCGTCGCCGAGGATGGAGACGCCGGAACTTCCGGAATCTTGAATAGCAGTGATGCACTTTCCATTGATCTGATTGCTTGGGTCGTTCACTCCAAGGATCATATCCTGGGCGTCAGCGTAGAGGGTTGTGCCTCCAATTGTGACACCAAACTGCGGCGGAGTGGCGCTACAGTCGACGGTGTAGACCTGGTTCTGCGAGTCAAGTGTTGCCTTCGGGCTATAAGCAGCGTTTATAGCCTTGGCAACCTTGGACGGCATGTAGTTGAGCGTGGTACCGCTGTCAACCTGTAGATCACAGTCAGAACCTCACGTGATATGAAGAGCAGGAAGTCAACACACGATATACTGGGCGCTGTTGCTCTTTGAAGCACCTGGGTAGGCGATTGCGTCTGGTGTAATGGTGTAGAAGGAAAGTTCATTGCCGAAATCACTGGAACCGGATAGGACCTCGATGCTCGTCTGGGCGAAAGTGCCGTTGATGCCCTGGACTGGTGGAAGACCACCGAAACTTATGTAACCACCAGAGGAGCCCCGCATCAGAGCAAGCGCGAACGTTGGGGCAGTTAGATTCTCCTTGTAAGCGCTGGTGAAGAATGGATCATACGGGGTACGCTGGCCGCTGGAATCGAATGCAGAAGTGATAGATGGATAAGCCATACCAACTTTCTCTGTATTAGCCCTGTTTTACCCACCTCATTTTGATATTAAACTCACCGAGTCCAGAGGCGACTCCTCCACCTTGCCAATACGCGGAAGTACCAAGAGCCACCTCCTGGTTCGGCACGGTCAAGCCACCAATGGAGACGTCAACGGTCCCCATCTCCCCAGTGACGAATTCACCGTCGCCATAGCTAATGTTGAATTGTTCTCCAGAAATTGTCGATATCTGGCCAGAGTAGCCCGGACCAAACCCGCATTGGCTGGCGCTCTGAGTTTGGCCTTGCGCATCTGTGCACGTGAAGTCGGCAGAAATCAGCCAGGTGTCGGAGCTGCCAGTGTCAAGGATTGCCTGGAATTCCTGGTCGGCCCACTTCATAGATACCAAGTACTCGACACCGTCGGCATTGTTGAGTGAAGCGCTTGGGACATCGGCGTTGATGGAGCGCATCACTGCAATGGCGTTGCTGTGCGAAGCACCGGCATTCTGACGTGTGAGTTGTGCATAGTTGCTTGTGACAACATCTGCACTACGTTCGGCAAAAGCACGAGGGGTGTATAGTTTCATGCCATTAGGAAACGTACGCGGGCGATTGGGAACCACCGCCGCATTTGCCAGCAAAGGTGCGGTGAGCAGACCTGCTAGAGCAATCGAGGTGAGCATTTTAAATCAACGCAAAAGAGAGAGACTGAGGCTCAACGAAGGAAGGTGTGAAAAGAAGGAATTGAACAACACTCTGGAGGAGTAAGGCACTCTGGATTCGGCCTCGGGAATGCTGAACCACGCCCTCTTATACAACATCTTGGTACAGCTTTGCGCTATTGCCTCCGTGAGGACTATGATATTGATGGCCACGCCTTGTTTCAGCTTCTCCAATGAGCCTGCTGCTTCAACGTGAGGGGCCTAGCTACGTGACATCGGTTTGTGCTAGGCAGAAGAATGCTGGTGAGCAAAGTGCATGGAAGCACTCGGCGAAGACATTGGGCTTTGCAAAGGATCGTACTTAGCAGCTAATCACGAGCCGATAATCCGGGTGGATGGAGCCAATGATGCTCAGCATTCGTCTGACTACGGATCTGCGCCACAGCATCTGAGGAAGGTGGACGTCTAATTGGCATGGAATATGGATAGGCGGAGGCAGATCGCAATGATAGAGCCTTGTGAGTATCAACAAGGTAGAGCGTGGCTATCGGCGCACCTGTGATCTTATCCAACAGCGAATGAAGATGAGGCAGGATTGCTTCTGGAAGGTGCACGGAAGGCGTCCCGCATTGGGATGAGATAGTATAACCCGCTAGCTAGGAACAGGGCAACCACCCGTCTACGTCGGCCATTCCCCCATCACAGATATACTGCGTGCAGCGATCGGTGCAATTGTGCACTGCGTTGCGGGCGACCACTGTCAAGGCGTGATGCAGACGTTGTATGCTCGAGGACAAAATCGTCTGGTTACCTACACACACAAACTTCTTTGGAAACAACCATCGGAACCGGATCGAGCAGGGCGAAGAGGGCAGCAAGCCGCGATGGGCCTGCCTAGGCAGAGGCTGCCCCTCGCCATCGCAGGAACTAGAACGCGCAAGGTTGCGCTCATGAGCGTGGGTTGGTAATTTGACCAGGAGGCAAGATAAGCTTCAAGAAGCCATGGTGGTTGAAGCTTGGTGCCCATTCGTTGGCTGAGCAAACGGACCGAGGGGAAAGTGCTCCATCCCGCCAGCCAACCTTTGCACTGTGATTGATTCGCGGATGAGCTTTTTTTCATCTTAGGCCAGCGGCATTGCATGAAGTTTTGGTGCCATTGGGGAAGGTGTTGGCTTGAAACGTCTTGCGGTTGTTTGCAATCTTAACGGCCCAATGAGAGCGCAAATCGCGTGGTGCAGATCTCGACACGTGATAGAGACGATCTGAAGACGATCCGGAGGTGCCGAACACTTGTACACAACCTCCTTGGCAAAAACTGCTGTGGCCAAAGACGCTACCACTGCTTTCACAAACACTAGCATCAGTGTGAAAGTGAGGGAGCCGGCATGAGTTTGCCACAGAAACTCCTGCGTCGTGAGCGCCCGGCGGCCGTTCGCCAACCCCTTAGTTGTCCTCTTTTCCAAGTCCGCAATTACGCTGAAGTCTCATCAATGTCACATCTCTTTTACCAACTTACAAATTCGGCTTATTCTCGCTTTCTTAGCGTAGATCTCAAGTCCTTAGGCTCTTTCGCATCTCTATCATGTCATCATAGGTAGTACCCAACGCAGTGCCTCCTGTTTGATGACTGCAACTGTCTCAGATCACATTGCTTTATGATGGGGCCTGTGCACGAATCTTATCACACACGATTCGCTCAATTGCCTATAGTATCGTGCAAGGAGGTTATAGTATCCAGATCAACCGCCGAACCTACACTCTTCAGCCAATCCATCGCTTCGCCCCCGCCGGCATTCCTTGCCCCGCTACAGTGACACCAGGACATCTTGCATTTACCAATCCCGTTCCGATGGTATTGACGACCAAGCTTCCTGGCTGAGGATTCTGCGCTCTAAAGTAGTTGCCTGCGATTGGCCGCGTCACCACATTGGTGGCGGCGAGGAACTGATTGATATCAAAACCCAGTCTTTGCTCTGTCGAATTGCCTCCTTTCGACAGCACGTTCTGGAAGCACGCCGGGACGCTGAAGTTGCTCGGCTGCGCGAAGAGGACTTGCACGTATCGATGTGCCGGTCCAGGCGGCGGGCCTGGTGGCAAGTAATTCGTCTGGCCGACCGAGCTCTGCGTCGAGCTTTTCACGAGTCTCGTCATGTTGCCCGAAAGAGCCTGCGTAACGAGGGAGGATGCATTTGTACCTGGCGCTGACTGCGGCATGATGCCGCCTTGTGACGTAGTATCGATCACCAGATCTGGCTGGAACCAGTGCAACACAGTCGTTCTGATGTTTTGCTGGACCACATCCGTATCGATCATCATGACCATAAATCGTTGTTGCGGATCTACCTGTCCATTTCTTCCCACGAGATTTGCCATCGGCACGGAAATGACCGGTTGAGACTTCGCTTCTTTGATGCCGTGTTAGTGTCAAGAGTATAGGAGGGAGAGCGATCTCGTACGGTCTAAGCTTTGCAAGGCACTTCCGACGGGATCAATGTTGATGGAGGGAAAGGCTACGCCGAGTTTGACCAATGTGCCTGGGGAAAAATCTTGAGGGGTTTGTGCCAGGGTATTAGATATTATCGAGGCCACCAGGGCCAAAATTCTGAGTCTAAAAAGCATACTGGTAAAAAAATCCTGCTGTCCTCAAGACAGAACGCAAATTGAGAAATGAACCTAGCGAAGGCAGAGCCAAGATACGACTTCTGACAGGAAAAGCCCAGCAGACGACACAATCAAAGCAGAAGTTCACACGCGCCTTGCCTAGTATTTGAGTGCTCCATACTCTCTCGTCGCTGCCGCTACGGGGTTTGAGGCTGCCGAAAGTTGAAACGACTCTTCAGACGACTTGTTGTCTCGGCATCGCCAAGTCACGTTGCGATTAGCTCGCAGATGCAAAACACCCAGCGTGCACAGCCTTCGCTGCAACTCAACACACGCAATCTTAGACAACAGGTTTTCTTTTAAGAAAGGTCTCGGTCCCGTCAAGATCGATGCTTGGGTCAATCAGTGATGGCCGACCGCGATTTTGAGAGCGAAGGTGGCATATTCCGTCCGTTGTTGGAACTAATTCGCCGCGTCAAGGGAGGAGGTGGGGGGGCCTCAGCTCGAGTCTGTGCGACGTCGACTTGAAATACTATGAGAAGCTGCAAATGCCGGATTTGATGAGATTGGCGAACAGACCGAAAGACAGATCTCTCTTCATGAGCCTGGACATGATCGATGTGGCGATGCTCTCCAAGAATCCTTCCGCTGGCTGTTCAAGTGCTGGATTGTAGAGTTTTGTTTCTTTTTCTCTTCCCATCGGGGCTGTCCAAACCTGACATTCGTCTTAGCATGAGTCAGCCAAAGCACGTTTCACAAAATGAACACTCGACAGGAGCGGTCTGAAAAGGACTCGCGGTGTGGTGAGCTTTTGCGGAAGTTGCTAATGAACCTGGCGCTGCCCGCGAAGAACCTTTCTGCTTGCGTCTTTTCCTTTCTTCCGCTGTTAGTTTTAGTCCTAGCTGTTCTAGCCATAGTTCTTTACAGCCAGTTTACCACTCTCCCTCCTCCCTTTTCGGTGAGTCTACAAGAATAGCCCTAGCCTTGATCTTCATCTTCCCTTGAGTAGATTAGGATATCATTTACCGCTTTGGACATTATGAAGCTACGTCTTGTAGGCTTGAGCTTTCTGCATGGGTCATCATGTTCCCTAAGTTAGTCAATGGGTTAATCGCTGCTGTCAGTACTCAACCACGGCATCTTCCGCTTAACGTCGGTGCTCTTGGGCACGGCTGGAAGCACTTCCCGTTAAGGATTGAGTGTCATAGCATCATTGCTGGTAATCAACCAACGGCAAAAAGGACAAAGGGACGGAGAGACTGCTACAACCATTTCTGCACCAAAACAAATACTGCTTTTTTTCTCATTTACTAGCGGTGTATAATGCTAAGTCTTCCATAGTAATACAAGACAATTCGATTGTAGGAATTGCCGTGCATATTTGACATCAAGCGGATAACGGGCATGCTAAGCTGGTGAAATGCAAAGCGTTTTCCAAGCCCAAGCGGAAGTTCAAAGTGAGGTTTCTGCTATACATTCTAGAATAAATAGCAAAAACTCCAGCGACCGCAATTTTAAGCGAATCTTCTGTCTTCCTTTAGGCAGGATAGTTTGAAGATAACGATGTATATAACGCCGCGCGCAAATTAAACAATAGGTGTACACTTGTAATTTGTGATTATAATCGCAGTCCACGTCCCCAAATGAGACGCTTGGGAACAGCACACCTTGTAAATGAGCATCAAATTCAAAGCCTGCAAATAAGTTCACTTATTTAGGGAATAGATTCAAGACCAGCTTGCCAAATACGTAGTTCGCGTCGAACAACACCACCTTCACTTAACTCCCCGGCCAGCCAATGTCAACCCCTGCTTCTCCACCAACGCCGAGACGGGAACCTCGGTCGTATCTCGCCAAACGAAGGATTGTGAGGTCGCGAGCTGATGAGTAGAATTTTCTTTGATCGGTTCAGTTCAGGAATTGGAATATAAGATTGAAGGGTTGATGAGAACCCATCAAGCCGCTAACATTGCCATCACAACGTCCTTGACTATCAACACTTAAGCTGTTTGCCATGGCACCGGACGCACTCGTTCCCAATGACCCGCGTGTCAAGCACAAGTTTATTAAAATTAAAGGCACCGACATTATATATTATTACGTGCTGGCTGAGCCAGCAAAGCCACGCGCCACTGTCTTGCTCTTCCACGGGTTTCCAGATCTGGGCATTGGCTGGAGATATCAAGTGCCATACTTGCTCTCCCTCAATTTGCGAGTCATCGTACCAGATATGTTGGGCTACGGGAAGACGTCTGCTCCAGATTCGCCGGAAGAGTACAGCTTCAAGAAGATGTGCGACCAAATGGCATATGTCATCAACGAGATTGTCCCAGAGAAACGAGTTATTCTTGGCGGTCATGACTGGGGAGCATTCATGGCGTGGAGAATGGCCATGTGGTATCCGGAGCTCCTTCACTGCGTGTTTTGCTTGGCCGTCAACTTCACGCCGCCGAACCGCCAATACATTGACCTAGACGAGGTTGTCAAGCGGGTGCCGACGTTGAAATATCAACAGCAGTTCGCAGGGCCGGAATTGGAGAAGGTCCTGCTGGATCCTCGTCGCTTGCGAGGCTTTTTGGACGTTTCTTACAAGGACGCTTCACAGGTCATTGCTTCTAACAACTCCAACAGTCAGGGATTAGCTGTCGAGGCCTTCGATACTGCCCAGCCTACAAGACTCATGCCAAAGACATTGATGGATCACTATGTGGACGAGTACATGCGCCATTCGATACACGCGCCCTTCAATTGGTATCGCACCCGGAAGTATAATTTCGAAGATGAGCTAGTCTTTGCGACAAGACCGCACATTCATAAATTCAATCTGCCCGCGATGTGCGTCATGGCCAAATATGACGTTGCGCTGCCACCGGAGATGGCCAAGAAGATGAAGAGGCACTTTGAGGGACCTTTTGTGTTGAAGACATTCGATTGTAGCCACTGGATCATGATCGAGAAACCTGATGAGACCAATCAAGCCATTGGAGAATTCATAGAAACGGTCCTTGACGGGTCAAAGTCTGGTCCAAGGCTATAACATAACATTTGTAACAATCGAATCCAAAGTTCAAGCGGAGAGGAGCGCAACCTGAGTGATTTCGACCGTCAACATTATCGTCGTAGAAAATGGCACTTCGTCGAAAAGCATGTTTGATTCTGCAAAGTTGACGGGCTGTCGATTCGATACAATATTCCCGACTTGGGTCAGCAGGCTGCTCAGTTAATATTGTGCACTTATCTGAGTTTACAGAGTCGCATCTTCCAAGCAGGCAAGCAGAGATTTTTGTTCTTGTCGACTGTGAAATCTGCTTTAGGGTATGATGATCTATGTTTAGAGCGTGTTTCAGTTTTGTAGAGTCGCATCAAGCGCTGATCTCTAACCCAAAACAGAATGAGCCTCCCTGTATCGAATTCTGCACGCCTGAAAGGATAATTCGGGGGTGCAGCCTCGAAGCGCTCCTAGGTATTGTCATTTACGCTTTAGCCCTGTGAGCCCGACTTAGATTAGTTGGGCCCTCAAAAGAGAATGAACTTTGATCGCGCCAGGGACTCGATATCTTTCTTTAATAACGAAAATATGCTTTGACTACGTTTCTTATATCCCTGCGCGCCGAGGATGCTAGCTTGCATATTGACTGTAAAAATAGTGACACGCTCTGTTGTAAGCTAAGGCGACCATGTTTGCTGGCACCAAACGAACTACTTTTGTTCGGCTGGGACTATAGTTCAACGCATGCCAACGTCTTCATCAACCTTCCCGCCATCTGTTCTTGAACCTACGAAGTTTGTCAAAAGAGGAAATGGACCACACTAGTTAAGCCGCTCACACTCCCGCGACTGTAAAGGGGCAACTAGGCTTCCGTATTCGCGGCCATGGCAAGTATATTGAAATTCGAACCCGTCCCTCTCGATGATTTGCAAAGCGGCTATGTACATGCCCCTTCTAGCTCGAGTATTGAGCATGACCCATACACACCCTTTCAGTATGCCGAAGATGAATCTACCAAAAGCCTGCGACAGAATGTCGTTGACGACAAAGATCCGACGCAGCATATGTCTACATATCTTCCAGGCCTAGGAAATCCGCGACGTCACACACCTTCTTGGTCGTTAAACAAGTCGCAAAACTGGACTTTGGAACTAGCCTGCGTGTTCATCAGTCTTGCATGCATGGCGGCGCTTCTTGTCCTCTTCATTTACTTCGACAAGAAGCCCTTGTCGAGCTGGCATTTCTACTTCTCGCTCAACACCGTGGCTTCGACTCTCGGGACCACGGCAAAGTCCAGCATGCTGTTGGCTGTAGGCTCCGCAATAGGTCAAGGAAAATGGCAATGGTGCGAATTTCAATCCTTATCGAAAGCCAGAGACGTTACGGGCTGACGAAAATTGCCAAGGTTCTACAACAATCCCCAGCCTTTGCGGGACTTTGACGTCTTTGACGAGGCAACTCGTGGGCCGCTTGGAAGCATAAGACTACTATGGACGCTGCGAGCACGGTCGGGTCTCCCAAAGTGCCTCAACGCACGTTCACTAATTCTGATGATAGACACCTTGCCGTTCTCGGAGCCCTTGTGACGATTATCAGCGTGGCATCAGATCCGTTTCTTCAAGCCGTCGTGAACTACGAAGGAAGATTGGATAATGTGACTTTGTCAGGGAGCGAAACTGATCCTTCAGCGTTATCAAGAGGCTTTGTCGCAAGGGCAAATCGCTGGGCGGGCCTCAACGACTTCGCCTACACACAGTCTACTTGTATGCTCCGTCTTCTCGAATCTTGAACCACGGACTAACATGTCAGCCCTTGAGCTTGATGGCAACACCTACACTTCGTACCCAAAACGAGAAGACTTTGGGACCTCGTCCGCCTTTTATTCTGGGACCAGCTCATACAATGACGCAGGACTCAATGGGTCGACTCCGTACTTTAGCTGCCCAACTGGCAACTGTACGTCTCCAATATACACTTCGGTTGGCGTCTGCAGCAAGTGTGCGGACATCTCAGAGTCCGTCCGAACGGCGGAAGTTGTCGACGGTCAACCCGAGGCCTACCTTCGAAGCGAGGAGAATTTCGCGACCGCGTTTATGAACTTCACGAATTATACCATCCCAAATCTGTGGATTGACAACTGCTGCGTAGCCAATGACAGTGGCTACACGTCCTATATGACGGCCACTCTCAGCCTGAGGCCAGAAGACACAAATGCTTTCCAAGACATGGAAACGATGCTCGCCGCGATCACGTTCCTTAGAGCCACGCCCGTGAACGGCAGCGCGTCGAAGTACAAAGACACGCTGCCCGCTGCGACCGAGTGCGCGTTGTACCTGTGCGTCAACGCGTACCAGTCCAACGTCACGAACGGCTTCCTGACGGAAACGTTGGTTGAAACGTGGGCGACGAGGGTGCCTGCGTCGTACGACGCCAGCAAGGAGCAGCCCAGCGGAGTCGAAATCACCAACGCGTCGGCGGTGCACTCGGACGTCTGGATGCCGCCGTACCAGCAGCTCTACATCAACCGGTCCGACTACCAGCTGTCCGTCCCGACGGACGGCAACAAGAAGCCAACATTCGGCCCGGACACGACGTTCGCCGTGTCGCAGGCCGCCATCGTCACCTTTCAGGACTTCATGAGCGGCATGTTCGACAGCACAGTGGGCGCGGGCAACACGACGCGCAGGGCGCACGAGCTCGCCTACGGCGACGCCGCCATCCCTTTCTACACCACGCCCATCATGCAGCCGTTCGTGGGCCAGGCCCACCAGCCCGTCAACATGACGGACATGTTCGCGCGGATCGCCGCCTCGATGACGAGCAACGTCCGCAACGCCGCCGCCGCCGCCGCCGCCGCCGCCGGCCCGTCCAGCAGGCAGCCGACCACGGTGCTGCGCTACGTCCTGCACTTCCGCGTCGCCTGGCCCTACTTCGCCCTGCCCCTCGGCACGGCCCTGCTCGGCGCCCTGTACGCCCTCCACACCGTCCACCGCGCCAGCCGCCCCGCCGGCCCGCCCGTCTGGAAGTCGAGCATGCTCGCCAGCCTGACGCACGGCATCGACGCCCGCACGCGCGACCGCCTCCGGCTCCTACCGCTCGACACCCAGCGCGAGCTCGCCGCGCGCACGTACGTCCGCCTCCGGGACGCGGACGGCGCGATCGAGCTGCGCGCCGCCCCCGCCGCCGGCTGACCTCCACCAGCACGACGTTCGGCCTCCCCGGGCCCTGAGGCCACATTCCTTCCTTTCTTCCCTTCCCGGCGCGCCGGATGCCTAGCGGACAAGGCGACCGCGGCGCCTGGTGCGCGATCGCGACGAGCAGGGAAACCCCCCTTTTGCGCCGGGCGAGCCTGTCTCGGCGTGGACGAGCGGGGATCGATCCATCGAGCATCGTGCGGCGTGAGGGTCGGCCGTGTGGACGCCCAGGCTTGGTAAGTCGGCCAAAGGTTCCTGCAGCCGTGTGCACGGTGAGCCGAGGAGAGAAGAGAGCGATATCCTTCGCTGCAAAATGCGCTACATGATTGACGGCCGATCTGAGTGCCGTCATCAAAAGCAGAGTTCGTGGCTCTGGAGGGAAGCAAGTGCGAGAGAATGCAGACAAGTAGCGGAGGAGACAATGGGGAAAAGAAAGAGCTCCTCATTCGAATGCATGTATCCATTCTCTATCCATCTCGATACAAGATCGTAGCCTTCCATGCCTCAACACAACAAACTCCATCCGCCACGCCCCCAAATGCTTCACAGCAAACAAGTACAAGATTTCCGCCCAGACGTCGAGGTTAGGAGGAAACGAGAGCAAATGGAACCAAGAGCTGACCACCCATATGAAAAAAAAGTATTGATCATCAACATGCGTCGCTGCTTTTGTTTTTCCACCCCTCCATGATATCTTTGCAAGTGTCCAAGTAACCTGACAGGAAGACGCAGCGTACGATCTAGGGTAGTCCCAAACGCTCCCAAAAAAAAAAAACAGTTAAAATTTGACCACCCCTCCTTAACTCGTCTCATGAATGAAACCGAATTCAAAAGGCGGAAAGCAGGCCAAGAAAAAAAAAAAGGTGCAAAGCACTTTTGTACAGAATTTTCTCGCAACGCGGTACAGAAAACTCCGGACCCCAAGTGCAAATACTTCCCAATCATGATCGCAGAATGAGAAAATCACAGAAGAATCATACGCCCAAAATACCAGATAGCCAGTCCCATATGTACAGAGGATACTTTTGTTCGTTGTTCCCGCGCGTCCGAACCAAGATGAGTTGCATGGAAAGTCCGCGGCGTTTCGGGCGACGGACGAACAAGGGGAAATGTTCCAGGTGAGACGATCGCGGAAGGAAGCGGACGCCGAATAACGCTGCATGTCAGATACCTTTGTCGCGAGCTCGCACGTTGGTCGTGCGTGCGTCTGCGCTTGCATGTAGGCAGCAGAATTTAATGTTGATTGCTTTCGATCGTTTGTTTCCTTTTTATTTTTTGATATTCTTCTTTTCTCATCTTTCACCAAGTTTCCTGTTCATCTCATCAGTCAAGCTTTTCCCAAAACTTGATAGCGATGTGGCTGGCAAACAGAGAAAAGAGATCGCGTTTTAAGGACGGGGGTGGAACCAAAACTTACGGCAATGTACTGGCCGCCCTCCTTCTTGCTCTTCCAAAACTCCTCCGCCTGTTCCCTATTGAGCCCGCCCTTCTTCATGACGACATCGCACAAAGCGTTGTGCACGCCTTCGCCCATACCCTTGCTTGAGCCGCAGACAAAGACCCGTCCGTCAAGAGCGTTGGCAACGAACCACACAATGTCTGCACTTTGGCGTACTTCGTCTTGAACATATCTGGCCTCGTTGCCATGACGATTTGCTTTGCGCGACTGAACGACCTTCTTAATCTCACGCTCGTGATCGCCCAACTCGCCTGAGTACAGCTCGTCGAGCATCGAATCACGAACACCCTGGATAAGCCAAACTTTGTTCGCGCAGTTGGCGTTCTTGAGACGGTTCAGGATGAAGCCGCGGAAAGGTGCCATGCCGACACCCGCACCTATGAGAATCATTGGCCCGTCAGACACGAACTCTCGGCTGAGGGGATTGGCCATGAGGCCGCGGAACATTGGCACACGAAGGTCGAGGATCTGTGCTGCGATCGGCCCACCCGTCTTGGAGGACATGCCCGAAGCCTCTGCCTCGATATATTTCAGGGCAATGCGCTTGAGGAAACCGCTACCGACCCCGGTGCGCTTGGAACCGCGCCAGTCAGGTTCTTCGTGGACGCTGACGGCCATCTCGATGATGCGTCTTCCGGCGAGACCGTCGCGTTCCGACGAGATATGTGGGTCGTTGCTGAGCGAGTAGAAACGCGGCATGAGCTGGGGGAGGACAGAGAGGAGCGCAGGGAGCGGTGGCTTCGATGAGGGGAACGCGTGAAGAAGCTGAGCGAGCGTGACGTGCGGGCCCGTCCGCAAATCGCAGAACGTGGCCTGGCCTTGCGCCGAGACTAGGTACTCGAGCAGCTTTCGCTCGTTCAGAGCGTCGGCGTGCTCTGCCAACAGCCTGAGCAGCGGCTTGGTGGGCGGCTGGCTCTGCACATCGGAGCACCAGGTCAGAAGCTCGCGACGTGTCGTCACCAGCTCCCGGGGTTTGTCCTCGCCCCAGATAGTTGGCCAGCGGCCACCCGTCGTCTTCAGCAATACGGGCTTGTCGCGCACAAATGTCGGCACGCCAAGCATGTTGAAGATGTCGTCGACGACATCCGCGTCGTTGGGCGGACACACACCAATGGCACCGCCAACCTTGAAGTCGACGTTGCCACCTTCATCAGGGTAGTCTGTCACATCAATGTCGAAGTGAAAAGTCCGCTTTTCCGCGCCGGGCTTGGTGAGCTCGCGGGCGCCGTAGACGGGAGCGGAAAAAACGTCGTACGGAGGATGAGGCTGCACGAACTTGGGAGGGTGTGTATGGACGGTAGTCGTGTGGTGGATCTCGGATGAGCGGAGCGGCTCGAGAGAGACGGTGCACTGGGGAAGCGGTGCAACGTTGGTCAGCTCCGTGTCGAGGGAGAGGGCGCCAATCTTGAGCTGCAGCGCGCGGAATGCATCGTTGTCTGGCAGCACGACGGGCGTGAAACCCGGCCGCGACGTGTCAGAAGGCAGGGCTTGCAGCATGCAGCAACCGCCGCCACAGCAGTACTTTTCAATCAGCTTGGTGCCCGTCTCGCCGTCACCGAGCAGCCTGCGTATGTCGTCCCCGCTTTGAGCGATGAGCTGCGTCGAGGCGCGGCGCTTGCGCGGGGTCTGCGGCGACGCAGAGGTGCCAGTGAAGTTGATTGCAGCCGCTGGCAGCTCGGCGACCTTGTCGACGACATCTTCGAGCGTCGGCGACTCGACCTGGGGCTCGGAGGCGGGGGTCGAGGGGGCGGTGGAGTCACCCTTCTCCGACCACATCAACGACTCGCCGGAACTTGTGTAGGCATGGCTGTCGGCCGAGGAGTGGTCTGACACGGTCGTGTTTGTCGGCGAGATGGTGAATTGGGGCACGTCCTTTGGTTCTTCGGGGATTGCTGGCTCGGTGGCGTGATGGTCGGAAGGTGGCAGTCGAGGAGGCGATGCGGTCGAGGGCTGCGGGCGAGCGCCGTCGTCACGAAGAGACGGCATTGTTGACGCCAGACGCGTCATGGTAGACAGAGGTCCTGCGCATGGGGGACCGATGTCAGTTTCTCGCGCGGAAGCAGACATTTGAGCGGCGTTGAGGTGAACCGCGAAACGCAGCGTCGCAGGGTCGAGGCAGATTTGCGTCTGCGGAGCGAAAGTGATGATGCAGGTGGATTCTGGCAGGAGGGAAAAAAGCGGGCGAGGAGGATCTGATATGATAAGATGGAAGCTGATGGGCAATCGAGCGGCTGAGGGAAAAAAAAGTTGGGACCCCGATTTTGGTGGGCGCACGCACCAGCTGGACCGTGGTGACCGACCGCGGAAATGAGACGAGTCGACGCAGACAACAGCCGGCTTCTTCCTCCCCTCAGACACACCGCACGCGCGGGATGAGCCAGCCTCGCGAGGCCGAGTGCGCACAGTGGAATGGCGACGACAGTGCAGCAGGGTCGTGGCGGATGGGGGGGAGCCGGAGAGAATGTCTTCTCTTGTTTGCGAGAGCGGGGAGAAAATGGCCAAAAGGTTGAGAGATGGAAGACTTCCCAGCCTGGGAATCGCACGAGGCAAAATAGCGGGCCCGGTGGGTGGGAGCAGAGACGAGTTGGCCGAGATGGCTCGGCCGGGCTCTGACGTGAAGGTCACGGAATGATCCAGCAAGCCAGCTTGCCAGGCCGGGACCATCCAAGGCCTGGGGCGATGGCAGTACGATAAGTGGCCAGTGAAAAAAATGCGGGTCTTTCGCGGCCGAACAGCCGTGTGCTGAGTCGCCTTGAGTGCGCAATTCCGACGGCGCTGCTGGCGATACCAGCGGCGACAGGTTCTGCTCTGTCGCTGGTCTTGATTCTTTGAACGGCCTGGGCCGGACGAGAGAAGAAAGACGCGGATAGAGGCGACTACAAAAAGATGACTTGAATGGGCTGATCGCACCACCGGCTAGGTGGAACAGAAGAAAAAGGATGTTCGCTCGACGGACGGGCTGAATACGCGCCGGGTTTATCTACCCAGCCCTCTACGCCTTGGAGGATATTATAAGAGCAGTTTGGCCGCGTTCAAAGGAAGGATCTGGCAATCTCTCTACCGCGTGGAAGCCGGGGAAGAATGTTACAAAGTCCAGCGCGGAACGCATTCCTCCTCGGCACAGCATCAGGGCAATTGGTAATGGCCCACGACGGGTGTGAGCAATGCTTGCTGCTTCTCGCGCGCCGCTGATGCCCGTTCTCTGCAATCGAGCGGCCAAAACCGCAGCCATACACGCTCGTACGCACAGGCGAGCATGTTCCCAAGTAAGCACGTAGCTGCAAGTAGAAGGACACACGTCCCAATCAGCGCGGTTGATTCCCCGCCCGTCGTGTATCCCTCCGTTCCAGTCTCCCCAGATCGGGGCATCCAAGCCGGCCAGCGCAGGTCTACGTCTGTTTGCCAACTCGGGCAGTGTAGCACCACACCAATTGCGCGGCGTGCCTGTTCTCCGCGCATGTGCACTGGAGGCTCTCAGTTCCAATCGATCCGGACGGCAGCCAACAGGTCTGGACCAGCCCACCGCCCCAGCGCCGCCTCTCCCCCGTCTTCCTGCTCCTCGGATTTGGTAGCCCTCGAGAGCAGCCCTTTTTCCGCTCATCGTCGCTGCTTGGCACAGCGGAGTACCTGCGTGTCCATCTGATAAGACGGGGAGGATCCAGACAACGCATGACTGGCGGCGACGCCAATCGCTCCCGTTTCTTGTTGCCTCTTCCCCTCCCTCGTCGGGGAGCTGAGGCCGTCGCTCGCGATTGGCTGCCTGACCACTCGCCCCGTTGAAGACGAAAACACAACAGATCGACGCAACGTCGTCACTATTGCGTTGGATGATGAGCTCGCCCACCCAACACGAACAGCTATTCATTTCGCATGCTGCACAGGAAAGACAGCTTGGTTGCAGCCAATCTCGCTCGGGAGCGTCGGCACCCATGAGCCGTTGTGGGGACGTCGTGCTGAACAGTCGCCGCCCTCCTCACGCTCCCAAGGTCAGAACCGATGGTCGCAAGTCCCTATCGTCCTTGCTCCCCCCCGTCTTTTCTTCCCGCTGTGCTTTCGCCCTTTGCATGCTCGCCGACCACGCTTTCGCTTTGATGCAAGGTCCCCGATACCGGGCAAGAGATTGGGCTTTTCCCATGCGACTGAGCCTTGTCCTCTGTTCCCTGGTCATGGGGGCGCAGCGCCAGCCTTCTGTTTCGATCAGATAAGCCCCGATTCTCGGCGCCACTCTGCCGGTTCGTCCTGTTAAATTGTTGTTCGACAACTAAGCCTTTTTTGAGTTTGACAGTCGGGTCAGCAGCGCCGTCTCTCATGTGCGTCTCGTGGGATACTCGCAAGACATTCAGGACGTCCAGTTACGATGCCCCTGGCGAAGAAGCCCCAAGTGCATGCCCCCATCCGCTCTCTTTCCTTTCTCCGCCGCTCCTCATTCGCTCGCTTGTGACACCAAAGCCGAGAGAAAAAATCTAGACAACTGTGAGATGCGTCATGTGTTGACTCGTGCTTTGACCATTTACATGTGTTGGTATGTGAGCATCCTGGACATGTCCGGCGCTTTTTTCATTGTTCCGGCTGTGCCTTTGAGCCTCATCAAGATAACAATTAACAGCACGCCTGAGAATATGTGAACTTGCAGCTGAATACATTTGGCGCCAGAACACTTCCTTTGGGAGCCTCAAGACAGCTGTCGAGCCGCCAGCTGCAGAACGAGCGCACATGGCGTCACTAAAAGGCCCTTGTGGCCACTTGTCCCACTGCTTCCTCGTGGAAAAATGCCAGTTCATTGTATTGGCCATATTAGCCACACTGGCGTAATAGGGAAGGCTGATACCACGCTTTGCACGTCCCTTCCTACCCTTTCGTGCCGATACTCATGCGGTCGTTCCGATTGCGTTAGGTTCATAAGCCCTCTTCCCGCAAAGAACATACGCACACCACAGAGCTAGATTCAATGCTCAGCGTGCTTTCAACTCCTCATACGTCCTACCAGTCCGTCTGGAAAAAAAGTCAATTGTTCATAAACAGTCTATAAATCCGGTCGGCGACACGGTGCCATGCTGACGCCAGTATCTCTTCAGTGGAAAAGGGGGTCGGACATAAACACTTTTCTTCCCCGTCAACTTCGGATCTTGAAGATCTTCGCGAAGAACCGCATTGTCGCCGTACAAGCATTTATCGATGCGCTCGGAAAGGATCGGACGCGCGGATGCGTGTTCAGCGAGAGGCTGCACCTTGTCAACGTCTGTACGCCCTGTCCGCCTCAAGCTCATTCAAGGAGAAGCAGGAAGAAGTCCTTGCACGTGCTGACGTCGTAATTCTCCCTTCCATGACAGGTCTTCGATGTGTGGTGATTCCGTGTCTCTACAGGGGCCCCGGAGACTTTTTTCGCCGTTTTCTTTTCTCGCGGGGTCTCCCTTTCTCCAAATCGACTGACCTTGGATCACGATGCTGAAAAAGGCTCTGAGGAAAAAAAAAAAAAAAAAAAAAAAAAAAAAAAAAAAAAAAAAAACCTCAGCAAAGCGAGACAGGAATGGAACACATCGCGAAGTCGGGCATGACTTTCGAGCCCATGGCTCGTAGGCAGATGAACGCCTTTATATTCAGCTTCACCGCCAGAGGGTGGCTGCTTCACTCGATTCAGGACACATATTGCTGGAAGGTGAAATATCCCTGACCGGCCGATGAACAAACGACCCAAGAGGTGAAACGGGAATCCGGCGTGCTCTTTGGCAGTGATATGCACTATCTGCCCTGTCACGCTGGTACGTATAGCCGACGCCGTTCCTTCATCATTCACAAACAGTTTTGGGAAGTCCGTTAGGCTTTGCTGGCCGATCTAGTGATAGCAGACGCGACCAAGCTGTCAAAGACTGCTGCGCGGATGAACCTACCGGACCATGAGGGTAAAAACCCCTCGATCCAATGCCGTCAGCGGTACTATTTGTCCTGCCTGTGGCTCGTACCCGTCCAACTCTCTGTTTGGCTAATCCTGTCCATCTTTGATGTAGTGAGTCACTCGTCTTTGCTCGGCAATCTGAATACCAAACCCCTCTCCTTGACTGTCGCGGCCTCAGATCGTCATCTTAAAGCTTTTTTACGTGCTCACATACGCGATGCTATAGCCGCATAGGGAGATGGAGCGCGGATTCATTCAAGAGGTTTGTCTAGACGATGCCAAAGACCTTATGTGCAACCTCGCCTGGCTCATCGAGCTAGTTGTAGGCGTCGCAATCGCTCAGATTCTCGTGTAAGGAACATATGTTAGAGGAACGCGACTGCCGATATTGTGAACGTAGACAATAGAACTCTAGAAGGTGACTCCGTCAGGCACTTGGCATATTGCTCTTTTGATTCGAAGCGACAAGCAGGATGGCAGGAGAGACGTTCGGGAAGAATTAGATACCACAACATTATCTTTTGGCAGCATTTCCCTAACGTAGATTTTTGCGGAGTTTTTTCATTTGAGAGACGTAGACATCAAGCTCGATATGAAGCTCCATGTCAGTCAGTTCTAGAAGCTCAGTCTAATTGTTTTGAGTAGCTGTCTCATTCATTCTCCGCTTCCAAAGTCCCGGCTCTGAAAGAGTCAAAACCAAGCTTACACGCGCCTGACTTAGACCGATCGCAGGATTGGAAGACGAAAGTTCTTTCAGCAAATGTGAAATACACCAGATCAGGCATCGTCATATGCTTAAAAGTGCGCGTTTGCGCATAGAAGTTGAGTTTCATCTTAAGAGCGGACTGCCTACGATACATTCGAGATCATCTGCTCGTGGGCATAACCAAGTTCCAGCTTGACATGTGCGACAGACGAACACGGCATCGAAGACGTGAATGCATCAGCTCAAGAATTTCCGCTCAAGCCAATCCACAATCGGCTTTGTCATTTCCTTTGGTGCCTCATAAGGGCTCCAATGGGCGCAGTGGACTATGGGTGCTGCCTCGAGATCCTTTAAATATGGTCTGCTCGCTTCCAGCATTTCCGGTCGGCACACTGCATCACCGTCACAGCCAATGAACAAGTGCGGCACTTTCACGTAGTAATTTTTCTCCGGAATCTGGCTGTCGCATTCAAATTGGATATTGTTCTTCGTGGCAACGTAGTAATTCTGTGCGCCGACGAAACCGTCGTTGCCCAGACGGTCGATGAAGTACTTCCTGAATGCAGGGTCCTGTGCATAAGCACGTACTTCCGGCATGGGCGAGGAGCTATTGAGATATTCGGGGAAGGCGTTTCCATTTGTGAAGAAGTCCTTCATGGAGGACTCGCCCTGCGCATGAAGCGCGGAGTAAAGGCGGTCCACCTTGCTCTTCAGTAGAGCAGGCGCTTCAGGGGACGTGAAGAAGTGCCAGTACTGGTAAATGGGATACCCGAACAAGCCCTTTGTGAGCTCATTTACGGAGTCGAGATCAAATTTCGTCTTGCTTGGGGGAAGATACGCAACGTTGAGCAAAATCAGCCCGACGACACGCTCTGGATAGTAGTTGAGGAGCCGTGACGCAACCGCAGCCCCCCAGTCGTGGCCTACGACAATCACCTTGGATACTTTCTCCACGTCGAGGATCTCGGTGAGGTCCTTGCTTACGAGGTCGTGCCGGTATTGTGTTGGATCAGCCGGCTTGTCGGTTCCGCCGTAACCGAGGAGATCAGGAATGATGAGGTTGAACGGCAGCTCGCGAAGGTAGACAGACATCTTCTCCCACAGTCGCGCATCGTCTGGCCAGCCGTGGCAGAACAAAAGGGATGGGAGATTGGGATCGACTTTCTGAGTGCCGCCCGAGACGTAATAACGATATGTGAAGCCGCGAGAGACCTTGATGGTCTTCTCGTTGAAACCCTCCATGGCGCGCAACAGCTGCAATTTCCAATGGGTTTGACGCTGCGAATTCGAATACTCTGTCAGCGCAACACCAAGGTGTGCTCAGTCGCCCGTTCAAGTATATATAAACGGTTCAAAACGCCGATGAAAGTGGGGTATCAGCACTCGGTGCAGTGGGCTTACGTAGGCTGAGGCTCGGATCTGGTGGCCAACGGGGCTTACACATGAAGCCGATCTTATTATTTTTATGTAGCCAATGTTGAGACCTGGGACTTCGAGTTAGCTTTGTCGAGTAACATGAAGTGTCATCCAAGTGCGGGTCAACCATTCCCCTCCCCCCAGGTCAGCAAGTGTCAGCCGTAGCATCTGGGCACGAGCACGGGGCACGGCCACGGACATTCGCACCAAAACCGGATTAAGAGTGGGGAACATTTTTTTCAGCTGCCACAGGCATAGAGTATGGAGTAGAAATCTACTCGGTTTGTTCTGTAAGGCCACTTATCTTACTGTACTTGGAGGAGAGTCATGATGAAGGCAAAGTCGGTTGAGGCGGCGCGGTTCAACTCCGCTCAATTCCATGGGAGGAGCGCGTGCTCAAATCCAGACCGAAGTGAGACGCCGCGTCATGTGAGTACAGCACGAACGACATAAGCTTGACACAAAGCCATCCCGCAGAGTTCGTCACGGCGTTTGTTAGCCCTGCTAGAAAGACTCGCAAAAGCGAACCAGTAACTATGTCAAGTCAAGCACAAGGCAGGCCAATTCGGAGAATTGTGATTCACAAGCAGAATTATACAGGCAAAAGAAATCCATGACTTGTACATAATTCATACATCGACTTTCTTCGTTTTGAACACTGCAGCAACAGCACCCTTTGGTGGTTCCCATCCATGGTCAAATTTACAGTACTTACCACCTGCAGAAGCACGCAAGGCTCGGACTGTGCTTTCAACAGCCCTTCCTTCCTTCTCACGCTGAAGCCACTGGCGTACATCAATTCCTTTGCTCCGTATGACATCATCTTCATCTGTGTTCTCCTCGCCCCTGAGCCATAGCAACAACTCGGCGGCAATTACCCCAGCAGGAATCGAGCGTACAGCAGCAACATCGCGTGGGATCATACCTTGGGCGATGTTAACATATGTCAGGGATGCCCACGAGCCGTTCCAGTTCGGTCCAGGTCCTTCTTTGCTCTCTGCAAACTCAGGCTCGTCAAAAGAACTATGGGATGCCGTATTACTCCTGGAGGGTCGAAATGTTCTGTCCACCCATCTGTCGTTTCGGCCTTGGCCATCAGCATTGGTCCACGTCAATGCTGGAATCCATTCGGAGCAGCCTTCCAGATCAAGGTGCTGTAGACGGTATGTATTCTTGCTCAGACGCTTCAAAATACTAGCCGCCTCGGCCCAGTCATCATCAAGGCGACTGTAGAAATGCGTACCACTTACTGGGATAGACGCGTGATTATGCGTTATGAAGGCTGACTTCAAGTTTGGTGTCGTAGTTGGCAATGGCCAATATGCCAATGATAAGTGCGTCAATGTATGAAGGTGCGCCGTCAACGAAAGCAACTGGCTCCAAGATGCAAAACTGCCAGCATGGGCGAGACTAAGACGGGCCAGATTGGGAAAAGATTTGAGTTTTAAACCAGTATTCGGTACGTCCGCCATCGAGGCAGCGTCCTCCCACGACTCGGCAAGCTCGTCATTGATGTTGTCTGAGAGTGGTTGAGACTCTATATCAAGAGTTTCCGCGGCCAATGTGGACTCTTTGACGAGCTTTGGTTTCTTGTATAAAAACTTCTCAAGATCTGCGATGGTAAAGGACGCTGTAATAAGCCCAGACAAGTCAAAACAGGCCACTTCTTCGCTCCCAGTAGCACCATTCAATTCATTTTCATCTAAGAACAAGGTCCTCAGACTCGAGATTCTGATGCCATCATCGGGACCGTAGATACTTAGATAGCTAAGCAAAGCAGACTTCCATCGCGCCGGAAGAGTGGCGAGGTTGAGCTGTTCGTACACAGAAATGAATTCCCATTCCATTGCCATGACACGTAGTGTACAGTCAATCAGGCTGCCTGGATTCGGCAGCAAATTTGGTGCTTCAAGCACTAGTTTCGGAGGCACATCTGGTTTATATCTCGTCGCCAATCGATCTCTCATGCCGCTCTTAGCTTTTGTCTTGACATCCGGGGGTGCGTGTAGACTTGCTGCGAGCCAGCTCCGCGGTGCTGGTGGGCCTGGTGGCATTCTAACCCCATTGATTCTCATCGCCCTCCTGGCGCCAGGCTTGGGGAGTGGTGGCGCGGTTTCCGGAACATCTAGTATGCGACGTAGATGTGGTGGAAGGGTATGGGAGGTTGCCAGTGTGGCTATCTCATTCCGCTGTTCGATCGTAGGGCGAGGAGCCTGCTCGGCACGAAGCTGCGCAAGCCGTTCATTGACGGTTCTGGTGGACCCAGAGGAGTCCTTTGGCGAGGCGGGGCGTGATAGATTCGTAACCAAGGGCTTAAACTGATGATTGCGCTTCTTTGGCATATAGCCGAAAGGCAATTGTTCAATAGTGATCTAATTTTGAATTTTTGGTCAAGATTTTTGATTGACCACCAAATTTATACCGAATCTTGCGTTGAATGGGCGAGCAGCAGCGGGAGATGATGAGTCAAGTTGATGTTGACCTCGACGTGAGGCAAAGAGTGGCGCATGAACGGGAGCTAAGATCTTTCTAGGAACCAGACTTACTCGCTCAAATGTTTCGCTTCTAAATCACTATCTCAGCATCGATAGTCTGCTCTCTTCTCTTACTCGACCATCTCTCATGATTTGAAGGCATGTAGCTAAAAAAACTACCAATATCTCAAGATAATCATGACCTTTATTCTCAGAGCGCTGATTCTTCATCCCCAGGAGCTACTGCGTAGAAGTAGTAACTAAGAACTGATTTCATGCCAGGGGAGACTCGTTCGCCTAAGCATCGGATGCAATAATGGAGTCATTTTTTAGAGCAAAAACCTTCCAACAGTGAACAAGAGTCTGCGATCACAGCCGAAAGCCACTGTCTCAGAATGAAAGCACGATGATAATGCCCGTTGGAGAGTATGGTTCGAGGCCAAGCTCTGACAGCTAAAAAAGAAAGTCGTTGCCTTTAATTCTAGATGCCATCTGAAAATAACTATCGAAATCCTCCGACAATGTTGGAATGGTTCATGTTACCGCCATTACCAAATGTGGTATCCGGACTGCCGGAAACACTCTCATCGCCACTAATTCAACTGCCCACATTTAGCTCGCTGATCGAAAATTCGAAATCAATCGAAACCACAACGCCGTAACACCTTGCTTGAGCTCTCTTGGCTCTTCTCTGGTGCAGTCCCTTATGAATCCTTGTCAAACTCCGCTCGGCCAGCTTACATGCCTGCCGTCCTGGCTGAGTTTCTACTCGCTATTGGTGCCGATTACTTAGCGAAATGTTGTTACACTAGAGTTTTGAGCGAGGCGTAGTTCTCAAGGGTGGACCAGTCAGGCTTGAACGGCTTCGAGGACGAGCTTTCGGTTGCCTTCTGCTCGGACGTTGCGGATTTGGTTTCTTTGCTCGAAGGACTTAATGTGGAGGCCGTGCTCGAGAATGATGTCCGCCTGGAGGACTTCGCCTGTTCATCGGACGAAGTATCCTTAGCAGGCTTGAAGAGTTTCGAAATAGACGGCATGGTTATTGTATTGAATTGCGAGAGCTCTCAGTCAAGGGTCTTGTCGTTGGATGAAAATTTATATCTGAAGGCAGATGATAGGAAAATAGAGTCGCTAAATATATTCTTATTGATTGAAGTGTTTTGATAGAGACGAGAGAAGTTATTTCACCGGCTAGGTCTAGACTTCTTTTATACGCGTCGTATCGTACTCACCTTATCGATCACGCAAGACTTATTCAACTCCGAAATACCATGTCTCCCTCCTATTTCGCCTCGTACTCACCTTTGCTGCCTTGAGTCACCTTATGTGAGCGGTCTCCTAGATCAAGCAAGGTCGCTTGCAAATCCATACCACCCCAGGAGCTACTAGCCTTGGTGCTGCGGAATAAGCTGACCCAGCATTGGAAAGACACAGCAAGGGTCCGAGGTACTAGTCTTGATTCAGAAGAATTCCGTAAACTCCGAAGAAGCATTGCCATGAATTAAACTGACCTCTGCATCACCGGTCAAACTAGTGCAATCCTTTTCTGCTGGACCTCCATTTCCTGCTGTGCCTGGGGTCAGAAAACTCGCGGAACTCGCATGGCGTTGGGTCTTTCAGCAGTCCCTCTAGAGAATGACTCCTCGACCTATCCTCCTGTTATGCAATGGACTAGCCGAGTCACAAACACCTGACATGAATATGACGAATTTACGAACATAAGTTTTACGACGCAACACCGATGCTTAAACACAGCACTGTGCTTTGATCGTTGGTCATAGTTCGGATTGTTGCAGCTGTTCACGTCTGTTTTGCTTGAATCAGACTACAAATCCTGTTTTGGGCTTTCAGATCGACCAAAACATAAGCAAGTTCCCGCAATTAGATAATTCAGTCATTTCTCTTTCGTTGCAACCGCTCCTTGAAGAGCGGGTTGAGCTGTTTCTAGATTTTTTTTCCATGTCTTGGTTTCGCGGCTAATGTGTGAATCACTCGATTCGTCGGTCACAATAGTCATAGAAACATTTCTATGCTCCGGACCTAGAGAACACAAGCGAGCAGTAGCGAACAATCATAGTATTCTTAAATGCTTTGATCTCTTAGCTTCTCTCAGTTGATTCATGGTAAAAATACATAAGCATCTTATCGGTAATTTTGGGTGGAAATGACCTCATGGAAAGCTCCTAATTACCATTTCCCGTTCTTCTCAATCCTCTTCGCGGCTTTCTTCATATCCCAAACTCCAGGCTTGACGAGCGCATGCCGAATAGGTTTTGGCGTCATTCTGACCACAATCTTGGTAGATGGCTCGAAAATCTGATGTTCGAATCTCTTGAACTTGCCATATTTGAAACCATATCCCTCCCTGATTCTAGGAGGCAAGAAATGAATGGTCATAACGCGCATGTAGTGAGTGAAAGGGATGCTTCCGGGAGCTAAGATCCAGGGCAGCTTTGGATACATCAACATGTTAGCAAGCTCTCTCGCCCAGTGTGTCACCTCCAGAGTCTCGACGTTGTGGTTCCAGTAGGCATAGAATTCTTCAAGAGTTTCGAACCACATCTCAGGGGGCATCCGCAATCCTGTGCCGAAAACCGCGCACTCTTTCATGAGCTTGGTTTTTTTCGGTCTGGACATGGGTCCAAAGAACATCTCGTACACATCGTAGAAAGCGACAAACAGTGTTGCCGCAGTCCACTTGTGCAACTCTGGGTCGTCGGCGTAATAAGCATCACCTTCGCTGTCCTTGTCGGCTTTGACAACGGCGTGGTATCGATGAATAACTGACGCAATATGAGCCTGGTCCTCTGCAGTCCCGTAGACAACAGAGTTGAGGTATCGTGTTGTGTTCACAAGCCGCCTGAGAACTCTGTTCGCAAAGTCGCTATGCTCCAATGATCCCCTCGCTAGGCCGTATTTGCACCACTGCATAAGGATTGAATACTGGCTCGCCAAGAACATGACTGGTTCTGGCATGATCTCCTTTCTCAAGATATCTGGTTCGCAAATTTGCTTAAATGCAGCAGTCGCTTTCTCGACGTCATTTTTATTAACGCTGTAGTGCTCAACACCGTTCAACAAATGAAGATCCTTTTCTGTGTAGCCTGCTGGACACGCCATGGTGATGATGTTGCAAACGATGCCAGAGTGATGTGTTTCACATCCCATACAGCACATATACATATGTATTGAGTAATACTTATCAAGTATCTCGACCTGGTCGGACATATCCGGATAGCCCTGTTCGCGATCCTCATTTAGGCAATTGTACCAGAATCATCATTCTGATTTGCAGTGCTTGATTTGCCAGCGGTAGAATTTCTACTTTCAGTATCCCAGCTGCGGATCCGAGGCTCTAGCACCGTGCATATGACGGAATTTTTACTCGGCCAAAGCTGAATCTGTGTACACGAGGAATATAAAGTATACAACAGCAGAGCGATCGTGACCCGGCACCATTGAGATGCTTCTGTTCTGTCAGGTCCAGCCAAGCCACGAGAAATTAGTTGCGGCAATTAGCTCATTGTGGTATGCCCTAGACTTTGCTTAGCCGTCACACGACACACCTTTTGCTGTTAATCGGGTTCCAAACCACATTATGCTGTATTCAGCTCCACCGAGCATGCAAACTTTACAAGCCTGCACTTGTGTCCACATATGACCCGCGGGAGTATTGCTCGTTCCGTCCGGTAACGGTGGGATCCATGGCAAATATGATCGAATTTTCCGCGAGTGAGGAAGTATTTTGTGGAGGCTTAGCGCTCGCATTGAGAAGATCAAAAAGGGTACCAAAGGAGCTCTTCGCTACCTGAGTAGGGTCAAAGTCTGACTTTTGTAGATATTGCGAGATGCTCGTCGAATCAAGCTTTGCCGGTAAAGGTACTCCAGCACTCCTCAATCCAGACACGAGAATGTGGCAAGATAGATCAGCTGCAATGTACTGCTCTTGAAGTTGTTCAATAACCGACAGACATATGCACAACTTCGAGAGGGCTTCGGCATGGATCATCTTGAAAGGTGAGTATATAGCCGCTAAGTGCACCACAGCTGCAGAAGAGGTCACGGTAACCCCGATTGGCTGTGAGAAACGAACAAGGCCCATCGCCGATAGTTCTCCAGCAATCTGGGTGATTCTGAAGGCCGCGGTCCGTATCTCTTGGATTACTACAGCCCCTGTTGAATCCGTTGGAATGCCACCATTTTCAAAGAAATCAGCAGGGGTTGGCGCATTCATCGAAACAAGAGGCCGGTAGAATAGCAGCACCGCAGTAGAATACAGCATAACAAGAGTTGCACGATGGAGCAGAAAGCTGTTATGTCCAATGTTGTCGACAATAGGCTGCTCGGGGTTGGTATATGAGATAACACTTGGCAGTGACCTTGCCCATTCCTTCAACTCCACATCGTATGGTGTCAAACGTGGACCGTCCGGGGAATCTTTCCGCGGCATCAAAGCCATAGTGGTTTTTTTGTTGCCTTGGCTTTCGGGGGACGTCCCCTTGTCAATGCAGACGGTGGAATAGCGATCCCTAAGAATATGGCCTAGGATGACACACAGCTTAGCTTGCTCGATACACCACAGTGCGACTTTATGCTGCCTTTCCGCATCTCTGGGAAATGTGGTTTGAGGCGGGCATTCAATATCGTCGGGTAGAACATTTATGCAGAAGTCATCGACAGTCAGTTGAGGCATATCGTAGTCTTCCTGTTGGATTTGTATGTTGCGACGCAAGGCAAGAGCCGTCAAGCGGTCCCTCGAAAGAAGCGACCACCAAACACGCTTTCGTAACGATATTTCCTGTCGACTCATGTCTAGACCTGAAGGATCTTTGTTCAAGCCCATTTTTGTCGATGTGCCGATTGCTACGCCGATCCAATGCCAGATGTCTTTCTGACTGTCCGCACTTTCAACCCAGTAGCTCATCAGTATTAGCGTCTGTATGATCGCAATTTGCCCTGTATCATAGCCGAAATCATACAAGAGCTATATTTTTCATCCTTGTTAGCTCATGACCTACTCATGCCAGAGCTGACTTCTTATCTTACCTTCACCTTCCTAAAAAATGACTTTTTGGCATCCTTGCGACTCTCAAAGCCTGCACTCCGTAGCGATGCCATCTCTACAAATCCAACTCCGGCAAACATAATAGCTTGAAACACAGGCAAACTGACATGTCCGCCACTACCATCTCGTCGCGAAATCGCTCGGAGAATATCCGACAAGTCCACGATAGGACTCCAAGGGTACACCCATTCTATAAAGCATGATAGACACTCGTCCCGTAAGCGTTGGTCAGGAAGTATCAATGCGCCCGATCTCTGTAAGTACCCGAAATCGTCCAGCTCAATACGAGATGACGGCGGCTTGATCCACCCTGGTAATTGCGAAGGGTCGTCGTGGTAAAGAGGAACCGGAGCCGGTAATGAGTCAGAAGGCACAGATGTATAAGGTTGCATGCAATAAACAATTTCATTTGCTCTCGTAAGACCTGGTACGGACGGGAGAACCAAGTCACCACTCACGGTTTGTAAATCATCTTTGCGAATTCAGTCAGCTTTCTTTATGTCTAATGCCGTTGGAAAAAAAAAAAAAAAAAAAAAAAAAAAAAACTCACTTGCGTGGAAGTTATGGAAAGGATTTGATTCAACCAGATTGATTTGATCCCGCACGCGGGCAACAGATTGACGCCAAGTATCGACTTGACTATCACCATCGCGCCGAGTGTCGACAGGAGGATCTGCTCTGACGGGTCCTGCAATAAACCCTCCAAGATACGATTCAACCTTAGAGTCTGCGTATGAACTATAAAAACATAGGATTAGCAACTTCGCAGGGTGGATCAAATTAGAGTTTCGCTTATCGTCTGGCGAGGGCTTCGCATACACTCTGGTTTTGCCTATCGTAACAATGCATTCAAGGTTATCCGCCCGACAGTTCATACACGGCGAGCCACTCTCAGACACATCGCACCGGACTTTCCTCGCGCGACAGCTCTGGCAAGCGGCGGGGGCTCGCCTTCGAGCTGGTTTCGACTTTTCTATCCGATTCTTGGATGCGCTTCCAACGCGATGCAGCTTCGATACCGGTTGGGGCTGTGACATCTTTGTTATCGTACGGAATCGTCGCTCATGAAGCTCAGGATCGATGGCGAATGGGTCAGAGGATGAGGTACGAGATGGTCCGCATGACTTACATTACGAAGAGATGCAATCCAAAGGTAAAGGAGAGCTACGATGTCTCGACCTCGGCCTCAACCGGGCCAAGAGCTAGGGTACATGATCGCCCCAAGGTTTCGTCGAGGGTGTATGGCACTGGAGTTCGCTATAGCCATAATTTATGAGTCCAACATAGATGACCTCGTGCTTCGTTCAGACTAAGATTGGCAAGATCTACAGAGCCACCGAAAATGTGGATGTGGGGCAGCCTGTCATTTTCACCAACATTGTCTGTGTTGACACGCTTGAGACCAGTGGACTGACAGTACTGACTTAAGAGGCGACGAAAGTGTTTTGTCACATGACCTCGAACGCTCGACAATCCAAGTTGAGTTACACCGAATCTCGGTGACCAGGAACACGAAGCATACGCACCTCAAGTTGAGGCAGCAATGAACATCTCGTTTAATAATACCATTGTGGATTTCGGCGATTCGAACAACGTCACGCAGCAGCACCGACGCAATGGAAAACTTCAGTCTTGCGAACCGTGTCGGAAATCAAAACTACGGTGTGACCATGTCATTCCTGCATGCGGAAGATGCGTCAAGAGGCGCCGTGTGGAGAAATGTGTCTATCATCCCGCTCCGTTGACGCAAGTAAGTATGCCTATTACAGATTCCTCCGGGTAATCTTCAGCGTTGACCAATTGTTGACGCGGATATTCCTGGTGCCTAGTGAGCAGTCGGTAGTACGTACACCGGTTGGTTTTGTTTAGACCAGTAGAAATTCATTCCAATATCACTGTAGACAACTAAGCAAAATCCATTGTTGATGTAACGTATTTAGTGTGTGATGTATATCATAGTTCTTTGCAAGGTTAACCGAATTACAGACAAGAAATTCATCTTCACGGCGTCTGCCAAGTCCTGCTTCCAGCAGCGCAGTAGTTGTGCCTAATGTTATTGAGTCTGTAGAGATAACGGTTCATGACCAGTTGCAACGGGTGCCATCGGGTCTAATTCAATCATCAATTCACCTTCCCCCACGTGCAAGAGCTGTGTCTGCCCCAGTCGCCCTGGAGGACCGAAGAGGCTCGACAGCGAAGGACAACCCGGGATTCTTGGGCTTGACGTCCTACTCTGCTGTCTTTGAAGCAGACTTGGAAAATTTAGGAGTTTCAACATTCGAATTACGTGCTCGTGATTCCGTTGAAACGATTCCTTTATCAAGCGAAACGATTCTTCGCGGGTGCAAAATCTTATCGATTTTCAAAGATAGCCTGATGGTAAACCGATTCATAAATAAGTTTCAAGAGGTGTCCGATAATTCTGGAGAGGCCGTGATATTCCCAATCGTCAGGCAATGGTTGAAGGACCTTTGGACATACCACCGTGATACCCTTCGCGATCAGAATCCCGCCGCGATTAGTCGTCTTTGTGAGCGTATCTGGAGAAACACGCAAAGCCCTCTCAATTACGATGGCAATACGACGGCCAAAAAATACGCCTCACTAACTTCTGGTCATAATCTGCGATGGGAGGTAGTTGGGCTCATTCTGACTGATATAGGTCTGGCTGCACAGAGCACAGACCCTTTGGACGACATCTTCCGCGAGCATAATACCACCCGTGAAGCAATTTCGAAACGGACTTACGAAGCTGCACAATCTTGTTTATCCTTTTGCAGAGATTCTGAGTCACGGGACGACCTGTTCCTATGGTTTCTCAACGAAACATGCTGGCTGACGTCCTCCGTAAAAGGGTCGAGCAGCTACGCGGCGTATCAGCAAACGGGAGAAATGATCAACGCCATGCTCGCGATGGGATTCCAACAGGAAATCAAGGCCGACTCACGCACACCGTTTTTCATAGCAGAGCTGCGGAAGCGAAATCGAATATCCGTATACGGACAAGAGGTTGCCCTGGCCTCGATGCTCGGACGACCCTGCCGGCTGTCGCATCGATATACCAGTCTGGAATTGCCTCTCGACTTGACAGACGCGGAAATATTTAGCGAAGGCGAGCAGCTTCGCGCAGCCCTTGCCAAGCTCGACAGCGACGGCTGGAGGGTGCCCAGCGAATGGAATCGAACGACGTACATGCGTGCCAACATGTTGCACGCACCGCGACGTGAAGACATCGTCGATATCTCACTTGGCAACTACAGTACGGAGGAGATAGTTGTCCGAGTTGCGCAGATCAGGGAGCGATACGCTGCGGATTGGGCCAGGGCGCCGGAGATGATACGCGTGGCGAGGGAGACGCCGGCAGGCAAATCAACGAGCATTGTGCACGCTCTGTACATGAACGTCGTGCGTCACGGGTACCTGGCGAACGAGCTGCTGCTGCAACAGGTGCTGATTCGCAAACTCGGCACGTCCGCAGATGAGCTGATCAAGTTCGCCCGGCTCATTTTCAAGGACATCATGGCGCTGTCTGGTCGTCATGAGATGCTGAAGGAGTATCGCATGGACTTCATCTGGCTGCTCGCAGCGCATGGCCTCCGCTCCGCCGCCATCCTCGCCGTCGAGCTTTACAAACAGGAGCAGCTGCCTGTCTACCCGGCCAACCCACGGCTGCCCCGTGCTGAGACAATACGCGAGCTGAGCATCTTCGTCGACCGCCTCTCCGCCATCGAGGACAGCGGCATGCACTCTTTCACTGAGCAAGGCAGGAGGGTCATAAACTGCATCTTGGACAAGATTCTGGCCCCGCCCCGGCCTCCCCCTGCCGCCATGGCCACCCCTGCGACAGCAGATGCCGCCTCTACAACAGCTGCGGACGGCCCTCCGTTGATGCAAATTCAACACGGCACGACCTTCGGTGACTTTGAGGGCATTAATTTCGGCGAACTGGACGCATCGATCAACTTCGGCAATGATGCAGACTTCATGCACTGGCTTGATACGATGGATTGGGAAAAGCAGGGTGTACCTGGCATCAGCGGTTCCGGCTCAACTGGATTCTAGCTTTGGTCAATCTTCAAGATGATCATTCGCAACCTCCCCATTTTGTCGGCGATCATCGATTTATTATAACTTTTTCATCCTCTGTGCGACATTGTTATCTGATGGGAGTCAATGTGCCAACTGAGACAAGATGCCAAGGCCAGTCGTGCACATTAGAATATTTCCCTCATCGCACGTATCTGAATCTCCTTTTTGCGCTAGTGTGTAGGTTAGGTGAAATCAGAAAGATCTCAAAGCTACCGACACTCAACCACGACTCTCCCGCGACCCGAATTAAACACACTGAGTAAGATCGACAACGAAAACGCTTTTCAACTTGTTTTGATACTGCTCTCGGTCCAACAACATGCGCTGAAAAGAGAGCTTCCCAAAAACACAAATGCTCGCAACTGCTTGAGACTAAGCTGAAGACGTCGGATGGCCTGCGGCTGCTGCCGCCGCCGCCGCCGCCTTCTCGGCTTTTGCTTGCTTCTTTTCCTCCTTCCTAAAGTCCCTACTCTCCTTAGTGATGTAGTACGGCAGCAGCGGAATGCTTCTCCATCTGTTCTTCTTGACTGGGGTCTTCTTCTCCGCCTCGTGCGCAAGCCGCGTTTGTTGGGCCGCGTCCGTGTCAACCACTTTCTGCTGCTGGAGTGTTAATTCGCGCTCGAGTTCCTTCTTCTTGCGCACCGGTGGCGGCACATGTACGGGCAAGGTTTCAAAGTCGGAACCGGGACCGGAAGCCTCGGCGGCCTCCTCGTTCGCACGCAAGCGCCGCCTTCGCACCTCCTTCATCGCCGTGTGCGTCAGCTGCTGGCGGAACATCTTCTCGATGACATCCTTCTTGCGCGTTCGCTTGTCGCCTACGGAGATGAGAATACCGCCAGTGATATTACACGTCAGGCTGCAGCACAGGATGAATGTAGTTAGCCAGAAAGGGCGAGTCTTATAGTCGATACCCCATGTACACGCTCCCAACGCGATCTGGAAACACGAGTGTAAATCTAGCAGCACGACGATGGTGATGAGGAGTCGCAAGGGGAAGGCATGGTGAGTCTCCGTCTCGTGCGGTTTGTAGAAAGTATGACTTCGAGCGAAGATAGTTTGATGGTGGACCAGCTTCTTCTGTTGTGCGGGTGTAAGTACGGAGTACTCCCAAGCTCCTCTATGCTCGCGCCGCTCCTCCTTTGTTTCAACGGCTGCATACTCAAGATCCTCCTCATTGTCGTTACGTTTAACAGGTAGATCGTTTCTGTCCTGCAGCTTTGGAAGGTGCTTCTGACGGCGGATTTTCCACGAGAGTCTGTGGTAGTACGCAATGTAGGCCATGTGGTAGGTATCTACGGCGCGGAAAGGCGCGAGGCCATCACCCATGATGGCGAAGAGGGCAACAAGGACGTTGTCTACAACGTTGACAATATAGTCCTTACGAGAGCCGAGTGATATCCAGCCGATGAGAAAGAGGACCCACGCAGCGCCGAAGAGAGTGATCAAGGTGGCGTACAAGGTGATGAAGAAACCAAGTGCTGTAGCTTATTAGATGTGGTCTGAAACAGGAACAAAAAAGGCGGATGGCAACTTACGTCTCTTTACATACTGTCCGAATCCCTTCAGACCACGCTTGAATGCTGCCCTGCGCGAGTGAAGCATATGTCTGACAAGATCGTTGAGCTCCGCCTTTTCTTCGGGAGTCCAGCCTGCCAAGGTTTCTCCGTGCGGCAGCACAGCATACCTCGACTCGCTCAGCGTCGACGAGATTGTGCTCGTGTGTGTAAGACGCGGCCGCATATTGCTGTCGTTCGAATCGACTGTCTGACCCTGAGTCATCCCGTCCGCCACCTCCTCTGCTTCCTCGTCCACCGGCTCTGTCTCAGAGGTGCCCAGCCGGGATTCCGCAAACTCGCCCATGGCCGCCTGTTGGCGTGTGAAATTATAAGTCGGTCTCCTGTTAACGAGTCGACCCAGATTCGGCACGAACAGTGAGTTCTGAACGTTCGTGAGGGTAGAGAGCGTCGCGACTTCAGGATCTACATTTCCAACTTAGTACACACACATGGCACAGAAAGGCAGCCAGATCGACGACAAACTTACCGATGACATCCAGGAGGTCCACCATCTCGGAATCATATTCGTCTTCGTCATACCTTCTGTCAACAGATGCCGCATCGCTTTGGCTCATTCGACTCCTCAGGCTCTCGACACCAGGAACCCTCCTTACGGCGTTGCTCAGACCTCTCATTACTCTGTTCCTTGGAGGATCCAACCCCTCCATGTGCGGCTGCAGATGCCCATCGAGTTGATCGGCAGCTTCTGTAGACCCGTGCAGCGCCACGTGTGGACTCAGATGGCCCGCCATTTCACGAGGAACTCTCAGTGAGCTCCCTCTGTTCCTTCTTGAGCCGGCGGCACTGCTGCTTGGTTGGCCAGGGCCCTCAGATATGGTGGGCATCTCATTGACGGTGGACATGCGAGCGAGTCGCTCAGCAGCATCGGACTGTGAGTACCACGACGGTCGCTGCGGTTCCGAGCTGCTCCTTCGTCTTCCAGGGGCTTCCTCTGGGATATCGTGAAGACCAGTGTTAGCTGCAGACGCAGCGGGCATGGCAGTCGTGCTGGTGGACTCGATTGAGCGAATCGACGAGGAAGACGGATTTCTGCGTATACGCACGCTAGGCCTTGACAGCGATTCGTGAGAGCGCCCAGCGACGGGCCGTCGCAGTATCTGACGTACAGAGTTCATCGGAGAGGAAGGCGACGAAGGGGAGGGCTGGCCCGAAGGCGCCGGAGCCGAAGAGGGCGTTCGTGGAGGCGGACTGAGGAAGCCATTGTCGTCATCGGCGGCGCCGGCCTTCTCCTTGCCGAACATGTGTGCTCGTCACGGCGTGCTACAAGTTTTCCGTGTATCAATTTTGCGCGCAGAAGCTGCGCTGGTGTTGGCTGGTCCTCTTCGGTGAAGTGGGTATGAACTTATGGAGAATGGAGAAGGCCAGTCTTGGCATGTGTTTTGATCCAGACAGAACAAGGGACGACCATGAGAGGGAAAGCCTGCAGATCTAAGAATCAGATAAGCACAAAGGCGTCTGACAGTGGCCCTCACGTCACTTGTGTACGATGTGCTGGAATTTGGGGCAGTGCGGGCGGAGCTGGAGGTGCAGGAGTTTGCTCAGAAGAAATCAGCGCAAGTCAGCACTGCGCAGATAAAGAAACCGGCGATGGAAGTCGAAGGCGACGTCGCGGATGCCAATCATGATGCAGCCGTGCAGCAACCAGCCAAACGCTGCTGGCGGATGCCCCCAGAGCCAGGCCGGTGGCGCGTAGTGACTAATCAAGCGTCTGGCTTACGGTACTTGTATTACAGCCTGTCTCGCTTCTGCTCCCGCTCAGGAGCCTACATCCAAGGATCCTTCGACGTCAATCGCTACCTTTGCTCTGCCTGTTGCCCGTCATTACGCCCGCATGCTCTAGTCAGCGACATGCCAATTCGTCTTGCTCTGCTGCAGTATGCCATACGGTCAACTGAATTTTCCTATGACGCACAACAACAGACCCATCAGCCGTCATGTCTCGATACCGCCTCGCCGCTGCATGGCGCCGCTCTCCTCTGCATGTGTGTATAAGTCTCTCCGCACCCAGTGAAACATCCACGCTCATCGTATCTGCGCCGTACCCCAGCACAGTGCATGGGCGCAGTCCTTGCTCAGCTAGCCCGACTCAGCGGCTTTCCCTAGCCCCTGTGCGCATCAGCGCCAGCCCTTGTAGTAAAATCTTCACATTTCTGTTTCTGTTAAGTTACGGATCGTGGCGGAAGGCTGACAGAGAGACCAAAATCAGCTTCTCTCAAGTAGCGGGTACGATCGTGGAAGCTCGCCACTAACACGTTCGTGCTGAGCTGGGCACTTTGCTCTGAATTGTAACGGCGCCAAATCGTTGTATGATGGCAACTGCCCATGGGAGAACACTGTCGTAAGTACTCCGCAAAAGCGATTTTGATTCCTGCTTGGTAGTAAGCAGAGCGTTTCCTATGACTTACGAGACGTAAGTACCAAGCCATGGATTGTTCTGGCATATTTTCTGTCTTTGTTTGTGTCAGTTATTGGCCACGCAATCTTCAGGTACGCTCATTGCAAAGCGCAAAGGCAGGCGCCATCGCTCGTTAACCATCAATCTCTCACATACTAGTAGCTATTGTATTGTATCCGACTTATGTTAATCAGATTTGTTACTGACGCGTCCACAGAACTTCAGTACGCGATTCGTGCACGTGACCCTTAGTCCAGGACATTTCTATCAACGCAACTCGAAGAACGGCATCTTCGCTCATCTTCATAAACCCTGCAGGCCATGCTTAGGAGAAGGAGACTTCTGAACCTCTTACACATCTCACGGTCGAGATCTTAATGTGCGTTCTCTCTTTGAAGGAGAGAGACCATGTTACTGTTCGTCTCGAGTGCTTCCTCCAGACCTTGCCTGCTGCACTTAGCTGTTGTAACACTGCGCTGCTCGACCCGCTATGTCTCCACAATCGCAGTGGAATCTTTTGAGTCATATGAAGAGTCTCCATCTGATAAATGCCGCAAGAATGACTGTTCATCCTGCGGCATATAAAGCAGAAGTGCATGATTGGTGCGTTATGGAGGTCGCGACTCAAAGGACAGTTACATTGCTGGAGAAACATAGAGTATTTGGAATCAAAATCACTCAAGTCGCTCTCAAGTTCTTGCGGCATCAGCAAGATGTACCATCGCCTCCATATTTCGAAGGCTGGGAGATCCATCTTTGCCCAAGTCCTAGGTGGGTCCATGGTTTCCTCTTCCCACATCAACGATGGGCCTTGAAGCATCACTTTTCAAGAGGACGATACCTGATCTCTCTATCCAACACTCCCTTTCCGCTGTATATGCTATCATTCACGCAAAAGGTAAGGACAATTCGACAGAGTAGTGTATTCAATTTTAATCCGTATACAGCAAGACATCAGATCTATACCGATCTGGTGTTTACGCATCGCTGCAAGACTGTACTGCGAGATTGTTGTTTCGATCCTGCCCCCCGCCCCCCCTCCCCTCCCCCCATCACATGAATGCAACTCCTCACTTTCAGCCAACGAGATTACAAAGAAGACTTGATGCTCTCTGGAGTCTATATGACTCAACATCGTGGTGTGGGGTTAGAAGTTATCCACATCAAACAAATACGCAGGCCAATAGCTTTGCAAAGAAGTTGTTGATCGATCAATGTCCAGCCAGCCGATTTTTTCGTATAAAAGGATCTTCCTCCCACAACCCTCTTTCGACCGTTTGCAACCGTGCTATCACTCTGAAGCTCTTGTTGAGACCACACCTTCAGACTCTGACCTCTTGATCTGACCAATCAAGATTTTATTTTCTTTTAAACAGCAGAATGGGCAACTGCTGTTCTTCCAAGAAGCAAAGCGGAGAGCGCTCCGAGGAGGCTCCGGCCACCAAGGACACCGCCTCCGACGTGTCCGTCCGCTCTATTTTCAGAGATTTTGATGGAGAATGGGCCTGCCTTGGCCCAAAACCTGCGGCGTTCGAGGACGAGTGGAAATACTACATCGTCCTGGGAGAGGCGAAGGCGAAGCTCCCAGCGCACCTGAAAGTTGGGCGTCGCTGAGGAGGCATCGGTCCTTCCTCCTCTGTAAGTCGACCTCGCGGTCTCCAGTTCGGTCTCATCTGAGCACTTGCCAGTTGGGACGTGGAGCACGCAGTAGACAAGCAGTGGAGTGAAGTGACCGCCGGGAGACCTGGCGGGAGGGGCAGTTGGCCACCGCTGGGAGAGACAGCCTCTCTCCTCTGTGAGTCGATCTCGCGGTCTCTGGTCCGGTTGCATCTGAGCGCTTGCCAGTTGCGACGCAGAGCACGCGGTAGACAAGCAGTTGAGTTGGGTTGTCCGGGGAGGGAACCCGGCGGGATGGGCAGTTGGCCGCCGCCGGGAAACAACACAAATCCCTCCTCCCCGCGAGTCGATCTCGCGAACTCTGGTTCGGTCGCATCTGAGCACTTGCCAGTTGCGACGCAGAGCACGCGGTAGGCGAGCAGCGGAGTGAGGTGGCAGAGAATAACCCCGGAGGGGTGGGCAGTTGGCCGCCGCCGAGGATGGGACGGGGATGGTGCAGGTGGCACGGGACTCACAGCTGGTGCGGCCCTTTCTCTTCTGCGAGTCGCTCTCACGGATCCTGGTCCGGTTTGCATCTGAGCAATCGCCAGTTGCGCCGCAGGGCACGTGGTAGGCAAGCAGTTGAGTTAGGTGATCGATCATCATATCACTCGGGTGCGCCTGGGAGTATGAAGATCGAGTCTAAAACTACCCTTTCTCTCAAAAATTCTCATCAAAAGACGGAGACTGACGGTCATAACAGGACTGGCTGAACGGAAGCAAGGAGACCAAATCGGATAGGCCATGGATAGTGATTTTTGAAGTGGAAAGGAGTTCATTCGTGTATATGGTGAGATTGACCGATGGGAAGTGACCATTTAATTGTTTCTCTCGAAAACTCCACGCGACAAAACCTGAAAGTGAAGGTAAAACATGTACAGCTGATTCGAATTTGAGGTTTATCTGATCAAGATGAAGAAGCTGACAAGCGGGCGAACATAACTTGCGCCGACGTAGAATGTGAAGGCCGTGGTCAATGGCGATTCAAGGGGCAAAGGGTACGAACAAAAGACGTCACGTACGGAGTCTTGAAGTGCTGTTGCGATATGGGACAGAGAGAAGAAAACAAGAGGCAAAGCGGGAAGCACAAAGAGAGCAGAGGGGAGAAACAATGACGAACGAGCATTTGCGGCCTTAGGACTCGGCAAGTGTACAGAGGAGCTCCTTCTTTGCTTTAAAGAGGAAGGGGGCCAGGTGCAGACGGAAACTACGATCCATTAATCCGCACCTTCCCTCATCAAAGAGAAAGACAAAGCTTTACCGTTGGCTTCCACGTCACCAGGCCGGAAGTGCGGACAGACTCACATTCGCCTTACACCTGCCGGCCCAAAATGTGAAGCGATCGCCCACGCTCGTCAAGATTTGATACTGTGTTTCGACGTCGTTATGTCGTTCTGCGGTGCCATGTGCGTAGTCTCCTGTTAGCCGATGTAACAGAACTTAAAAAAGTCTGAAGAAGAAATAATCGCTTGGAACATTTCCACATCCAAACGCCGCAAAACATGTTCAAGCCTCCTGTAAATCATTCAGAAATCTCAGAAGTGAGATCTTGAAAAGCATTCGACGAGATTTCAGAATGTCTCAAAACTCGTGTGTGGATTGCTGTTTGGGAGGAAGTGAGGTGCTTTGAAAGTATTTCAGCCGTACGCTCGTCTTCACGAAATCAAACGTACGTCGCAGCAGGGGCACAGCGAAGTGAAGAATCCAAAAAAGTTATCATTACGATCGATGCTCATTCATATGTTCCACGCGCCCAATGTATCGTCACCATGCGGAAAAGGCACATGCACCGGAAACGCCATCTATACACCACTGCCCAAATCACGCAACTTGTACAGGACTTCACAAAAATCTCGATGCGTTGCTAACCTTCCTTAGCATGCCCTCCGAGTTTTCTCGCTGGCTGCCACCACTCCTGACACTTCCTTCGCCCCTCGGTGGTACGAGAAGGCGTTCACCATGTGCAATGCTGCCAGCTCGGCTGCCACGTTCTAATCTCAGTGCTTTCCACCCTTCTAGTTCCCGTTCCAGCCTCAAGGCATTCTCCTTTGCCTCTCTCAATTCTCGCTCGGCTCGCTTGGCCGAAAGTTGGTTGGCTGAGTCGCTGGTTTGCAGCTCGTCGATTGTCTTGAGCAGGTTCGAGATCTTTTCTCTAGCTTTGTTCAGGTCCTCGCTGAGCATGGCGTTCTGCTTTTCGCGACGCTCGATCTGACTCTGCAAGTCCTTGACCGTGCGGTCGACGGTGCGAATGCTGCGAGCTTCTGATGTGCGAGCTGACTCTGCCGCCTCTAGCGCTTGTTCAAGCTGGAATAAGCATTGTCAGTATGTCTAGGACAAGGAGTTCTGGCGCCTCCAAAACTTACCTCCTTGATTCGTTCATTCAAGAAGCGTACATCGCCACTCGCGCTTGAGTAGCCCTTCGTCTCTAGATCTACAAGTTTGATCTGTAGGTCCTTAACACTCTTTTCCAGCGCCGCCTTCTCCTTGTGCAATTGCACGTTCTTCTCGCGCTCAGTCTGAATATCCCTTTGAGTTTCCTGGGCCAGAGCCTCCGCTCTGCGCATCTTGCCCACCGCGGCAGCCACGATATCCTCTTGCTGTGCTAAGCTAGCTTTGAGCTCCAGCAGATCACGGTCGGCAGCCGCAGCATTGCGCATGGAAGGCGATTCTCCCTTCATGAGATCCTCAAGACGCTCTTGTTGCTCTTTCAGACGTGATTCCAGAGTTTTCTTTTCCTTAAGGAGATTGTCCCGCTCAGCAGAGATGTCATCCACATTCGTTCTGAGATTGCGGACCTGGCCTAAAAGGTTTACGATCTTACTTTGTGCGTCGTTGTGAGCGGCAACGGCCTCGTCTCGAGACGTGGACAATTCCTGGAGCATGACCTCAAGTCTGCCCTTTTCCTTTGCCCAAGTTGAAGAATTAAGCACTTCATCATCCCACTTCGCTCGTAGCTCCTCGATCTCATCTCGCAATCGTCCATTCTCCTCACGGTGATATACGACATTTTCGCGTTCGATTTCCAGCTCGTTGCTCAGAGCTGTGAGCTCGTTCGAGTACTTCTTGCGCGCCTGCTCGAAAATCGTCTCCTTGTCTTCAATATCGTGGGCTCGTTGTGATCGGTAGTCCTCAAGCTCGTTCTGAAGCCTCTTCTTTGCTTGCACAGCTCCCTCAAGATCCGCGGAAAGATCTTCGACGCGCTCCTCGAGCTGTTGGACAGTCCGCTGAAGATCTTCAACTTGCATGTCCATTGATTTGCGCTCAGACATGATACGGGCACATGTCTCTTCTGTCTCTTTAGCTTGTGACTTGGCAAACTGTTCAGCACGGGTGGCCTTCAAGACAGCAATCTCAGCCTGCTCGAGCTTGCTGAAATATTCATCGGCCCGAGCCTTATACAGGTTCAAGCTTGACGTAACATCAAGCAAATTGCTTGTTTCTGTATCAAGTCTGATCTGCAGATCGGAGAATTCCTGCAAGAGCTGGGCGTGATTTGCCTTCTCTTGCTCGCGCTCATACTTCAGATCTTGCAGCTCGGACTTTGTATCACGAAGCTCAACCTCAAGAGCAGCACGCACGTTCTTTAGCTCATCGAACGCAGTCTTTGCGCTGACTAGTTCGTTGACGGCTGCATCGTGCGCTTTCACGATTGACCTACGGCTTTGCTCCTGAGAATTGATAAGATCATAAAGCTCTTCATGAGATTTGGTCTGAACTTCTTTCAGTGACAGCTGGCCTGAGCGGATGCTGCTTTCAAGGTGGGACACCTTCTTAGCTGAATCGTCTAGCATATCATGTAGCCTGAAGTTTTCCCGTTCCAACTTCTGCATGCGGCGCAATGAAGGTGAGTCATCCTGCGAGTACTGCCTTTGTGGTGAACGGTCAAGTTGAGCTTGGAGATGGCGGTTGCGCATCTCGGACATTTGAAGTTGATTTTGAAGCATTTCCACCTCACTAGCGAGGTCCATCTGGTTGCTAATAGCCACGGTATCTGTTGTTCGGTCAGATCGCACGGAATCGTGGGTAGCATTGCTAAGTTGTCTCTGCTTAACGGGAGTGCTTGGCTTGCTGTTCGGTGAGAACGGCTTTCTGTTCTCCAGTTCGCGAGAACGATATTGAACAGGGCTGATATTTCTGGCATTGACTTGTGACTGGTTCAGTTCGTCTAGGAATGCCCGCTTCGAGTCCAGATAACGAGCGTCCATCTCAGCCATTTCATCTCCATGTCTAGCTCTCATCTCACTCAGCAGAGCCTCCATCTGAAGCAATCTCTCGTTCGCTGTTCTGGCTGCGGACTCTGCACTCTCTAGTCGTTTAGCCAGGTCCACCTTTGCCTCGATATCGCTTTTCACGGTTTCGAAGTCGTCAACGCCTCCATGAGCTGTGGTCTCCGGGTCGAAAACCTTTCGTAGCAGAACCAGCTGTCCCCTGCAAATGTCCAGTTCCTTGTTCGCCTCATCAAGACTGGCTTGCACAGTGCGCGTGTTGGACTGGGCCTGCATCCTTAGCTGTCGCTCCGTCTCCAGTTTTCTGTTTGCCTCAGCAAGTTGTAGGTTCACCGTCGATGAGAGCTTCTCTGCATTTCGGCTAGTCTTGTGCTCACGGTTGATTTCATGCGTGAGATCTTCCAAGTTGAGAGATAATTTCTCCTTCTGTTTCTCCAGCGACGAGACCTGTAGTTGTAGATCCTCAACTTGCCGTTGCAGCCTCTTGTTCTCCTCCTCGACCTTGGCTTTCTCATTGCTAAGTTGGGAAACGCGTGCCCGCGATTGTTCACTAGCTCGTGAGTTTGAGCGTGCGATGTCCAGGCTCTTTTGCTGCAGCTTGTTGAGCAGAGCGCGATTGTCGTTTTCAGAGGCAGCGAGTCGTCCTTTGACCGTAACCAGCTCGCGCTCAAGACGCTCCTTATGCTGGTCATTCGACAGCCGGAAATTATCTGACTCCGCAATCATGCGCGTGAGGCCTTGCACCTCATCCACCAGTCTTGCTTTCTCTGCGTGAAGCTCATCTAGCTGTCGGTTCTTTGCGTCAAGTTCCTTTCGCATAGCGGCCTGCCTTTCACTTGCAATCTTCTGCGCGGCTCGATCAGCTGTCTCTTGAGCGTTTAGTTTCTCCTCTTGAAGTTGGATGTATTTTTCGCGCAGGTTTCTCAGCTCAGTCTGGTACTCCTTACGCTCCTTTTCAGCTGCCGTCCTAGCTTCAGTAGCACGCCTCAGAACATCTTGTTGCGCGTATAACTCTTTCTCGATGATGATTTTGGCTTCGTTTAGGGAATCGTACTCTTCCTTGAGGTTCTTATACTTGTGTTCGCTCAGCATCTCGACATCATCGCGTGATTGTCTCTCCCGAGCGAGGTCTTTCTGGACTTGCACAAGCTCCTCGCGGAGTTCCTCGATCTGTCGCTCGAGCAGCTTGCGGCTCTGGTCGTTGGTTATACGTTCCTCGAGCATGCGCTTCGTGTCTGCGGCCTCACGTTCAATTTGCGACTTCTGAACACGTAGTCCTTCCATCTCGGCCTGCGCATCGCGTAGACGCTCCTGAATGCTCTCATGCTTGGATGAAAGAGTCTTCTTCTCGTTTTCGAAGATTTTGCGTTCAGATTCGTATTTCTTCAGGTCAGATTTCAGCAGTGCAAGTTCACTATCCTTCCTTCGAATCAGCTCTTCAAAACTAGTCGAGGTGCTAGATAGCTCCGTTATCTGCTGCCGGATCTGCCTATTCTCATCCAGCAAGTCGCGTATTTGTTTCTTGCTTGCGGCGACTTCTTTGTTGGATGCTGCGAGTTTGACATCAAGTTCCTGGTCCGACTTCAGGAGCTTTGCCTCTAAATCTTGCAATTTGCGCTCTTTGAGCGACAGCTGGCTTGAGAGCATTCGAACTTCCTGTGAGAGGCTCTCCTCTAACTCTGTTCTCTGTGATTTTGCTGTTTCAAGTTCACGCAATTGGTTTTCTAGATTGTTTAACTGCCTTGAGAGATCCTCCTTCTCCTTCTCCAGGCGCTCGATTATCTCACCGGCTTGTTCCAACTGGCGTCTGTACCCCTCCGCCTCACTATCAACCTTCTTCTTCGCGTCAGCGAGAGCGTCCAGTTGATCTTCCAGCCTTTCCTGATCCTCGATAGCGCCCTGCAGTTTCTCTGCCAGTTCTGCCTCTCTGAGCTGCAATCGTTTGAAGATCTCCTCTTTGTCCAGAGCTAGCGCTCTCTCGCTTTCGAGAGTATGTTGAATTTTCTGAATCTCGATCTCAGCGCGCCGACGTTCCTCGTCCAGACGTTGCTTATCTGTGAGCTCAGCTTTAACCTTCTCTTCCAGTTTAAGGATCATCTCGTCACGTTTCTTCATCTCCGCGGCTTGACGCGTTGCTCCCAGTAGTGGTTTCATGCGTACGAAGAGTCTCCACCACGGGTTGGCTTGTAAATCTAAGTAGACTTGAAAGTTGCGCTGGATGACTCTTGTCGCTTCTGCCCTGTACAGTTTCTTGTGCGCCATTCTCCTCTGCACGAAACCTCTCGCAATGCTCTGGAACTGGCACATGATCTCGCTGATCAATCTGTCACGGCGATCCTCAAGCTCAGCAAGCACGCCAGCGCGGAAGAAGACTTTTGTGAGACCAACTCGGTAAAACGCTTTGTCCATACCCAACTTCTCAAGTATCAGCTGCGCTGCAACTTGACCCTCAAGATACTGCTTCGGCATGTCTGTCGAGCACAATACTTCATAGCGGGCTCTGAATTCCGCGAATGGTAGCCTGTTGGGGAAACCGGTTCTAGCAATTCGAATGCCTTCGAGAACGCCGTTACAACGCAATTGATCAAGCACAAGCGGCGGACTGAATTGCTTCGGTTTCTTCTTATGGTTAGGAAGAATGCAGCGCACAAAATGAGGATGTGTAGAGTGCAATTGGCTCATCAGAGTGGATAGTTGCTCTTTGTGGCGTTGTGCGACGGTGCGGAAGAGTCCTTTCTTAACACGACTCCTTCCTCCCCCACCGGTGTCATCATCTGGATCTGCACAGTCAGAGAAGAGCTCCGCAATGTGTTTTTCGGTCGAAGCAGCTAGCAGGCGTGTAATATTGTCCGGAAGAGGGTCTTTATTCTTCTCCAGCCAACCGTCCGTCGAGTACTCAACTTCAGCGGCGTAGTGCGTAATAATGAAGCCTTTTTGTAGCAAAGATCGCTTATACTTGTTCGATTTTTTCTCCCAGAGGCTATGCATTTTTTCTGTGAAGCTTGCGTCTGTTGCCTTCGGCATCACTGAGTCCTCATCTAGACACGAGAACAGGCCAATGGGGTTTGATAGCTCGATCAAATCAATAGTTGGCTGCAAGTCTTTGCCAAAATCGATGAATTTCCACTCAATTTGTTCTCTTGCATACTCTTCTTGCTCCAGGACGAACATGTGATGATTGAAGAACTGCTGCAGCTTCTCGTTTGTATAGTTGATGCACAGCTGCTCGAAGCTATTGTGCTCAAAAATTTCGAATCCGGCTATATCCAGCACACCGATAAAGTGAGAGTCATCGACTCCAGCAGCCGAGCGATCCAATTGCCTGTTAATGCGGGTGACCAAGTCGCCAAAGCCACGTTCGTATATACCTTTCGCCAGGGCGTCAATGGCAAGCTTGACTTGTTCAGGTGTTTGCGTCTTCTCAACCCACTCACGGCCAGCTTTCACACGAGGATGTAGCAAGCCCATGATAAAAGCCTCCGTCGGAATGCCGAGCAAGCGACATGCGATAGCTGCTTGACTTTCGGCATCGGGATCCATTGCTGCCTGGTCACCCCGTAAGCTTTCCTTGCGAACAGTTATGTTGCCTAAATATAAAATTGCGGCAATAGTGCGCAGGATATCCATCTGCTCCCTCTCCTCGAAGCCCATGATATGGAATGCCTCGACAAGTGTGTTCCACTCATCCTGGTCTGATACACCTGCAATCGTGTCATTGCCTTGACGTGTATACTCGAAATCTTCGATGTCGCGACCGGAAAGGAGTAGATTATCCTTAATGTGCTTGTCTGCACCCCTCAAGAGCTGGTAAAAGACGTGATAATTTCTTTCCATCGAATTGAGCTTCACAACACGTGACTTCTCCAACAGATACCAGTCAATATATGCACCAGAGATCTGTCCTGAGCGTGTGAACTCGATTCGAATGAACTTGCCAAACCGCGAAGAGTTGTTATTCCTAACAGTCTGTGCATTTCCAAACGCTTCGAGGATAGGATTTGCTCTCAAGATCTGTTCCGATAGATTCGACGTCGACTTTGCCCCCGACTTTGCCGCCCGAGGAGTATCAGAAGTGGCAACCGCAGCCAGGTACTGGATGACTTTCTTCGTATTCTCCGTCTTACCTGCACCGGACTCGCCTGTGACCAAAATGCTCTGATTATCGCCTTCTTCAACAAGGTTTCGAAACGCCTCATCTGCCATAGCAAAGATATGCGGTTTAGTATCCTCCCGACTACGGCCGCGGTACATGTTGATGTAGTCGCGGGAATAGATGGGAAGTGGACAATACGGGTTTATCGTGACAAGGAAAAGGCCTGAGTATGTGTAGATGAGGTCGGCTTGATATCGCATGCGCAGATTATGTACGACAGAAGGCTCATTGAGGTGAGTAAGCTCGGCCATGTCGTCCGCTTTGTCGAATTTTGCCGGGTTCACCTTATCCACTTCCTCTTCTTGGACCTCTCTTTGCTGTTTCCCCATATGTTAACACTTTGATTACATGAAAATAGAGAGTTTATGTGCAAGGAGAGATGGAATAAAAAAGGCGACAAAACACATACACTCCCATCGTCACACTGGACAAGCAAACGGCCCGCTTCGAGCTCTTGGACCACCCAACCCTTCACAAAGGCATGTGTAGCATCTCTAAGCCACACATATCTCTTCCCCGAGAAATCGTTTTCTCCTTCGATTCTCTCCACTGCCGGCAGCGCATCGTGCCCTTCCTCTGTCTTGATAAACGTGGGCGCAAAAGTGCCCGTCTGAGGGGTGCTTCCCCTCGCCGACCGTCTCAAAGAGTCGCTGCGGGCAGGAACTAAACTGTTTGGGCCCGGAGAGAAGGATTGTGTGCGTTGGTGGACCATGCCTCCCCCTCCGCCACTCGTAATGGGAGGCGAGGCGGGCGAAGCAAATGTGGACTTGGATCGAGCATGGCCCGAGGGCTGCATTGTAGATTGAGTAGGTGACGGTGAAGCAGAGGCTCTCGTGAAGGGATGGGCTCGCCAGCGTGGCCCGTTTTGTGCAGGTGCACTCATGGCGCTGTGATGTTTGTCTGGGTGTAAACAGAGGCCGTGTTCACTTGCGCATCATCCCTTCAATTGGAGGCAAAACGTGAGGAACAAGACTTCCTGTCCCAAAAAGAGCCTGTCTCGATGTCTGAAGTATGAATTATATGCGATGTGCGGGATCGTGAGTGGAAGTAAATTCCCTGGAATGTGTATCTGCAATGGTTGATCACATATCGCATTGTTTACCTCACGACCCCTGTCGCCTCATGGCGCGGGCGGCGGGCAAGCAGCAGACAGTTGCCGCGAGATCATGTGACCTTCCTGTTTCCTAAGCAGGCAAGGGCTAGAACGGTAAGTACTTGCTCATTCGCGATGTCCAAAAAAGTTGAACTTGCTTCCTGAGGCGGCGCCTGCCCAAAGTATCATCATCGACAGGGACAAGCTGACGACGTGCATCCGCCCTTTTGCCTGTTGCACTTTCCTTCTTGCCGAATAACTCGGGCGCGCAAGCTAATTTGCTTCGACAGACTAAAGGAAGGAGCGCGTTTGACGTTCATAAACAGGAAGTCGCTCCATCTTTCAGCTAAATGCATTACCGCCACGGCGACACCTCTGGCGACTTGGCGGATGGAGATCGAAACTTGCAGCGACTCCTATCGTCTTGATGCTATGCGGTTCAATTGAATCAGGACCTGCAAGCAGTTTGATGTCGAATATCTGTTCGTCTCCGTGAAACGGCATAGTTTTCTTGACCAACGCAGGCGCGAGAGGGTGCGCGGTGGGCACAACCGATCAAGCATCCAACATGGCTGGCTACTACAACCAGCAACTCCCGCCACCTAACTATGGCTCTAATAGCTCCTTTCATCCTTCTTTCCCCGCGCAGCAGCCCCCACAAGGCTATGGCAACAACGCGTACAATCCACCTGCACCGACGGCGTTTGACCAGCAACTCCAATACTCAACAACGGGCCAGAGCGTATACGGCATGGAGCCCACCACTCCCGTGCTAGACCAGAACCAGATGAACTGGTTCTGGAGCGAGGTACGGAGCGGACATATCCCTACCATTCCTTCTGCACAGGGGCAGCCTACTTTTGCTCCACCTCCTCAGATGCCTCCTCAGCAAGCGTATCACGCTCATCCTCCTCCGCCACAGCAGCATCAGCAATACCAGTACCCGCCTCCGCAGCAGTACGGAAGTCAAACCTCGACGCGGCAGAATGCGTTTCCGACGCAGCAAAGCGCCGCGACATACAATTCCGCACAGGATGTGCCTATGGACGACGCTTACAAGGATGACGAGGATTGGAGTGACGGGGATGAAGAATACGCGCCGCCGGATATCAACAATAATAACAACGATGGGAGTGTCAGTGGCACCAATGAAACCATACCTGGTCTGGGACATATTTCTCAGGGAAACAGGACGGCAAGAGAATCGGATTCGCAACCTCTACAGCAACCTCTACCTCCTTTCAACCCTTTCAAATCGCAGTCTCTCCATACTCCCCCTTCCGAACCTCCACCGCCGGCTTCGAAGCCACACATCCAGATTCAAGTTCAGCCCAAATCGAGCTCAGTTGAGCATCAACCGAAACGACCAAACATTGCACTACGCGACAAGGCGGGGGAAGTCCTCCGGGATTTTCATGCACATGGTATTGGCTATGCACAGCTCTCTGAGGAGCCTGGGTTTGATGAGTTTGAAAAGAACTTGCTTCGACAATTGTACACGCAGTACAACATTCCACAAGAGTCTCCACAGCCCGTAACAACCTCAAAGCAGTCAGCTGCTTCGTCTGCTGTCCATGAATCTAGTGAGGAGCGGCTATCAGAGGTGAAGAGACTATTAGAAAGTGCTGGGTTTGAGATTGACGATGTGACTCTTGCTTCACTTGCGAAACCACGGCTGCCTCCAAATGCAGCACAACAAGAGCCCGTGACGAGCACTCTTCCAGGCCTTGGCGCTATGACGACACAGCAGCAGCAAGAGAGTGCAACACCACCTCATACTCGTCCTCTGAGTACAAGTGCCTCAGCTGCTGCTGATATAACTGAAGGACGCAGCGCATACCTCGCCAAACTCAAAGCTATGAAAGGCAAAACTGTCGTCTCGTCCCATCAATCCACGCCTGTGCAGACCGGCGCCCAGACAAATGCACCTGGACCTGGGGCATCAACTCCACGTCGCGCTATGATCAACCAAGAGGCTCTTAAGCGTAAATTGCTCGAAAAGCGGGAGGCATTGGCCCGAGCAGCAGCGGCTGGAGTAGTAGGGGAAAGTCCCTCCGGGCGGGCGTCTGCGCCACTCCGCACCGAATCTGTGTCCGACATAGCATACGAGAGCGGCCAAGCTTCTGCTCCATCTGGCTCTGAGGCGACGAATACGCCGGTCATCGATATGTCATCTCCCGAAGAGACTGAGGAGCTCGGAGAAGGCGAAGAGGGCAATGAAAACGACGGTCCTGAGACAGGCGAAATCTCAGAAGTTGCCACAACCAAACCTATTCCTACGTCTGTGGTGCAGCAGACAGCTCAACCATCTGGATTGCCTCAAAAGTCTGCAGAGCCTAGTATCAGCTCGTACGTAGCAAATAACAGCGACCAGTCTGTGAGAAGATCTCCAAGATCTGGATTACCAGCACGGCCTCCTGGAGCTACATCACGGTATTCACAGCCTTATCCACCCGCTGTTCATTCACCTGGACAATTTGGGCGACCATGGCAGCAAGATCTCAAACGTCCTGCATCTTCGGCTTTTGGTTCACCTTGGAGTCATCCACAAGCAAAAAGGCCATATCCACCTCAGCCTGTAGATGAAGCGCCTGAACCAGTTGTCATTGATATCAGCAGCGAAGAGGAAGACGAGGAAGACGACATGAGTGTGGGAGAACTTGACGATATTCAGCATGGACGCTCCACATGGAAGCGATCGATGCATCAGAGTGGACAATCTTCCGGATTTGCAACACCTCCTGTCATAACAACACCTGACCCCGTCACAGCTGCCCGACAGGAAGAACATGCACGTCAGAAGGCGCTCATCGAGGCCAAAAGAGACGCGCTTAAACGACAGATTCAACTCAAAGAGGCGCAGAAGAGTCAAGTCAGCACGGGGCATGTCAGTCCTGCAACCGCTATCTCCGCACCTAACTCTTCCGCAAGTCTCAGCAAAGACAGACTCACCAAAATTCGCTCTTCTTCCATGACGTCGCACTCCTCCCCTAGCGTCTCTGCGTCTGCGGCGCGGCAAGCTGCGCTCAAGTCACTCGAAGCGGATATCCGCACAGACGAGCAGCAGCTAGAAGCTTTGCAAGCCCAGATCGATAGTCTCAAACGGGACATGGAGCGAAAAAACAGAGAGAAAGACGCATTGGCAAAGGAAATCAGGGAATTTGGAGTCGATCCCGAAGGCTTGAGTTTTGTGCAGATGAGAGAAATGCGAGATAGTCTAGCAGAAGGCGCTCCGACAGCAGACACTGAGCAGGATATGGCGATTAATGAGGATGACGAAATGGAGGAGGAGGAAGAAGAAGGAGAAGAAGAAGAAGAAGAAGAGGAGGAGGAGGAGGGGGAGGAGGAGAGTGTTGAAGAAAAGAGCGGGTCTCAAGACGAAGATGATCGCCGGGAAGTCTTTCTGCCTCAGAATGCCGATGATTCCATCCCAGAGGCAGATGACCCGCGTGCTCTTGCCTCGGGCTCCCGCATTCAAATCCATAATATCTCTTTCAGGGCAACCAAGCAGTCTTTGCGTCGATTGCTTGGCGCCTACGACATCACAGGAATCTCCTTGCCAAACCATAACAAAAAGCAGATGAAGAAAAAGCAAGCAGGTCATGCATTGGTAGACTTCCTCTATCCGGCGGAGGCGGAAGATGCCATTGCTGAATTGAAAGGAAAGGTGTTCGAAGGACTGGTCATAAGTGTGGGCAGAGTAGCACCTCCTTCGCCCCAGGGTACCAGGAGAGGAAACAAGCAGGTAAAGGAGGCTGGTGCTTCAGGTGCCAAAGCTAAAGATGTTCGTGGCCATGAGACATCTCACCCTGTGCAGATTCGCGTAAGCAGACTCGCTGAGCGCCTATGTAATCCGACCTCATTTCAAGGCTGGCTAGGGCGCTTCGTCCATGTTGCGACAAATATAAATTTCGTTAAGGACAAGTCAACGCAGAAACCAATTGGAGTTGTCTACTTGGAACTACCAGATTATCGAACGGCATCCGAGCTTGTACAAGTTAAAAGCGGACGGTCGACTAGAAAGAGCCCTTTTGTTGTGGAGATAATCGAGGGAGACGACGATGAGTATGAACCAGAGCCTCCGCAGCAAGCGTTGGGGTTCTTGCAAGCTTTGAAGGGAACTACCAGAGAAGAACCTGTTGCTCCTGAAGTTGCAAAAGTCGAAGTCAGTGACGACGAATCTGACGATGAAGAGGAAGACGATGACGCGATGTGTGAGAGTGAGGACGGCTCTGAAGAGGGTGAAGTTTCCGAGAAGGAAGAAGAGAAAGGCAACGAAGATCACATTTCATCGACTCAACATGTTCCTCATTCGCATAGTCACTCTGCTTTCCCTGTAATTGCGGAGGCTTCCGACGAAATGAACGCTACCGAATTCAAATCTGGTCAGGATGCGGAGAGCAGCGAGAATGACGACGAGCCAGAAATTCCTGGCGACCTTGGAGCGGTTCTTCATGATGTGGAGGACGTTCCCATGGATGAAGATGACGTTGATTCTTCGGAAGAATTCGAGGTTGAGACGATGTCTGATGATGAAGAGGGCGAAAGCGAGGAGAAAACTGAGCCTGTTTTACCCGGGGGTGAAGGATCCTCTCCGAGCGAAGAAAGCAGTGCGGAAGAAGGTGAAGAAGAGGCAGAAGAATTTACGCTTCAAGTCCCTGACGTGGCCATGCATCCAAATATGGCAGAACTTGCATCAAAGCACGGTGCTACAAACGAGTCACAAGCTTCTGATATAGGCAAGATCGAAGAAATTCGAGATGAATTAATGACAGGCGTCGTGCCGTCCGTCGGAGAACATGTGGAGGCTCAAGGCCCACTTGCGCCGGCTGAGCCTTCCATGTCATCTGAACAGGGTTTCAACTCTGCTACGGCAGATGTTGCCATGGCTGAAGGGACTGATATGCTGGACGATAATGACGACGATTTCTACGAACCTGATGTCACTGAAGTTGTAGCTGAGCCTGGCCCAGCTTATCAACCTTCGACTGAATATGCCGAGGAGGACGAGTACGACCCTGAACTAAATGCAGAACCATTTCCCGAAACTGACGATGTATTTGCAAATATCGGAGGAGCCCGCAGTGGATCGAATGATGCCAATACTGTGCAACTAAAGGAGCCAGGCAAGTCAAGCGGTGACAATGGTAGAGACGGAGAAGAAGGGGCTCAACCTGATGAAGAACCCACCAGCGTCAATGGTGGTGGTGCCTTGCCAGGTTTGTCATTCTTCTAGCCCCATAAAGCGAAAGCGTTTGTTTTTCCACAGAGAAGACGTGTTTACATAGTTACTTTTGTGACTTTTAGGCAATACAATGAACCTGCAGAATGAGGTCCCCAAGGCCGCGGAGCAGCTTTCCGAGGATGGTGAGGTTCTGACTGAGTCAGATAGCAGCGTTGATGGCGAAGAAAAAGCATATGTTGCCGCTACTGCCGTTGACAATGCTGTTCCATCACCGTCTCTTGTTTCTGTTTCTGGACTTGCTCATCATGCTGACGACCACTTCGACGACACTCCATCCCCACGGATCAGCTTTCCCATACCCAAGATGCGTCCGCTTGTAGGCTTGCTCCTGAACCCTCACTTTCCTTTACTCGTTCTCATTAATATTTCTTCAAGGGATCTAAACCGCCTGACGCACCTAAGACCTCAAGAATCGAAGACTCCGCTAATATTAATTCGACCGTAATAGCTGACTCCAAGTACACGCCTTATCAAAGCCCTTTGAAGTTTCTAAAATCCTATCGGTACCATCCCAATTTCAGTGCTGACGTCCCAGGTGGCATGCGTTCCCTTACTTATAGCCATAAATTGGACGCAAGACAGCCATTATGCCAGGCTGAACTTGAAGGTGGGACGTGCAACCATCCGCTGGATTGTTCAGGACAGCATTTCAACGATTATGCCTTTTCAGGTGCGTGATTGAGATCTGCCCCCGACTCCTTGAATAAACTTATCAGCAGCGACCACAACTTGCAATCATGAACATCTATGAAGCCGCGACGAAATTCTTTCGCCGGCACTAGATCCCGACTAACAAATCTCGTAAACACAGATTCTGATATCATCAAGCTTATTGGCAGCATCGACCCAAGCCGGCCGCAGGAAGAGAAGGTCAGGTGGTCTAATGGTGTGAAAAAATTGATTGCAGAAATTCAAAAGGAGGGGATTAAAGATCTGGAAAGCATTGCCCAGAAAGTCGTAGCACACAGACGTGTCTTCTTTGGAAATTCGATTCTGGGATACGAGTCGCCTGCGGTGATGGACTTCGACGTCCGTGGTATTGATGGTGGAGCAGAAGTGGAGGGAGATGACGACCAGGCTGATGGTCATGACGATGTCCATGACGCAAAGAGCGAAATAGAGGCGTAGCTGACAAAAGAGAAGAGTAGAGATAGCACGACGACGGGTGTCCCGCAAAAGGAGGCACGCGCTCGTGCTGCTCTACCGAAAGAACTCGCTGACCAGACAATCCTCTGCCCTGCCGCACAGCCCCAAGCTCAATGTACTGCATACCGATGCCGACATTGTTCTAGTCGACGCTTCCACTGAGAGGGTTGTTCTGTCGGGGCCGGGACGTGATTCTTTGACATCACCCCCCACCCCGTCTTTGCCCCTCATTTCGATGTATTCTTTCTAGGGCGCGTTTGCATCAATTCCAGTAAGACGTAGGCAGCAGCATACAGTTTTGATTCTTAGCGATGGCGTTTGTTTACACGGGCCCTAATTGGAGCCTTGGGTTTTGAATGCTTGACAACACGCGGGCCTGCGTGTGTGCAGATTGCGTCTCCGAGAACTGCGCTCGCATCGGGATAAAGTAGTCAATGCATAATCTGTTTAGAGACTTTGTTCAACATGCTCGTGATTTTCTACTTGACCAGTCACGGGTATAGATCATCGGATATGTAGATGTGCGAGACATGGAGCGACGGCGTATGTCCGGGTGGCGTTGATGTCACCGATGGGTCTGAAAGGCCGGAGACGGATATCTACAATCGACACTCTGACTGCTGCTACAGATGATCTCGCCGTGTATGTGGCCGTGTTCTTCCTTTTACATGTCATCTAGTCGCGCGGCCACGGGATCTTACTTTGGGGGCTGACGGGTTTTGTTTCGCAGCCAAGCCAGACTAAGGCCGTCACTGGAACTTGCGTCGATTCGTGCACTGGTGGGAATGCAAAAGTCGCTTCTGAGCCACGGGCCAGAACGAGGACGGCTTAGCAAGAAAGGTCCTGGGGTTGAAGAACTCGGAGCACAGCTGTCCGAACGCGTGTGGGTGTGTCGGGCGTGGGTGAGGAACAGGCGCAGCGGCGCTGGGACATTTTTCCGGGCGTGCACTTGGCGAGCACGCTTATGTAAAAGACGTTCTTAATTCCAAAGGAACGCCGACAGCGAAGCGGACGACGAGGATTGGGCCGTGGAGCGAGAGCCGAGTGATTGGCCGGTTATAAAGATGTTTGTCATGCTGAATGATGTCGTTTCTCCGTGTGCGGCCGCGGGGACCCTGAAGGAGGAAGACGAAAGCCCCGCGAAAGCGCTCAGTCACCCAACAAAAGTCTGAAGTGCTCGCCAGCACTCTGTGTCATTTGTTTGCCACGATCCCATCCTGCCTATAACTAGTCCGTCGACTCTATTTATTCGTCCAGAAGAGCAATTGAAGAATCCCACCCGTACACTCCACCATGCCGAGCTCTCTTGACCAACTGAAGGCCACAGGCACTGTGAGTTGTTTTTTGCTTTGCCCCTCGAGGACACCACACAGTCGAACCTTCTCGCTGCTCGAGGGCAGAACAGCCCGTGTCGACAAAAGCTGACGGGATAAAATCGCAGACTGTCGTTTGCGACTCCGGCGACTTTGCCACCATCGACAAGTACAAGCCTCAGGATGCCACCACCAACCCCTCTCTGATTCTCGCCGCGTCGAAAAAGCCGGAGTACGCAAAGCTGATTGACGACGCTGTTGCGTACGGCAAGGCCCACGGCACCGACATCGACTCTCAGGTCGATGCTACTCTCGACAACCTGCTCGTGCAGTTCGGCAGCGAGATCCTGAAGATCGTGCCTGGCCGCGTGTCGACAGAAGTCGATGCCAAGCTTAGCTTCGACACCAAGGCTAGTGTTGAGAAGGCTCTGCATATCATCGACGTACGTTCTTCTTCCCTGAAGCGAAATCAGTCTTTGTGCTTATTCGTTTGTGGAACCCTGTGGCTGACTGTTCATTCTAGCTCTACAAGGAAAAGGGCATCAGCAAGGATCGCGTCCTTATCAAGCTCGCCTCGACGTGGGAGGGCATCAAGGCCGCTGAGGAATTGCAGTCCAAGCATGGCGTCAACTGCAACTTGACTCTGCTTTTCTCCCTGCCCCAGGCCATCGGTGCCGCCGAGGCCGGTGCGTTCCTCATCTCCCCTTTCGTTGGCCGTATCCTCGACTGGTACAAGGCCGCGCACAAGAAGGACTACGCGCCTTCTGAGGACCCTGGCGTCAAGAGTGTACAGAACATCTTCAACTACTATAAGAAGTTCGGTTACAAGACTATCGTCATGGGTGCCAGCTTCAGGAATGTCGGCGAGATCACCGAGCTTGCTGGCTGCGACTACCTCACCATTTCGGTATGTTTGCCTTCACTGTCTCCATGCCATTAAACCCGGAGATGCATCTGTGTCGAAACTAACTCTTGGGGAACAGCCGACCTTGCTCGAGGAGCTGTACAACTCTACAGATCCTGTGCCTAAGAAACTTGACGCCGCCGCTGCTGCCTCGCTCGACATCCAGAAGAAGAGCTACATCAACGACGAGGCCGCCTTCCGCTTTGACTTCAACGAGGAGCAGATGGCTGTCGAGAAGCTTCGCGAGGGTATCAGCAAGTTCGCCGCCGATGCCGTCACGCTGAAGAGTATCCTCAGGGAGAAGATCGAGAAGTCCTAAATTGACCATCGTCTGAAATAAATTACAAAATTACTAGCAGTCGTGAAGGCCTTCAAGGTTGACGAACGACACCAATGACGATAGCGACGAGATGAAGTGTTATTTAAGGCAAGCTACGTCACAATCTTTGCACGGTCACAAGCACATTTCCTTGACATCTAAGGATGAGATAGACATGGGCATGTAAAAAAGAATGAATGAACAGTAAATTTTTTTTTTCCTCTTCACCCCTGGACGATCAAATGAGGTTGCTAGAACCCGGATGCAAGTGCTGAACCGTATATCCCATTTTTTTTTGACAAAAGTGTATCCCCTGAGTTAGCGGTTAGCATGAAAGCTCTACTTTGGATGATCTTGTGGCAAAAAAATGCGCCCGTGGTTGGCAGCAAAGACGACTTCCATTTGTTTTTGGAAATAAGGCTTGCCTATCACCCCAACAACCTGCCGTTCAGTTCCACCATTGGCTCGACAGAACAAGAATGCGCCGAGAAGATGCCTACATCCACGACATGGTGTTATAATTTTCCGTGCGTATGATGATCTGCACGACGATTCTCCCAGGTCCATGCAAAAGAGGCCGCAGCCGTTGGACAGCGGGGGAAGGGCATCGTCAAAGTCTACCTCCCGCCTTGACGAGTTGAACCGTGACGTTACCGTCTCCATTTCGATAGCCGTTTGATGCGGCAAACACATGGCTCAGTCACCATCGTTAGCTGCACCTCAGCCAAAAGGAAGGAGGCTGGTTTGCGGTTGGAAGCTGCGCTTTCCAGCGTGTTGGCGTCCAGCCTTTCTCGACGAGGCTGCCCATCAGGACGCATCCACGCAGCGATACGCTACGCTTGACCTGGTGGATGTCCCTCCTAGCAGGAAAACAGGCGCGTGGAGCGGTCGAGCGCTTTGGTCAAGCAGCGAGAAACGAGGGCTTTGGGATACCGCTGGCACTTGTAGAAACCAAGTCTGCGGCATTTCGGCTCCGCTTGGGCTTCATTTCAGCTTGTTGCTTCGCTGGCCTCACGAAGCTCGCAAACCACGTTTTCTGCGACTCTGTTCCTCGTGACGAGCTTTTCGGCCACCTCGTGCAGTGCCAATGAAAAGAATTGGACTTGGGCTAGACCAACCGTGGCAAGGTCCCAACTGCGGGTGGGGCTTTTGCAATGATTGTGCCTGAATGTTGAATAGTCACTCATTTGGGATATGGGCGCCACGTACAGGTTCATGTCCGTAGTCAAGGCAATATCGAGTAGCCGGGGATTCTCGTGTTTAGTCTGAACACTGTCGAGATACTGAGCTCGAAGGACGAGAAAGACGGCATACTCTTAACTTGAACGAAGAGGGGACAATTACATATGATTAGAATTGCTAGACAGCTCGCGTCGCTGCAAGCTTCACCGATTACAAGCACATGTTTGAGGTCAAAGACGGGTAGAGAGACAATCGTCTGAGCCTCAAAGATCGAAGGTGATGTCGGCAGTTCGCGATAACCTCTAATATGCTGTCTCCCATGCTGAAGCACAACCGTCTCCATCGAACGATCTGCCTGCTTTTAGCTCCGAAGAACGCTCGAGAAGCATTTTGTTTCGGAGTTCCGAGGAACCGTACGGGGTGCTCCATGACAACTGAATCTTCGTCCAAGCCCGTCTCCGATGTCGGTCTGGGCCGCCCACCAGCTTCAGAAAGTGGATGTTTGGCAGTCCAGGAAGACGGAGCTCAAAAGATGGCAATGTCAAGACCATCGCGAGCAGCCTCAAATCGTCGGCAGCGCAGACTCCCGTCGGGTCGAACGCGCCGAGTCGTTCGGCGGAGTTTAGAGACTTGTGATGTTGCACGGGGCCTGGGCCCCTGGACCATTTCATAATCGTGCATTGCATCATACACACATGCCCGTGAGGGGCAAGACACTTCCCGGCACGTTGGAGGGGCGTCGGGCGTGGGAACCTTCAAACCAGCGAATCTCACTCTGGCAGCTTTCTTTGAACCTCTCTCCCTCAATCTCCTCATCAACTTTCGTCCTAAGATCATAATTCCTGAACACGAGAACGTAGCAACGTAGCAACCATGGTCAAAGCAGGTATGTGCTAAGCTCTCTTCATCCAGCTTTTTTTGTCGTCCAATAGGAGGGACGAGTCCTGTTCGCGGCCGCCCTGAGCTTGTCCGGGTGACAGTCGGCGGCATGAGCACGATTGAGCACGTATACCCAAGGGCCGTGACGGACGCGCTTTGCAGAGCCTCATCGCGGCGAGCTTGTGTCAACGCGGACAGTGATTGGTCTTAGAAAGCAACGAGAGCCAAATCCGGCGGCTGTGGTAATGCAAGCGCTGGTACTGTGATGGTCAACTCAGAGGTCAGAGACGCCTCTCGAGCTGTTTGCACGAACAAGGCCCGCCTATTGACGATGGCTGCGGTGGCGGTGATGGCTCAGGCTTGGAAAAGATCACCTCTACTTGTTGTGCGCGAGAGAAAAAGCTTATCTCCACCCTGTTGCCCGAATCGTGCTACATACGCCGCAAGCTGACACAACAGCAAACAGTCGCAGTTCTCCGCGGTGACTCTACCGTCAAGGGCACCGTTACCTTCACTCAGGAGTCCGAAGACGCACCTACTACCATCTCCTGGGACATCAGCGGCCATGATGCCAATGCCGAACGTGGCATGCACGTTCACGCCTTCGGTGACAACACCAACGGCTGCACCAGCGCTGGTCCTCACTGTACGAAATCCCCTTCCCCGTATGGTTCTCACGAACCGTATTCAAACGGTGTCGCCTTACACATGCTAACTGAAATCTTGCGGCCTACAGTTAACCCATTCAACAAGGACCACGGCGCGCCAACCGACGAGGAGCGCCATGTTGGTGACCTGGGCAACATCAAGACGGACGGCCAGGGCAACTCCAAGGGTACCATGACCGACAAGCTCGTCAAGCTCATCGGCCCAGAGTCAGTCATTGGCGTATGACACCACTTATTTCTTTTTTTCCCCCAACCTTTAATTTTCTACAGCAATAGCAAACTGTCTTGCTGACAACTGCTGACAGCGCACCGTTGTCGTGCACGGCGGCACCGATGACCTCGGCAAGGGCGGCCACCCAGACAGCAAGAAGACTGGCAACGCAGGCGGTCGCCCGGCTTGCGGTGTCATTGGCATCTCCTCCTAAAGAGAGAGAGAGCTCTGCTCTTACTGCCCATGGTTTCCGCGGTCAGGCTCCAAAGGCGTACGAGAGGCAGACCGAGAAAGGAGATCGTAAGAAGGTGAAAGGGGGAGGAAGCTTTCCACAACCGCACCAGTTCGCTTCGATGATGACAATGATGATGACCGGGAGTAAAGAGAGAGGCTGAACTGTAGCTATAGGGATAGATAAAAATTGACAAGTCAAGAACGACGCAAGTTGTCTGTCCTGATGCTACGTTGTCGATCCTGGCGCCATGTTTCTGTTCGACTTTGGTACTAACAAAGCTACGTTATGGCTCTGCATAAAAAGGAAACCTAGCACGCCATGAAAGGACATGACGCCCAAACATACACAAAGTGGAGTGAAGAGGAAGGTTCTGGTTCCTGGGCTGGACTAGGACACTGGCGGTCCGTCCGCTAGACTGGCTCCGAACGGTTGTCAGATGGTCGTGTGCTGCCCCGCATTACGAAATTCATTGTGTGAGAAGCTTGGACCCTTTTTGCTGTCATACATGTCCAAACGCCCCCCAATTAACGACAACAAGTCCGCAGCGGTGTAGTCGATTCCACGCTTATTCTGAACCATCCATTCCGTTTCCCAGAAAGCGAAAGTTCCTCTTTGTCGATCCGCAGCACACACGTCGAGCACAGCAAATCCCCACGCTGTCGTTTTTCTCTTTCTGTTTCCCACGGCCGCCGTTTCCCCTCCGTCACGCACCTGGTCGGACACGTTGCGACTTTCTGCCCTTGCATACAGCACGCACGCATCACAAGCACGAACGAACACGCACGCACCAGAAACAATTGGGCGGGAGCAATTGACTGGTAAGGCGTGTTTTTATTTGTGTTCATGTTTGTTTTCAAGACTTCTGCTCGCACAACAAGAAGACGATATCGTTTGGGATGGGAGCATCATGGAAGTGCACGCATAGTGCGTAACGAAACAACGTACATAATTAATTAGCGGTTCTCTGGCTGCTTCTGATCACAAACGGAACGATAGCGAGTGGAGAAATATACGAAAACCTTAAATAACGAGCATAAAACTGGCTACGTAGCTTAGACGAGTATAGACGCCAAAAGAGACTAGAATGCAGCTGTAACTGTGTCTTTGGTTTGTCACATTTATAAGGGCAGCAAATTGTGCTTCTTACGACAGGGAGCTAAACATGTTAAGTCACAGATGTCGTGATCGTACTTTGCTAACCAGCTATTTTCTTCAGAATCGTCGCATCTTCACCATGGCCTCCTCGAACGTTCTTCAAGCGAAAGTAAAGAGCGTATTGTCAGGGGATACTCTCGTCCTTGCGCACCCTGCCAACCCCCGTAAAGAGCGCCAGCTGTCGCTCGCCTTCGTATCCGCACCGCGCCTAAAGAAGGAAGGTGATGAGCCCTTCGCCTACCAGTCACGCGACTTTGTCCGCAAGCAATTTGTCGGCAAGATCGTCAACTTCCGCGTCTTGTATACGATACCACAGACGAAGCGCGAATATGGCATCGCATGGCTGCCGGGCGCAGAGCCTTCAGCGCAGCTACCAGAAGTTGCTGTGAGGGAAGGGTGGGTGAAGGTGAGGGAGGACGCAGGGAAGAGGGAAGAGAATGAGGAGTCACGAGTGCTGGCGGAGAGGCTGCAAGTTGTGGAGGCGCATGCCAAGGCCGACGGCAAGGGCATGTGGGCTGACGACAAGAAGTCCGGCGAGATCGAGTGTGTGTACGAGCTGAGCGACCCGAAAGAATTCGTGGACGAGCACAAGGGCAAGCCGTTGCAGGCCATCGTGGAGCGTGTCTTGAGCGGCGACCGGCTCATTGTCCGGATACTGCTGACGCCAACCAAGCACGTGCAAACGATGGTGCTGATTGCGGGCATTCGAGCACCTTCGACGAAGCGGACCAACCCGTCGGACGGGAAGGAGCAGCCGGCAGAGCCCTTTGGAGATGAGTCACAGGCCTGGGTTGAGGATAGACTGCTGCAGCGGCAGGTGCAACTCAACGTGCTTGCCGTCAGCCCGCAGAATCAGCTCGTCGCGTCCGTCATCCACCCCCAGCAGGGCAGCGTCGCGCCGCATATACTGAGGCTGGGTCTGGCACGCTGCTCCGACTTCCACTCTACGCTGCTGGGCGCGGACATGTCTTCGCTACGTCAGGCTGAGCTCGAAGCTAAGAAAGCACAGAGGGGCGTGTTCAGGGGCCACGTTTCCGCTCAAAAGGCGGGGAGCGAGTTTGATGCCGTCGTTAGCCGAGTGCTTTCCGCGGACACCATCTTCCTGCGGAATAACAAGACGGGTGTGGAACGCAGGATCAGTCTGTCAAGTGTAAGACAGCCCAAGCCGAGCGATCCAAAGCAATCGCCCTGGCAGGCGGAGGCAAAGGAATTCCTCCGAAAGAAGCTCATTGGAAAGCACGTCAAGTTCCACGTCGATGGTAAGCGAGCTGCAACAGAGGGATACGATGAGCGGGAGGTCGCAACAGTGGTTCACAACGGCAAAAATGTTGGGTTGATGCTCGTGGAGAGCGGTATGGCTTCCGTGATACGCCATCGACAGGACGATACGGATCGCTCGCCCATATATGACGAGCTTTTGCAAGCGGAATCTGCCGCACAAGAGGCCAAGAAGGGCATGTGGGCAGACAAGGCACCGGCAGCGAAGCAGTATGTTGATTACTCCGAATCGCTGGAGAAGGCGAAGCGACAACTGGCCCTGCTGTCGCGCCAGAAGAAGGTACCTGCAATTGTTGACTTTGTCAAGTCAGCGAGCAGATTCACGGTGCTCGTTCCACGTGAAAATGCCAAGCTCACCTTCGTACTATCTGGCATCACCGCGCCGCGATCAGCGAGGAATCCGACGGACAAGGCAGACCCGTTCGGACAGGAGGCGCATGATTTTGCGAACAAGAGGCTCATGCAGCGCGATGTTGAGATCGACGTGGAGAGCAACGATAAGTCCGGTGGTTTCATTGGAACCTTGTATATCAATCGTGAAAACTTCACCAAGTTGCTGCTCGAGGAGGGCTATGCTTCTGTGCATGCGTACAGCGCCGAGAAGAGCGGGAATGCGAATGAGTTGTTTGCTGCGGAACGTAAGGCCAAGGAAGCCAGAAAAGGTATCTGGCATGACTGGGACCCGTCTCAGGATGAGGATGATGATGGACATGCTGAAGCGACGAACGGACAAGCAAGCACAAGCGCGAACGGTGACACCCCGCAGCCACGCAAAGCAGATTACCGTGACGTTGTGATCACTCATATTGACGAAAATGGGCGCTTGAAGCTCCAAGAGCTAAGCAGGGCCTCCACTCTCGACAGTCTACAGGAGAAATTTAAGGCTTTCCATCTATCGTCAGGCAAGCCGCTTGACGAGCCTCCAAAAGCTGGCGATCTTGTCAGCGGCAAGTTCATGGGCGAGTGGTATCGTGCAAAGGTGCGACGAAATGACCGCGAGAAGAAGAAGGCGGAGGTTTATTACGTGGATTACGGTAACAGCGAGCTCGTCGACTGGAAGGATCTGCGTGGGCTACCGCAGGACAAGTTTGGCATTCAAGTAGTCAAGCCGCTGGCCATCGACGCAACGCTGTCGTATATTCAGTACCCGACAGCGGTGCACTACCAGCAAGAGTCTCTGGCCTTCCTGAGGGAGGAGTTTGGCGATCGCAAACTTGTCGCCAGCGTGGACCAGATTGACAAGGATGGTAGTTGGAGCGTCACACTTTTCGACTCTGCAGGTCTTGGCGACAAGCTCGAGGACAGTGTCAATGCATTGCTAGTCAAGCAAGGGCTCGCGATGGTGCCGCGAAAATTGAAAGCGTGGGAGAGAGGTGCTCCGATCCTGAAGGGTCTGCAGAAGGATGAAGCCGAGGCCAAGGAAGCCCATGCCGGATGCTGGGAGTACGGCGATATCACTGCTGATGAGGATTAGACTGTAGAATCAGTTGTGGTAAGAGAAGGACGAGAGGAGAAGCGGGTGTGTTTTTTTGGCTTAAATTTGTCAAAAAGTTCGACGCTATTCCGGCTGTGCTTGTTGATGAATGTGACGAATGCTTTGACGATGTTGGCAATCGTGCTTTATTGCATCATTTTTGGATTGGGAATCGAGATGAAAAAAAAAAGAATTAATTCATAGCATCAGATAGGTTTCTCAAGGGTTGAGAAACGAAAAAATCGCCTCTCTTGTCTAAACCTATTGCGATGTTTCTCTTAGTATATCCAATTCAAAAAAACTGACGGAATGGGCGCTAACTGTAGAAGTTTAGGCTCAACCTCGAATCTGTCGTTCTTAGCACACTACTGAGATAGAATGTTGCTCTACATGTCTCATTAACACAAAAGCAAAGGGATCATGGTTTGTGTTTGAACTTAAACGCTATACATTGTGCATTCTTCAGAGATCTCACAAAACTCGGCTCTGGAGCGCGTTGCACAGATGTTTTCATTGGCAACGGTGACCTGGTAAGTCATATGGGTAGTCAGCGAAGCAACATGCGTTACCGGTAAATCCTTTAAATTAATGACAGGAACTGAATTCGCGATTTCATGCGATGAGCGACTCTTCGCTTGCCGCACCTTTAGTCGATCGTCCAGGGCACGTCGGAATTGCGCATGTAAGGCGCCAATTTCTCAACATCTTTCATGATCTCGGCTTTGACTCTACCGTTGCCCAGGTACGACCACATGTTGCCGCCGTGGTAACGATGGTCGTAGTGCTCCCATTTGACCTCCTTGATCGTCTTCATGAAATGCAGGGCCTTGGACGCTGTGTCAGTGCACTTCTGGCGATTTGCTATAAAGAGTTTGACCTACAGATCCGCCCCAGATCCAGAGCTTACCGCCTTGGATGTTGTTCTTGTACCTGCTCATGCGTCAGAAATTTTCTCCCGGCGCGTCCGCGGTTCAAGACGTACCAGCTCTTACAATCTTCATTCCACACGCTGCCTTTGTGCTTGCCCTCCGGGCTACCTTGGTGCCAGGCGTCAATATGTTCGTACAGCTGTGTGACGGGCTCTTGCTTGACCTCGAGCGCACGGATGTTCTCGTCTTGGATTTTCTTCACGCACTTGAGGATGTACTCGACGCACACTTCGTGACCAGGCAGTGAAGTGCCGTTGGCCCAATTCCCGCGCACGCCGTTGACGATGAAGTAGTTTGGGAACTTGGGCACGGCCATCGCCAGGTACACTTGCGGCTCCGGGTCGAACTCCTTGCGCATAATGGCGCCGTTCGTTCCCACGACCTCGAACGGCGGCGCGAAAGCGATGTTGAATCCTGTCGCGCACGCGATAATGTCAACTTCGTGCAACTTGCCCGTCGCGTCGACGAGCCCCTCTGGCACAATCTTTTCGATCTCCTCGTGCACTGTCGTTACATTCGGCTGCACCAGAGCCTCCAGGTATCCGTCTCCTGGCGTGATACGGCGACAACCAGGCGACCACGTAGGTATCAGTCTCTTTTTCAACTCTTCGTGACCAGGTCCGATCCGTTTGTTCATTTCGGCACGCATCATCTCGTGCGCGCCTTTGGAGACCTCGGAGCCACTGATGAACATGTCGAACAGGTTGTTCACGGCCGACTCCAGCTTTTTCCGGTACATCAGGAGATACTCCGGGTCGTCTCTGAAGCGCTGCTTGTCCTCTGCCGTGTACCAGTACTGTTTGACGAGCTCCTTTTGATCTTGCTGCGGATCCTTCTCGGAATGAGGCGCGTGCTTTGCCTTCTCGGCCTCGAGATCGGACTCCCCCACAACGGGCGAGATCCATGTGACCGAACGCATGAAGGCGACGAGATGCTTCGCCTTTTTTTGCACCTGCGGGACAATCTGTATGGCAGAACTACCCGTACCAATGACTGCGATTGTCTTGTCCGTGTAGTCTACGCTCGTGTCCCAGTTGGCGCTATGCAACAAAGTCCCTTTGAAGTCGTGCAGACCAGGAATCTTTGGCCACTTCCAGTCGTTCAGGAATCCAGTTCCGTTGACCAGAACGTGGCACCAGTCTTCGATCTCATCGCCGTTGCTGGTGATCTTCACGTTGTAGATTCCTTTCGCCTCATCCCACCTCGCGCTTGTGACCCTTGAGTTGAGCCGGATGTATTTGTACAGATCGTACTTTTTGGCAAAGTTCTCAAAGTACTGCTCCACGTCAGCGGCACGGCATGGCCTGCGCGCAGCTTCCCATTTCGTACCGCTTTTATTTGAGGCGCATAGGCAAAGAAGCAGTCCCATTCGGGATTTGGCTCAAATGAAAAGGTATACGCGTGCGCAGGCACGTCGCTGCCTTCAGCTTAGCGAAGTCTTTATACAATCAGGGTGGACAAGTGAAAATCTCCTACCATGCGCATCCAGGATACCTATATATGTCAAGTCAGCTGTGCGTCTCAATGATTGCAACATCGTTTGAGGCTGCTCCATGCTTCGTCTATGAAGCAAAAGAACCTGCCTTTTTGCATTGTCCAGCCCATCTTTCAAGTTTGGAATGTTTGCCATAAATAGACGAACTACAAAGGATTAGCAAGTTCAGCAGCCGACGTTGATTTTAAGGGGAACAAACCCTGTTTTCATGCCATGTTCCAGCGATGTCAGAGTTCCTGCATCGTGATTAGGGCATGGGTAATGTACTACGCAACTAGACCTTACTTCTCGTAACACACAAGCTCATAATCGGTAAAAAGTTTCTGCATCTTATAGGCCATCAGGAGGCCGGCTGCCCCGGCTCCCACATGGATCACACGAATCGTCCTTCCCTGCGAATGATACTGGTCCTTAATCCGGTATGGCTCTACCTCCTCGAGTGAAGGCATCTTGAAGGGTAGGAACTTCAATGCGACGAAGAGTGTTTGATGGAATGAAAGGGACTACGTAGATCAATATGATGGCTTGAGGCTAAGTTTGAGAACAACGAAGGATCAACGATGTACAGCGCGAATTGTTCAAATGGATAAAGGAACCTTGCTCCAAAATCAGCATCGCCATATCCAGCTCGTCCTTAAAGTTTCTCGAAAACAAGATTGTAGCCTCGGACATACGGTAATAGAAAACAGAATGTGGGGTCAGCGATCGTCCGGAAATGCAGGGGAAGTTGCGGAGAAAATGGCGTGGGGTGCAAACCAAACATGCGGAGATGATGGCTTGGAGTGTTGTCTCTCTTGTTTGTATTCCGTCAATCGACCCTACGATTGGCTGGTGAAGGCCTTAGAAGCAAAGGACCTTGTGCATACAGGCTCCTGCTCCCGCTTTCTTCTCTGTCGAATCGATCTTCGTTGGATTACATTGTAAGATACAAAGTCAGTATCTATCTCTATAGAGCGTACATGGACAGTGATGAGCGACGCGGAGAGCTGTCACTTAATGCTCCTCGTTCGTGCAAATTCCAGAGTTAGGTCATTTTCTTGAGCATCAAAGCATGGATGCTTCGAATCATATGGCTATAAGTACATAAGCGTTCAAAGATCAAATTGTTAATGTTGCTTTTAAAAGGCAGGTGCTTGCAGCAGCGCGACCTATTATGAAACCATCAAAGGGTAGCATGGAGCACCGAAATCCCACCAGCTGACGCTATACGAGCTCAGTAACTATTGACGACAGTTGCGCAGGAGTGCTGTCCGCGATTGAGTTCCGATCGAATCTCTCGTCCTGTTCCCGCACGAGAACACGGGTCTGTTCAAACCGCTCGAGACTCTCTTCTGTCGCATGGGCCCTCGGCCCCAGCGTCCTGATCCTCCCGTCTTTGGCAATGCAATACATGGCGAAGGCGCCTCGAACGAGGCCCCATCGCTGCAAGATCTTGCCAAGCCTGTTGGAAACCCAGCAATGCTCCTTGCTCTCTCTTCCCCACATCAGCCTGGTCGAGTGAAACAGTCTGCGATAGATCTCGAAAGCCTGGTGCCATTTTTGATTGGCTTCAATGAGGCCGAGCACCTGGTGGCTAAGCTTGACTGCCGGGTCACTGTCGAGATGGTGTTGTTGAACCGTGTGACCCCACATCAATACGGCTTGCCGATCAAGGAGATCGGCCAAGACAACTGAGGGCCAAATATAAGGCGCGTGGGAACGGATGTCTGGTTCCAAAGTGTCAGCCAGGAAGGATATCAGCATAAGCTATCCTCACCCCCGGTCTGTGAAAACATCCTTGCGCTGCCTTCGAATTCTTTTTCATGTTCGTAAAAAGCTTCAACTTTGCTAAACCCTATCAAAAATCTATGCTAACGACCGGATCTGGTAGCGCCCCAATCATAACTCACATGTCTCTCAGCGCAGCCAGACGCTTTTTTAGATGCTCCTCGTCTCTTTCCGATCCTTTCGCCCCGTACTGCTCCTCCAGATCGTCTCTCTCCGCTAATGGAAAGGGGTTGAGACGTAAGGACACCATCCTGTCAACGCAGTCATCCAACTCTCGCGTGCGAACTTGCAAGTAGTTCTTCGTATCGACGACGATGTTCTCCAGCTTCTTGTACTCGAAAAGTTCCACGTCTTGCAAGCCTTGCTCGACATTGAAGCGAAAGTACGAGCCGTCCAACGAGTCTTCTCGTAGCATGGACGCGTGCGTGGACTCCGTGTCTGAACCGATACCAACCATGGCTTCAATCGTCTTGGGCGGCAACCCCATTTTGCTGGACATTCTTTGCACAAACGTCTCAGCCTCCAGCCGGTTGACTTTTGCCATGCCGGTTCCAATACTCAAGAACAGACCAACTCCACAGACGGCTGGGTCCAAGCGACGTCGCTTTCCCCAATAGTCACGAGCTTCATTAAGGGCGTGGATAGAAGGATTGTTGAACTTCATACCACCATCAACGCATCTGGTGGGAGGATCTCCCCCTATATCTATGGGCTTGAAGTAGGTCGGTGCTGCCGACGTGGCTCTTGCCGCTTGCCAGATCGTACATGGAGGCTGAGGCCCGTCATGAGGAGCAACATATGATCGCAAGAGCTGCGGTGTTGATGAGTTCACATTTTGGTGGAACAACGTACACACAACACTAAAAATATCAGCGACATCGAGGAAGCTCAATCCTGGGTACGTACACTTTGCAGCAGTCAATCCCCAGCGGATCAAGAAGTGGAGCATCGGTCTGATCAGGGCCAAGCTTTCGCTCTATGACACCTTTTATTTCATGCTCAAGATTCGATCCAGAGAACATGAACTCGTGAGGCGGACCTCGTCGGTTTTTGAAGATCTTTTCGCCAAGCTTGTTATATTCTGCAATGCACTCGTCAATAGTCATGCGCAATCGTCCAAGCATAATTGCGATGATGCTAAGCGACGTGAGTATGCAACAGGTGATCAAGGCCGTTCAGAAAGCTCTTACCCGCCTGTACTCGTTCCGACAATAAGATCGAAATACTCGTAAGGCTGTAAATTCATGTTCGGAGGCGACATGCTAGCCCCAACCCTATACATGATTGTCTTGAGGATCTCGAGACTTGATCTCCCCCTTATCCCTCCACCATCTATCGACAGCCTTGTCAGGGTAGTTTTTCTATGTAATGGGACAAAATACGAACCTAGCGATAAGATCTTCAGACGTCTTGGAGGCGACATTGCGGATTATACTCGATGAATAAGTTTCACGAACTTCTGACGAGCATTTATACGTTAGAGGAAGGTATTTCAATGGGACCATCACGCCAATTTCATCACTTCCGTCCTTGGCGCAAAGCCTCTGAATAGTGGAACTTGCCGTAGAGGGCGGTGCTGCTCTTCAGCTGACAGGAGGCCGCAGCCTCTGGCTGCAGATCTAGCCAGTCAGATCTTGCGCCAACCCACACTTCGCCTAAGAGTGCCAGAAGATGACCGGTTCTGGAGTACGGTGAATAGGGAGGCGCCGAATTATTGAGTCTGTGTCATCGCCTCCTTGTGACGTATGGGCCTCATAATTCCGCAGGAACAGTCGGCTCTGAAGTTGTTCATTCTTGGTGCGCGTCCATCTTCCCAAACTTGTTTCTTAGACACGTTCATTTCGCGACGGAGTGATATTTTAATCAAACCGCCCCACTTCTGTTGTTCCGTTTCTCTTGTTAGCTTTAATTTCTAATCGTCCTTGGTAGAATATCCGCCATGGAAATACGTTCAACATCCGCGTCTACTACGGTAGCGTTGATATTTGAACACGTTCGAGATCTGAGCAACAGGCTCGAGGGAACAGACGCTGGCCCAACACTGTTCGAGATATCAAGAACCATCGAGGCCCTGATCCTTCTCGACGCTGAGAAACATATCAGCTGTGCTGTCAACGGAGAGCAGGGCCAGGCTGAGGCCAGTACTAGGCCGAGTTCCTTTTCGGGAGCGGCTCCAATTACCAGCATCCTTGCGAAGGCAAAGATGAACATTAATCTTTGCACTGTTTGCGCCAATAGCGCCGCAGATACCGGAGAATGGAATCCAGACCTGGAGGCCCAACTTGCCGATTATTGGCGAAGGTTCATCGTTAACTTGGCCCAGCTAGCCTTCAGCCTCAAAATTCTCCCGGAACAAGTATCTTCTGCCCTTTGCGCTCTTCCCGGAAAGGTGCGAGCATTTTCACGAATTCGACAGTTTGATTGACTGACATGAAGCCAGTTTGAGCCTGAGCCATTGTCGCGTATCAGTCTACTGTCGAAACACAAGAGATTTTCGAGAAGCACTACATCTTCATCAAGCGACAGCTTAGCCTCCTCGCAAAAGTCTCTCGGCGTCTTTGAGAAAGCGAACTTTGACGTCTTTACAACAAAAACGTTGGTTAAATCCAAGAAGATCTCGCCCAAGACGATGCCCGTCCTTGTAAACCAGCATTCGGGCCCACCAAAATTACAAACTAGCGGAGCGAATACATCAGAACCCCTTGCTTCAAACGCTGCTCAACACCTTCATACCTCCCAGGAATATAAGAGACGGAGAAAGACGCTCACTAAATCAACAGAGGTATCGAATGCTACAGTAGACTCGGTCCCTTCACATATCTCGACCGGTGAGGGCACCTCCGCGGTGAGCACCCCAACAGTTTCGCAGCTTAGTAGGCTAATAATGGCTTCAAGAGCACGGGAACTGCAAATCTGCAGCTTCCCACATACAGCAGCATATTTGGCCGAGATGAGAAATCGGATAAGGATTCGTTAAGCAAAGAAGATGACTCAATTCCGGAGTGGGTTCTCCGAGACTACGAGAAAGATCCTCCTCCGTCTTGGATGCCCGAAGTATCTCTGAGGCCGATGCGGTCCACTCCCATCTTCGCTAAGAGCCTAGAAATTTCGAATAGTCCGCCCCATCCTCAACCATCAGTGGATAACCTTCGCCATCAATTCAGTGACTCGGCGAATTACTATCATATCGAAAACTCCAATGTAGTTATCGCTCCACAATTGCCCTTGCAAGCTTTGACGCCTAGACCATACTTAGCAACTCCGCCTCCGGAGAACTGGCGTTCGATTGCGCCATATTCAAATACTCGTGGATTAGTCTTGGATGCCCTACGCTCAGAACATCTTAAAGATATATTCATGCCCGACAAGGCTTGTGTGCATGCCATTGTGCACCAAGGCCGACACGACTGGTGCCCTTGCTGCTTTCATACTGGAGTCTGTCGACCACCATTCCCGATGTAATAGATCTTAAACGTTCAGATAAAGAAATGTTGAGGGACACCCTACACTTTACCTCATCTTGTGGCAGTAGTCGGAGCTGAAGATGGTATTCCGCTGGCTACTCATCATATTCAGTACATAGCGTCGAGAATTTATTAGACACTCATATGAAGCTTGAATAAGGACTAGGGGAAAGATTCTTTAATTTTTGCTAAAAACCGTAGAGATTCATTCTTCGAGATCAAATTCCGTATGACTGACCAGGTAGTCATGTGGGGTGAATCAGGAGTTTTGGAGTTTCAGATGTGTCTTTCAATGATTGGTGTCCTGCAGGTCGAACGTATCATGGCCGAGTCCCTGTCGGAGATTATCTCTATTAACTATTGAGAAGCTGGTCAAAAGGATGAATGATCGCGTTCAGCGCATGCGTGTACACAGACTGATAAATCGTCTTTACACACCAAAACTAAGAAGACTGTAGAGCTAGAGCGGTAAAATTATAACCTATGAGAGTCTGTACTCGTTATTGAGAAATATGAACGGCGTGGAAGTTCCGTTGACAAGGCTGGCTTATGAGGCTGGCACGTGCTTTCCAGTGAGTGACGTTTGTCTTGTCCGAGATCGCTCGAAATATTTCTCGAGGGCAAGAGGCTCAAAATATTGACCGCACACTTGACGCTACTACGTTCGTAATTCTACGTCCTCCTTGAATAGTCTTTCATTCATTTTCCTTTCTTCGTGACATAAATCTACCTGAGTTGAACACGACTATGCCGCACGCTGCTCAAATAGCTGCGGCAGTGCAGCAGAGCAGTCACGCACAACATGACCCCGAACTGGATCATTCAGATTTCGAGTCGGAAGACGAGATGCTGCAAAGTCAGACGACGCACCTTTCGCAGCATATGTCTAAACTACGTGTTGACGATGCTAACGATCACGTTGTGTCCACTGGAACGGGTCATGATCGAAAGGAACGAGACAAGAGTGATCGGGCCACGACAGAGCAAGTTCTGGACCCGCGGACACGCATGCTGCTGCTGCAGATGATCAACCGAAACATAGTTTCTGAGATCAACGGCTGCATTTCGACAGGCAAAGAGGCAAATGTTTACCACGCAATCATGATTCCAGATGCCGAGCAAGAGAAGGAGGGGCTGAAAAAGCCACAACACCGAGCTATCAAAGTATACAAGACCAGTATTTTGATATTCAAGGATCGTGAGAAGTACATCACTGGTGATTACCGGTTCCAGCAAGGCTATCAAAAGAGCAGTAACAGAGCCATGGTGCGACTGTGGGCTGAGAAAGAGCTTCGTAATCTGAAGAGAATATATGCGGCAGGTATACCGTGTCCTGAGCCTGTGTACCTCAAGAAGCACGTTTTAGTCATGGGATTTCTTGGTGATAAGAAGGGATATCCAGCGCCACGACTAAAGGACGTTGAATTTGATGGTGAGGATGCTTCGAAGAGGTGGCGAGAGACGTATTTGACCGTTATGGGGTACATGAGAAGGATGTATGTGGAATGTAAGCTTGTCCATGCAGATCTCAGCGAGTACAACATGTTGTGGTATCAGGATCGGCCACAACTCATCGACGTCAGCCAGAGCGTGGAGCACGACCACCCTAGAAGCTTAGAATTCTTGCGCATGGATATTAAGAACGTAACGGATTTTTTCAGGAGACAAGGTGTGGAAACGATATCCGAACGAGCAGCATATGCGTTCATTACGAACCCGGAGGGCAGTGCAGAGCTTGCTGATATGCCAAAACTGCTCGAAGATATATGCTCAAAGCGCAAGGCTCTTACTGAAGAAGAAGCCGCGAAAGAGGAGCAAGAAGACGAAGTATTCAGGCAAGAGTACATTCCACAAAACCTGGAACAAGTCTATGACATTGAAAGAGACGTTGAAAAGTTGCGCGAAGGCGATGATCTGGTTTACAAATCAGCACTACTTGCAAACGACAACGGGGTGGAAGCACACTCTGACGAGGAAGATGAGGATAACGATACGGATTCTGAGGAGAGCGAATGGGAAGAGCGGGAGAAGGCCAGGCCCAGAGGACGAAAGCACGAAGACAAAGAGGAGAAAAAGGCGCATAAGGCAGCGGTCAAAGAGGAGAAAAGGGAGAAGAGGAAAAACAAAATGCCGAAGCATGAAAAGAAAGCTCTCATTAAAAGCAGCAGTCGCAAAAAGAAGTAGAATGCCTGATCGTGTCATCCATCACGGCATATATGCAAGATAACATGAGAAATGGCATAAAAATTATGATATGAATTAGTCTGACTCTTTCAGCCATGGTTTTCCCTCGCGTCACAATGCATTTGGGAATGAGGGTACTCTATGCCAGTCAAGGTACGTTATCTATTTTCATCTCCTGTACTCATCCTAGTATCAGTATATCATAATCAGGTGATGAGCCTTCTCCCAGACTTCGTCATGTCTCGAAGCGTTTCTGACATTTGGTAACCGCGATTCAGACGGATGTGACATGGGACCTAAATGCGCTTGAGATTGCACATGTAGATTAAAGAGAGCCCTGATAAAAATTCTGAGGTTTTCACGTACATTACCTTTTTAGCTGTATCCGAACGGAATGTTGCTAACGGATTGGTCGACCTACAGATGATGTGTGATACACCGTTAAAAAGACCATCTTTCATTTCAAATTCCACTAGCACAAAGTGTGCGTTTCTGACTCCTAGTCCAAGCCCACATTCTAAAACGCAGGCCTATAATTTGAAAGGGCTGTCTGTTTTAAGCCACGTTTCGAAACTCTTGAGGCTGGGGTGTCTCTTCCTGCACATTTCCACGTCGGCTTTATATCCATCTGTGCCGAACCATCGGACCATGGTGCCCATCTCACCCACAAGAGTGGTCAGCAAGCTTCCAAGCATCCAGAAAGCTGGCTGCATGTTCGCGTTGACGACATCTCTGAAATTTTTGACCAGGTCTTGTACATTTAGAACATCCCCCGCCAGAGAAATAGCTTGGTGATTATAGGTCTTTGGGGACGCGAACGCAAGACCCGCAAAATAACCAATATCTGAGGTCGCGATCCACTGGATGGGCTTTGTGCCGACATTGTTGCTCAGAGCGGCCATAAATACACGGGCTGGGAAACCTATTACACACGTCAGGGGATTGAGGCTGCACGTCTTTGGTGTGCTGCTTACCAGGTTGCCAGTTCTGCACATGTCCTTTGTCAGTGCTTTGCTATCTTTGCTGCATGATGTGCATGTACGAAGACTTACATCCATGAAAGCGACTGGTCTCAAGATTGTCCAACCCATTTTGTCCCCTGCCCGCTCTTTCAAGTACTTATCCAGGTGATACTTTGCCTGAAAATGAGGGATTGGAGTTTCCGTTTCCCAACTCACGTCATCTCCACCGCGGTCCACGCTGGAATATACAAAGTGGCTTACACCCGACTTGACACTCTCGTCGACCATGGCCTTGCCTTGTTTGATCTCACCTTCCAAAGTCACACCCTTCCCCTGGCTGACCTGCACAGAAAACACACCCCATATGGGGCCGGATATTTTTTGCGCAGCGTCGAATAAATCAGGAACATTATCGAGGTTTCCCTCGACGAGCTTGACGTTGAATGACTTGGCGGCGAGTTTCTGGGCGGCTTCCGAATTTGGATTTCGCGTAACTGCGAGTATGGTCCAGTTCTGGTCCTTCTGCGCGAGGAGAGCATCAACGACAGCACCGCCCTGCTTTCCGGTGGCTCCAGTAACCAGAACTGTCCTGGACATGATGATTTTGGTGCGTTGAAAGCAGCACACTTGAACCGTAGTGCGAGGCCGAATCACGTGATCCTTTTTTCTGTTTTTTTGAGCTGATTTGGAACGAAGGCTTTGCTAACAAGAAAAGCGGTTGTCCTTTATGTAATGGTGGATAACATTAAGAAGCGGTTTCAACGGTAGCACACCTCCAGCTCCGCGTTTCCATCATCCGGCTTCTCCGCTCGATTGCTCGGAGCCTTGTGTTTCCTTTGAAGCCAACGCTCCACAGCGCTAAACAAACAAAAACGGAATGGAGATCTCACGCTCCGGGGATCGAAATTAGCTTCTGCCTTATGACAGGGGGTTTCCGGCGCAGCCTTGTGTGGCGCTGCGTCTCCGGTCTTTGCTTCCACAACATTAGGGCTTCGGGTCCCCAAACCAAATATCCATAGGGCTCGAAAGAATCAGTCTATTATATCGTTTATTGGAATGGAATAACTCACTTTGCCAGCGCAGGTGGCATGAAGAAAATCGCGATAATCGACTACCATCTCCAACGCAGAGCATGGCAGAATTTCGGGCCAGCGAGTTGGCTCCTTTTTTTCCCATTTCGATGAAAATTCCAGAAGAGGGAAGTGATATTTGCGAAGGCATCTATCGAAGCGATGGATTACGTATTTTCATTTAGGTCTAAGGAATTGTAAAACCGGTTCGGGCGTTACATCGTAATTGGCGAGAGATATGTTGACTCTTTGACAGTAGCATTGTTCAAAAATCAGTACACCTGGCCATGCACACTTATCAAATGCCTAATCATACACTTCTTTGTAGAAAGAACAATCAAGAAGAAAAGACCTGCCACAGCGAGATGGCACCCGTGACGACCGGTATCAAAAGCCGGTACTTATTGCCCTCGATCCAATTCGTCGCGATTTCGACGGCCCTACCCTCATCCTGCTTGTCCACTTTTGCGTTCCCTTTGCCGTCCGATCCTACACCAGCAAGTGCGGCCAGCTTGTTGTTTAGTGGCTGCATGTTGACAGCGGAGTGCACAATGACCGTGGCATGCAGAGCTGCGTTGAAAGCGAACCACCGCCAGTCCATATCGAGCACCCTCTCAACGCGGGCCAGACTCCATGCAGTGAAAGCGTAGCCAATTGTCGCAATTGTACTGATTGGCCGGAAGAAGTTGTTGCCTACTACCCAGATTGGAGGCCATTGTTTTCCTAGGAGGCGAGCGCGCACTGCGTATTCTGGAGAGTTTGAGGACGGGAATTCATGTATTAAAGCGGGTACACCCATGTACGACTGGGTGATGGCATTTCCTAGAGGCAAGAGTTGTTAGCTTTTTCAATATGCCTCTCTACTCTTTCTCTTCCTCTTCGACTCAAACGATGTTCCAACTTACCAGCCAAAGTGTAGTCGATTGCTATACACGTAGCTAATACTGCATTTCGAAATGCGGGATTGATGAAAGCGGCCATTTTATATGATAGATATGTAGTTTTGTGAGAGATTATAGGGAGAGCAAAGAAGGAAAACTTTGAAAAGTAGTGAACGAGAATGCTATATTGAAGATTTTATGACATGAATCAAGTTTCTGATTATATTCGCATCAATGCCGCCGTGCGACAATGAAAAATCCGAACGGTGGAGCTAGTCGAGAGCCGACACTTGCTCTCTACCCAGAACAACTGCCGCAAGGGCGTACAAACTTTCATTTTGAAAATTACGAAGTATTGGAGATTCTCACCTGCAAAGGAGCGTGACGAAGAGAAGGGATATGACATCGGGATGTTGGGGGTGAATTGCATTCCTTGAAGAGCAGCAGGTTTGGTGACGAAACAAACGTAGATCGGCTGAAACGAAATTATAGGTGGCTCAAAGTCGCAAGTGTCTGCTCGAAAGACATCCACATCATGTGCCATGTGCTCTGCAGGACGATCATTGACCTTACATGGCAATGAGCTTTTCTATCGGACATATTTAGCTATTCCGATAAGCATGGGTCTGGAATGCAAGTAAAAGTTCTTCGGACCTGAGCACGCCGAAGCGGGGGAACATGACCAAAGCGGCAACGTTGTTTGCATCATAGACTTTGTACGTGTGTGGTGGATGGTGCCTTGCAGATCTCTAGTCAACACGGAGTACGCGCGATCTAATTTTGCCCATGTCGGACAAATAAGGCTAACGACAGCCGATATCGTCGTAGTAGACATGAAAGTTCATACACGACCAGCAAAAACACATATCCTCGTACATATCAGGTGTTTTTTTGAATAGCAATTACTTGCATTTCACGGTTGATATTTGCGTAAACCTCCAACCGTTAGAGCGTTTTAGAAGCGAAGAATCGCTGTCACCAGATATTATGTTTTTTAGTTGAGAAAGCAACGTTCATTTGAGGCTTGCAAAGACTTTCGCTCGTTACAGGAGCGCAAAAAGCATAATTCATGGCAATGTCTCTTGACCCGACGACCCATAATTTCAAAAGCCACGACGAGAACCAGACGTGTACACTGTGTGGTCATCAGAGTTAACGAATCTTCACTGTAGACGGCAGCAGCAACATAGATGTCTAAGACTAAACAGCCGACTCGGAACTCCGATCCCCCAACAAACTCCAGAATGCACATCCAATTCCCGCCTGCGTGAAGATAAAGCTTATGGACGGAGATCCGCATGAAACTCCGCGAGGCACTTGAACTAGCCTAAATCCGGTTAGTAAGAATCTTATCTACGCCTTCTCGCTCATCGCCTCTGCTGCACGAATGAAGTCCGCACGCTCCTTGGTGTCACGAGCTTCCGACTCACGCCAGAAATCGATAATCTGCTGCCTCCTCTTCTCACTTCGAGGCACAAAATCGAGCTCGTAGTAATCAGGCTTGATGATAAGCAGCGAGTTGGTCTTGTGCAGGTCAACCTTGAGCTCCTTTCCGGTACGGGCGTCGACTTTGAACTTCGTGGTGAAGTTGCGGACGAGTGAACCGCATGCTACGATCAGCTCGTCTTGCGTTATGGACATGCCGAGGCATTGACGACGACCCCAGCCAAAGGATGACATGTTCTTGATTGTGGGGTACTGTGTGAGCGGTTCCTGGTAAGTTGGCCAGCCGGGCTCAAGCCACCGCTCCGGTCGAAAGTTTTCTGGGTCCGGGTACTTCTTCGGGTTTCGCAAGAAAGCACTGCAAGGATAGATCAGTATTTCTTCCCCAAGATATCAGAATGACGCTATTGCACGTACATGTCTAGAGGCAGCAGGCGCGCCCCCTTGGGTATGAACCAGCCACGATAAAAGTCGTCCTGCTCAGCCTCGTGTGCAACGCCCGTGGGTACGTTTGGCTTCCAACGCATGGTCTCTTTGATACAAGCGCGCAACACTGGAAGGTTCGGAAAGTCATCCACGGTTGGGTTACGCTCTCCGCAGACACGGTCGATTTCGTCCTGCAGCTTCTTCTGCCACTCAGGAAAATAGGCCATAGCACAGAGGAAGAAGTTTAGCGGACCAGCGACTGTGAAGACACCAACCAGGCAGAGCATACCGATGCAGCACGAAGCCTCCTTCTCTCCAGAGAGCTTTGAGTTGTTAATTGTGTCGAAATAGGTCTTTGCCCAACACGGTCTCTGCAGATTCTTTGCACACTTATCTCGGACCTCATGGTATCTCTCAAGCCAGAACGCGTTTTGCTCATCATGCCTCTTTCGCTCAGCAATCTTCCAAGGATTGATGCTTTCCGGTATATGGGTCCAGAGGGGAGTAATCAGGTTGGTAATAGGTCCCGCGGGTGACATTTGAGTAAGCAGGCCCCATGCGCTCTTGGTGTTGTACTCACTGACCTCGGGCTTGTCCCATGTCAGAGTACACATGACCTTGGATGCCATATCCTCGAGCGAATGATAGGCATCACTCGGTTCAGTCAACAAACGGTACATCCAGCGCTTGACTTCGTGATCCATGATTCCGTAGTATTTGCCGTTAGCAGCTTCTGTCACTTGTGCGTGAGACCATTGTCGCTGACGTGCCCAATACTCTGCTCGGTTGTTCAGCTCAATTATTCTTCAGAATACATCACAAGAACTTACGGTTGCGTCCCATGAGTGGTAAATACTCCATAGAGCCTTCTGAGCTCTTGGAATCAAACAGAGACCGCATGATCGGGCGATCGGAGTTGATTTTCGCGCGTCGCACCAGCAGGTCTTCAGCGATACTCTCATCAGAAATGATAACAAATTTTGCGCCCAACATTTCCGTGCGATATATTGGTCCGTATATATGGGCCCACTCCTGGAATTTCTCCCACATGAAGTTGATTGGCAAGTCGTGAATACGTCCAATATATGGGAGAAGCTTGGGGCCAGGCATCTCATGGTCATGCTCGACTTTACTCTTCTTCCTGCTAAGGAGCGAGAGGATGGCCAAGCCGATGATGGCAAAGATGCCACCCGCCGCAATGAGAGGATGCATCACTATAGGATCTCAAAACAAACGTAGAGAATGTACGACAGACTGAATGAGTGAAGGGAAACTATCTCTTGCCTGCCAAGTGGAATGATTGGGTATGTATAATAAAGTTCACTCAATTATGCAGGTGACATATGACGAAAACAATGGTACTTGATGTTAGCTGATCAGGGATGAAGCCGCGCCATCAAGAGTTGATAAATTAAGAAATGCAAGCCATTGCAGCTGGCCTTCTCCGGACTGGTACAAGGAGAATAAGGCTTTGCACATGTCCAAGACATGAAATCGGAAATGTTCTTTTGTCGAAGGGGTAGAGTCGTTCTCAATGGGCTGGGTTCTTCCATCTATGGATTCTCAACCAGCGCAGCAAAACGCAGCCTGCCAAAGCTAAGAGTCTTGTCCCGAACTGCAGCCAATGCCGAATGGTGACTGTCATGACGACAAATACAAAGATAAGGGCGACAGAAGCGGAAGCAGATCAACGGCCCCAATGTACAAATTCCAGTAGAGGCAAAGAGTTTGTCGGGAATTTGTCTTTGGGGTGGCTTCTCGGTCGAGCTGCTGATCCACACTTGCCTGCCGTGCACTGAATGAGCCACGAAAAAGAGGCCAAATCATTCGGACAGTAATTCATCTTTGTGTAGCGTGTTACTTGCAAAATCCCAGCTCTCTGTCTCCATTATTTTTGGGTCAAATGACAAGAAGCGTTGGTTGTACCACCAACTTGAAGTCTAGAGTACGCGAAGCTTGAATCTCGATATAGCAGCATGGATGCACAAAGGAACCAGGGGGGGCCTGCCGGCATTGATTGTGCAATAGAAACTCTGGTCAAGGAAGCTGCATCGTGTCCAAGAGAAATACACAAGACATCTATGATAGCATAAATTTCCAAAACAGGCCATTCTTTGATGCTGGTGTTGGGTGTGCTTACGCCCCAAGACTTATGTTGTCCGAGCTGCAAGATCAGGTTGACGAGACACCCACCACTGACCGAAGTTCTGCCGCGGATCCTATACTTTTTTAGGAGATGCCCATCCCCTTGGCTACTCTCGGCACGTTTTGACCTGCCGTTACGTGGTCGGCATTTTTGAAGGGGTTCCGAAAAGCTTGGAGTTTGCAGGGATTCGGTTTCTAGGCTTTGCTCTTGGATGTACAGGACTGCGCCTGGCTACGTGTGTGTATTTCGGGATACTCGAACGAACAGGACCATCGACCAAGAGGCCGAACGCTCATGTAGTCCTTGCTTGTGGTGTGAGGCGGAGCTGAAGATGCCGGTGCACCGGCAGTGGTGGTGGTGACACATTGCGTCCTCCGAAGTGGTTGCGTAAACGCGTCTTTATTAACGAATGCTGCTGTGTCTGTGAGCTCTTCTCTGCACACTCTCAGTTTTCCTGCCTCGATAAAACTCGATTGCTGTACGCTCCACTATTTTTAAAAACCATCCAACCTGAAGTGATGATTATGGCAATAAGCAATGGCGTACATGCCGAATCAAAACCCGTCGGATCATACCCGCCGTCCGGAATCGATGTCCTCGTTGTAGGAACTGGCTTGGCCGGTTTAACTGCTTCGATAGAGTGCATTCGCAAGGGTCACAATGTCAAAGTGTTGGAGCGCAACGCGGACATTAACACATCAGGTAGGAGGTGGTCGGACTGCAACGCTTATATGTCAAAGCTGATAGCATGACGATTAGGAGACATGTATTTCATGGGCTTGAGTGCTACTAAATTCTTCAAGCACTGGCCCGAAATGGCGAAGGAATATGATGAGATCTCGCTTCACAACTGCTGGATGGAGACGTTCAAGCACTCTGGAGAAATGATGATTGCGCCAAGCTTGGTGTCTGCGCGATTGCGGGCTCAAGGTTTGGACCCAAACACACCTCCAGGGACCTTTCAAATGCGACCTCTTGTCTATAGGATGTTTGTTCGTCAGCTCGAGAGATTGGGCATAGAAGTTGAATACAACAAACGCATTGTGGACTATAAGGAGGATGCTGAGAAGGGCAAGGCCTACGCCATTGCTAGTGATGGTTCAAGATATGAAGCCGACGTGATCATAGCTGCAGACGGCGTTGGCTCGAAGTCACAGAAGCTCGTAGGTGGGCAAGTACGCGCCGTCTCTTCAGGTCGTGCCATGTGGCGTGCAGCCTTCCCAATCGAACATCTTGAAAAGGACCCGAAAGTTAAGAAACACTTCAAACTTGTCGGGCCAAACGGCGATGAGCCCATTGTTCGGACCTGGCTGGCACCCAATTCATATGCACTCACTTTGACCAGACCGGACACCATGATCTGGATTCTTAACCACGATGTCACGGGATCAGAAGAAGAGAACTGGAGTCATACAATTGACAAGCAGGAGGTATTAGATAACATGGACAAGGGACTTCCCACCCCTTGGGCACCAATATTCAAGGATCTTGTAAGATGCACACCCGACAACACGATTGTCAACTTCGGTTTGCTGTGGAGAAACCCACAGCCAAGATGGGCCTCGCCCGCGGGTCGGGTCGTCACGATTGGCGACGCTGCACATTCCTTCCTCCCAGCCAGCAGCAACGGGGCAACCCAAGCAATTGAGGACGCTGTTTCAATTGCCGCATGCCTCCAGATGGGTGGCAAGGATCGAATCGCGGAGTCTGTTCGCACTCATGTCCTTTTCCGGTAAGTTACGTGATCATTGTTAGCAATTGAACGCCAAAGCTCATGTCCTATCATCCAGCTTTGTCCGCACTGCTTGCGCTCAGAAGCTCGGTTTCTCGAACGCTGAACTTCTTCAAGATACGGATTGGGGAAAGGTCAAGCTCGATCCCCGTCGTGCTCAGCCAAAACTCCCAGCCTGGGTATTCAAGCACGACCCTGAAGCTTATGTTTATGAAAACTATGAGAAGGGAGTGGCTGCTGTCAAGAACGGAGCCAAATATATTACGGACGTGGAGGGCTTACCCCCAAATTATCCACCCGGCTACAAATTCGAGCCATGGAGTATCGACGATATCATGTCAAACATGAAAGCGGCAAAAGAGTTTGAACTTGGACCGGGCGATTGGAGTTGATGAATCTATTTGGATTTTAGAACGAGAGTATCATGTTGCATCTATGTGTCATGGCGGGGGGAGGGGAATATGTTTCCCAATGCCAGAAGAATACTCGAGCCTGTGCGTGTTTAAAACAATTGCCCTATCTGTAAAGGTACGCCTCAAGTTTCTGAGGCTTGCATGAAACTTATAGTTCACGAGACGCGGAGTTGAATGATTCGATATACAGCCCCAATTTGGTTCAGAATGGAGGTTTGTTCCCAGCTCGTATCTTGAGCTTATGCTAGTGTTTCGGAGTCTATTTTTATTCACTAAAACGTTCCTTCAAACCATGCCGATCTCCGACGTGGCACTCTTCAAGATCTGCAAAGCTTTTCTAAGGAGGGAACCTGGCAGCTAATTCTGATCAAGCTGTGCTTTTGCATAATTTTGAACTGTCTGAAGGCACCGAGCGTCTATGTGCGCCTGCATGAGGAGCGCGAAAACCACCAATGGCATCCTTCCCCACATCTAGCCGCGACGCCACATGCGCAGTCCGGTTTATTTTTTGGCATACTTACCATGTCGTTTTCTAGCTAGGCTTGAAGTTGGCGAGCGCTCAGTTCCAGGACATTGTACGCTTCTTTGAATCCTTTGAATCCTTAAGACTTGAGGTGTCTCAGACAAGCGGATTCAAAAATGTCGTCAGGACATTGCACGATTTTACCACCGTCATCAGCTTGTTATCCATTCCAGAGCTATTCAGATGCAATGCAGCGTACCATCACAAGTTGAGAACCGCAATGTCGGCCATTTTTACTCCACTTGATAGTTCGGAATACGCGCTTCTCCCGGATGCTTCCACCCCTCCTCCAATACCTCCAAAAAGCAGTGCACGCACTCTGCGGCCGGCGAAAAAAGGATCTAACAACACCCAATCTTGCCCATCACGGACCAATGCAAAACAATACACTTACAAGACTGCAAATGTGTCGGGTGAAGATCTTGCGCAGAAGGAATGGTCAACTCAGCCTCGACGTAGTACCGAATGCCCGAACACAATATCCTACTTTAGTGATGACTCAAGTTCAGACGGGTCTAGGGACTCTACGGTCACAAGCCACGGATCGATAGTGACGCAAATCTGGAGCCAGAATTCGGCATGTGTTTCGACAGAGGGAGTTCCCGACCCAGATCCCCCGCGTCCTTTGCCGCTGTCTACGATTGATCGTGGAGACATGATCTTTTGCGGTGATCAGCAGTCGATGGTCCAGCGATCAGAGTTTGCACAATCCAACCGGCCACTACCGCTTGCTCTGCGCTGGAACAACGTCTTAAATACAAAATGGGAGCCGGCCAGAGAATCGGAGCTATGGACCCCAAAGACCAATGCATTCAGCATCGCATCAAAAAGTTCAATCGCATATGGTTTGCAACTGCAGATGCAGCAAGAGAGTAAGGTATTTTCCGATAAGAACTTACGTCTTCCCATCCCCACGATCTCACTACCTGTCGATACTCAGAACCATGACGAAATGGCATACATGCCCTCTTTATCTAAATCGAACCCAAGTTCGTGCACATCGCGAAGTACCCCGAGATTGCAAGTTCCTTGTCATAGGCGTGGATCGTCGGAGCCCTTTACAAGGGTGCAGGTGCAAGAATTCAGCCTAGATGTCGCCGAACCGTCCATGGCGGCGAAAAACAGATGGATTCCAACTCTTCCTGCTACAGAGGCTGTAACACCATCGTCTACAAGTTCTTTGAGCAGTGTACCGTACGAAAATGATGATGACGGCGCATGTATCTCTGCTTCACCTCTCGACATTTCACCGGTCACCCCGCAAATGGTGGTAAGGGAAACCTCGAAGGTCGAAATACGGAGCCCGCATTGTGACTTCTTTTCGCCGCAGTCAAGGTTCTCCATCGATTCGGATCTGGAAGAAAATACAAAACCAACCTCTCCACAAGCCTCGCCTTTCGGATTGATACAACATGGATATTCTTACGATAGCGTTGTTCCTTCCAGCACACCAGAGAAATTTTTCGACGAGTCAGCTGTTGGTGAGAACACATTGAAGTGGTTGGCGAAGCAGAAGAAACCTTCGTATCATGTTCGAAACGACAGTTCTAGCGATAGAAATCGTATTCTGGGAACATACTTTCGCAGGTCAACGATATCCTGAGCGTGCAGCATTTCCGTGATGTTGGACAAAATTGACGGGTGAAATTTGGCTGAATATTGGGAGTTGCTACATTTTGATAGGGTTTTAGAATAGCGAGCAATCAAGTAAAATTTCTAGCGGACTCTTGAACGTCTTATATTCACGTGGAATAGTTTCATCGGCTCAAAACAACCTGGGGTGGAGCGTCGCACAAAATGGGTGTTTCGTCCGTGCAATGTTCCTCAGCACGATCCTGCATTCTGGAAGGCATTTTAGACGCACAAAAACTTCATTCATTTGAACTAGGCCTGAAGCTGACTTTCTCCAAAACCATCTCACGACAAGCAGGTGAGTATTATCGTCAAGTAAAACTTTCGGTGATCAGTTCGATCCTATTGCGGACCCAAGCGGTTCGTAAGGTCACGTTCCAGGTATGAGCTGGACGACCACTTTTCTTTACTCATTTCATTTCCACGTCCCATTCCAGGAGTTCGATGAATCCTGGCGCTTGCAACGCGTTGCGCGGAGAAGTGATCGCTTTTCCGCGTGAGTGGACACTGACCTGACGTGCTATTTTGGGTAGGGCGGCTAAAACGACCAATCAACGAATGGTAGCCAACACATCAACTTCCTTCGAATGTCCAGTACTCTTTCGGCGTCTAGCAAGCGATGCATGTGATCTCGCCTCAGAAAGCAAAAAAACGGAGTAAATAATGCATGAAGAGACTTTGGGAAAGAGACTCTGCAGGCCCTCGCCTTTGCAGCAAAATCAATATATGCTGGAGATCAGCATCGCAACCACATGTATCTAATTAACCAGCTTCAGACCTCTGAAAGTCATGAGAACAGCGTAAACTGCTGCCACTTCTTATCAAACTGGCGTTCGACTTTACCTAAGACAAGTATTGGTTCTATTAAGTCTTGAACACGGAGATGTCGGACATTCTTTCCAGAAGAACTGGCGCGCTCGATCGACTGCTTGCCGAGTTTGATGAACCACCGCCGGTTCCTCCAAAGGACGACAAAAGCCTGTATTTGAACAACCGGACAGGTGAAGTACATGGCTTGCCACCAAGAATAGTGCTGCCGAGAGACGCCTGGGATGACCAAGAGTCTCATGTAGCAGATGAATACGATAGCAACCCTGAAGATCTCGAGATCATTTCCGAGTCGGAGGATTCAGCAGCATTTGAAGTAGCCCAGACGCAGTTGCATGACAATAAAAACTCATCATACGAGAACAGAGCACCGACATCGATGAGACCGACCTTGCGTGCAACGACTAGAATGACGAAGTCAGACGCCCTCCCCGACAGACGAAAAAAGGTGGTGACATTCGCTCAAGATCATTGTCTCGAAGACCCTTCTGAAGAAGAGAGTGAAGGAAATGTCTCCACCAGTCGAGTTTCATCAGTTACTCCGCAGCTGGCACACCGGTTTGGTCGTTCTCGCGACGGCACTAAACGAAAACCAGCGCCACTCAACTTAAGTCGGCCAACTTCACATACAGGCCAGTGGAAAGTCCTCAGAGAATCAGAACTCTGGACACCTATCGATGATGAGCCCAATACAGCAGCTATAATTGCGATGGACATCGCTCCAAAAATTTGCCCACTACCGTACAAGCCAATCAGGTCATTTCCTCTTAAACCCCGAGGATCAATGCGTCCAGCTCCTCTCCGGATTCGTAAAGGTGTTCGCTTTGACAGCATCAAATCACCGTCTCACTTGCCTCTCAAATCACCTGCTCTGACAAAGAAACTCGTCCGTTTTGACGTCGTTAAGTCACCGGCCGTTGCTAAGTTTAGGACTCCACCAACGCCTTACAGCAATACACAATTCCAAGTTTTGACTCCGCGCAGGAAGAGAAGCGTTCACTTTGAAAAGATCAAGTCTCCGGCTTCATCGAAGTTCAAGATACCACCGACGCCATATCGCTTGGACAAATTTGAAGATTCGTTGTCAATACGCAAGCGTCAAGTTCGATTTGATGCTATCAAGTCTCCTGCCAGGTCTCACTTTACGACACCTCCCACTCCTTATTACAAGGCTAGTTTTGCAACTTCAAGCACCAAATTGAAACCTAGCGTTCGATTTGCAAGCCTCAAGTCTCCGGCTGTTTCCAGCTTCAGAATTCCGCCGACTCCGTACAAAAAGACCAGTTTCAATATCTCATCTTCACCTCCAGACATTTCTCCTGTCACACCACGAGCAATGCACATCGAAGTCCCAGAAATTGAGCCAGATAGCCCAATAATCAAATCCTTAGCATTCCGTTCGATATCTACGACGATGGACGACAGTTTCATACAAGACTCATTACACAGATTTAAGCATCCATCGGACGGCAAAAAATTTGATTCCCCACTTCGAACGACCTTGCATAGAAGAAATTCTTCATTGCCTAAGGAGATGTCCGAAAATGATTATCTTGATCCCAATATGCCTTTATCCACGAAGTTTAATGAAAGCGCAGTAGGCGCAAGCACGCTGCGGTGGCTTGGAATGCTACCGAAGACTACATATCGTGTCAATCAAAACAACATCACAGATCGAAACAAAATTCTGGGTAGCTATTTCCACAAGACGACGCCTTTAAATTGAACGATGACTATGTAATAATGTAAAATGCTTTACAGTTTAGATCCTTGGAAATCGAATGAGAGAGAACTACAAAACATTGCATAATAGCAAGAATTTCCTGTGCGTAGAGTGTGAAATTAGAGACTTTTTTAGCCACGTTAACCTCGTTCCATTCAATTTCCAGTCTATAGATCAAATGTAAAGCCGAATTGCGATTGTTTTGTCATCTATTTCAAGGATCGGTCAATCTAGGAAAAATTGAAGTATGGCCCATTCGACTCGGCTTTTGGGTCCATGAACGACTGTTCTAAGCACAGATCATGTTTTCTTCATCGTCTACTTGGGTTTAGCAGAGAGACCGAGGCAAATTTGTCCAACAGAGAAGTTCCCGTGGTTCTCTAATTACGCGAGCTGAAAATGATCATGCACATGCACTGTCATACGCATAAGGCACATTTGAGGTTCATGTGGACCGATGCAGGCCAAATTGGAGCATGCTTCTCGTTAAGCCACTTCACAGATCATGTGTTCTGAACGCCGAGGACGTGCACCGGGGAGTCCTGCTTTTGTTGCATAATGGAAGGTGGTCATTTCACTCCCGGGGTCACTGAACAGTGTGTCATTATCAGCGTGGGGTCGAAAGAGCAGAACGACCTTAATGTTAACACGGGTGACAGTTTTACTCAAGTAAAATTCGTGTCAATTGCAGAATCCTGTGAAGCTGGCCAGCTGAAGCGGGTGAAAGATAACTTTAGCAGTACAATTAGCGGCAGAAGTTTGCATATCGGGTACGTATAAGCGAGCTAATTTACCAGGGCAAAGACAACAATGGCCCAATTAGCGGTCATTGGCGCTACCCCCTAGACATTGCAGACCCCTGGGCTTGCAGAACTTGAGAGTAGTTTCCGCTAAATCGCGTCTAAATGTTCCCGCGTTGTTTGTCAAGCTAATGAGAGACGACTTTTTGATCTGATCTGCTATGAACCGTCTGGAAAGCTAGTCTGCTGAATGACTATGTCCTGAGAGAAACTTCCGCATTTGAGCAATTCAGCCTAGGCTCTTCACGGAGCAAATGTGCCCAAATTACCGCGGCCAGGCAGACTCCCGCAGGATTCAGCCAGCAAAGATCTTCATATCTGCCATGGCGGTCGAAAAGCAAAAAGCTGGCGGTGGAGGATTTGTATTCTTCCCACAGGAAATAGTGCCTTCGTCCGATTGGCTGTCTGACGACTGCTAGGCGCCGACCGCTTGAACCGACCCTAAATTGACCCAATCGGGACAAATCCAGCCTTACCCCTCTAGACCTTCCTCCCATGAAATTGGAATCCCCGAGACTCGTAGGATTGAAGCCACTGCTGGCCTTTCTCTTTCAAGTTTGAAGCTGTGGGTCTCATGCTTGTGAGGCGTTTATCTGCCGTGAGGACCGTGCAAAGGTAAATCTGCCTTCGATTTCGAGCAAAGCTTTTTATCTTGCTGCTTGCAATTCACTACGTAGTGATAAAGATCAACATTTTCTTCGATATTTTTTCCTAATACTTTTCTTTTGTTTTTTATTCAATAGATAGGTGTTTGGCTTGCTTTCCTAGGTGCTCTTCAAGCGTTGAGATGGCGTCTCGCCGCACCTATGGTGCATTGGACGATCATCCGCAACATTACGCTGTGCCTGCCTATAATCCAAGCGACTATCGTGGTCAACAACTAGCCCCAGTTGATAGATACTTGTCGGCTGCTCCATTCTATGAAACATATCCTCTAGGTTCAAGGAGACCGGTTAACCAGGACTTGACATTTGCTGTCTCTGCCGTCTCGCCCGGACTACCTGGAGAACCTACTCATCATCGTGATTCCGCTGCGAGCATACTACTGGATCGGTTCTTCGGCCGTCGACCACAGTCACCTACTCTGCTGCAAGCAGTTATAACTCAGGCTCCGCAATCTTACCGTCCTGGAACCACCGCTGCTGCTCTGGCGTCACCGGCAATTCAGTGCGTTTCACCGCCGGTGACACCAGGTCTTCCACTGCTGAGAGGAAATCATCAGGTCAGTTATTTCCATTCAGGGGGCCTGCAAATATTGATAACAGTTTAGTATATTCCACCACCTCCTCCGGGTCCACCGCCAAGAGAGTCAAGATGGCCTCAAACACATTCAGAACTCAAAGAAATAACCGTGCCGCCGACAAAACATGAAAAAGAGCCCGAATCTGTGTCTGTGGAAGCAGCTACCAACGCATTTCGCCAGCCAGCTAGGGGTCAGCCACCCCGTCCATTGAGAGATCGTGAACTTGTTACAGAGTTTCCAAAAGTACCGTCGTATCCAACTCCGAGACGTGAATGTTTCGATCTCCCGCATGTTCCTCAGATGAAGTCCCCGCCATTAGGAAAACGTTCTAAGCGTGCTCCACCACCGATTGATGTTCATCTTGCCTCGGGCTCGGCGACTTACAGAGAAAAACCAGCGAAAAGTGCACCAATACAACAACATGGACATGTAGTGTCCAAAGATATCTACAATACTCCAGAAGAATCAGCAGTTAGACAACATGACATGCAAAATTTGCCTCAAACTGCTGGTTTACCTGTAGTACGGGTGATGAAACCTGCTCCCATATCCCCTAATCGCGGTGTACAACTTCCTGCTCTTAACACGAACATTGTCAAGATTCAATCTAGAAGTGTTCCCTTGGAGATTGCAAGCTCACCTTCCAAGTCACCTCTAGCAGTCATGCCCAAATCACCCATTGCTCTAAGTCGAAATAGTAGTTCCTCAACGCCACCGATGTGGTCACCCGAAACACCGAGAGCAATGTCCTTTGATTTTCCCTTGATAATAGGCGACGATACTCCCTCGGTACGTAGTATTACGTGGTCTGATACCAGGCGAGAGACAATCATTGAAGAGGATGTCCAAGAGCAGACTCCCATGGAGTTGGGCCCACCACGAGGACGCATCTGCGCTTCCGATTCTCATATTCGGGCCCGAAGCTTATCACCACCTGGATCTGCCTATCCTAAGGAGTCTTCATTCAGCTGGGAGCTTGCTGATCTCAAAACTAAACATGCAACGGATGAAGATTGCCACAACACGCCCCGCATTCCTCCGCAGCAGATGATGGAAGACCACAGCTACAAATCACAAAACAGCAGTTTCGATCCACGTCAAACTATTCTTGGGACGTATTTCAAACGCTGAATGATTGAAAAAGATTGTTTCTATTTTGCACGGATTCGATTATTGAACACTTTTGAGCTTATGACACCCGTTCGCTCAAGTGTGATGATCTTTGTGCCCGGCGTTCTCCTCATTTCAGCAAGGCGTCCAGGTACATTCAAGTCAAGTTGTGTTTGCTTTGTTTTTTACGTAAGAGCGAGAGCTTATAGTTAAGTTAGGTGATAGTGATTTGCAAAATGTACTGTCAGAACGCAATTTATTTCCATGTAACCGAAAGAATGCCCGTCTCATGATGGTCGCTGCTGCACAATCCCAGATAAAAAGCTTGTGGAAAGTTGAAAATCCAATTCTTAAGTCAGAATCAATTAAAGGTTTGATTTTGCTTTGGCTTAACTTCAGATCAGATTGAATTGTCATTTCTCTGGGCAATAGTTGGCTATAATGGCTGCCTTTGGTGCCACTGACATTTAGAAAAAAAAAATTTCCTCATACTGCAGCAACCCGATCATATTGCGCAAAATTTAGTCAACGCCTCTCAAGCTATCATACGAGACCAATAGCTCTAGAAATTCTGCCCACAAGCGGTAGGCAGTTGGGGGTAATACACTTGAGCCATCAGCTCTGGGTGGTCTTTGTCTAGAATTCGTCGATAGGAATCTTAGGACACTGCATCACCAAAAGTCTGTCCAATTAGTTGGCCGCCGGGATGTGAGACTCGAGGATAAAGCCGAATCTGTCTACATCACACAAGATATAGAGGAAAGAAATTTGCTCGGCTCTGCTATGCAATGCCGTCGAGCTTTGTTGCAGAAAATAGCCCACAAAGAGTTTTAGAAAATGAGGGGCGTGCGGGAAATATTTAAAACGGTTTCAGCATTGGCAAGACTACTTAATGTGATGCTTTGTCCAAATATTCATCTATCTCTTCGTCTTCAGCTTTTCCCTGGACTGTAACGAGGCGACAACATGTCTTCGATATTCTAGTGCGACGGGAGAATGGTAGTAACACTAGTACCAGAAAGGAAAAGATCGCTACTTCTAACACTATTCTAGTTCTCGAGGTAAATGGTGTACGCCCACTTGAAGCGCCATCTTCCAGAACGCGAGCGGGGAGTTGGCGTGAGACTACGTAGTAGAATTGAAAGTATGGCTAGAAAGAAAGTCGGTCAGAAGTGAACATTTCAAGGTCTTGTTCTACATGCCCTCCAAACGTCCTTCTGAAACTGGAGGCAACAAGGCCTCCACATGAGTTACGGGCCGGGTCGCCAAATTCCCTGTCGCACTGATCTCATTTGAGGGAAATCTGATCCGGAGAATGTTGAGAATGTGTCGTATTTGCTGAAGACGGCTTCAAGAATTGACGAACTTCTAATACATGAGTCAAACCATGGTAACTACTGACGTTTTGAACTGCAGCGGCGTTCACGCTAAGAGCTCTCCGATGCTCTTAGACAGGGTAAACAATTCCGTGAGTACTCGTACAAGAACTCCGCACGGGTAAACTATGCTGTTCTAAAATATAAATGTGACCGGATAATCTTCAATCTTTGTGCCATGGATGCCTTGAATGATCCTGATATTCCTGCTGTTCACCGTTTAGGTGGTGGTTTCGTAACACCCACTTCTCACCACGATTCGTATGACTTTATCAAACCATCACAATTCGACCTCAATGGAAGGGTGGCCTTCATATCTGGTGCGAGCTATGGTATCGGTCAAACGTTAGCTCTTTCTCTTGTCTAGGCTCGCATCTCCGGTCTTGTCCTAGCTGCGAGAGGCGACCTTTCCGACACGGTCAATGCCATCACGAAAACAGCAAAGGACACGGCTATACCAATCCCAAAGGTCGTCGCTCTTAAATTCGATGTTACAGACGCAAAGTCCGTGAGCACTGCAGCAGCAGAAGTGAAGAAAGAATGGCCGGAAGGCATCGACATTGTTTATTCTAACGCTGGATGGCTCGAGCCTGAGAAAAAGATTGCCGAATCAGATCCTGAAGACTGGTGGAACTCGTTGGCTATCAATGTCAAAGGACCGTATCTGGTGGCTCGCGAATTCATACCCCTCTTGCTTGCAAAGAGTGGCGGCCTGAAAACGCTTTTGAATATGGTCAGCATCGGTGCACATATGATCTTTCCCGGCATGTCAGCCTACAATACAGCGAAGCTTGCTACTTGCCGTTTGACGGAGTACGAAGATGCTGAATACAAAGACGAAGGTCTCATCAGTCTTTGTATGCACCCTGGTGGTGTAAAGACAAACATGGGTTTGAGGCTTCCGCCGGAGAAACAGAAAATGTTGACGGATACCCATGAGCTAGTCAGTGACACAGCTGTATGGTGTACAGCGCAGCGCCGAGATTGGTTGAGCGGCCGATATGTCTCTGTCCAATGGGATATGAAGCAGTTGGAAGAACATAAGGATGAGATCGTGCAAAAAGACCTTCTCAAGGTGAAGCTGGACTATGGTTTAGGGTGGCTATGAAGGAATTCAAAAAAAAAAATTCAGCCGCTTATCATCCAAGATTTGTCGTAAGCGGCTGAGGACAGCAATGGTTCGATGGCGGGCTTTTTCTTGATTACTTTCTGCTGAAACCTCCCCTAAACCAAAAAAATTGTCCACCATCTCATGTAATATTTTAGCCTCTACTCTTCATATTTCACGCATATTTGAGAAAGACATGTTGGCCCTCCCAACCAAGACCCTACTCAAAGCTTGCTTGGCCCTGCTTTTTTGCTCTTTCCAGCAAACTCCGCCATCTTTGCTTTTGCCTCGGGTCTATTCAACAATCTTGCAAGCGCTTCACCTTCCTGCTTTCCAGCTGCTCTCCTCTCCTCAAGCTCCTGGGCATTGCTTGTTAACTTCTTCACAGCTTTGAGACCTTCACTATCGTAGCCGCCGATCCTCTTCGCGATGGCACAGACCTGGTCGACAAAGTTTTTCTCGTCCAAAACTTGGGTGACGTAGCCGCTGATATACATCTCTTCGGCGGTAAGTTTGTCGCTAGCGATCAAAAGTCGATTTGCGTGATGCTTTCCCATGATCTTTGGGAATGTGTAGCTGGAGCCTCCCTCTGGTGCAAAACCGAGCGATGTGAATGGCGTTTGGAATACGGCCCTTCTTGATGCGTATACTAGGTCGAAGTTGTAAAGCTGAGTACATCCCCAACCAATGGCGGCTCCATTGACCGCGGCAATCAATATCTTTGGGTAGTTCTGAAGCCTAGGAATCATCAGCTTCGTAAAAGCGTCGAAGGTGAATCATAAACTTACACAGCACCTAGCTTTCCTCCAGCGACTATTTCCTGTTCAATTGTGTCGCCACCAGCATCAGGCGATTTTAACATTTTGCCTGCGCAGTAATGTTTACCTTTCCCCGTTCTAGTTCCCTGTTAACAAAAGGAGCCGAAACTGGATAGACTGCCTTACACGACCACGACCTTTATCTCCGGTTCGTCACGAGCCCATATGAGCGCTTCTGCCGTGTTCAGATAGTGCAAAACATCGAAAGCGTTTGCTATTTCCGGCCTGTTGTAGCTAATCAGTGCTACGTTAGGTGATGGTCGATCAATTGCGATCGTGCTGAGGGTTGGTGGTGGTACCATGATTGGTAAATTTAGGTCTTGAATTTCGTCAAGGCTGAACAGGAGCTCCTTATGTTTTCATCCACATCCATATTGCCTTGATTTCGCCGGGACCAGCTCCAGGCACGATTATGGGAGGTATCCATGTTCGCCATAGTCTTAATCCGAGGTCATCGTCCCCATGGGGGCTCAGTGCGGGGCCAATTCGACACCAATCGGAATAATCGGCTTTAACTCCGAACTAGTAGAAATTCTTTGAATAAGCCGGTATATTTGAAATGATAGGAATGTCCATATGAGTCTAAGTGGCTCTCATTTCACAGATCAAACAGGATATCTAAGGTTTTCAGAGCCAGACGGGGAGACAGAAAATAATACGAGCGTCACGAAGTCCCTGGGGTACGAATAAACATGAAGCAAGAATATGTATGGTCATGAGCACTGTCGATTGGCGAGCCTTTCAGATATTTGCCTTAATTGGGTCTTTTTTTTTAGCTGACTTCAGTGCAGCTCAATCCAGCGAGTGAGTCGCAAAGACAGCTAGGTAATTTTTTGCCCTATTCTTCATTCTTGTGCGCTGCTGACGGCTTTAGCTTGTTCATTCAGCAGCTTTCGCCTGAATTTCGGCCTCTTGTTTTGCTTTTTCCTCCGCTAGTTTCTTAGCATCCTCTGAGATGAAGTTAGTTTTTTTTTTTTTCCTGTGAATTAGTTTTCAAAGATTGAATCACCTTGTGCCTTGGCTTGAGCTTCGGCAGCTTGATTGATCTGTTCTTGTTGCCTTGCGGCTTCTTCTACTCGTGGTCAAAAACATAGTGCTTCAATCACAGGCATCAACTCACCTTGGGCTTTAGCTTGGGCCTCTGCCGCTAACTTGGCTTGTTCCTCTTGCTTGGCAGCATTTTCTGAAGTTAAATCAGTCTATAGTGCTGCTTGGTCTGCTGTTATTCACGTTAAGAAAAAATACCTTGCGCCTTCGCCTGGGCCTCTGCCTGAGCTTTCTGTTGTTCTTCGGCTTGCTTCTGTGCCTCTGTTCCTTCGGTTCAGATTACATCCAGAGCATGGCATATCGTTCACTTTTCTTACCTGCGGCCTTCTGAGTAGCCTCCTGCTGCTGTTTGGCTTGCTCTTCGGCTGCTTTAGCCTGAGCTTCTACACTTCGATTAGAGTGAACGATTTTTCAACAATAGACTTATGTCTTACCTTGCTCTTTCGTGGCCTGCTCAGCTGCTAGCTTCGCAGACTCCTGTTGCTGTTTCGCTTGCTCTGCAGCTGCCTTTCCGACCTCCTCTCCTTGCTTCCTAGCAGCTTCTTCTTGTTGCTTTTGAGCTTCCTCTTGCTGCTTTTGCGCCTCTTGTTGTTGCTTTTGAGCCTCTTGTTGCTGCTTCTGAGCCTCTTCTGCCAATATTGTCAGTTTGATATTAATGTGAGGCATCATATTCTAATAGGTGCCTTGAGCCTTTTTAGCCGCTTCTTCCTGCTGCTTTTGAGCTTCCTGTTGCTGCCTTTGTGCTTCTTCTTGTTGTTTTCGGGCTTCTTCCTGTTGCTTACGGGCCTCTTCTTGCTGCTTCTGAGCCTCTTCTTGTTGTTTCCTAGCTTCTTCTGCTTGCTTTCTAGCCTCCTCTTGCTGCTTCTGAGCTTCTTGATTGGAGTTCCCCTCAGTTGTTCCAGTTGTGCTGTTAGTTCCAGTGGGAAGAGTAGTGTTCGTAATAGTGGTGTTCTCCTGACGAACATATACCTTTGGGGCATATCGTCTAGTGATCCAGTCTGGAGAGATATCACGACCAATGGGTTCAACAGCATGAGCATGTGCTTGGGCAACAGCTCGGCTTGAGAGGCCTCCCTGGCAAAAGCCAATTAGCTTTCATATATGTATCTCCAGCTGGATGCTCCTTCCACAATCCAAAATGTGCTGAAGAGAGAAATACAAGGTGATCAAAGTACATACGACAGTCCAACGTGACTTCACCATATGACCGGCATTGCACAGAGCCGATGTGTAGATCAGCATAGCCACCACAAGGTGAAGAGATTGAAAAATATGCATGATGACTCGCTGAGTATGGATCAGATCCTAATGAATGTTATGCAACAGATTGAAAAGGTAAAGATTGGTCACGATCAACGTGGTCAACAACGAAGTTTATGAAGGAAAGTCTGTAACCCGACAGAGAATGAGTGATTTCGAAGGAATGTAAGGAAACGAAGAGAGTTGCTGATATAAGTTTAAGCATGATGGCATTTCTTATAGTCCTATATTCCATTTTCTTGGGTGTACGATCTAGCTTCTGTAGTTTCTTCATGCTAATGAGAAGCACGCACCCAAGACGTCAGAAGACGCTCGGCGGACGAGCATGTCACGCTGGATCCAGAGCATCCATATACGGCCAAGAAGCGAAAACGCGGGCTCGTCCTGAACTTTTCAAGGATGTTTCACAGTGGGAGGTTGTTGGGCTGCGGCCAAGCTATACCAAGAAAGGTGAGACAGTCACGCAACGGGGATTGCAAAACCGGATGTATTTGCTAGCGGCCAGGCCGTTGAAGCACGGTCAAAGCAGATTTACATATAGACAATGATCCAAAAAAAAGAAAGTTACCGAATGCGCACCGTGGTCCCGAGCCACGTAGTTGGAGAGCAGGTCTTCACCAAGGCTCAGAACACAGCGGATGCACAATACAAGCCACGGCTATGGACAAAAATTGTGACACTTTCGCAATATTCATTTAAGGAGACAGGCGTAACTTGTGAATTAAAGTTAGCTACTTGTGTGGAAAGGTTAGGCGTTGCAAAGGGTAACCATCCGGACGATGCAAGGCGGCTAAGCTCACATGTAGCCAGAAATCAAGCAAACTATGAATTCGGGTCGGTGCATACAAGTAACAAATAGCTGTAGTTGCAGAATCAATTTTCATCCTCGGAACAGTTCGAGAACGAGCACTGTTGTAAAGAAATGTCCCAGCTAAAGAAGACATTGTAGGTCCGATGTGACACATTTTAGCATGGATTCTACTTCACCGTCTCTCATCGAGCCCTCCCTATTCTATCTCCAGCCATTATCTATGTCTTCATTTACCTTTCTTAGATAATATATTCTCTCTCTCACTCACTCACACTCTCTCTTCTTTTCTTTTTTTTCAGTCTTATGTGTTAGCATATTAGATGACGCACTTGCTACTTCAGCATCTACCTTTTCAATTATTTTCCCTGCTCTGGGATCAGCATCGTGAAGAATCGGCTCCAATTCTTCTGTGCAAGATGCGTTATCTACTTTGGTATGAGTCCACGATTAAGGGGAGAAGGAGGAGGAGGGGGGGGGGGGGATGCAGATATTTTTTCAGGAATCTTTGTTCATCTTCCGTCATGTTCTCCCAAGAAATGACCAAGCTTGGAGCCTATCTCCATTCTTTGTCTAGCACCTCTAGCACCTTTATGCTCAGGCTTAGGGGCTTTTCGGGCTCGCCGTTTTGCGCTGCGTTTTGTCCATTATCTCCCTGGGGTCTCTGGGCCGGTACGTTGAAATCCTGCTCCGCAGCTTTTGTTCCATTCACGCCCCGAGCCTACTCAGGGGATGAGAGCCGGCCGTTTGTCTTACAATCAACTGCTTTGTGCGATCGCAGAGCTCGAAATTCATTTTTATGGTGGTCACTGATCGTCATGTTTCTGAGCACATTCTCTTCGCAAATGCTCGGTCGGTGATGTCTGAGCATGGAAGCAACTCAATGAAGAGGTGGCATCTTCGTATTGGTATGGTGGCAGGTATCCGAAGCACGCACATGGTTTCCGGCATAGCTGCATTGTTTGGGGCTGTCGTTGCGCGGCGGATGAATCCAAGAAGTGAGCGAACGGCACATCTGTTCAACTCCTGGCTAGTCGACAGGTGGTCCCAACTTCGCATTTTAGCTCGACCCTTCTGCTCGTGGAATGGCCCTGATTGAGACTAGAAGATGTCGTGGCATTCGATAACATTCGTCAGGCCGGCTCAGAACCAGTACGTACCTGAAATCCCGGTTCGCAGCCTTTCTTCAGCCGCGCTAATGAAGCGCTGGACCCTTATCAAGTTCGACCCCACTGTCGATCCGCTAGTTCCGAATAGGAAAACTGCGAGAGCTTTGTCACGGGACTCGGTCCTTCCGATGAGCAATTACCGCTCGATCATCGAAGTTTAAACCAAGGCTTAAGGTGCCGTGGTGTACAAGGCCCAAGCTTGCGATTGGAAATAAGCGCGTGTTCTCGATTGAGTTTTATCTTGTCTGCCTCATGCGCTTCGCATTCTACTGCTTCAAGAAGGCTTTGCGCAAGCTCGGACCAATCAGCGTCGAGCTTGGCTGTCCCAATTGTGCTCCGGCACTTCCTGGGAACAAAGTGCAGCTTCGCTTCTGCGCTTCATGAGAGCACACAACAATCATCGCCTCCATTGCCTGAGACGACTTGCTGCCTCGCGTTCCTTACGTTCAAATGCCCGCTAGAGGCCAACCCAGAGCAGCTCTTGACTGGGGCGCGGGCCTCCCTTCCGCTGGACAACGCTGCTGAACGGAAGAATGACGAGATTGATGCCTGCAATGCCAGGCGCCGCACCCTTGCGGTCTCAGGCATCCATGCTTGACCACAACGGAATCGGCGTGCTTTCTCCATCGACACACGCGCCAATGAGAGACGGATGCGCTTTTGTCAAGCCGACACTGTCGAGGGCCTCCTCACCTTCCGCCAGCACGCTTCCGTCTTGACTCGACTGTCCACAACCATCTCACCTCGAATTCTATGTCGTGAGGCCCGTATCATGCTTCTCGATCAATCAAAAGGCCTTGAACTATTGCTCTTCGCTCTCAGATAGCACCGAAACGCCTTTTTCCCACCTGCTCGACGTTAATCACTCAGGTCCGTCACTCCCTTCCACATTTTGCACACGCCACATTCAATCGCCCTCTTTCTCGTGTTGTCTCGTTCAACTGACATGTTTTCGGATACAGAAGAGCATCTTTACTACGCAAGACCTGAAGAATGCCCAAGGGCACGACGTCACCGCGTCGCCTCTCGAGGGCCCGCCAACCTCCACCTCCCTCACACACCAATTCTGTCTCCTCAAACTCCTCCAACCGCGCCGAACGAAATACGCGATCTAATCAGAAAGCTTCATCACCACAGAAGTCGTCCACACCGCAGTCATTCACGTCAGAGGATGCCGGCGAGGAGGCAGGTGTCGCACCTCGTGGTGGCACCAGCGAACCACCTCAGCTGCGACGAAGCAAGAGGCAACACGATAATGACGATGACGGTGACACAAAGACTGAAGACGCAATCGAAGACGAGATTGTAGACGATGAGGAGACAACGAGATGTATTTGCGGCTTCCAAGAGTATCCAGGTCGCCCAGCCGACCCTACCCTTGGCCGCAGTGCGAGGGGACCACATGGCTCTAGCCAGGACGACCAGACCGATGATCTAGGTGGCTTGTTCATCCAATGCGATGATTGCCAAGTGTGGCAGCATGGTGGATGTGTGAGCATAATGGAGGAGTCGGCTGTGCCAGATAATTATTACTGTGAGCAGTGTAAGCCGGAACTCCACGAACTTCTGAAGGCTACGGATGGGTGAGTCTCCGCCGCTAGATGTGCCTCTGAAGCACATAATGACGTATGGATGTTGTCAAGAGTTCGAAGCTGACAAGCCTACAGACAAAAATTCTCGCACTACCTTCCTGTATGGTCGAAATCACATCCAAAATCGCTTAGGAAAGGATCGGTCGAAAAGGATGACAAGGCAAAACTTCTAAAAGAGAAGGAACGGGTAACACGGCCACCCGAAACCAAGCGTCGGGCCACCATGAACAGTCGAGCAGCCTATGACGAGGACGAGGTTCTCCGTAAGGTACTAGAAGAGAGCAAAAACGAAGGCCAGCCCAGCGCAGAGAATGGTAGCAGAAAGGGAAAGCGGAACAGAGACGACAGCGAAGAGTAAGTCTCAATTTGATTCAACGGCGTGCATCGATCTAACCACAGAATACTAGTGTCCGCTCTGAGACCAAGCGACAGCGGACAGCGAGCTCAGTCCTCTCCTCCCGCTCAGGAGATGATTCAGGAGCGGAGTCCGACCAGGATAAGAACGGGAAGAAGTCAACTAAGGGAGCTGCTGTTAAGGGAGGAACAAAGGTAGATAAGTTAACAGCAGCAGAGCCCGTCGTAAAGCGCCGAGGGGGGCGTCGCAACGGCGGTGATGTTGTCGGTGAGCAACAGCCATCTACTAGTACCTGGACATGCCATTGCGGACTCTGGACCTGCCTATGTGGGCCGTCACTAAGAGATGCTGTAGTTGAACCACCATCGCTAGCCGATGGAACTGAAGCAGAGTCTTCGGCTGCGCCATCAGCCAGAGCTTCTGCGAAAGCTTCACCAGCTGCTGATGCAGACACTCCTGAAACACCTAACCTGCTTCCTAACTCGGCCACTTCGGCCGTTGCGTCGACGAGCAAAAGAGGGGGAAAGCGGCCAGGTGCGGGCAGAGGACGAAGTAATCCCGCACCCCCGACACCAAGCGAAAAAGATGAGAAGGAAAGCCCCAGGAATGGAAATGAGGGCGGTAACACACCGATACCAAGTGTCATGATCAATGGCGCAACTTCGAAACGCGGGAAACGTGGACATCAACCAAAGGACCACGATTCTGGCGACAGTGACAAGGACGCCATTGCAGCATCCTCGACGAACGGTAACGCGGCTCCGACAGGAAGCGATGCAGATATTGCGGCCGACTCTCATAGTAACTCACACGTACAATCAAGCAATGGATCGGGTAGTAAGAAAAAGGAGCCGAGTATGAACGAACTGAAGAGACGGGCAGCGGCTATGTTGGACTGGGTGGAGAGAGCGAAAGAAGACCTCGGAAAGAATAGTATTGTGGCTCCCTCATCCTCAGGTATGAGTCCACTTGGCGCGGGTAGCATGAGCCCCTTAGGCGCTGGGGTAAATCCCATCATAAAGAGCGAGCTGGGCAGCGTGGCGGACATGCTGCAGAGCCGGTTACTTGGGTGGCAGGTTGAGTATGGCACATGAGGGTATAGGGATGTGATATTATGATCATGACCGCTTCATTTTGGGAGGGAAGTTTGTTCGTGGCAGGAAACGGCGCGCTTGCGAAGCGTACAGTTCTCCTTTTCTTTTCGCTTCTTCTTGTTCTTCTTCTTCTTCTTCTACTACCTTTATTATTACTTGATCTTTTTTCTATTGATCAGACATGGGGCATGGGCATAATGAAGCATTTCGTGCACGACACATTCTTCATCAAGAGACATGGGCTAGATTAACGAGGCAGGAAACCAACCCCCCCCCCCCCCCAATCTACATCCTACCAAAGAAGAATTGAGTCAAAAATGGAAGAAAAATCTCTCTCTCACTATCACTCTCCCTGTTTTGTGTCTCTTTCTCTTTGTCTCTCAGTCTCTCTCTCTCTCTAACATGCAAACATTTATATGCATGCATGCATATATCTGTGCCATTTCCTCACGTGATCAAACTTGCATTTTGATAAATGAGCCATGATCCGAGCTGGGTAACGCCAGCGTGTTTTTGGGGGCAAGAGATGCTAGCGTGTCTCCCATTCGAAGGGTAACAGAGAGGACGGTCTCACCATATGAATTAAAAGGAAGGAGCAACCGTGTAGGTAAAATAGGGACCTAGGCTGATTTGAACAAAGTTCCTATTCGATTCTTCTTTCGCGAGAGAGGGGTTTCTTTCTTTTTTTTTGGGAGGAAAAAAAAAGATTGTTAAACAGCCTTTCTCTTCTTGTCTATCTACTCTCCAAAAAGAACTCTGTCAAAAGTCGTCTTTCTGCATCTTTGGAAGAAAGAAGGAGGTGGGGAAAAGGAGGGTGAGAAGGGGGGGGGGGTGGAAGGGAGAGAGGGAAAGAGAG